CTTTATTGTGTTCTTTAAATTGTCCAAACTTACATGTCTCATGAGGCTTGCATGTTCCGTGAGCATGGTGTTTCCAAATTATTAACTCAATAGTATAACTAAAATAACTTTTGAATATATTAACCACTAATTAGTTTTTTTGGGTGCTTTATGCAGGCATGTAGTTGGAGGATACTCAAGTTCATCTTCTGATTCTCATGAAGCTAAAGAAAACTTTCAGGAAAAGGGTGGTATTTCTGATGACAAGGTGGCACCTACTGGCTCAGCTGAAAACCCAGATGTTGGTAAGATAAGTGTTTATGATGTAATATCATTGTTTTATCGGTAGGAGGACTTTCTAATGCCACTTTTGTTTCTTAATGAATTGTTAGGTGATTCTTATCCATCCATTCACCAACCTGGGAGTGGACGTAATGGCGAAAAAAGAGGGAGATCTTTTTTGGTGTCACCTGACTCACCTCTACTGAACCAAAGCTCCACAAACAAAAATATTATGTTAATATCTTCGAAACAACCTATCTCAGGTGTTTCTCTTGTTGAGAATAGTAATTATTCAAATAGTCTATCCACTTTAACGACCAGCTCCCTTTCAGCCGATAGAACTTTTGCAAAAGAGGTTCAGTCGGTGAATAGTGGTGGGGCCAGTGAAGGTTCCAATATAAGTTCTAACCGTTCTGATCTGAGTATGAACATCCTCGATGAGGGACCAGTACAAGAATCGCTGGATTTTGAGCAGTTTTTCCATGAGGGCTATTGTAAAGCATCGCCTCTGAGCAACTTTCGTGAATCAACTGAAGTTGTAACTGATGTGGATAGCAGCAGCCCCCGTGATAGGGGGAAATGCGAGGAAGATGGTGACAGTGATGAAATGCTTGGTGGTATATTTGCCTTCTCAGAGGAAGGTAGGACCATAAACATGTACCACTTGTTCACTTTTATATTGAATTTCTTTATTTTTGGATATTTACATAAAAGATGAATGCTGCTTGAGCGCTGACCCCTGCTATACTTGTTTATTGTGTTTTCTAGCATTGTCAAATGTGGCGTAATCAATTAATATTTTACTGGATTTCATTGATACCATATTGGCGTCTCATGCCTGCTATCTAACACTTTTGCAATGATCCTGCTTTGTACATGCTTTTGGATTTTTATGAACAATAAGTTTGGACATAGTATCAATGGAACCGGATGGGAATAGCATGTGACATATGATTCTATGTTGGAAAAGTGGAATGGCTATCCATTGACGTTTCCATACTTTCTGTTGCAGGATGATGTACCTTTCAGTGCTCGAATTCTAGCGAAGTAATCAGACCTTTTCTTATTTTTCAAAAGGTTAAAAAAAGATTGGCCAAAGCTCAGCCAAATGCTGGTGTGGAATTTAATTGATGAAGTTTCAGAATTGAAGTTGTTTCTTTTCAACGATGGAGATCCTACTGACTTAATCTTTGGTTCGTCATGGTGCTGCTGCTGGGGCAAATGCCTGGTACCGCCCCTTCTAATTCTCATGTAAATGTTGTAAATTGAGATCCATAATAGAAATGATTTGTGTGGACAGGTTCTTTATGTGATGCGTAACATTGTTCATTCTTCAAACAAAAGGAAAAAAAAAAGAATAAAGTGAATCTAAAGAGAGATTATAACTGTACAAGTTGCATTCCTTGCTTTTGTGATTAGTTCATTGTCTGGAGCTTTCTAATTCAATCTCTGTATATGGGTTCAATTCAAGCATCATTCTTTTGGTATAGGAGTTGTACAAAAAATTTCCTATAATGCCTTTGAGGATTTAATTTAATTGGCATTGGCTTCTTAGGTTCCAGTCTTGTCAGTTTATAATTTCAATTTTCATTGGCTAAAACTAAAGGCATGTGAACATTATTGACTGCCTAGCCTCTTATGAACTAGAAATTAAAAAACACGGAAAAAGAAGTTCAACTTAAAATAGATAAGAATAGAGACATGCGTACAATGCACATTATCACATGTATGAATTTGTGCGTTTATGGCGTGCATATGGTTGTGGTTGTGTTTTCAAGAATGTTCAAAAAAATTCAAAATTGTTCAAAAAAATTGTGGCCAATTTCAAAAATTTCCCAAACAAGGAGAATATTTGCCATAAATACAAAAGATGTGATGTACAATATTACTGGTGCTAGTAACGAGAAAACATTGAGGGAAAAAAAGCTTCTTGATCCATGGCTTTGGATTCTACCAAACATGCCACATTCTTGTAATTTTGTGGCCTACCATACTAATATGAATTCATGTTTGAAGATGGTATTAAATTTTGGGACCCACTTTGATGCCCTTCATATCATATCAAGAGGAAGACAGGAAGAGAATACAGAATAGAATGGGGCAGTGGTCCCTTCTCTCTCTCTCCTAGAAAAAATGTGAACCCAATTTGATTGAATGCCATGATTAAATATCTCATTCTCTCTTATACAGAACAGAAGAGAGGAGAAGGGGCTAGGTTAGGTTTTGGTTTGGTTTGGGCCCTGTGACGTTGGTACTATGGCATGCCCGGTCGGTACGAAAACGGTCGGTTTTTGTCGTTTGAGGTCTTGGATTTGTCGTCATCAATGTTCGATGTGGGTTCATATGAGTCACTTCCCATGTGGTCTCTATTGTCCTTGACTCGGGTAAGTAAAATAAAATCCCTAAGCTAAGCCATCCTTAGATAGTGGTGGAGGCAGTATCTTTAGCATGCGGTTGATTTGGAGATAGTGCTAAATTCAGTCGCCCGTATGCGTATGAGTTAATTCTAATTATTGATGTATATGAGACTTACAATATACGAATAATCATAATTCACTCATCTGTACTTGAAAGTAACATTCTTTACTTTATGGTTCTAGATGTCTAAAAAGTGTTTTTGTTGGTCAACAAAGTTGAACGAAATTGGGGTCAATAGTCAAAGACGGAAGATTTGTAATTTAAGCGAGGACCCACGGTAATTCATCAATCAATTTGAGAATTGTATATGTGAAAAGATATCACATTTGGTTTGATTGGTATAAGAAGATATAACAGATCGACTCAAAAACAAAAATTCAACAAAGAAACAATGAGATGAAGGAAGCTTATCCAAACTCCCAAGTCATAGGCCCCAACAAAGTTGATCATCAACAATAAGGGTTGTGAGTGACAACTCATACATTGATCTCAATCCAAATTGAGCCACAAAAAAGAAACAAACATCAATCTTGAACTGCCCTAGTGGGTAAATAGTAATGTCCAAATCTTGTTGCTATTATTATAAATTCCCATCATTTCCCACAGAACCCTAACAAAAAAATCATTTTCCCATTTGAATTCAATCATGCAAACGCAGCCTATTGCAAGCAACATGTTACATGTAAGATGCCAACCTCTCCCCAACCCAAAGCCAATGATGCCTCAAAATTTGTGACAATTTGCAAACAAATGCAGCCAGAATCCCATATAAAAAAAATCCATATGCTACACACTTTGAGCTTCTGACACGTGTCCCGTGCCTGCAAAAATTACCCTCACCAAATTACCCCTCCAAAAATAGAAAGATGAACCAAGTTATTACCGAGCTTGAAGAAGTAGGGCCAATTTAGTACTCTGAAACAATGGGGTCACTGAGGCCTGAGCTCTGCTGAATTGTCCCTCTTTTCAGTTACCTGGTATTAACCAATTATCGATGCGAATGTACCAACCAATCAAACAGCAACAACGCAAACAACCCAACAAAGACAAGAGCAACATCGATTTAATTATAAAGAATCTTGAAAAGATTGAGAGATCAACGTTAAATATTGTGAAGGGGTACGAATGAAAAAGAAAGGTGGATAGATCATGGATGGATGGAGGAGTGGGTAAACATAAAATTTTTATTTTTATTTTTATTTTTTATTTTTTTATAGAAAAGGGTAAAAATAAAAGGCTATCACATGCCCGTTGAGAATTCATCAGACAAGAAAAGTTCAGTACTTTATTTATTATGCCATACCAACTTAACTCTTTGTACATAGAAATGTTAAAATTTCGCTTTTATTATTGTTATTATGATGACAAAGTCTATCCCAGAAAATAAAATAAAAATCCAGAAGATATGGATGGAGCATTGTCTGAAGTCATTTTCCCATCACATGTCACTCGAATATAGCTTCTGCTTCTCTTGGGTTAAAAAGAGTACCAGTATTATTTTGTGACCTAAAATCTCTCTTATCTTCATATATAGAATCTCAAATGTTTGCACTCAAATTTCTACGACATCATAGTTGTGTGTGTGTGAGAAATTCCCTTATATGTAGTTTAGACTATCGCTTGTAATAAAAAAAAGAATCTCAAATGTTTGTGTTATTGGACTAATAAGATTGTATTTGTCCAAATAACTTTTATATTATGCTAATTAATTATACATGAGTTTGGTACTCATGAGTAATAGACAAGCGAAAACTTCCACAACAAGAGTGGACCAGACTTGGAAATTATCACACTCCTCCCCCTCCCCTCCCCCCCAAAAAACACAAGTTAAGTTAGGACCTTGGAGAGGAAAAACAAAAGAGAAAACTAGCCCCATGAAATAATATATTTGAGAGAGAGAGAGAGAGAGAGAGAGAGAGAGAGAGAGAGGAGAGCAATAATTACTGAAAGAAAAAGAAGGGAAGGTACATGGCATCAGGTTTTGGATCTTGTGATGCTTTTTAAATTTGGAAAGAAGTTGGGTGCTTATCTTAACCTTATATAATGTGTTGAGAAAAGAAAGAAAAAGAAAAGAGAATTACAAAATTAGCTAGCTAGTAGCCAAGTAAGGAATAACAGAAAGGGTGACTTCATCTATACATGTATATGCATGTATAACCCACAAAGGTAGGAATCTTAATTAACAGCATCCCTCCTCTCCTCAGTCTACAAAATAAAAATAAAAATTAAGCAACCCTTCCATTGGGGTTTGTTCTATTTAAAGAGGGGGAAGAAGGTGCAATGAATCCATAAGATCTGTAGAAAACACAAAAACAAAAAGAATGAGTGCTGTGAAGCTTGAGAGTGAAACAATGGCTGATGGTGTGTCTCAGTTGCAGAAGCAGTTGGTTGACTACACAGCTTCACTGTTTGATGAGGTCAGTATATTGGATGATATAGGAAGTTTGTGTGTGTTTGTTCTGTTCAGCTTATTGGGTTGGCTTCTTTTTTTCTTTTCTTTTTTCCTTATTTTTTTTATGATAAGTTTTTCTTTTGTTTGAAGGCATTTCTGGATGAACAGTTCAACCAGCTTCAGCAACTGCAAGATGAGAACAACCCAGACTTTGTAGTTGAAGTTGTGTCTCTTTTCTTCAAAGATTCTGAAAGGCTTGTGGATGAACTGACCAAAGCTCTGTAAGAACTAAAGCTTTCTCATCATTAATTTTCCCAATATTTATCTTTTTTCAAGTAACTTTCTTGCCCTGGTATGGTATATATATGGTTCTACTTACAGTGAGGGCCTTATTAGTCTCTTTTATATTTTATATTTTCTCTTTATTTTTGGGTGCAGAGATCAGCAGACTGTTGACTTTAAACTTGTGGATAAAAATGTTCACCAATTGAAGGGTAGCAGCTCCAGGTATATGTTATTTTTCCCTTTATAGGCCTCTACTGGTTATTTCATATATTTACAGAATGCACCTGTCTCATGCATCCCCCTTATGTTCAGCATGGGAAGAAGCACTCTTCTGACCTTTCAAGTCACTTTGATATCACCATATCAGTTGCTGCTTGATGCAAACACATCCTTTTAATTTGAAACATTTAAAACTTCCATTGAACATTTCAGTGGAATTGTCTTGGAAAATATCTTAAACATAGAATTGGACCAGTAGGACTTCCAACAGTTCCAGCTTTGAAATGAAAATTTAAGCAAGACTCAAAGCTCCCTTTGGCTGAAATTTCTTTTTTAATTTGGAGGGTTTATCATCAAGCAGAAATGTCATATCAGCAAATCTTTCATACTAAAGTCCAAATATTTAAGTTGTTTTCTTGGAAAGATAGTCATTTCTCCACTTTGTCCCACATGAAGGCATGTACCTTGAGAATATCGCTTACTCACCACCACAGTCATTAAAATATATAACATTTCCAAAGTATTTGTCAGCTAAGCTCTTTTTTTTAGTTGTACTTGTTCTTGTCTATATATATGTTTCTTCTGTTGGTGTTTCATGAAGAAAATTTGGTTCTTGCAATAACAGCATTGGTGTTCAGAGAGTTCAGAGGGCCTGCATTGCATTTCGTGACTGCAGTGAGGAGCAGAATGTTGAAGGGTAAATAAAATTTGGTCTTTCACAACCATGAGTTTTAGAAAATGTTCATATAAATCTGAATGAAAAATATTGGTCCGCAGGTGCCTAAAGTCTCTCCAGCATGTGAAGCACGAGTATTCTCTTGTGAAAAATAAGCTGGAAACTCTTTTCAAGGTAAGTAGAAGAAATTGTTTCATAAACAAGCATGCATGGTAGCTCTTGGTCTCAAAGCCTTGATGTCCTTCTTGTTCATATGCAGCTGCAGAAACAGCTTTTGGCCGCCGGCGGTCCACTGCCAAGGTAATGATGCTTAATGATGAAACCCAGTGGGGAAGTTATTATCAGCAGATAAAATAACAGAAGCAAGCACACTGTGGGGGGTAGTCCGTAGCTAGATTTGCAGTGGAAGCTTGTTTTTTAGTTTCCTCTTCTATTTATCTCTTATTTGGTTGAGCATCCAGATTGCTTGGGGCTCAAAGAAGCTGAACTGAGTTAATATGGTTAAGGATTTGAATGAATATTTCTACCTCTTAATAGTATCTCTATTCTCTATGGCAAAAGTTTCATGCGCAAAAACCAAACAGCAATAAGTTACCAGCTGCACTTAATCTCTAGTGAGTGGGAGAGAGTGTGGTAACTCTGAGTACAAGCAGCACTGAAAACCAACTACTCAAAATCTGATAGATAATGCAATGAAAAGTTGCTTTCTTTTCTATGTTTAAAAATTTTCGGATTCACCCAAGTAAGCAATTGGGTAAAATTAGTTTCATAATCAGTGCATAATAATTCATGTTAATGACTTTGTAGATGGCACAAAAGCAAATGTACATGAGCAAGAAGAGTACTTGTGGTGTGGTTGTGGAAATTTATGAGGAAGTTTGTATCATTATGAAATTGAATGTGCCAACATTATCACAAGTTTAAAAAGTTTCATAGAGATTGCTAGTTTCTCTACCAACCATTTGTTGTATATTGTTGACTAATTAGCATGGTTTTTTCTTGCTTACATTTAATTAGCATGTTACGAGGAATATATCTATAAGTATCGAGGATATTATGATCAACAACTTGATTCAGTGATACTTCTCTCTCCAATATTAGAAGAGGTTGTTAATTTGATTCCACCCTCCTATCGATATAAAAGAGTATCGAGCGTATTAGGGTATTGAAAAATGAGAGAAAAGCCCACTTTGTTGGGATGATTTAGTTGAATGAGCAGTATTAATTTTTAATTAAATCAGCATTCCATGATCATATATTACATTCAATGAATGAAGAGATAGATGTGCAGTTCAAGGTCAAGTTACTGTCAACTGTATTTTAATGTGGCGTGGGATATCTACAGGACAGTCTGGACTGGATGGTACTAATGAGAAAATAATAGACCTGCATTGCATGCTGTGTTGTGTTTGTATATATGTATGATTTTATGCTTCTTGGTCCAAGGGTATCTAATATATAATATTGTTTTTTCTTGCCTCGTGTTTAACCAACCAATTTTTATGCTTTTTTTCTTTCTTCTTTTGATATAAAATATTGATAAAAAAAAACTCACAATAACATATGAGTCATGAACAGAATTGTGTTCTAAATCTTGTTTGGATGAAGTGCAATGTTGGTAAAGGCTCTTCCTAATTCCAATCAGTAATTATGATAACCATAATAATTATAGATTGTGGAAGTGGCAGGATTAGAAAGAGAGTCACCTCAAAACAACCCATGCTTTCTAATCTCCAATTACTATTTCTTAACAACTTAGCCAACCCTAGACGTTGACAAAATGCACCACCTACATTTGAATGGACAATAACAATATCAATTATTAACTCAGCCTAATAATCTACATAATTCCATTACCTAAAATACGTAGATAAAAATGAGAGTTACGAAGGAGAGTAAATTGTAATTATTATAAGATTAACTGAAATTAATCAAATTTAAAATTCCTAAACAGAATATTTGGTAAGCTAAGGGGAAAATGGATCAGATGAGGTTACTCTCTAGTGCTTGGTTTGTTTTGCAGCTAAAGGGAAAACCAAGTCAGTCGAGCGGGGTTACCACAATGGTTGTGGCCCTCGCCCTTTCCCCTTGCTTGGCACCCAGCATCAAAACCCTAGGGTTTCTTTCCTCCCAATGTAACCAAAGAACAAGGGGAAAACCAAGATTGGAAAAAAGGAAAAAGATAATTATCAAATTTCTAACTTTCCTTTGTTTTATTCGTTGTGAAACACAAACATATTACACTCAAGATGGATTTTACAGATTAATTAACAATATAACTAAACAGATCCTAATTTTCAAGGGAAAACATCATCAGTTGGCCAGGTGATTAATTGTACAAGTTCTATTTGGTTGGGTAGCCCATGTTCCTTTTTCCTCAACAAAGCTTGCTATAACAGCAGAAAGCTGTTTGGCTCCTAATATATTAGCAAATTGTTCATAATATGCCTCTGGATTTATACCGCACAAGATCTTCACCATCTTTGTTTGATTTTCATCAATAAGCAGCTGCCCAATTATTGATACATCTCCCTCAGCCACCACCTTGAGAGGCATAAACTCAAAGGTTTGGTTTAATAGAGGATGACCACCAGCCAAGATTATAGCACCAAGGATTTCCCCCAAAAATGTATCCTGTGAAATGACAGAATGGAAACAAATGTAAGTTCTTCAGAGTGAAAGCGAGTTGAAAAATGTATCATGCATTGAAGCATTCAAGTACCCTAGCCCTTCGTGCAATGTCAGTGTATCAGAAACTTATAAGCATTCAAGCACACATGTGCTCCACGTCACCCAATTAAATTGTCCACGTGTCAGGCTTGGCTTATAAGGGGTTGGGTTGAAGATGTGTCCAGAACGAAAGAAACTTGAATTCAACCAGATGGACAGATAAACATAATGGGAGAAAAGAGACTTCTTTAGATAGCTAATTGACTGTATGGAACTTTACCATGTGAAGGTATCTATGATGATTCTGTTTTAGTTCCCAAAGCCTTGAAAGTAGATGCTGGGCAAATGCAGCTTCAGGAGTTTTATCTGTTAGCTGCAACAATTCAACAAGAATATTCTGGAAGGAACTGACTTGCTTCTGGATCCGCAATGGAATCAGTGTTATGTTCAGTTTTGAATCTAAAACTGCCTTTGCAGCCAAAGGGTCAAGAAACATGTTAAACTCTGCATATTCATTTGAAGGGACAGTGAACAGATTTCCTTTTTCATTATCGTGGGGAATGTGTCCCCCAACAACATATACATCCTGCAAGAAAATCATGACAATGAAAATGGCATCCGATATCAAAGCATGGCATGCAAATTGAAGGTTAACATCTTTATAGTCTGGTTTTGTTCTACCACTAAAAATTTCAGTTGGGTATAAACTTACCCAACCATTGAAAAACCAAGTTCCTTTGCTACACAATAAGCATTTGACCACATAGACAACATTTACCTGGACCACTGAGTCTGTGTTCTCAGAAAGAATGATTTGGGCTAAATTTGTCAAAGGTCCATTGGTCAACAAAGTAATCTTGGATCCTGGATGCAGTGATTTTACAATGGACTTCCAAACATCTAGTGCAGTCGGTTGTCCAAGTCCAGGGTAATCAGCAGTTTCTGGTCTGTATCTGAAACAGACATGAAGAATCCAATCATTTTATCATTAATATAAGCTGTCCATCTTACACAAAACATTTGTCTACAACATCATTGTAACTAGCTGTCTACTAGTTTAAACAGACAGTGATACCTTCTAGGACTGCGAGGTAAGTCACGAGCAAATCCATAGAGTGTATCAGAGTCCAAGGAGCCACCACTACCCTGAGGAATGGAGCTGCTGTACCTGCAGTCTCCAAGAGAAGGGAACTCTGAATGAGATTGACCAACTGCAAATACATTTCCAAGACCAACTGGAATATCATCACGGCCCAACATATGCAGTATGTCATATACAACTTCTATGGTTGCAGCAGTTGCCCAGCCGTTAGCACTAACCAGGATTCCCTGGATAACATAGAAAATTCAAACAAAAAAGAGTTTCTGAGTATTGATAAAATTACATTAACATCATTGTGTGCAATAGCAATATCCTTCAAGGCTTGTTTGTTGAACTTGGAAGCAATAAGCAGACTCCTACCATATAAATAATTATTAATCATATTCAAAATGTGTAATTGCTACTTTGCTAGCATGAGGCCCCACAAAGCTACTCAGTCAGGCTATTCATGTGTAGCACCAAGCTTGACAAAGCCTACAAAGGCAGTATAATACCTTGAGGTTGATCAGTTCTACAGGTAATTTTAGGAGATATAGAAGAGCTAGAAAGTCCCCAGCACTCATATCCATATCAAAAACTACAGGTTTACCCATCAATTCCTTTCCAAAATCTGGTTTTTGAAGTACACTCTGGTAGAGTGGAAACCCTGCTCGAGTATTAAGCTGTCCAATTCGCTTAGGTCGATTTATAACCTGCATTTGACACATTAATTGAAATTATCATTCTGTAGCCAAGACAAAATAGGATCCTGCAAAAGCCAATCGCCAAATAATGCTCGTAAGCCTATCACCATGTATTGTAGACAGGTTGCGACAAATCTAAATCTGCATGTAACTTGTATGTCTTACAGGAAATTTCACTCAGAACATGCATTACACAAGGAGAGAACATAACTTCTGTATGTCATAAAAATGGAAAGGAGAACACGGATTGGGCCAAAGTTGATAGAATCATAAACTAGCTTACATCCAAGAAACTTTTATAGAATTCTTTGGCAAGAATGCTGTCAACGTCACGATTTTCCTTAGCTTTTGTTGCAACAAGAACACTAACTGCTTCAGGACCATTTACCTCCTTTGTGTAACCATCCTGTTAGTATTGTCTGAAATTCAGTTAGTTAATACATCTTTTGAGGCCTAAAGTCATCAAGATATGAATAATGTATAAGAAAGAAAACTAGTGTACTGCACCTGACATTTTCCTTTTCTCCCTTTGACAAGGCAAAACGGGTCTTGGATTCCCAGCTGAACATGACCACTATGCACCCCATTCTTCTGTACATTGAACTTTGGGATTGAACGCCCATCAATAAGAGGATTTGAGCCATCTGAAATTCCATAAGGTCGATTTGAAGTAATCACTGAGATGTTCCTCCATTCCATTTTAGCAAATTCATTTTCTCCCTCATCTCTCTCTAAACTTTGCATTTGAGATAACGCTACTCCAACCATGAAAAAATCCCACATGCAAAATTCCTGCAAAATAGTCAATGTCTCTTTAATATATTTCTGAGTTAGACAAACATCTTGATATAAAAATCAGGGCAGAACTGCAGACTCTTAGCTCATACATAGAAGCACAAGATATCATAGGAAACTACCTTATGAAATTCTTTGTTAGGCCATGTATCACGAATCATTTTTAAGGACTGGAAGCTGTAATGTGCCTCATATGTCTCTTGTTTCTGTTCAAATGCTGAGAAAAATTTCTCATCTACAGGAATCGTTCTTGTTGCATCCAGAGGAATGAGTGTGATTGGAATGCCAGAATGTAAGACCTGATTTGGTCATAAATCATTGCTCATATTCAGTCACTATGAACTTTAGTCCAGCGTAGAATGGTCAGCAAACAACCATATATACCGTGTATGCAGCAAAAGGATCTACAAAGATATTGTACTCTGCGTATGGATTGCTGTCTTGTGAATACAAATTACCGAGGTCACCACACAGCTCTGCCTCGGAGGAGGTGGCATTTTCGGAGCAGGTTGATCTAATAGCACCTCCCATTGCATATATATGCTTAATATTGTTCTTCAGATGAGGATTGGACATAAGAAAAATGGCTAAATTTGTGTGAGCGCCCATAAGAAACACAGTGATGGGACCTGCAGATACCGCATCTTTCATCACTTGCTGAGCTGTAGGTTGTTGAAGAGGCACATATTTTCTCTCACCCTGTTTCATGTACAGACAGAAACATATACTACTTCTAGTTCAGCAAAGAAAACGATACAACCAACTGCTGTGCCTAGGATTGCATTCATACTAAATTTACAACATGTCCTAGTATCAGATTGTGTTTGTAATTTTAGCATCATTACTGTATCTGACATAAGATATATAATATATTGGCAACACTGGTTGCCTAGTTTAACAAACTTTACATTGAAAAATGAAACCAGGAAAGAAAAAACATGAGGCCATTATTTGGTACCTGAGGAAGTAAAGCCTTGCGTATGCCATAGTTTGAATTTACATCTAGACGTCCATCTTGGCCCGGTGGTACTTCTTGTCTGTATCTGCAACGACCGGCCGTGGACACGCCCTGTGACATTAGAACTCATAACAAGACATTAAAGTATTTCAGGGTTAAACAAATGGTAAAGTCTCTATTTTTTGTTGAACAGTTTCTGATTAGACACACGCACCTGGTCAATAATGGGAAGATAACCCCCAACATTTGGAAGGATGGTACCATTAGGCAAAATGCCACCTTCACCTCCAACACCAACAGGAACATCGTCGTGATCCATCATAAAAAGAATGTCATACAAATAATTAACAGCGTGCCCAGCATCATTCCACCCATTTGCATTAACAGTAATTGCCTGCAGCAACCTCAGTTACAAATTTTCAATCAATCACCATGGACATATCTATACATATAAGATTATAGTTCATAAAAATGGTGCATCATGAACTTTCATTTGATTCCAAAATTTTCAACTTGAGAGAGGACGCATCATTTCTTCACAACCCATCTCAAACAGGCTTGAAGCAGCTAAAAGAAAGAGGCTTTTCTCAGATTGTAGAGTGACACAGACCAGAATTGATCATAAAACACCAATCACATTCAATTTCGTGAAACTAAAAGAGGAAGATTTATAATATTCCAGAATGAAACGCAGAAGGTGCAAATAATTCTATCCATGTTCTTAAAAGGAAAAAGAATAAACCTTCAAATCGAACTCTGTGTTATTTTGCTTCAAGAGATAAAACAGAGCAAGAACATCATCTATATTCACATCAGTGTCTACAAGAATTCTGTGAGGTTGAGCTTCCACAGGATTTAGCAGAAGTCCAGTTACAGTGATCAACATCCAAAGGACTCTTCCCAGCATCTTTGCTCCTCCAAGTCCAAGACCATCAAACAGAGAGACAAATCTACTTATTAGTCAATAACAGGAGATTCTCTCCATTAGCTATTTTATGTCAAGTATGGTTTACATATTTTTAATTTCTTTCGTTGATTAAAAGTATGTAAACAATTATTAAATCAAATATATATCTATACATATAAAGCAAAATGCAGAGAACGATGAAACATTCAAAATATCAGAAAATACCATTGGTTAATGCAAATATTAAGAATTAAAATTATTAATTAAATTAGGATAATATGGTAAATTCATATTTTTTTATATTAAAAAAAATTAATAAATCAGATAATAGGTCATACTTTTATGGAATATAACTACCCATTATATCTTTTCTTAATTTTAAAAATAAAATAAAAAGAAAAAAAGAAAACCAATTGGCACATGCGTAAGCATGTGCAAAATGGCTAGTATATATAAAGCAAAAGACAGAGAATGGTAAAACATTCAAAATACCAGAAAATGCATTTAGCTAATTCAAACATTAAGAATTAAAATTATTAATTAAATGAGGATAATATAGTAAATTTACACTTTTTCATATTAAAAAAATTGAAATTAAAAGAAAAATTAGATAATAAATCCCATTTTTATGAAACACAATTCCCATTATCTTTTTTAATTCTAAAATAAATTTTAATTTTAAAAAAAAATCTCGCAAATGCAAAAAACGCGTGAGGAGAGACTAATACTTATTAAAGAATATTCCGTCAATAATAAGTTTACCATAAAATAAGCACAGATTTAGTATAAAATAATTAAATATGTACCATATGAATTGATTCATACAACATAACCCAATTATTTATAACATTTTTTCTTACTTTAGTTTTGAAAAGTTATAAATTGCAAATGACTCCCCAGTATAGTGATTTGGAGCAATTGTTTTTCTAGGAAAGATCCTGACTTTGATTCTTAATATATCTGCAGTGTGTGAATTTAGTATATTATCATCCTTCTCAGTAAAAAAGGTCTTTAAAAAAAAGTTATGAATTTGGGAAAATCAAGAATATAGAAAAGGAATGACAATGAAATCAAGTAGGCTATCTAATTCATTATTTTGGAAGTATTAAATTACGAATTATAATGTTAAATTTAGGTATTCTTTTATTAGTAAACACAATTAAAATCAGGAATTTGAACACTTCTCAAAAACTTCATGTATTAATAAATGCATGAAATAGAAAAAGAAATCATTGTTTATTACAGAAAGCGACGTTGTGAGCAGCAATCAGCACCAGACAAAATGGTCCACCAAGCGGAACGTTTAAAAGTGATGCACATGAATAAACTGAGACACGTGGCTGTAAGATAGGGCTCCAAACAGCAAAATAAAATCAAGAATAAAACAAAACAAAAATTAGAAGAGCACCCCCCACCCAACAGTCAGCCCCATCTTTCTATCTTCCAGTTTCAATTTCCAATTGCCAATTTTTTAGGATTTATTCAAGCTCTGGGCCAGAGGGCCTGGGCCCCAAATTTTAAAACCTAACCCATCCCCCCAAAACATTTAAACAGTTCTCTCTCTCTCTCTCTCTCTCTCTCTCTCTCTCTCTATTCTGTCTCTCAAAATCCCTATCTCTTTAAATATCTACCCACCCCACATCTCAACCATAAGAACCCTAGAAAACCCTAATCCTCTATCCCCAATCCCACATTTCCCATCACAACAGCATCACAAAATGGCCAAAAGAAAGTGACCCACCAACCTAAAGACACCAAACACGAAGCTCATCCGTCCCAAAGCCACAATACTCACCAAGCCACCACCATGGATGAGCCCTCAGAGAAGGTTCAGAACAATACCCACCAAGCCACCGCCAAGGTTGAGCCTTCAGAGGAGGTTCAGAACAATACCCACCAAGCCACCGCCAAGGATGAGCCTTCAGAGAAGGTTCAGAACCTCAAGTCCCTCAACTCTCTGCTCCTCAAGGAGACCTTTGATCGCAGGCAACAAGTTGAGTCTTTGATGCAGGCCAAGGAGGGTTTGGAATCTGAGTTGACTAGGTTTCGTGTGGAAAGTAAGTTGTTGGAGAGTGAGTTGACTGGGAAGAGTGAGGAAAATGTTGGCTTGGAGTTGGAAAAGAGTGTTTTTTGTGTTTTTGTTCTGGCTCAGATGGGTCAAATGGTGAAAGAGCAGGTTGAGATTGAGAGGGCGAAGAGCAAGAGAGATACTGAGATTGCTTTTTTGAAGAGGGAAATGAATGAGCTTATGGGTAGCCTTGAAAATGAGAAGGTAAAGCTGAACCGAGTGTGCTGGGAAAGGGATGTGGTGAAGAGTGATTTTGATGGTCTTGCTGAGGAGGCGAATGGGTTGAGGTTGAAAGTGGTAGAAATGGAGAAAAAAGAGAGATTTACTGAGGACGAAGTTGAGAAGCTCAAAATCCATGTCAGGGGTTAGTGCAGGAAAAGGCTGAAAAAGAAAGAGCGGTTGAGGTAGTCATCAGAGAAAAGGATTTGGCTCAGAGGAAGCATGCTGAGTCGGAAAGAGTAACTGAGGGTTTGAAGAAGGAGATTGAAGGGATTGTCAGAGAAAAGAATGAGATCGAGAAGGAAAAACATGGGCAAGAAGTGAGACTTTGTCGATTGGAAAATGAAGTGGAGCATTTGAGTAAGGTTGAATTGAATTTGAGGAAAGAGAAGGAACTGTTGCACATTAAGGTTTTGGAGTTGGAGAAGAGTATTAATGAGGCTATGGGGAAGGAAGAGGAGAGGGAGAGGGACATTAAGGCATTAGTGGAAGAGAAGAGGGAGAAGGAGCACAGTATTGAGAGGTTAAATGAGGAAGTGAAATCACACAAGGCACTTTTAGATGTGGTTACTGAGAATTGAAAAACAAGAAGCAAAGAATTAAGGAAATGGAGCAAAAGAAGAATGAGATGGAGGAGGCAAAAGTAAATCAAGAAACTGAAATTTCTGAGCTGAACAGAGAAGTGGCTGAACAAAGGGATATTGTATCTAAACTGCGAAATTCATGCAGTGGGCAAGAAGAGAAGAATGAACGACTGGTCTCTGAAGTTAGTCAATATAAAGATAATGTTGACCGTGTTATGCAGGAGAGGTCCGAGGCTCAGAAGAGTTTGGATGGGGAGAAAAAGAAAGTGGAAGACTTGATGCTGACTATTTCAGATAGGGAGAAGACAATTAAAGAAACTGAGAAAGAGTTGGGAAAACTAAGGAGTGATCGTGACAACGTTTCTGAGAAAAATGAAGTGATGGAGAGCCGCTTGGAGTCATTGGAAAAGGAAAAAGATGTGATGCAGAAGAACCTTGTTGAGGCTCTGAAGAAAATTCATGATTGGGAAGCTAAATTTGAATCAGAAGGAGCCAAACTTAAGCGAGCTTTGGCTATGTTGAAGAACACTGCAGCACTGGTATCTTCTAAGTCTGAAGGTAAGGAAGAAGTGGTTGCCAATGATCACAAGCTTGGAAAAGAAATTCAACCATATGTGGTGGAGTTGGATGCCATACAGAATGCTTTCAGAAACAAGGAGAAGATGGTTGGAGACTTGAAGCAGCAAGTTGAGTCACTGCACAAGGTAGCAGAGGCACAGAAGAAGAAGAGTTTCTGGACTTTGGTGTCATCAGCAACAACAATTATTGCTGCAGCATCTGTTGCATATGTTGCTAAAGGACGCTGAGTAGTTCATCAGCCAATTTTGTTACAAGGACTAGGTTGCTCTTGGTACTTGGATCAACCAGTCAAGTGCTACTTGACGGCACGGTGTTATCATGTTTGTCCTTTTTGAACTTCTAATCTAGATAATAATGTTTTTGGTGCAGAAATAGGTCTCATGAGATACTTTGATATGCTATGTTCTTTTGCCAGCTATATGAATGAAGGAATAAGGATATCTTATCTGAATCAATGGGATTCTCTGCCTTTTTTACTCTTCTGTTGTTTCATATTTGAAAATGCTCACGTTTCCTTCTAGATGGCATATTGTGAAGTATGTGGTGTGATCTACTTTGCTATATCCTTTTGTTGGCAAGGCATGTCTTGATGTTTGCTTGCTCACCTTTTTTCAATTGAGGAATGCATAATTTGGAGACAAATTTGGCCAGATTTCTATGCCTTTTGTCATTTAGGTCTTGCATACAATGAGACAAATTATCTGTGCTGGAAAACTGTTCTGTTTTTGGAATATAAATAAATAATGAAATATTCAATTGATTCACCCTCTATAGAAGGCCATCTGTGCCAAATCGCAGTTCTGATGATGATACTGTCAATCATTCATCTTTGAGTGGTGGAAGAAACTAGAAATGTTTCCTTTCTGGCAGCCTAACTATGTTTTTTATGACATGTGTGCAATGAGATAAATGGCATGAACTAGCAGGCTTTATCCTTGTTGACCAGACCATGGATGAATAGCTACTTGGAGCAGGGCCTGCCATGCCACTACATGGCTTCTGCCCACATACGGAATATTACGGTGGATGATTGGATTTTAGTGCAATATTTTACAATGCACAGAAGAGACCAAACAATACAATCCAAGATTATATGGAGAAGGAGAAGAATGTATGACACCCTGGCCCAAGCATTTTTTATTTTGGGCCGGGTTCCTAAGCTTTCCCCCCTGCAAAACGCTGTAGTACCTTTTGTCTTGTAAACCCCAATTAAGCGATGAAGACAATCTTTCCCACTTAATAATTTCCAACTGCGTGCAAACGTGGATTAAGTCGGTTGTTCAGGAACACCAAACCAAGTGTGTTTAGAATAGTTTAAACTATCGTTGTATTAAAAAAAGTAATGAACTAATTTCCAAGTGTGTTTGAAGAACACTTTCGTTTTCATCATTAGACTGTATTATTCAACAATTCAGTGATAAGCATGCTGACGACAAACATCTTCACATCATGGAAATGAATTATGGCTGCCATGGATCATATGGTATAGACCGATTCAACCGATTAAAAATATGTTTTCAAAGCCAAGAAGTCTTGACTTTAATTTGCTAACGTCAGTTGATCTGATAATTGTTGGCTGATATGAATTTTCATAGTGGATGACGACTGTGTTTGGCAAAACCTCAAATTATATAAACAAACAACCACATCTGACAAACAAACCCACTTGCGTTCCTCTCCTGTTAATTAACTAATAGCAGGATTTCTGGGTACTTTAATTTAAAATTAAGAAGAAGAAAAAACAGATTAATTAACACAAACAAGGCGTCATGATGTCATTTTCAGAAGCTTAGCTGTTGCTTGCTGTGCCAGTTTTTAAATCATTGTGAGAGCAACTCACCCAGATTAGATGGCATTGTTTGATTCTAAGTGTGGTCCCTTAGAAAAGCACCCACAGGCCAACCACCACTAGTAGGGGTACTTTTTTCCTTTAGAAACAAGCCATTTTTCGCATTTCCTCTACCACCTTCTGAGTTACACATGCAGAAAAAGAGAGGAGAGGCATTCATGAACTGACAAGGATGACCCAAAATCAGTCTCCATCAGTCCTAAAATATGAACTCTTTCAATCATTTAGCATCCTAAAGAGAATTAGAGATACAGATAATCAAGTTTACTTATATAAATCTTGAGTCAAATCCTGTTGAAAATTATCATTAAAGTTGTTGATTGTATGGTTTATGGAAACACAAACATGGGCTCAAAGCCTTGAACGTCTGTAGGAGAAGAAACAATGCTATCCTATCCTCGTTTCACACAAGTTTTTCTGCTTCTCTATAGCTAGTGTCCTTTAATGTGTTTTTTCTTTTCTTTTAAGGTCCAAAGTAAGCCCCCTCTGCTTATTTCAACCAAGTTTCAAACGCATATGCTTATGGAGATGCTGAGATGTGACATATTAGATTGTACTTTGGTGCCTGTATAATTTGTCATTTAGTGGCTTGTTTGCTCTTTTCTTTCCTCCTTTTCCTAGGCCTTTTAGTGAGTGACTTGTCCTAATACAATCACCATCCAACTCTGCCATCCCACTCCTGCATAATGCTCCTGTAAGTCGCATTCAACTTCTCCAAAAATAAAGTTTCCAGCTTATTGCTTCTTCCCACAGCCATTATTCATTTTGTGTCGAAGAAGAAGGCCCCATAAGAACTTAGAGAGCTTTTTTAACCGATCTTAAGGAGAGAAAAGAGGAAAAGAAATACACAACATGTTAAGAGTAGACATTAACATTCACATCAAATATTGGCATACCAAGTAACTGGAAAGCTTAAACAACAAAGGCAACAGCCAATACACAACCATTTTATATAATCTAGCACATAAGTATACACAATAATACATGACAACAATACCATGGAGGGTGATTTTCCATCCATGTTCCGAATTAGCTATATATAATATAACATTAGCAAGTCACTGACTCATGGATCAGTCACTGGATGTGGGTGTTGCACCAACAATCCTGAGTGTCTTCCTCTTCATTGTGGCCAGTAGTCGGAATCCTCAAATCTGGAAGTGTCGTGGGACTGCTAACCTTAGTTAATCGAACCTGCTGTCTGCAAAGCTTTATCGAACCAAAATACCAAATTTTTGGAAGCTCTGATTTGCACCAGAACAAAACATGCTGATCCAGCTATATGCAGATCCACATATACCTTTGCATCCAACAACCAAGCCTAGTCCTCCTCGGACAAGAACCAGACCCCAGCAGGATCTTTTAGTACCACAATTATCAATACAATAGTAATAATCACTATAGCTACACAATCTTACGTACTGCAAACAAACCCTTCATTATTCCGGGTGAAATGTCAAGCTTAGGTTATATATCACCGCACGCGATGAAAGTCAATTCTATTAACAGTTGGAACACACAAATTTACTTATCTCATCCATCACGGTGTAGAAATGGTCATTATTTGGCAGCAAGTAGAAACCAATTGTGGCCTGCTCAAGATACATAAGTTTGGTGTTTTTGCCAGCCTTCTCAAGCCCTTTAGCATAAGCCAATTGCCAGTCCTGAACAAGATCCAAACCAGCCACCACAACAAGGCTCTTTGGGAACTTGATAGCTTCAAGGTTATTACCCCTTGGACCAAATGGGTTACATGCCGGGTGGTCCCTGTCTTCCCCTTCAGGGAGAAAAGCTCTCCAATACCAGTCCCGGTCTTGGATGGTGACAAAGTATTTCCCGTCCAATCGCTTCTCAGATTCAGTTCTCTCCTGCCCACCAAACATTGGGTTGAGCAGTATATTTCCCAATACATCAATTCCAGATTCTACTGCTCTTAAAGCAACATTGTGTACAATGTTCCCACCAGAGCTATCACCAGCAAGATATATATGAACTTTTGAGTCCTTTGTACTTTTAAGCCACGATCTAGAGTTGACCCACTGCAGGGCTGTCCATCCATCATCATAGGCACAAGGAAATCGATGTTCTGGTGCCCGGCGGTAATTTACAGAGACCACTACAGCCTTGCAAATACCAACTAGTCGACGGCACAGAATATCATATATGCCACTGTTAGCAGAGGAGTGCGCAAAGCTTCCACCATGGAAGAAAATTATGACAGGCACAACCTCATTGCTCACAGGTTTGTCAAGATTAAGAATATTCAGCACAGATTCTTCAGCATTGGCTGGTTGATAGATTCGAGTAAGCAGGCCAGTTTCGCGGTCAATGATGACATCAAATGAGACAACCCCATCAACTGGTTTTGCATTGGCTGGCACTTTCCGATCAAGGAATTCTGCCAAGTGACGGTTAAAAGTCCCATCAGGTCGACGAAGAAGATTGTAAGACAACTTGAAATTGGAGATGAGGACCCATGTATTCAATGGAACCACCGTCTGTATAGAGTACAAGATCCCCAAAAAAAAATTATGTATGTTAAATTCATATTCCAACATAACAAGATAAACATGACTAAGAATCAAGAACTCCAACCAACACCAGAGTAATGACATCTACAAACAAAGCTTTTTGCTATTGTTTCAAGGTAACAGAGACATCATGGAACCACCAGAAATGAAGGACATGAACACTTTGACAAGAAAGCACAAAAACCAAAATCAACTAAAGCCTTCCCATAAAGCAGTGGATTTGGCCATACAAGCCTAAAATCTATTACCAGTCTTCAAATACAATCATGGTTCATCTAATCAAATTTCTTGAACCTGAAGCTGAAGTTCAGCAGATACTCAGCCTCCCATCCCAATGCCAAAACCACAACACTAAATCCCAATCACATCTCCAAACAAGAAGAGCTTCAAAAACCTGATGAACTCGAACAAGTATAACAAACCCAATACCATATCTGTCCAAATCCTAAAGAAAAACTGGTCAAAACCTCAACTTAAACAAGAACAAAGTCTTCAGACCAACCAAAGAAACAAGAACAAATTCTGGCTTTCTATAACAAAACCACAAACCAAACCCCACAACACAGAGAACCCATTAAGATAAGCAAACCATCACCCTAAACCAAAACCCAGAGAAGCTGAGCCAAAACGAAACTTTGAATTAAACAAAAAATAAAAGAAAAAGTGGTTACCCTGGATTCATTAACGTTGACTTCGTTGGTCCCAGCCATGGAAACCGGTCTGAAGAAATTCCACACCAAAAGCTCAGCTAGTAGAAAACCGAACACAGATCCTCTGAGAGCAAACCCACTTCAGAAAGACAAAGCCTCACGTATTCACACTCAAATAAGAAGCAAAGCAAAGCCAGCCAGGCTGCACCTAACCTTTGAATCTCTCCAACTTTAAGATCGTACTTCGTTAACCCATTGGTCCCAGACAAAACAAGCCCCTAATCTCTAGGGGAAACCTCTCTCTGCATTCATGTGATGAAATGACAAATCTCACTACAATAAAACAGAGCAATAGAGAGTGTGCTTGTGTGGAGCGGGTGCAGGATAAGAGGGCTGGCGTATTTTAGCATACAAGTGAGGAGGTATGCTAATGTGCGAGATGAGTGCAGAGATGACGCGGGAGATAGAGGGGAAGGGGACAAAGTGAGCGGCCGAAAGAAACACGGTTAGTGGAACCCACCTATCCAAAAGAAATTAAATTCGTTAATTACTTGATTTTCTTAAATTTCTTTTTAAGAAAAATAAAAGGAAAAACAGGAGAAAGTGAGGAATTTAAAATATTTGGATGGATGGAGCAATAAAAGCTTCAGGGCGTGTGGTGGAAGGCAGGGCACGTGAGGACAAACAGAGCCCGTCCGAACACAAAGTACTACTTTTGGCGGTGCCACAATGACCGTTCTGTCTTTCATTTTGGATCGTATTTACGGAAATGTCATTGTGAGTGTGAGTAGATATTTTTTTAATCGTAACATGTGACGCGCGAGTGATACAACTGTAAAAAAAATAAAATAGTAATGTATGCAATGGTTAGTAGCAACAAGTAATTCCTCATTATTGATGTATGTCGATGGTTAAATTCCATCTACGTACATATGGATGACGCTATTAACATTCTGTAATGAGAGATTCTAGCTGGTGATTTTCAGTAGTTGATGATAACAAATAAACAAAACACTAAACGTTTAGTATCCGTTTACGCGGGTGTGAGTGATTGTCCAGGTGACTTATACTATTAATATTTGTAATGAGATATTATGGTGGATGGTTCCTACCTAATAAGTGATGAAGGCGGGTCAACAAAACATTAATGGCTAACATACATTAACACGAGTGTAAGTCTGTGATTGGCGCTATCAAAATTTGTAACGAGAGATTCAAGTATGTGATTTCTAATATGTGATGCAAGAAAATTAACAAAACACTAACGGCTAACATCCACTAAGATGCGTCATACATGTGACTGGTGTTTTCAAAATTTGTAACGAGAGATTATGGTGAGTGATCCCCAATAAGGGATGAAGGCGGGTTAACAAAACATTAGTGGCTAACACATCCACTCACACACGTGACGTGGATGTACAAGTGACTGACGTTATCAAAATTTGTAACGAGAAATTATGGTAGGTGATTCTTAGTAGTTCATGACAGCGGGTGAATAAAACACTAACACGCATGTGAGTTGTTGTTACAAGCACAACTTAATTGCATACCCAATGTACAAGATTTGTGCTATCGTAGACGTGTATATTATAGTGTATTTTGAAGCTCTCTTGTAATGCTTAATGTACATGTAATGTAAGTCACGATTAATTTTGCTCCAATATATTGGTTGAATTGTAGACTTTCCGTTTGGAGAATAAAAGCAAAAGATAGTTCACGATCAATCAACACTCTGTAGAAAAAGCTGCTGCCTCCTTAAGAACAGATAATACATGTGACAATACTGAAACAGTAAACAAAACTAATCTTCCACAATCATGCTTTTCCCCCTTCTAAAATCCATTGGGACAATGTCACGTTTTCACATTTAGTCGTTGTCATTAAGCCCATAACGAGCTAAAGCTTAATGACAGTTACATTTCAAGCTCTGTTGCTTCATTACTTTTTAACTTTTTGAAAACAAAGAAGACCCTTTCATTTCATCAGCAAACGTTTAATTTTTTGGCATTTCCAACACTTTGATTTCATTTTGAAAACAAGAAAACCCAAAACCCAAAACCCAAAATATATAATGAAGTAACTAGACTAGTACGTCATTTTCATTTTAAAATTTTCAAAAATTGGAAAGAAAATAGTACGTCCTTTGCATCTTGATTGCCTGTAAAGTAAGAAAGAAATATCATAAGAAGAGGAAAAAGAAAAAAAGGGCTATACTCTGTGAGTAGCAGTACTAGAACTATTTGTAGGGCAGTTGGCAACGAAAACAAACAAGCACACCTGCTGGGCAAAGGCATGCATCATCTCATCTCTCCTCTCTCTCATCTCTCTCCTCTCTCTCATCTCTCTCCTCTCTCCTCTCTCCTCTCTCTCTCTCAAGTCAGTAGCAGTCACTGTCGACGAACTTCACCATCAAAGTTCTACTTTGGGTGGGACTTTCACTATTATTGTTCATGCCCACTGCCTTTGGAACCATTGCTCTTAACTGTGAGGTCAACAATTACCCACAGTTTTTGGATTCTTCTGCCTCCTGCTGCGTTTGGCTTTTGCCCTTTTCTTCTTCTTTTTCTTTTCTCCTTTTTAACTCCAAATATTTCAAATATTTCCATCATCATCCTCCCCAACTCCAAGCCCTGCCCTTCCCTGACCTGCCCTTAATGAGGGAGGGCATCTTTCTATAGTTGTTTGCCTACGTGTATGGCCCAAGATTCAACACCTAGGCTAACCCTTTCTTTTTGCCTTTATCTCTTTTGTCCTTTTCTGCGTTTTGGCTTTTCTTTTGCCACATTTCTGTTCCTTCTTGTTCTTATCTCTTTCTCTCTCTCATTTTGGGCCTAATGGGCCTTCCTTTGTTCATGAAATGGCCTTGGACATCAGAATTATATTCGTCTAGGTTGACTTGCAGCACAAGGCGGGTGGTAAGGTCCAATTACCAAATTCGTACATCGAAATTATGAATAATCTAAAGATTGGAAATCAAATTCGGTGTCTACATAGACTTCTGGGTGTACATAGATTTGCCAAAAGTTGTTTTTGTGATGTCTAAAAAGATTAGGAACCCGATGTGCTGTGTTCGAATTTCTCATCCTCAAAATAATTTCCAATAAGAAGAGCCCAAGACCGTATATTTCATCATCATCATCGAATATAGGAGCCTACTTGATCAGATGATCAATCAAGCGTGTTGTTCATCGTACTAAATCATCAATAATAATTACAGCTAGCTGGAAAATAGAATCTTTTTTCAAGTTTCAAGGGCCCTTTTCTTTTTCTCCTAACTAGTATTAGGTTTCCAAAAGCCAACAAGAACCCGGTGCTGTACGATCCACAGTAAAAAAAATTTAAAAAAAAGAACCCGGTGCGGTACGATCCACAGTAAAAAATGTCTAACGGTACAGCTTCACCCTTCCTGGGTGATTGATGCGTCATGTCACGATTCAGTGTCATGCAGCTCATAGATTCCAGAATCGTATTCCGTGGGCCAACCAATCGTACTCCTACACGCACGCTTCACCGTTTGGGCTGCGATCCAATTGATCACAACAACGGAGCCCAAAAGTTAAGAAACTTCAGGCCCATAACTTATTCCCAAACGTCGTCGTTTTATTTTGGGCTGTTTGCCTGTTCACCGCGAAATGAGAATCGCAAAGCGGTGGACCGTGGGAAAACTAAAAAGGACCAAAATTCAATTTCCCGCGAATTTCCAAAGGGCGTGCCACGCTGGCGATCCGTGTGACCGCACTCTCCGCCAACCAGAGCACAGCTTGACCTCTTATTTATTCCAAACCCCACTCACATTTCAGTTTCACATTAAGAAAAACCCATCCCTCTTTCTCTCTGCCTCGCACGCCTCTCTCACTCGCCCAAGACTTGTTCTCTGTTCTAGGGTTAGGGTTTTGTGATTTCAGTGTTGATTTGGGAAAATGAGTTCTAAAGAAGCTGGTTCGACGAAGGGAGGCAGGGGCAAACCGAAGGCCTCCAAGTCTGTATCGAGGTCTCATAAAGCAGGGCTCCAGTTTCCGGTGGGTAGGATCGCTCGATTTCTTAAGGCCGGCAAGTACGCAGAGCGGGTTGGTGCTGGCGCACCTGTATATCTCTCCGCCGTGCTCGAATACCTTGCTGCAGAGGTTAGTATGTGTTTGATCTGGATGTGTTTTTACTTTTATGGGCCGCTTGTGATTAATTGAAATTTTGGTTTTAATTTTGTTTGTGTAATGGGATTTCATGTTTGAGGGTCTTGATTGGATTTGGTTAGGGTTTTATTTTATGGGTTCAATCGGATTGTTTAACCTAGATCGAATGTGTTGGTTGTGTAATTTGAAATTGAAATTGATTTTTGTATTCGCGTTCGGTTCTTTTGGTGAAATGAGTAAAAGTTCCTACGGTTAATTTTATGTCTTATTGATATTGAATTGAGTTTTATAGGTTAAGATTTTCATGAAAGTGATGGATTGTTGTAGTATGGAATTTGTATGGGTTTGATCTGACTTTTGGTCTGAAATTGGGTGTTTAGGTATTGGAGCTTGCTGGAAATGCTGCAAGGGATAACAAGAAGAACCGTATTGTGCCAAGGCACATCCAACTGGCCGTGAGGAACGACGAAGAGCTAAGCAAGCTATTGGGGTCTGTGACCATTGCTAATGGAGGAGTGTTGCCAAACATCCACCAAACTCTTTTGCCGAAGAAGGTGGGCAAAGGCAAGGGCGATATTGGATCTGCCTCTCAGGAGTTCTAGAGGGTTCTCTCCCTTCTGTGGAGTTCAAGAGTAGTTACTGCAGTTGTACTATATGAAGTTGTTTTTAAATTTTTTGGGATAGAGCTTGATCATTTGGTACTTGGAATTGGTATGCTATAAATGAAAGTTTGTGTTAGGATTTTCTCAACTAAATCCCCTTTTCAAGTTACTTTGTTCTCCAAAACCATCTGCGGATGTTTTAGATATTACTTGTGCCTCTGGGTATTTGATGCATTAGGGCTTGATTTCACTTCATGAGGTGAAAGAGTTTTAGATCAACTATCTCAAATCAAGTTCAAAAAAAGAGGCATATCTCTTACTAATAAATCAATCCTCAGTTTTTCGCATTCTAATCTCGCGCCGGTCTTCTCCAATTGTAAACACGACCAGCTATATGTTTCAGACCATAGTAAACCAGTTACCGAAGGAAATTCCACAGTTCACTCAATCACAAATTTAATAAACGGCATAGCGCATCACCTGGTTCAACTAGTTTATGTGTCAAGCCAATATGATCCATTTAACTAATTTCTTTCTGTCTTCGTGTCCTTTTCACATCAACAACTAACGCCATGTTAGGGTTCTCTGTGCTCTGCTTCAGGAGGGGGCTCTGTTCTCTTGGATACATGAAATTGATGACGCATATGCTTTCAACAACAATTTCACATGGAAGTTGACCAATAATGGGTTTTAACTTGACCAATTTCATGTTTGATATCCAGTAATTCTAAAGTTTTTGGAAAGCTAGCCTAGGACTTAAATGGCTGCTGCAAGTTGTAAAAGAGGAGTTCATGGTGAGAGCAGGGTAGAAATTATCTTCCAGAACAAGTTGCTCATCACATTATCTCCTTCCTTACTAGTACTGCAGACCTCACCAGTTTTGCCACAGTATCCAGAAGATGCAGACATCTCCATCCTTGAATCTTGTCCAACTTTCCGACCCGAATGAATCCAACTTGTGCCAGCGGGTAGAGTTGTTGGTTTCTTTGAACCGCCTCTTCATTCTTCTTCTTAATAACAAGATATAGCAGCTTCGTTTTCACTGACGGCTTTGGCGACACGATGGCATTGTCAAATCATGGGAGCTATCTCGAAAGGCACTGATCCGTAAGGTCAATGTGCTTGATATCAACATATACAATGATGAGGGGAACAATTTACATTTCCAGGTTGGCTCTTTCTTTCTGGGTTTTTAAGGTTTCTGTCGTTGAGCATGTGTAATGCAACTATCAAAGTCCCGCCCAGCTTGTTGTTCCAAGTTGGAACACTTCAACGTGTTGATACAGATGAGGGGTTGTTCAAATGGATCTCCTCTCACTGCAGATGCATTAAGGAACTGCGTCTTGAACATGTTGCCATGTTGGGTTGGCAGATATCACCATTGAAAGCTCCTCTTTGAAATCCTTTAGCATTGTTGCTGGTGGCGATAAACCTTCTAATCTTAAAATATCGGGAGAGAAACTTGAAGATATACACATCAGGCTGCGGACTAATTCGTCCGGCCAATCGTGGAACATTGTTGCTCCAAACCTTACATATTTGGAATGGATTGGGAACACAATCAATCACCAGCTGGGGAAATTATTGCATTTGGAAAAAGGCGAGATTTGTCTGGTTGCTGATCACAATAGCTTTGGCAAGGTGTTTGAGGTTTTTCGGAGTATACGCAGGGAAAAATTTATAGTGACTACTCTTCAGCCTTTTTCTTTTGGCTCAATACTAAATATCCTGCAATTTGGTGTAATTTTTTTTTGGAGTACAATCTTTCCTGTCTTGGTATGCAATAGAGCTAATAAATTTATGTATCTTACACTCCGGATTGTTTTGATTTGAGTGATTGCATTGCAACGGTCACACTAGCTAGAAAGAACATTCACATTTATGCTCCAAGTTTAGTTTGAAGATCAGTCTAAGAGAAGTGCTTTGTTTATGGTTTAACGTTGGCTAGTTGATGTGTATTCGTCTTTGCAGGCGGGCCAATGCCATTAGATGATGTTTCTTATTTGTGTATCACCATTGGAAGCTTTAAGGATCACTTAGCCCCTGAATTAGCTTATCTTTTTAGGAGAATGCCTAACTTGAGTACTTTGCGCATGAAGTGCAATCCACTGCCCGAATCCCACATAACAGAGGATGTAAGTACAAGTTTGTGTTCCCCCCCATAAACAGTCACTCTACTTTGATCCAATTCTTTTGCTTATATGAATGAATGGTAAGCACTCTAATTAGGGTTTTATTTTGGTTCAGTGTATAGTAAATGCAATTGATGTTTCAGTTTTAGTATGAACTTAATTCCCCTTAATTCACACAACTCTATCCTTGTTTTCTACAAAATCCAGTAATTCTTAAACATTTGGAAAGCATTCAGGGCAGGGGAGATGCATAAGCTGCCTAGACAGAGTGTTGGAGTTCATATTACCTAAGAGGAGAAGGAGGACGGTAGACAGATTTAGTGATCTTCCAGAGGGAGTTGCTCATTACATTCTTTAAATTCCTTATATAACAGACCTCACTCGTTTTGGCAGTGTCTTCAAAAGATGTAGACAACTTTATCTGTCAAGTCATTGAATTTTGATAAATTTCCCTACTGGCCTGCATCCCAATGTGATAACCTGTTATGGTTGTTGCGTTCTCTGGATATAGGTTATTGATCCTTTGTGGGGATAATAAGATACAACACTTTCGTCTTAAACAATGCCTCAGTGAATTCTCTCATCAAAGGACATGCTTTTGTGATGCTGTGAGATTTCAAATCATCAGTGGATCAAGAACGCAGTAAGGTGCAAGGTTGAAGTTCTTGATATCTTCATATCTGACAACTTGAGACCATTTGCATTTCCAATTTATCAATAAACTCTTGAGGTTTCCTTATATCTTCCTAGTGGATTTCAAAGTTACACGTTTTACGTTGCGTCAGAAAGGCTATGGCTAAAATGATTAAAAATTGGAGGGAGCTCGAGCAGGACATGGTTTCCTCTTGTTAAACTTGGATTAGGGTTGAGATATCAAGGCGCAAGATAAACATTCAATTGAACGGTGGAGACAGGCTGCAACTTTCCAACACATTCCGAACTATCCTCGTGTTGTATTAATAATTGTCAAAAATTAATGTACTAATTATTGAATTAAAAATATCCACAATTGTACGAATATATTGGAGTATAGATTTGTAAATACGGGATCGTTCACATAAGGAATTGGAGGCTTATATAAAGGTCTAGTTTGAGTACGTGTAGAACACTTAGTTAACACAATCATATAGGTAAGATACAAATCGAATACTAGAAATGAGTAAGGAAAAGTAAACGAAATGAAACAAAACAAAAACCAAAGATAAACACAATCAACATTTTGTATCCCTCCTATATCGCCACTCTATCACCAGTTTATCACGTTTAATTACTTTAACTAGTAGTTATATTTTAATTATTATTTATTTAGTGAATAATTAGTATTTAAATATTTAAATATATTTTATTTTTATTCAATAATATGTGAGTATTTTGTGTATAATCCTGAATTTTTTTGTGTATTATTGAAATTTTTGTAAAAAATACGTGTATTAAACAAGAAAATTACGTACGTCCGTGTACAATACATATATTATACCTTTGTTTTTAAAAGAAACTTGCATTTTACTGAGTCTTTAAGACGTATACGGAAAACAGAAGTAATATTAAAAAATACGTACGTGTATAATATGAGTACTAAACGGGAAATTGCTAAATTCTTTATACGGGTAATAACTTTGGAAAAGTAAAAAATAAAAAATGGAAAATATAGAATCGGGCAATGGCCTAATAGTAATGGATAATGCTCTAAATTACTCTTATCGATAAACGAAAATCAGGAAAAAATAATTATATGAAAAAAAAGGATTGGAATAGATATTTTAAGTGTATATCCACACGGCTATACTATTTATTAAAAATAAAAAATAAAAGGACACCAATATAGCCCTGCGGCTATACTGTTTACATATAACAAATGAAGAGTATCGCCGGCCATGCTATTTAAATTTTTTTGAAGACGTGTGTTTTTTTAAAGTATAGCCACGCGGCGATACTATTTAAAAAAAAAGAAAAAAGAACACGCGTGTAAAGAGTATAGCCGGGCGGCCATACTATGTGAATATATTATTTCAAACGTATAGCCGTTCGGCTATACTATATAAATAGAATTTATTTAACAGTATTGCCGTGCGGCTATACTATTTGAATTTCGTTAATAGCTGAGCGGCTATACAATTTACACATTAAAAAGGATGCCTGTTTAAAGCGTATAGCCGCACGGCTACACTAAATAGAATTTCTTTAAACGTATGGCCGCTCGGCCATACCCATTAAATAGCACATACTAAATTCCTCTTTTTTATTTACTTTAATTAATAGTTATATTTTAATTATTATTTACTTAATGAATAATTAGTATTTAAATATTTAAATATATTTTATTTTTATTCAATAATATGTGAGTGTTTTGTGTATAATCCTGAATTTTTTGTGTATTATTGAAATTTTTATAAAAAACACGTGTATTAAACAAGACAATTATGTATGTTTGTGTACAATATATGTATTATACGTTTGCATTTTTTTTTTAAAACTTGAATTTTACTGAGTCTTTAAAATGTATACAGAAAACAAAAATACTATTGAAAAATACGTATATATGTGTATACACCATCGAGAAATGATCGAAAATTTTGTCTGCTAATTTACTTATGTTTTCGTAAGATATTAACTTTATTGCAAGGATATGGTGAAATGAACGACCACATGTTGACAAATAAATACGAGCACTGCAGGCAGTGACGGTCTACATACAAATTTACACTTTTCATTTTCGTTTTGGGATTTACGTGGGAAGTGTTTTTGTGGGATTTTAGGATTCTCTACTAGAAAATTGGTTCAAAATCTTGCGCTGCGAAAAAGTGTAGGAACAAACATTTACATGAATATGAAGATAAATATTGCTTATCCATTTTGTGTGGCCCAAAAGAGTGCAACAAACAAACTAGTCTCAAACATTAGCCAATCTTTTTCATTGGTTGGGATTTGGGAAGGTAATGTGTCCTGAATTCTTCTTTGAATGGGCACTGTGATGCATTGCTATGCAGGCTCATACAAACCCCAACTCCAACTGAGCCTGAGATTTTCCAGTTTTGGCGTCATATGTTCATCTGAAGTTAGTGTATCAAGGCAACAAGTTTTGAAGCAAGTGGATAAGGAGTTGGATAAGGGAGATGAGCGAGCAGCGCTCTCACTTGTTAAAGATGTGCAAGGCAAGCCTGGTGGCCTCAGGTGCTTTGGTGCTGCTAGGCAGGTTTTGCCAAACTCTGGCTCTTTGTTTTTTATTTTATTTTTTTGTGTTCTTTTTCTTTTAGGACACCTTTTCGGCTTTTCCCGAATTATTTTTTAGCAGCAATATGATATGTCAAGGTCTGATTTACTTCATTTACTGAAATGGAATCATTGTGCAGGTACCCCAAAGGCTCTACAGCTTGGATGAGCTAAAGCTGAACGGGATAGAAGCGTCGTCTCTTCTGTCCCCAGTAGATACTACTCTGGGTTCCATAGAAAGAAACCTTCAGCTTGCTGCTGTGCTAGGAGGTGTTTCTGCATGGAATGTGTTTGGGTTTAGTGCACAGCAGATTTTCTATATTTCTTTAGGATTGTTGTTTCTGTGGACTCTCGACGCGGTAATTTCCTTATGCTTGTCTAAGAACATGTCTTGATAATCCATATCATTGAAAGCCTTGAGCTGTTGTTGGAAGCAATCACAACAATCCTAAAGATTGTAAGCTATACATCAAGTGATATTGAACATTTACCATAAAGAGAATCCGCTGAAGTGCTTTTCTTGTTTGAAGTCATTTCTAGCCCCTCTCGACATTTCAATTTTTGCTCAATTACAATTTCCATTCTTTAATTACTTTAGCAAACAAGAACTCCTAATGCTTTTAATGCCTTATTATTTCACTACATTCTCATAGGTATCTTTCAATGGAGGAGTTAGTAGCTTGGTTATTGATACAATTGGTCACACCTTTAGTCAGAAGTACCACAACAGGGTCATTCAAGTAAGATCTCTCCCTCCCTCCTTCCCTCCATCTCTCATCTTCTTATATGCTCTTTCTGCCGATGGTTCTGAAACCTTCGGATATTTTGTTGTGAGGATATCCTCATGAAGTATTCGTCTAAAAGAGAAACTATTTATGCAGCATGAAGCTGGCCATTTCTTAATTGCATACTTGGTTGGCATCCTTCCTAAGGGGTATACACTATCCAGTTTGGAAGCTTTGAAGAAGGAAGGATCGCTCAATGTTCAAGCAGGGACTGCTTTTGTGGATTTTGAATTTGTTGAAGAGGTATGCTGCCATTGTCTATGTAAAGTCGATGCTGCTCAACGTTGATCATATCTTCTAATTCTGTATTTTGATTATTATCCTTGATTTATAGCAGTTCCCATTTCATGCAGGTCAATGCAGGGAAAGTATCAGCTACCGTATGTTTCTACCCTTCACCTCTAAAATTTCTCCTTCCTTTTGAAATGAGAAACTTTCATGAATTGGAAATGCATCTTATTAGACGCTGAACAGATTTGCATGCGTAGCGCTAGCCGGCGTAGCTGCTGAGTATATTTTATACGGCTATGCTGAGGGTGGTCTTGCAGATATTAACCAGGTTTCACTTGATGTTCCTTTTTTTTGGGGTCAAATTTGATTCTGTTGTTCCTGCAAGCAAGACAGACATAATGGAACAAGTTACTAACTGGATTGTGCTTGCTCTTAAAATAGCTGGATTCGTTGTACAGAAGCTTAGGCTTCACACAGAAGAAAACAGATTCTCAAGTCAGATGGTCTGTCTTAAACACTGTCCTAATCTTGCGCCGTCACGAAGTAGTGCGAGCTAAGCTTGCAGAGGCCATGTCAGAAGGAAAATCTGTAGGATCTTGCATTGATGTCATAGAGGACACCATTGGCAATGCAGACATCTAAGCTAATGGTTCTGAAAAACTCATCAAGCTTTGATGACATTTTTTCTTTTCTTTCATTTATCTGGGATGTAAAGTATAACAGATTTGAATTTCTATATCTGTAAGGAATTTGCAATGAAGTATAGAGATGATAGTCAATTTGGATTAATCCAAAGGTTTTGATTCAAAATAGCCTTTGGATTATATATATGCACGCTTCCAATTCTTGACCAACTTTTGTGACTTTGTAGAACCGAAATAATTTTTCCTTTTTGATGGAAAATCTTCATGACACATTTTGTTATGGGCGTAAAATGTTTTATGAAAACATTACCATATAGGGGCCCTAAGTAAAGTAATGATTTTTTTTGTTTAGTTTTAATTAATACTAGCCTCTTTGCACCTGTGAGAGGCTTTTTTTTATAAAAAAATTAAAATTTATTTTAGAATTAAAAATGATAATGGGTAGTTGTGTTCCATAAAAATAGGATCCATTATTTGATTTTTCTTTTAATTTTAATTTTTTAAATATAAAAAAGTATGAATTTACCATATTATTTTAATTAATAATAATTTAATATTTACATTAATTAAAGGTATTTTCTGATATTTTGAATGTTTCACCATTCTCTACTTTTTACTTTATATATAGATACTTTCTTTTTTCTTTGTGAACGAAAAAACATTATTTAAGCCGCAGAGAATTCCAAAGTGGGAAGCCCACATAAAAACGAAAACGAAAACGAAAACGAAAACCAAAAAGGGCCTCATCTGCAGTCTCCCTCCCACTAAAACAAAACCAAGAAGTCATCGACCAAGTCTGCAACTGCAAGTCAGAAGAGTCGCCAGAAGCGAAAAGTAAGAATGGAGGTAGAGTGGATTCTGTTGTGCCATGGCTTAGTGACAACGCTTGTTCTAGTCTCCTTCCTCTGTGGCCAATGGCCCATCTTCGAAGGCACGCCCATCCAACGCATCCACCACTTTCTCACCTTCGGCGCCTACGATTACTTTCAGTTCAGTAATCAGTACCTCTCTGTCTCTCTCTGTCTCTCTCTCTCTTCCAATCACTTATATTTCTACTGGTTTTGGTTTTGTTGAGATTCAATTTACTGTTATTTTGCAGACGATTTGTTGGGTTTGTTTTTGGGGCCAAGGGAACTAATGCCATTTCCTCCGTGGAGTATTTCTGCTGTGATCGACCCAATCCAATTTTGCAGGTTTCGTTTTTTTGTCCCCGAAACAGAATTGTCTAAATTTTTGTGATTGTAATTGAGAGATAAAGGGTTCTGGTTAGTTGACTTTGTTCATAAAGTTGTAATTTTCTTTGGGTGCTTTATTGGGAATTGACTTGTGGCTTCATTTTGGTCTCATTCACGTTTTTGGTGTTGCTGCTTCTGGTTAAACTCAGTTTTATTAGATAATCCAGTAAAAGCTTTTGTCTTTCACGTTGTGTGCATTTTGGTAAATCTGTGGTTATCTTCTTGCTTGGAGTAAGCAGAACATGAGAAATCTTAACGGAGCCAAAGTGAGGAAAATGTGGTAAAAACAGACTATTGAGGATTTGGTGCTCCAAGTTACAATATTTCCAGCTACAGGTGTATGAATGTGCTTAAAAGTTGGTCAATTTGAAAGAATCCTTAGGAAGTGCTTAAAAGTTGGTAAATTTGACAGAATCATTAGGAACTGCTTAAAAGTTGGTAAATTTGAACTGTGGCTGCAATAGAAGAAAAAGACTAGGTGTAACTGTCAAATACGAGTGCCTTCGATATTTCCACCTACTGATGTGGACAACTAGGAATTATTTTTCTCTTTCTCTTTGATTCAGGATTAATTGTTAGTTTTCTGTTTGTGCAGATAATATATCTTGCAATTGTAGGAGGAACGTATTTCTTAGTTGCAAATTCTTCCTTCGGTTACATTCCTGGCTATTATATAGGTGAAATTCACAGGTATGTGTCAAGTATTCTGTTAACATAAAATTTTCCATTTTTTAGTACTGAATCCTCTACGCATTCTCTTCTCTGTTCTTTCAGGTATACAAGCTTGTTGGCTGTTGGCGTCGGTGTTCTGCTCTTTCTATTAACTAGCTTTTCTGATCCAGGAACAGTGAAGGCTGATAATGTTTCTCAGTATCTCTCTGCTTATCCCTATGACAATGTTATATACTCTGAGAAAGAATGTTCAACATGCAAAATTCCAAAGTGAGTCCTGCTTTATTGATTTCTTTCCAACATTTTCTTTCTGTTGTCTTTTATTTTTATTTTTATTTTTTATGGAAAAGATTTATGCTGTTTGGTTTTGTTCCTTCCTTTCCTTTTCTTACTTTCTCCTTTACCTTGTCCTTCTTCCTCTGTGGTTTAGACCTGCCAGGTCTAAGCATTGCAGCATATGTGATCGCTGTGTTGCCCGCTTTGACCATCATTGTGGATGGATGGTCTGAAATTCTCGAACTATTCTTCTTCTTTCCCATCCCTTCCCTCATATATAGGACATTTTATGTGGTGCTGATTGTGAATTTAACAACATGGTTTTGATTGCAGAATAATTGCATAGGTGAGAGAAACATCCAGTACTTCATGGCATTTCTTTTGTGGTGAGTTCTATCTGATGCAACAACAGTTTGTGTTTATGTGTTTTGTGTGACCCTTTGTTTTCTCCACTGCCTGTGCTTCCCAAATAATTGACTGTACATGTTGATGGGTATGATGGGTAGAAAATCGGTTTTTTCACGGATTGATAATGAAAGGTTATCATCTGCATTCTCTTTTTGAAACTTAACCATCCAATGTTTGCATATGAAGTTAGTGCGAATAAAAATTGGAAAAACTTTAGATCTTCTGGTCTATGAGGTTTTGAATTTGTTTATGGCATTTACCGTTACACTCTTGAAATTCACAACAGATTACACTGGAGAATAACCTTTAGGGTTTAGGCCTAAAATTTGCACGAATGTTTCAATTACAAATAATGAATAAGCATTATATGGTCTTAATGTTTGCATGAATGTGTCAATTCCAGACTTATGAATAAGCATTTTTTATCTTATTTTCTGTTTTACTTAATTGCTCTATCAATTTTAACTTTATTTTAGCTGTGAGGTAATATACTACACTTTTTGTTTGTCTATTTGTTATCATTTCTTTAGTGCTTTTTCAGGCACACCTTACTTTGCATATATGGAACAGTGGCCATTGGGTTAATTCTTGCTGGACAAATTAAAGAATTTAAAGTTATTGATATCCTAACTGGTAAATTAAGTTTCATTCCATCCTCCTACTTGATGATTGTGTTTCATTTGAACCTAAATAACGTTCCTTTCCCTAATTTCTTCATTGCAGTTTATTACGGTATAGAAAATTCTTTTCGCAGTTTATCACCGCATGTTGTGCAGGTAAGTTGATTTATTTTGTTTTGGCAATGTAGAAGAGTAACAGCTTCCAAAAATATTTTTGCTGAGCCTGGTTGGAGTTCACCATTTAATTACTTTCCATGATGTCTCCAAGTACGAAGCATAGCTTAGAAATGTGTATAAATAGGCAGAGTCTGAACTCTTCCGTGATAATAATTTGCTTTCATTAAATCATTGAGCCGGAAATTTCAAGGGTTATAGGGTTCAATTTTTTTTTATATGGCGTGTGGTTTTGGTACTTTTTGCATGGTTGTATATTTCTCTACTCGTTTATTTTTTGTTTCCTTTTTTCATGCTGCTCATTGCTTTATTCTTTCCTGATGCATTACAGTGGTTGTTGGGGGCCTACAACACTCAAATACTTCTTATGGTGTTTCTTGCAATAGTTTCACTGTCATTGGCAGGTTTCTTTGGTTACCATGCAAAACTTTGTCTCACAAATACTACGACCAACGAGGTCTCTCTCTCTCTCTCTCTCTCTCTCTGTGACTTTGTTGAATAGTTATGTCTTGATATAAAGTTCCAAAGAGGGCAGGATAGAGGAGGTAATAATGATGCGGGGCAGAGATAGTTCATTAGGCTCCATCACTCCCTCGGGAAAAGAAAGCTTAGCATAACAGTGGCTTCTGTCATTACTTAAACATTGGAACTTAGTGTGTGCATTTCTTTTGAAACAGACTTTCAAGTGGCAAGAGTATGTAAGCTGGCAGAGGAAGCTAAATGAAGCAAGGGCGAGTTCTGCAGCACTAAAAGCAAGTATCAATGGGATGAGTAGTGAAAGAAAACCTCCAGAGAACAAATGGAGAGCCATGTTCCGAAGATCCCCACTTAAAGATGTTGAGGTTGTGGTTACGAATAACATATATGACAAAGGATTCTTTCAGAATATTCTTGAGATCATCATGCCCCTCTCAAGAAGACAATTGTCTCTGCGAACCAAATCGAAGTCTGGCTGAGACAGATTGCTGGCCCTTCAACCTTGTATGCATTGCTTCTTGTTGTTTCTTCCAGCAATTGAACAGCTTCATAGCCCGTTCTCGCAAAATTTCTCATGCTTGAACAGCGGGTGACACCAAGAGAGGGATCTGGCAAAGATCAGATGCTTGTTCTGGCTTTGTGTATCATTATTGCAAGCCATCTATGCCTACGGGATATGGCCGACTGCTTGTGATTGGTGGTTCATTCAAGGATATGTAATATAATGAAAGTAGCCGCAATCACAGTAGACATTCAATTTGTTATGTTAACAATTAGCATAGGGGATTTTTCTTGTAAAGCCGACTCTTTTTTTCTTTCTTTTTTTTTTTTTTTTTTTTTTTCTTTTTCTTTCAATTTGTAATATCTTTACTCATTGGAAGAAGAATGATATAAATTGTTAATCTTTCTATTCTTTCTGACTAAAGAAATGAACTGTATTTGATATTTGGGTCTCCCACTTCCATGGTTGCTGCTAGGTAGAGAAGAGCTTGCTTGCAGCAGCCTATAAATGGGCGGGAATGAAAAATCACGAAAGTAAAGGGGCTATTAAAAAATAGGGAGTTTCACTAAAACACCTAAAATGGGAGCTGAAATTATAAAAAAATTCAACACCCAAAACACTTTATAAACACACCTAAAACCCATCATTACACACACTCAAAACTCATTTATAAACACACCCAAAAAATATACAATTGTTGATTTTGAGGTTAATTTTGGGTGTTTCTATGTTTAAATAGTGTTTGGGTTTTTTTATAAATACATGTTTAGGATTGAGTTTATTTATAAATTTGTATAAAAAATAACCCAAAAAAACTGTTAAAAGACCAAAACACCCACATATTACGTCGTCGTATAATCACATAACCTTGTATTGCATAGCTCAGAGCCAATTGCTTCATGTCGTGATTGATTCTCTTCGATCAATTTGAGTCTGGGGCGCCAAGAAGGGAGGTAAGGCTCTATTTGGATGATTACGATTTTTGTTTTTGAAATTTCGGAACTTTCTCAGTTTTCTTTGAGATTCAATTTGATTCAATTTGTGAAATTTCACTTTGTGTAGAAGTTAGTTAGGGTTTCTACGATGATATACACGGCGATAGACACGTTCTATCTGACCGATGAGCAATTGCAGAACTCGCCGTCGAGAAAGGACGGCATAGATGAGGCCACGGAGACCACGCTCAGAATCTATGGCTGTGATTTAATCCAAGAAAGCGGAATTTTGCTCAGATTGTATGGTTTCAGTTCTGGTTTGTTTTAATTTGTAAAACTTGTTGTTGTTCTTTTCTTTGAGGGTGAATTTTGTGAACTTTGTTTGCTTCATTTGATCACTTGCAGACCTCAAGCTGTTATGGCCACTGGTCAGGTTCTGTTTCACCGATTCTATTGTAAGAAGTCCTTTGCACGCTTCAACGTCAAGGTATTTCTGCTACATATATAATTACTTTCTGAGCCATTTGTTTGGATGCTGATAAAGGCAAATGACAGTTCTTTAATTTGTAGATTTATTGTGGTTTTCTCTTTGGGCTGTGAAAGATGAGTACTTTTATCTTCAATTAGTCCAAATAGTTGTTTAGCAGACGTTCTTTCTAAAACCATGTTCCGAAATCGAGAGGAATGAATGATTTCTTTTAAATTTTTGCCTTGTAATGTCACAACTTCTGCATTAATAATGTGATGCTTTCTTGTAGAAAGTTGCTGCTAGCTGTTTGTGGCTTGCATCAAAACTGGAGGAATGCCCTAAAAAAGCCAGGCAGGTTATCATTGTTTTCCACAGGATGGAATGTAGGAGGGAGAACCTACCCATTGAGCCGTTGGACCCGTATTCAAAGGTTAGAGCTCATATAATCCACATCATACTAAAGTCATTGTCTTCCATTATCATGATTTTGAGCCAAAAATGCATGCTATGGTTTATCTTTGTCTTCTTTCTTTCCAGAAATATTCTGACTTGAAGATGGAGTTGAGTAAAGCAGAAAGACATATTTTAAAGGAGATGGGTTTCATTTGTCATGTTGAGCATCCTCATAAGTTTATATCAAATTATCTTGCCACTCTGGAGACACCACCAGAATTAACACAAGAAGCCTGGAATCTAGCAAATGACAGGTACCTCTCCCAACATATGCCAATTACTTATTTACTTTCTTGGTATTTGGTTTTTCCATGTGACTTTGAAACTTTGAAACTTTACATTGTTGTTTAATTATTTGGAATTTTCTGTTTTACTGGATTATGTGTCTTTGTTGTCCTTGTTGGTGTAGTTCATTTGAAAAAATTATAATCAATGTACTATTTTGTTGGTTTAGTACTCACTAACCTTTTAACTGCAGTTTGCGTACAACATTGTGTGTGCGATTCAAGAGTGAGGTTGTTGCTTGTGGTGTAGTTTATGCTGCTGCTCGGAGGTTTCAAGTGCCCCTTCCTGAGAATCCGCCATGGTGGAAGGCATTTGATGCTGAGAAATCAGGGATTGACGAAGTTTGTAGGGTGCTGGCTCATCTGTACAGCCTTCCTAAAGCAAAGTACGTACCAGTGTGTAAGGATGGAGATTCTTTTACATTTTCTAACAAGTCATGGAATTCTGGGTCTCAGCCAAATCCAAAGGTAGTTCTGATTCTTTTTTTTTCTCTCTCTCTCTAATTCCTGCCCCTCCCCCTTCTCACTCAAGATTTATTCAGAGCTGGGGGCTCTACAATATTCTCTCTTATCACTGCAGTTGCCCACTTGTCAGCATTTTGCTGCACTGCTGGCTGTGAGCAAGGATGCCAACTGCAGGCTGACAAGAATCTGCTCTATATTGCATCATACCGAAATTACATTAATAATGTGGAGTTTTTTTTTCATTGCTGTTTCATAGGAAGTTCCTACGAATAGCCCATCAGCTATTGACAATACCTCTAATATAAAGGCTGCAGCAGAAGTCAATCCTGAATCTGGTGGATCAAAGGGTGTGTTGGCCAAGCTAGCCACTGACAAGCTGAAGGACTCTAAAGAGAGTGATGAAAGTATGCCTATTGAGGGAGAGGCAAAAGAAGATTTCAGTATGAAATCCAAGTCTGAACGCAGAATGGAATCTAGTGGTGATAAAAGCAAGGACAGAGAGAGGGAGAGGGAGAGGGAGAGGGAGAGAGACAGAGACAGAGACAGGGACAGGGACAGGGATAGGGATAGAATGAAGGTCCGGGATCGTGATAGGGGCAGGGATTCTGACCGGGAACGAGATCGAGAGGAGGCTGAGAGGGACAGAACCAAGGACCGAGGTTATCGTTCGAAGGATAGAGCAAAAGATTCAGGTTGGTTATGGGTTTTAATTCCCCCCCACCACATTGTTAAAATTGGATTTATGAACTTGCGTCATTTCAAATTTTCTCATCTCCGAAATTCTGACTTGAATTTCTATATTGAATGCACAATATTAATGCAGGGGGCCATTTGGAGAAATCAAGACATCACTCGTCACGAGGTATGCTTATTCAAGAATAGTTCTTATAATGTAGGGGTGGTTGCGGTTCGGTAACTGCGAATTTTTGCTCAAACCGCAAACCGACCGACTATTTGCGGTATGGTGATTTTTGAAACCGCAAACCGACGGTCGGTTACCATGAATTAGTGGTTTTGCGGTAAACCGCAAAAAAAGGTCGGTTACCGTGAATTAGCGGTTGAAAACCACAAGTTCTTTTTGTGTCATAAAAATCCAATCTTCTACATTTTATGCCTAATTTTGATGCTTCTTTTGAAGCCTTTTGATTTCAAGCATACTTTAACCCAAAAATATAAATTCACAACCTCAACTTCTTAAGCATATATAAATTCTCAACTCCTCAACTTCTCAAGCATTCACAACCTCAACTTCTCAAGTATTCCAATTCTAAATCCTTTAAAGTTATAAATCAAAAGGAAAATGCAATGCAAAATGAATTAAAGTTACAACCCGAAGGAAAAATCCAATTCAAAGTTAATTAAAGTTACAAACTCAAGTGTTGGTGATGGTGAGTGGATTTGAAGGATCCCGTTGTGTTGTTTGAGCACCAATGCTATATACAAAATCCAATTTTTATTTATTTATAAATATAGTCGCGGTTTGCGGTAACCGCAAGTTTTGAAAATCAAATATCGCAACCGTAAATGCGGTTCGGTTCTTCATACCGCAAATGCGGTTCGGTTTCTCGTGATTGCGGTAAATTGTCGATTGGTTTTTGCGGTTTTTCGGTATAAAATGCCACCCATATTATAATGTATATATTATACTATATGCTGCTTCTTGTTTCTTCAAATTGTGTAAGTTTGATTTGAACCCCGTCATCTGACAGTTACCCTTACTTTGCAGATCGTGACTATCACAATTCCTCCTATTCTTCACGGGATAAGGATCGCCATAGACATCATTCTTACGCTTGAACTGATCATCAATTTCAAGACACATCTCTTTTTCTCCTAAACTTCATCGGAACTGAAAATACTTTGGGCTTTGTATGTTGACTGAAAATGTAAAAGTGAGCAATTGAGACTATTTATGGTTATGGATATGCATGATTCTTTTGACACGTGAGGTATTTTTAATATATTATAGAAACTTGTCTGTGTAGGAAATCCTAACAATATAGGAAACTATACAAAAAGGAAAGCAAATACAACTTTGAATATATAAACGGAAACTAAAATTACCTGATCCGAGAGGGAAAGATCTCTATATAAACCTCACAACTTAATTGGTTAATCCCGTAACTTGCAAACCTTTCTTTTTGAGATTCTTGAAACGTCAAATTAATAGCTCTCTCAGTTTTTCTTGTTAAATTTTAATCAAGCCTTGTGCATTGCATTGCCTTTCTCTTCAATTTCCCACCCATGGAGAAAACAAAATCATCCCTTCATTCTCCCACTAATGGAGGTCTCACTACTATTCTTAGTATTGATGGAGGTGGAATAAGAGGGATCATCGAAGGAGTTTCACTCGAGTTCCTAGAGTTTGAGCTTCAGGTAAAAATATCAAAACTACAACTCTATTTTGAGCAATATATTTCATTCATTACACGACTGCCATTTTGTTAGCTCATAGAATGTTATAGGAACTTCTAAGAACTTCTACGATATAATATATTAGTAGTCCCTTTTATCGAATATGCAAGTATAGCAGTAAAGGCTGCATTATAGGATACGGTCCTTAATTTGTTAATGTCTCTGCCAACATGTTCACTCTCTGTAATTTTCAAACATTTAGGCTTCATTGCCTCGGGGCATTGGCGCAGAAACCCTAGTTTATAGATGGTTGCTTAACTTTAAGCACATTGAAGATAAATAATGGCGATCAAATTCAACCATGTATAGTGCCACAGTGATATCTTACGCCAAATATTATCCGAAACCTACTGTAATAATGTTATGAGGCTCAAGATCGATCTTATAAGTTGTGGGGTTTTGTAACACAAGATTCACATGTTATGGATAAGGGCTCAAGATCGATCATATTACAATATGAGTGGATTAGTCACGTCATCACGTGGTGTTATACCTAGCTAACATGTTTGCTCTACTACTCACAATTTTATGTTGTTGTGTTTCTCTTTTGTTTTATTTTTATTTTTTTGTAATCTAATAAGTCTAATTTTTTGCTTTACTTGGTGGCTATATGTAGAGGCTTGATGGTAAGCATGTAAGGCTCGTAGATTATTTTGATTGGGTTGCAGGGACGAGCACAGGTGGCCTTGTGACGCTCATGCTTGCTACCCCAGATGAAAATAACCGTCCCTTGTTTGCAGCAAAAGATATCCTCCCTTTTTATCTCAAACATTGCCCTAAAATCTTCCACCAACCTAGGTATGTACAGTTAATTGTTGATAAAAAGACCACACTTCTGTATGCATAACGAGTAACGATAACTAATTTTGTTTCCTTGTACAACAGATCTCTCATCGGCAAAATCAAACATTGTTTGAAAGGTTTAGTAAGACCCAAATATAATGGGAAGTATTTCCACAAATTGGTGAAGGAAAAACTAGGCGATAAGCATTTGCACGACACATTGACTAATGTTGTAATCCCAACGGTTGATATAAAACCGCCACGTCCAGTTATTTTCTCCAGCTCTGAGGTTTGTTTATTACTTATCTCCTAATTTAGACACGTATATGTATATAATTCAATTCTTTGTTCTGTTTTATTATTATTATTTTTGTTGTTGTAAATAAATAATTCTTGATTTTGTATATTTATGTTGGTGATGATTTTAGTTGAAAAGGCACCCAAGCCTAGATGCTTTGCTGTCGGATATATGCATTGGAACTTCAGCAGCCCCACCCTACCTTCCGGCCCATCAATTTAGTTCCACAACTTCAACAAGCAAGTCAAGAGAATTCAATCTCATTGATGGTGGAGTTGCTGCCAATAACCCGGTAATATTATTGATGTGCCCCAAATTTCAAAAACTTATTCATTTGCATAATCTGAATAATTCATATATACGATCATTATTTATTATTATTATTTTTTTGGGTAGGCTTCAATTGCTATAAGGGAAGCGGAAAAAGAAATCCTCAAGAAGAACCCTGGGTGTGGAAATGAAGAGTTGCATAAGCGGATTTTACTAATATCACTGGGGACTGGTATAGCAAATGATGAGGAGGAGTACGACGCCAAAGAAGTAGCTCGTTGGGGTGCTTTCCAGTGGCTCATCGGACCCCATTGGTCGTCTCCAGTGGTGCATATGTGTCTCAAAGTAACTGGTGGCATTCTTGATTACCACGCTCAATGCGTTTTAGAAGATGTTCAGTCTCATGGCCATTACCTCCGAATTCAGGACGATACGCTAAACGGAAGATTGGCTTCTGTGGATATTGCCACACAAAAAAACTTGAATGATCTTGTGAAAGTTGGAGAGGCATTGTTGAAGAAACCGGTTTCCAGACTGGATTCTGATACCAGTGAAACCGAGTATCTTCCTCTTGAGACAAATGCAGAGGCTCTCGTGAGGTGTGTATAATCTGCTCTTTTATTCTGATTAAGTTGTGGCATGATGCATGTAAATTCAATCAATTAATGGGATACTGATTATTACTTTTACTTTTTGCTTGATAATACGTAGGATGGCGAAAATTCTCTCTGAGGAGAGGGCTCGGAGGATTCAGGAAGGACATCATCCTCGGAGAATTCAGGAAGGACATCATCACAAAAATAATAGGTTGCTGCTCTCGCATAATCCCTTGGGGAGATTTTTCAATAAGTATTTTATGTTAAGAATTTGTTACATACTTCTAATCTTGACCGTTGGATTGTATTCATTAAAAGCGTTGGTGGTCTCTTAGATGCAATCCAACGGCCGAAATTAAAAAGTACGTAACAAATCCTTAACTTAAATACTTATTGGAGAATGCCCATAAGTCCTTGTAGTTATGTTTTCGTCAAGAAAATTAAATAGCTCAATTATTTTTTTCCTTTCATGTAATTCAGTTCAGTACTGAAATTATTTTCTCCCAATGTATATATATATATGTAACAGGGAAATTATTCAATTTATTCATGACGTGGCCAATGAAAGCAGCTTTGAGTTGTTTAAGTCTTCTTCTTCATTATGTTGTTGGAGTTTGTGTGTGGTTTCGTATATGGAGGGACTGTAGAGTAATACGATTTAAAAATAGCACTGATAAAGCACTACGAAATTAAAAAACAAAAAGCACTTTGAAATTAATCCTTAGTAATAATGAACAGATTCTTGAGATTGAACTAGTGCTTCTGCTTCTTGTCTCAGTGGAAACCATAAGCATCAACTAATTAATCACTACTTGCTAATCCAAAGAAGAAAGAACCTATGATGTAGATGGTTGGCCTGCATGGAAGGTGAGTGGCTTCATGTCCATGGAACGCATGTAACTTAAAAACTGGCCAGGCAGCTCTTCCAAAAGACCTTGAACAACAGAAATCTGCCCACCTGTTACATTAATCCCAATTAATTTATCAGCTTAAAAGCAAAGAGAGGACCCAAAAGAAAAAAATTACCATCACCATCTAAAGGTAATATGAATGTGTTTAGACAGAAGAAAAAAATGGAGGTGATGGGTACTTACTATGCACTTCTCTCATCGCAACAAACTGTACAATGTCTCGTGTAGCAATACGACCTGTAGAACTCTCTAATCGTGGTCCACTGTCAGCATCAAGGATCTGCCGGATACAAAATTCAAACCACAAGTTCATGAGATGTAGAAATCAAATTCCAGTAGGAGAAAATCCAAAATGTAAACAAAAGCATTACCTCCATTTGTTTGAAGTCTGCATTACCCACTCCAACTATTAGGACTGATAAGGGAAGATTAGATGCTCTCACCAAAGCATCTTTTGTTTCTTGAAGGTCTGTTAGGATTCCATCCTAGAAAGAAAAAAAAATGGCCCTTTATATTATTGCTAAAACAAAGATTTCAACCCAAGAGGCAAAAAAATGCAAATAAAATTCATCCACCTCTTACCGTTATAATAAGCAAGACATAGTACTTGTTGTTGGAGGACGAGAGGGATCTGCCGGCAATTTCCGCAGCTTTGTTAACCACTTGGCCAAACAAAGTTGGTCCTGCCAGAGAAACGTTGTGTAGAGCAGTGGCGTAAGCACCCATGATGCCTTCAACACCTTCAACCTATTAAATAAATCAAACAAGTTACTAACAAGGTTAAACAAAATAAAAGTTCAGATGTATTGAATGAGTTTGCCAACAAAGGTAAAGAAACATTGCAAAAATTTAACCACTCCTTTACCTCAGAGTCACTTGCACTCCCATTCAAGTTGAAGCAGTGCGACACAGTACCATTAGTTGCCCTACCCCCAAAGCCCCAAGCGGGAAAACGCTTATCAACATCATAGAACTGAATGACTTCCCCTACTTCTCTTATAGCCTGCAGATGGTATAATTGATTTATCAGACAGCATCTAATCATCTAATCAATCAAGATGCTTTCTCTAACTATTGAACAGCAAGCCACCCATAGCAAAAGCCCAAGAACGAAGAATGACCTTAATTATATACATCGAGCACAAGTCTGCAGAAAGAATAAGATGGGCAAGCTAGAACAACCATCTATTGTTTATTGTTATGAAAAAACTTGAACCTAATTGGATAACTTTGAACCAACGACTTTATCTTGTTGACCTACTGAAGAAGCCTACAAGGGTATTTTAAACAAGGGGTATACAAAATCATGTCTCATTTTATTAACAACATTATATTAGCCTATTAGTGTAACCAGTACCCCTATTTGAGCACTGCATCTAAAATGTACTCACCTGCTGGTAAGAATTCAACCGACCGTAAGGATCAATATAGTGCAAAGAATCAGGACTTCGAGGATCTCCATTTGAACCTAGATAAAGTTCAATATTCAAAGCATGCAAACATATATATATATATATATGTAAAGTGAAAATTGAATAAATTTTCTAAATATCAGACATTAGTTACCTGTAAAATCAACAGCGACCATGAAGTTAAGCTCATATCCACTAGAAATATAGTCAAGAAAGCTGAACTGTTCCTTCTCAAACAATTGATCCACAAACAGCTGGCCCTTCAAAACCTATGTTGGCATTTTATAAAGCAAAAGTGAGAATACATTGACATGAAGTACCAAGAATGGGAATGCAAGATAAATACCTTTTCATGACCCTGACGAGAAGTTGGAAAGACAAAATTCACACCACTCCTTTCTTTGTATAGTTTTTCCAGGTCCGCCACTGACTTTTGAATTTTCCTGAAATAGGACCAATTGAGAGGTAAATTCCAAAACATTCTTCCTTTTTTCCGGTCCAAGCACAAAGTAATGATATCATGCATGAAGTAAAAACTAACAAAATAAAGGCTAGGCACCAATCAATAATTACCCAATAAGAACATGGTTGCCATTGCTGTTGAAATCAAAACACTCAAAGACTAATGGGGTATCCTGCAACAAATTGAGGTTCAGAAAGTTATAGATTTTTTCTGCAGTATTTGTCAATTAGCAGACTTATATACTCTAATTTGACAGGTAACCCTGAAATAATTTCATAAGCTTACCTTGCTTCCAAATTGCTGCATACTCAGGCATACTGGCTTCCAAGTTGGATTTAAATTGTTATCCACAACTTCAGTCTTGCAAATTGGAATAGAACCTCCACTCTCAACAATTCTAGATATTCTTAAGAAAGGATCCTGAAGTAAAGAAATGGAAAAGAAATATAAGGATCAGACTAAAACAGAAATCTGTATCCACAAGTAAGAAGAGCTCAAGAAGCTGCTTTTAAAACACATACACTTTTAGAAAAGAAATCTTTGTTTTCCAAGTGGGAACATCGAAATTTTATCTCCACAGCACTCCTAGAAGCAATAGTTTCCTCGGCCTGGACTGTGAGTGTTCCAAACTTTCTCATACCTCCATGCCAATTTCTGTTTATGAGATTTAAGGTTAAACTCCGAGTTTGTTTAGTCACGATCTGCCACCAGAAAAGAGAACAAGTACCACAAAAACACAGCTTTAGGTTAGAGTTTAGCAAATGATGACTAAAAATCTATGAGATATCTGAGTCACTGATTTCAATATGTTTCCATTGGCAAACATCTTTGTATACAGTAAGTAAAGGAAAATAGTACAAGCTACATCCATATCTTTCTTTAGTTGCACCAATGGTGAGCATTGCAATAACTGTAACATTGAAAATTAAACCGGAAAAAAACAAAACACATAACCTGAAGTGTTAACTAAACAACTCTATACACACACTGCTCAATGAAAGTAACCTAGTTTTATTGAGCTGTACTGATTTCAAGGGAATTACCTCCGAAAGACCACAACTGCCTTCCCCAAGAAATTCTTGATCCCTCAAATTCAGTGTCTGCGAGGTAATACAATGAGAAGGCTAAAATAAGATTTCTATTAGGCTCTTATGCCAATCAAATGCTAAAAATTGAAAGAAGAAGTCATGTCATACCTTTACAGGTACATTGTGATATTTTGTATCAACATCATACACATGGAATCTTAGGGGACAACACAACAAAGAAAAAATGCAAATGTGAGAGAAGTAGCATTGTCAAAATAGATATTGCAAGATAAAATACAAGACATCTTCAGAAACATGGGTGCTCGGAAAAATATGAGAAACTTACATCAATGGCTGCACCATCTCGAACTGATATGCAATTGAAACTTTCTCTATCCATACAGGATTCAAACTATTCAGTATTACTTCAGTTCTCCCTAATTCCTCTAGCTTACCATCGCTTTTTTTGGCATAGACAATCACCATGGGATCACTCTGAAATATGATTAAACAAGTTAATAACTATTTCAGGATATACTATATTAAGATAAGTCCCCATGATGACACAGTAAGTCTTTAGCCTCGATTTTAAACAGTAGTGGTCATATGACATTGCTACAATATCTTCTTCTTTTTTGGGTCAAGCATTGTTACAATATCTTAGTTACTATGATAAACAGGTATAAAGACATGGCAGAGTAAAAAATGCTGATAACACTTGGCTAATGTTTTAATTACTATGATATTAAAAGTAAGGTGACATGGATATATATATATATATATATATACATATATATTAACATACCTTTGAAGTGACGTCAAGATCAAGTAAGTTAGATGCGGACAGGGTTAACTGTAGCACAAAAGGGAAACACATGATTACATACATTCAAAAGAATGAAACAAAAGGTCTAATGGTACAGAAAAATAAAACAAAGAAAATGAAGACAACTAAAACAAGGGAACCATCCAGGCATTTGGAAAGCCCATAGTGATTATATGGAACACAAACACCATACTTAACGCATCCAAGAAATGGGAAATAAATAAAGCATCAAACTAGCCAAATCTCTAGGCACTTTAATTTTGGAATTATACCAGACATGACAGTAAATAATATTCATGGATATTATGCTTCATTATTGGGAACAACATGCTGCTCTCAACTGTTTTTTTTTGTTTTTTGTTTTTTTTTGGGGTACTTCAATTTAACAGTTATTTAATTAACACGTCCAGCTTGATGGCTCATGGCATTTCAAGTTCGAAAGTATATATAAACACATTGAGCAGAGCCTGTCATTGAAAACGAAGTGTTTGATGTAACTCTGAGAAAGAAAAAGACAGAGAGAAAAGGATCAAAGGTTTATGTCCACATCTAAATGATATCTTTAAGTCCAACATCCATTGCAACTCTTGTAAGGACCACATTGTCACACGTTTAAGTGACAAACACTATTTTGAGATTTTGTCCTATGCATGCTCCCAAAGTCAAATTTGCAACAGCACAACGGGAATCTTGCTAATGTTCTGCTGTAGGGAGAGAGTATCTTGTAGGCATTTTTTCAATTCAGCCAAAAGGAGGTGTGGCTCAATCAATCAGCATGCAGCCTCACGTAAGTTAACACACCAATCATTTGAGAATGTTTGTTTTCTCGAAGGCAACTGTAGCTAGCCATGGTATTTTTCATGTTGGCCCAACATTTTAAATGCATTGTCAACAATACAGACTTGTTCATTTTGTTCATATAAAAACCAACGGCTCTTGGCCTAAGTTGATATTGAGAGATGTATTCACAATATGCCATCAGCCCTGTGCTTCACAATGAATGAGGATTCATCATAAAGAATATATTAGTCAAAGCACTTGGTCCTTAGACTTTTCCACTTTCTGGAAGGATAAGAAAGCAAAGCTTTTGATGAAAAAATATTATTTCAAAGTTGAAAATAGCACGTTAAATTAAACCAGAGACGCACGGCAAATCTACCAAATTTTCTGAAAGCAAAAGATTTTCAAAATACAACAAGAATAAAGAAGATTGGTCTAAATTTTAGGGTGTATATATATATATATATATATATATATATGGGGAGAGAGAGAGAGAGAGAGAGAGAGAGAGAGAGAATATGTAAACAAATGACAATAGAATCTAATAGGCACATGGTCATATGTATATATTAAAAAAAACATTCACTCAATCTCAATGTAATGACAACAAAAACACTCAACGTACGTAGGTGTAAATCTTTTATGAGAAATAAAAAATTGGGACAGAAACAAATGAAAAACAAAAGGGCTAACTCTCAGAAAATAGTCAAGAGGGAGGAGGGAGGAGGGAGGAGGGAGTACCTCGAGTTGAGAAAATAGTGGGAAAGCACCATGGGACCTGTAAAAGAACTCAACGGCGTCGTTGTGAACTGTGGAACTAGGCTGGGCCCCGCCTACGGCCTCCTTCCCTCCTCTCACATCTGAAAAGCAACCTCCCATCTCTCTCTCTTTCGCTGTCTCTGTCTCTGTTCTCAACAAGACAAATCTTAAAACCCTCTGATTTCTTTCTCTCCAAATTCCAAAACCCTAGCTAATATCTCTTTCTCTCTCTGCAGAAATTCGAAATATTTAATCCCTTAATATCTCTGCCAATGCGTGTTATATGATTTTGTTTCCTCTGTGAGCCTTCTCCTATATAGCAGTGAAATGGGTGTTCTTTCGCAGAAATTCTTGGGCTTGTTGAAAATTCTTCCCTATATATCAGAAAATGGAAATCTCCAACATTTACGTTTCCATTTAAATCCGGAAAGCATCTATTAAACCAAAATAAAAAGCTCAAGTGTTTTTCTTTCTTTTTTCTTTTTTGGGGTCACTAGGTAGTTTTGTATGAAGTTACACTAGTAATTATTACACTATAAAATATAAGTTTTTATAAATAAAAAAATACAAATTTATAAATAAACCTAATCCTAGACATGTATTTATAAAGAAACTCAAGCACTATTTAAACATAAAAACACACCCAAAATCAACCCTAAAGTCAACTTTTTGGGTGTGTTTATAAATGAGTTTTGAGTGTGTGTAATGATGAGTTTTGGGTGTGTTTATATGTTTAAATAGTGCTTGGGTTTTTTTATAATTTCAGACCCTATTTTGGGTGTTTTAGTGAAACTCCCATAAAAAAACTCAAATTTACCTCGTACTTTCATAAATGTTAGTTTTTATAAAACCTTTCAAAATTAGCCAAAAACTCAGTTAAATATACTCAAATATCCTCAAAACAAAAACTCAAGTAAACCTAAAAACTGAAAAATAAACAAGACACCACTATCCCCGCCAATCCCAGTTGTCGCCGCTCTTCTCTCCTCTCTTTCTTTCTTTCAATTCAACAACACACCACCTTGTCAACCTCCACACCCAAGCCACTTTCCCAACCTCAAGGCCCCGATTCCCCAAGTCACACTCACCACCCCACCCCAAATCTTTTCCATACCCATAACCAGCTCCCAACAACATCTTCCCCAGCCCAAGAATTCCCTGACCATTTGCCCCAACCCCAACCGCTCCCCAAGATCTTCTACCCCATGCCATTTTTCTTTTAATCAACAAAGGTACTCCATTTGTCATCACTGTTGTAAAACAAGAACCGGTAAAATAAAATAAAAACTTGTTCGAATAAAAACAAAGGGATTACAATCCAAAGTACAGTTTTGAAAATAATCCACAGCAAAATTGAAAATATCCGATATTGCTTAAGATGAGGTCTCCTTTGCTATTACTTTCCCCCTTTTATTTATTTATTTTTTATGTTGACTTCTTCAACTTCATCGAGAACCAAATTCATGTACTCATCAAAATCAATGATTCGGCCTTCAATCAAGAGCAAATCGAAATGCGAGCTTTACTTTGAAGGAACCTGAAAATCAAATTAATGGGTTGGGCCATAATCCTCTAGTGCTCGCCATGGATGTGAAATTCAATGGGTTTCGTGTCATAGATAGGAATTCAATGTGTCACTTACCTACTTTCATCTAATAGGGTTTTCCTTCTTAGGTTTATGTGGGTTAAATTTTGAGGGCATTTGTGTCCATTTAACTGAGCTTTTGGCTAGTTTTGAAAGTTTTTATAAAAACTGACATTTATGAAAACAGGGAGTCAATTTTAACTATTTTTTATCAAAACTCCAAAAATACATATAAAAAAATAATATAAACAAAAAGCCAACGGGTTTAGCTCAATGTGAAACTAGAGTTTTGATTTACAGATGAGTAGTCTCAATCCCTTGTAATTTAGACTATCGTTTGTACTAATTAAAAAACAAAAAGAGTATTGTTTATGGAACTTGTTATGAAAATTATTGATCTTAGAATTGTAAAAATCGTCAACATGGTGTTATTTTGGTTTTTCATCCATCGTTAGGGGTATCTCACATGACCATTCATATTAAAAGTTAAAACAATGACCAATTAGTTTTTCCACTTTCCTCATAAAAATGAAAATGAAATAAATTTATGTCAAAACAATTTATCCTAATTTGAATTGGTTTGCGCAAAACCAGCTTCTTAAGAAATCATGTCGTTTTTTAGTTGAGTTTTGAGTCATAAGCCGCTAACTTTTGTTAACTTTGGCAATTGCAAAGTGTTGTTTGACGTGTTCCACCCAACTTAATTTATAGAGAGGAGGAAAAAGCCAAAGTTGGTACACAGAGTAAAAGAAGACTGTCTTTTGGGTCCCTCATATCCCAAAAGGGTTTGTGCCTTTGTGGAGTTGGTACATTCAACCACGACTCGTGGCTGCTTATGTAAGAGATGCAACGTCACATGAAATCCAGATTCATTCGTCAATGATTGTTCTTTTCAGGATTAATTCAATATGTTAGAATTAGTCAAACGGAGAAAATTAAAAATGCAATGAAAAGTAGTATTTGGCAGAAACTTCAGGTTAATTGTGTTGTGAATACCTGGTGGAGAAAAATCGATATGCTTACGTTACGCGCGTGATACAAAACATGAAACTTGTGTATGGAATGTGTGGACTAGTCGGACACCATTTTTGGGGTCGAACACACTTTCATTGAAAGGGAAAGGACAAACCAAACACTACTGCCAAACAAACAACAGCAAAGCTAAACCACAACAGGAGCAGAAGCTACAAACTCCCGAAAATGTTTTTGACAGCTGATTATCCGAAACTCGTTAATTTTGCCTAAGATCCAACAACTGAACCCTGATAAAGCCAGTCAACATGAAGAATGGATATGGATAAATAAATGGATAAGACTTGTGATTGTGGGGGGATGAATATCTTGGAAATTTTTTAAGGGAAGTTTCAAGTACATTTCGACAACATATGAGGAGTATTTCCCCAGAGAAACTTGTGAAGGTGACGGAGTAATTTCAATCCTTGATGTGGTCAAGTCAATTACAACCTCTTTGTCTTGGTCTTGAGTCTTGACCCAGGAAAAAAGAAAGTCAATTACTGGGATTACCCCAATAATTGATTTTCTTGGGCTCAACTCAGGTCTATGCCTAAGAAATTTTTTTATCCAAAACCCACTTCTCCTCATGCGTGCATCAGGCCTATCACATATGCATTTATCAAACACAAGCAGAGCAAGAGAGCTATGATTTATATGCAAAAGCTAAATCCAAAGCTACCCTTTCATTATTATTACTCTTTAAACTTGCCAAGGCAAAATAAATAAGTTCCAATATTTATACTGCCAACCTCGGCACCACCATTTAACAAATTCAACTAACAAGTTAAAACTATTAGTCCCTTCTTTGGGTCTGAAAGTTCAAATATTTGTCACATGCAGTTTTTTTTCCCTGTTAAAAAAAAAAAAAAAAAAAAAAAAAAAAAAAAAAAAAAAGAAAAAAAAAAAAAAAAATCCACAAACAGGGATGCAGAGGGGCGCCATTTAGCGGTAGAGAGTATGACGGACCTGCAAAAGCATAACGAGATGAAACTGGCGCAGGCAATGCATCAGCCTTGGTTGCCTGGTAGTTTTCTGTCCGGTTATAACCGGATGCAGCATCAGCAGGAGCAGCATGCATCGAGTATAGTCTCTCTCCACGATCAGTTTCTCTCCTTAGCACAGGATCAGTCTCAAGCAGGTAGTTCTCTCTCCTCCCACCAAAAGCATGTGTTGAGTATAATCTCTCCACACGATCAGTTTCTCTCCTCGGAGGATCAGTTTCAATTAGATGATTCTCTCTCCTCCTGACAACAGAAAAAGATCCCGAAGGAACTTCCTCTCTCCTCTGGGGTGCCAAATATGGGTCCAATGATGAAGAACCATAATAGGAGTAGCCGTAATATGGATCCCTTGCATACGCATCTACAGCAGTAGCAGATGTTGCAGGTGGCAACTCATGTCTAGCACCGCGAGTATAAGCTGAGTAATCTCTATCATTCAAGTAGAGAGGATCGGAATGAACATTTTCTCGATGTGCAGGGGCAGCCTCCCGGTAAATGAGGTTTGGCTGTCTTGCAAGATGCTCTCTTTCATACTCTCTATGGCGAGCTTCCAGAGCTGGAGGAACGATACGAGGAGACACGTTATGAACATTTTCTCGATGTGCAGGGACAGCCTCCCGGTAAATGAGGTTTGGCTGTCTTGCAAGATGCTCTCTTTCATACTCTCTATGGTGAGCTTCCAGAGCTGGAGGAACGATACGAGGAGACACATTTCTTCTCTCTCCCCGAAGACCATAAGCTCGATATTCCTTTTCAGTAAGGTATAAATCATGAGAAGTTTCCTCTCTCCTTACAGATGCCACATCTCGGTATTTAACATGCTGGTCCCTTTCATGAGCTAACACTGGATAACTCCTAGCATCACCATTGGCATAAGGATCTCTAGCATGTGCATCCCTGTGGGCATGTGGCAGCGATTCCCTTGCTCCTTCATGAACTCCCCGATCCCGAACTTTAGCCTGGACTGGGGAATGGGTGGCTAGAGCAGTTGAGTGGACTTGAGCTGGTCGGAAAAGTGCTGTGAGCTTCCTGACCTGAAAGGAAAATATTGGATATTATTAGTTCAGCATATGCGAAGAAACAATGATCGCTCACTCCAGGAAAACTTAATAAAAGGCAGGGGGCACATTATCTCACTTGTCGAACTGTAAGTTCTGTTTTGAACTTCTTTTTCTCATTATAGTTTTCTTGTATTGCCTTCTTGAAAACACTCTCAGGTAGAGGAAGACAATCTTTCTCCACGTTGAACCGCACCTGAAGTTTTCAAGTCATCAGCATACATGTCTGGTTAACTAAAAAAAGCAAACAAGGAGAGAGAGATCTAAGAAAATGTGACCTGAGCAGGGAAGGCTCCGCCAAATGCTTTTGGCTCGAGTTTTAGGCCACCTGAAGAGGATGCTTTGTAAACCCCATACAAAAGCTTAAGATCAAAATCAAAGAGAAAAAGCTTCAACCCAGGTTTGATACCCAACACAAGGTCTTTTTTACCCATTGAAACACCCATGATACGGTAATGGAAGCAGTCTGGCTTTGTCTTTCCACTGCACATGAAGATCAAACCACCAAGCTTTTCCCTCTTTTCATCATGTTTTTCGCTGTTCCTTTGACTCTTCACACTCTTGTCTGACCCACGTCGTTTTTCTGTACTCTGCTGTTTTTGTCGGCTCTTTTCGGATTCGTCAATCTTTCCTGGATTCTTTTGAGCCCGATGGCTCTTCTCGGCATGCTTTTCATTCGTGATACTCTCTTGTTGCTCTCTTTTTGAATTCATCTTCTTGGCATCTTCTTCTCTTTTGTTGCTACTCTCGTTGTTACCCCTATTCCGCCTTCGTTTCCTCCCATTAACCTGTGAGCTAGTTGTACCTTTGCTCGTTTTCAAGCTGTTATGAATGGGAGTTTTCTTCATTATTTTAGCTTTGCCCTTCAATGATCTTGGGGTTTTCTTTCCAGAGTTGGATGCTTCTGCAGGAGAGGCAATTCTCTTTTCAGATACATCAGGTTTATTAGACACTTGTGCAGGAGAAGACATTTTCATTTTAGCTGACTCAGGTCCACTGAACGCTTCAGCAGAAGAGGTCTTCAGTTCAGATGAGTCTGGTTTTTTGGATTCTTCAGCTGGAGAGGGGATTTGTTCAGATGACTCCAGGTTGTTGGATGCTTCTGCAGGGGAAGGGATTTGCTCAGATGACTCTGAATTATTCAACACTACTGCAGGACTATTTCTCTCCTTCCTGTTATCTGTTTCCATATAGTTATCATCTAGTTCCATAGTATATGCTATACAATCAGGATCACAAAGCCAAATGCATCCTGAAAACAATTTGGTAATGTAGTGATTTATTTTGTTTTCTATTAAAAAGAGAAGGATGCAGGAACAACATAACCAGGAAAGGAATTAATCGACATGAGAACGAAAAGGAAAAGCAATGAATGTAAAAGCACCTTCCATACTTCACTCTGTTCTGGCAATACATAAAAACAGCATTGAAATGATTTCTTTTAAAGGCAATACAGTAAATCCATGGAGACATTTTAGCTAAGTGGAAAGGTATCAGTTTCAATCCAAGAATCACTCAAATTTAAATCTCCTTTTTAATATTTTGGTGCACAATACAGAAAAGGTTTCTACCTTCATGCCCTTGTCATTTTTTTAATTAGTTTCAATACTGAAAAAACACCAACCGTAGAAGTACAAATCCTAGAAGAAAAAATGATGGATGGTCCTTTATGTTAAGTATGACTGGTAGTTTGTGCACATTAGCTTTGCATGTAAAGATAAGACCCCTTCCTCTGCATATCCCTAAAGGAAAAAAAAACAAAAAACAAAAACAACACTGCAACTGTTTGTACACAATTTTATTCTGTATAGTTGACAGGCATGAAGCTATCAAACTAACAGAGAAATACCTCTGTGTGTACGCGCGAGCCTGTTTGTGTGTATGCTTATATACACATGAACATATATTGCACTGGGCATGAGGTATACGTGCATGAATCCATATGTGTGTATATGAAGTCATGTATATGGAAAGAACAATAACTTCAACACCTTTAGGTGGATGTTGTCCTATCCCCCATTTTTATTCAACAAGTACACCTCCAGTGTGAAAACTATAAATTTGTTGTAGTTTCACAAAAAAATATGAGAAACACAGATCTCTCTCCATGAAACCCTTCCAATCTACAAATTTCCCTTCCCTCTCCTGCACTAAGCTGTCAAAATACAGTTTATTCATTCTACATTGTCCTTTTTACACAGAGGCTCAATCGTTTGAAAATTATGAAGACACCCCTGTAGATCTATCTCTGCCGATAATTATCCTGCTTTTTCAATATGGATACTTACCAGGGTCTATTTAAGATTTCAATACCTCCATCTAAGGAGCATTCTTTGTTATATTGACTGTTTTACCACCCTTGTCGACTGGCCAGAAACATGCTACATGTGCAAATTTGTTACATGATAATAATATCACTACTTTATTCTAAGGAACAAATGATTAATACAAATCATGACAAATATTTGACTATTGAATTTTTTGCCATACTTACCAGCTTGGCAGAATCATGCCAACTGCTACACATGCATTTTTGGTACATCTGACAGCATCAAGACCAATAAATCTTATTTGCACACTTTCTTTTCCTGTTCTCTCCTAGTACCCTTGTTACTTAGATTTATGTTAGTTCCTAGGGTAACTCCTCTGGGGCTTAAAATAACTGTTGAAAATCTAAGGGACACCATTATGTCCCATAGAAAATGCCAAAAGAGAAGTGAGTGTGTATTCGTTAGTTATTACCGGTAATTACATTCTCTCTCGCAATAACTACTCTCAGCATAAAATTAAGATTATAATCACATCCGGTAATTACATAACCATATTCTCATACTTCGAGGGCAATGCCAAATCAATCAATCAAGCCCCACATACCCAAATGTGGTGATGAAAGATATGAACAGAAAGAATATATTTTCAACCACAACAATAAAAACAAAGAAAAGAAAAGAAAGGGTCACCAGAAAAGAAAAAAAAAGTTAAAAATCTCTAGATTTCTACTGTTCCCTCAATGAAGCCAATCATTTGTTCAAACCCAGTTTCGATCATGCAGTTATTTGCAAAATAAATAAATAAATAAACCTGTTAGACAGACACATCGAGATGAAAAATTGAACTAACTTTAAAACCGACCCAGACTGGAGCAAACAATCAAGCTCAACTTCTGAACAGACAATTCAACAACCCTCTATTTGGCTGCCCAGAAAAGAAAGAGAAGCATAAAATTCAGATCCCAAATCATTCTTAGTCAGCAGAATAATATGATTGAGGTTCAACTTATTAGCCACAAAACTGAAAGAATCAATTCAAGCAGAAAATTTTCATATTCTGAGCTTGCAAACATATCAATGCCAAACAACGCCACTACAAATTTAATATCTTTACGATTCCGTACCTTTCCCACAACGACCAAACAGAAGCCACAGAATCTGAAATCAAAAACCATAAATAAAATTCAAATAAGTGAAAAAAAACTGTAATGGTTTGCGAGAGAGAGAGAGAGAGAGAGAGAGAGAGAGAGAGAGAGGGAGACTACCTTCGTTGCTTCAAGAGAATCAGAGACTGAGAGACTCCGACGAACGTTAAACAGGGGAGGGGAGAATATCTGGAACAGAAAGAAAGATAATAAAATCAAGAACGATTTGTTCCTTCTCTCTGTCTGGAATTTGCCAATTACCGGAGTGGCCTCCTTTTATACCCGCTAATTTCTTTTGGCACTTTTTTCTTTTAAGGGCATCAAAAGAAAATAACCATATCTCCCTCCTTAAACAAAAACAATAATAATCAAAATGTAGGTGGAAAACAGAAACGTGTTTTCCAAAATCTATAAAAAAAAGTTTGTGCATACGTTGGTCGATGTTCTTTATACTCGCATGTACGAGGTTCTTTAAAAACCTAGTTCCAATCATGCTTATGTTGGTCCACGATATGAAGTGCTTGAATGGACTTTGAATTACTCAGTCTTAGTGTCACAAATGTGACATAGGGACATGGTCTTTCGAATCCGAAATTATTATTTCAGTGGATTTTAACACTACATTAACATACCGCGTATTTAATCGTACACAATATCTTCTTAACATGTATTGTAATAACCCTCACCACACCAAAAAAATTTCAACTTATGGCAATAGAGAGCAGAGAAAGCTCATCTGCCTTTAGCTAACTATCAGAAATTGGCAATGATATGCCTTTATAATCACAAATAAGAGTTCCATACAAAACCTCTCACAGCGTCCAAAGAAAATTAAATTCAAAGGAGAAAGAAAAACCAATTCAGTCAAGATAAACTTTAACATCAATCCCACTATCAATGAGGGATTGAACAACTGCCCTAATCTTCCCTTCAAACTTGTCCCTGTCCCTGGGAGTATAAGCAGCAGTGTAGACATCAGCTTCTCTTGCCCTATCGGCTAAGATTTGGCCGACGGCCAAACAGGCCGGTATATCACAGCGAGACTTGAGGACAGCTTTAATGTCTTTGGAGTTGGTACCGGCAACTGCAACCTGCTTGCAGGTCACCCGGTGGGTGATAGAGGCTGAAACAAACCGCTTTGAGATGAACACATCAAGTGTAAATGGTTCAATGTAGGCTACGGTGCGCTGTTTGAATGATACATGTTTTTGTGGATTTTTGGATATCTTCTCCTTCTGGTAAGTGTATGGCCGGCTATTGTTATCATCAAGGAAATCCTCTACCCCGAAAAAACTTCTCTGCGCACAATTGACCTATAAATTGCACAATTAGATGGCAGTTGGTTTCATCAAAAGGTTTCTAAAGGGAAAATTAGATGGCTAGCAAATCTTCATGGCATCATGCAAGCATAAAAAGATGTTCAAACGTGTTTCCTTAACCCAAAATTCTGTGATGTCAAAATTCCAGAACATGAGAAATATGGGAACTGGGAAATTGGGATTTGAAGTGCACCTGTCCACTGTGGAAACCACTGGTGGACACATACAGGCAAGGCAGAACTCTGTTTCCTCCATACACATGAACCCCTTTGTTCCACACCTTCCCAAAGACATGCTTCAACATTTTTTTTTCCTTTTTACTCGCACACAAGACACCTTGATGTAGAATGATCCTACTTCTGTTTAATAAGCTGAAAACAATTCACAACCACAAAGAAGGAAACTTAGAACAACTCTGAGAAATCTGGATTCAGCAATGGCATGCCTTACTGTACAAATTTACCAACACGCAGAGATACAGTCCCTTCGTTGAGGCATTACATCGAAAAGGTGTTAGGCAATGGAAGATATACAAAAACATTAAAAAGGAAGAACCCATTTATAGGAAACATGTAAGGACCAATATTGTGAGTACCTTCAAAGTTACACAGACTCGAATCGAAATGAGCATTTTATCGAACAAGTAAAGTGCACAGTGCACAGTACACTATGCAAATGGCCAAATTTTAAACAAAACTAAGCGAGGGAGAGAGAGAGAGAGACCTGGAGAGTGTGAGGGAGAGGAGCTCTCTTCGGCGTGTGGAGAGAAACGGCGTCGTACTGATAGGTCTTCAGCTAGGGAGTAATAATTTGTGGTGACAGCGACCACAAAGAAAAGAAGAAAAGAGAGAGGCACTTAACACAGAGCTCAGTCAGAACTGCCGCTAGTCGGCACACAACTGCTGGTTCCTTTGCCTATGTGGGGACTGGGAAGCGAGCGAGGACTCTAATATATGGTTGGTTTGGCTATAAATACAGTTCATGAAGATTAAATGAACAAGGCGGGCATTTGGTCTAGTGGTATGATTCTCGCTTTGGGTGCGAGAGGTCCCGAGTTCGATTCTCGGAATGCCCCTCTGCAAAATGACCACCAATTTTTTTTTAATTAATGTAACATGCATATCAGAAAACCATATTTATTTTCTTTTTTTTTTTTTTTTTTTTTTTTTTGTATTTGCAAACTTCTTCTCAGCATTTTATTTTGCACTTTCTTTATTTATTTGCACCAAGAGAGAGAGAGAGAAAAAACTAATGCCCCTGGCTCCACATACAAACTGAATCTATATAACAGAAAGAAAAAGTAAATTGACATTAATTTCTAGTTCATTCCATTTTTCTTGTGCAGCATTGTAGCAAAAGTTCTCAGTTACATCAATGGTACAAAGGATGCTACAATCTACTACATTTCTAATTTAAAATGGTCGTAATACCAGGAATTGATAACGGATCAAGCTCCCAATAGCCTGCAAGTCGACTGTCACTCTCCATGGTATGCTGAAAAGCCGGAATTTGGTGAGAGAATCTACCAATCTCCGCCCGTGGTATGTCAATCACACCAGTTTTCAATCTGTGGATTCTCGGAGCCCTATATACTGATTTATATCCATTAAGCTTTGCCAGAACTACAACCTTTGTGCTCTGGTCATTATCTTCCAGGACTTCTACTATCTCACTTTCACCCTTCCCCAGGTTAGGATAGGCCAACTCAGGGTTGTGGTTCTTGTATAGTGCCCAAACTTCACCTTTCCTGGGATTTATTTCAAAATTCTTCTTACCAACAGGTTTGGCTTTCAGACAATGAGAAAATGAGGTGCGCGGGAAGACCTTGGTTTGACCACCTTTGACTTTAAATGTCCCACAACAAACTGGTTCACTCATGCCTTCCGGTTCCAAGCAAGGTTCAAGCAGTGCAATATGCAATTGAAAATTTGGCTTAGACTCAATCCTCTTAAGTTGAGCGTAAGTCTTAGGCATCCCACTCCTCTCACTATACAATGCCCATATTTGACCAAGCTGAAATTTCTCCTCAGATTTTTGCCCATCGAAGTCATAGAACTGAGTCTGCGATAATCTACAGGCAGGAGATGAAGATGGAGGGGTAACAGGGCTTTTCATGGAACCGACAGAAGGAAGATCCTTCACACTTGAATGCATTCTGTCATCTGACTGACTAGAAGTAGAGTTTATTTTGGACGGAGTGAAGTTGGGATGGCTTTCATCGTTGGTGGAATCTGGGCGCTTCATAGTTACATTTGCTCTGGTACTGTTCTTACTTAAATCCCTTGGTGATCTTCTAAGCCTGAAAGTCTCTCTATCAGAATCATTTTTCAGATGTTTCTTTGGTGTTTTGATAATTTCATCAGACTGACATGCAGAAGCACTTCCTGTGGGTTGAGTAAGGTCACATCGAGTCGCTTCTAGTTTAACAGAACTAGCAGACTGGCTATTTGCCTTTCTTGGAGATCTACGCATTGAAGTCTCTCTTTCAGAATTCTCCTGTTTCTCAGCTGCGCATACTCTCCCAGAACCCATAACAGGTTTGCCTTCACTTTCTAGGAACTCACGGGACAAACCATTAGGTTCAGTATTCATGGCTCTGTTACCCTTTTTCAAGTCAATGAAATCATCAAGATTGGTGGGCAAAGAAGCAGGGTCAAACTCAAAGGATTCTTTCGGAACACCATCTCTTTCATCACCAGTCATCTTGAACGACGGAATTCGATGAGAAAATCTATATAGCTCATTACGTGGTACTTGCAACAAGATAACCCCATGCTGCTCACTTCGCTGAAACAGACTGACAAATCCTTTTACTTTGCCTAGATAAGCAACTCCAACACCATTATTTTCATCAAAATCTGACACGACTTCCACAAATTCAAATTTGTATGGCACATGCTTTTCAGGCTCAGAACTCCATCCAATATCCCAATTCTGGTACAGGGCCCAGGTTTCTCCCTTCCTAGGATATACAAAAAAAGAGCTTCTGCCACTGCCTTTTATGCAGTGCATCTGATGAGAAAACATAAGATGATCTGTAACTTCTTGAGTGTGACCAAGTGTGTACTTACCACAAGCAACTGGCAACTCCTTGTTACACCAAGCAATCTCACCTTGGTCATCTGGATTGGACTCCAGCCAGGTGAATCTCACCTTAAATCCAGGTGTGAATACCTTTTTGACACGAGCATAGAATCTTGGCATGCCATCTACTGGATCATAAAGAGCCCATGTCTGATTAGCACTAAAAACATTTTCCAACATATCCTCGCCAAGCCCAAATTTATTAAATTCAGGATCAGGAACCTCAACGCTCGCTGGCATGGATGCGACATTTGAACTTGGTCCAGGACCAACATCAGCATTCAACTTACCGTCATCATTATCTGGCATAGCTGCTTCCTTGACATTTTTCTCAAATTCACCAGGTTTGCTTCTTTTGCTGGGCGAACATTCTTCTAAAGGAGCAGTCACGTTTTGTTCTGCCTCATTCTTATGTCCACCCACAGAAGCAGTAGTGGCAGAATCAGTTGAGCCATCAGTCTTAGATGCCCCACTGGAAAATTGGCTGTCCTTCCACCTCTTGGGAGGACTCACAAAATCATCATCATTTAGATTTTCATTATAAGAAAGATTCTGCTTTTTTCCTCGAAGATCTCCTATTGTGATTGCCTCCATTGGGTTCAGATAGCTTACTGACCTTCTCTTGAATAATAACATGTTCAGAATCAGATGTAGCTCTGTTTCCAGTCTTGCAGCTTTCACTGGATTCAAAAATGGAGTTCCTTCCTCTTTTTTTGTTCTTATTTCTTGAAATTTCTGAATCCTTGGACTTCACTGGACCAGACTTGGACATTCCAACCCCATGCCCAATATCTTTCTTTTCACTGTTAGAATCCATACTGACATCATCAGAAAATCCCGTCTTTGACAATGGATTTGAGGCTGCATTTCCATTTTGATATTTGGTGGAGGATGGGTTTCCAGTTCCACCATTACTTTGTGAGGCTACATCAGAAGCACCCTGACTTGGAGGCTCTTTTCGATTCGGAAATTGATTCCTGACAGATTCTGGATGCACCTGAAATTGAATACCCAAATCATGAGCAACAAAGGCTCTTCGGCATTTTTGACAGCGTAACAATCGGTTTGCAAAGTCTTGGTGGTATTGGTATTTTATCTTACAAAAAGGACAACATGTCCAGAATGTTTCTGGTTGCGCCTGTTGATGTTGATTCATGCTAGTGTACTGTGACTGAGGAATATTCTGAATATTGCTTGCAGTATTGTTATGTTTCCTGACAAATAAGTTTCCGTTTGACAGATGAGTTGATGGTTTTGGTGCACCAGTTTTTGCTAGAGCTCTACACTTCATGTCATACACAGAGCGTTTCGCTTGGTCTGCCAGCACCCTGTTTGCTTCCCCGATCAGCTTAAAAGCAGCCTCCGCACCAGAAAACTTATTTTTATCAGGATGAAGTAACAGCGCAAGCTTCCTGTACTGTTTTTTGATGGTTGCATCATTATCAAATTTTTGAATCTGAAGAATTCCATACCAGTCCATTTCAGATCCACCTATTTTGTTTTCTGATGAACAGTGAACTTCACAGACTGTGAGTAACTTCTCAACGTTCTCAAGCTCAGGGAAGAGTCGTTGTGCCTTTTGTGCCATCTTCCTTGCTCCTGTAAAATCATTGCTTTGTATCTTTATCTCAGAAAGTTGCATTGCCCTGACTGCCTCCTCTTTGTTGCACTCCATGGATGATTTGGAATAAAAATTCGCCTAAGTTCTTTTACATACAGGATATACACCGAGACAAGAAAAAAAAGGAAATCTACCCCTGCATGCCCACAGTCCAGTCATCCAAAATCTTCACTCCGCACCTATACAAACCAAGGAACTTAAGTCAAACATGCCCACCAGCTACGTATATATCTTATTAACATGAAACAACAAATTGACATACCATTCAGTAAGTTCTATCAAAATGAGATGTCCTGTAAAGTATGAAAGACAACAATCTGGCCTTTCCTGACCAAAAGGTTCAGAACAGTTCCTTTGACACCAAACTACCACCCAAACCAGATATTCCAAACCTGCAGGCAAAATACCTATTGAAAGAATCAGAACCAATCAACATGGTAACCGTACATATGTATAAATGACCAAAGTAATTCCAGATGTGAATATGAAATCAATCAGGCCCACCCTTTCCGGCAAGTATCTTAATCAAAACCATAAACTCATTATTTACTTTATCCTACAGTGATCTACTATGTACTACCCAATTCCATGCATTGATGTATGTCTTTCCTTCCTTGAACCATCTATCATTTTTCAAAATTCAAATAAGCTTATACTGAATTTTCAGCCTACTTTAAAATAAAAAACCAAACCAAAAGGACTTGAACACTGAATTTTCTTGTCGTTTCCTCCATCTTTCTTTTCAGCTACCAAACATACTCTTAGAAACAACCGCATCCTTACAAATGCATAATAAAAACAACACAAATCCAAACATATATAAGTAAACATAAAATGTGAAGAACCACAAGTACTATCGCCTTAAAAAATACAGATCAAGTCAATGTATTACCCCAAGTCCAGAGCTTGAGAACCAAACAGCCAAAATTAAGCTCAGAAATGAAGAAAACGAACAAGCAGGGCGCTCGAGTAAATTTCTAGGGAACGAAGATCGAACATGTAATTACGCAGAGGTTTCAAAAACCCTAGAAATCTTGCTGATGAGAAAAATCTCAGCGAGTGAGTGAGAGGTAGATAGAACAAGAGAAGAAGAAGAAGAAGGCAAACTCAATCGTGATATTTGGATTGTTAGGGTTTCCGTTTTGAGAGAGAAATGGAAAAAGATGGGGGGAAGAGAGAGCGGGAAGCGAGAGTGAGCAAAAATATTTGGAGGCAGAGCGGAGAGAGAAAGGGGCGAGGAGGAGAGTTGAGAGTTCCCTGAGTTTCTATGAAATTCCAAATTTGGGTTTATTTCTCTTGAAATTTTATTCGCGGGCCGCTGAAGCCAATAATGCGTCAATGCCCTTTATGCTTCATTTTAAATTGTCAGAGGAAATGTCTAGAACTATGGTCAGGATCTCCAATAAGGACCGTTGGCTTAGATGACTTTGCCGGCATCTTCTTTTTCCCCCTATATCACACACGTGAGGTGCATATGCATTATAAAAGTTAGAGTAACTAGTAATCTGCCCCTTGAATTTGTACATAACTTTCGATTGACTCCTTATTTTCTTTTTTAGAAAATTAAAGATATGAACTTCTTTTTTTCGTCAATTTCCCTCATACCGTCTAAATCTACAATATTTCATCCAATTTGTTGTTAAATATGAGAGCAAAATGGTCATTTTGTACATTAAAAATAAAGTAAAAACTAGAAAATTCAAATAATACTCTCTCTCTCTCTCTCTCTCTCTCTCTCTCTCTCTATACAGGGGTAGACAAAGAAAACCCAAGGGGGAGGGGGAGGGGGTAAAAAAAACATAAGGGAGGAGGTGAGGGCAGGGATCTGTGGGGTGGGGGATTGGTTTAGGAATGGAGGGTGGTGGTTATAGGGGAATGGGAGGAGAAGAAAAACCATGAGGAAAGGGCTGGTAGGCTGGGTTTGGGGGATGAAAATAGAGAATGGGGAGGTAGGGGGAAGGGTCTGTAGGGGTGGGGGATTGGTTTAGGAGTAAAGGATGGTGGTCACGGGGGAATGGGAGGAGGAAGGGAGGAGATGGAAGGGGTTGGCATTAGGTTTATTTTTTTTCTTCAATTTTTTCCATAAAATAATTTTTTAAAATGATTTAACTGAAAATTGGATGAAATGTTAAGAATTTAAACGATAGGGGGGAAATTGGCAACAACAAAAAAAGTTCATATCCTTAATTTTCTAAAAAAAATGATAAGGGGTCAATTGAAAGTTAAGTACAAGTTCATGGGGCAAATCACTAGTATACCCTAAAAGCTAAAGAGTAAGAAGAAAATAGAGAGTTTCACTAAAACACCCAAAATGGGGGCTGAAATTATAAAAAAACCCAACACCCAAAACACTTTATAAACACACCCAAAACCCATCATTACACACACTCAAAACCCATTTATAAACACACCCAAAAAATATACAATTGTTGATTTTGGGGTTGATTTTGGGTGTGTTTCTATGTTTAAATAGTACTTTAGTTTTTTTATAAATACATGTCTAGGATTGGGTTTATTTATAAATTTGTAAAGAAAATATATTAGAGTGGTGCTAAACGAAACCTAAAATGAACTAAGTATACCATATCATCTAAGTACATCATAATATTTTAATCAAATTATAAAATTAACTAAATATATCATATTTAACTACCAAAAGTACCTCTAGTACACCTTAATACACTCTATCACACAACCCTAATACTCTATATAACTCTTCGACATCACACATATCTGTAATTAATTTCCCAATAAGCACCCACGTTCATGTTATAATTCTGAATATTGTAATAAATATTTCTTCAAGGGATCTCTACTATGACCTACCATTTTTAAGGACACAAAACTATGGATTTTTAAATCCCAGCAATATCTTGATGTGTCTAAAGTAGATAAACAAATTCTATGTAAAACCATTATAAAAGAACAACTGGTAGTTCCATGGCACTCACTGCTAGTCCGAGAAAGTTACAAATTTACTAGGACCAGTTACTTCACATTTTGATGTTGCTTGGCTTCATCCACAATGTGTTTCAGACCGGAGACTTGCTCAATGTTGTGGTCATTCTTTTGGAATTTTTCATTCTCTTTTATTCCGATCATCCTACTTGCAAATATGCAGTTGCGCCTCCGTCAGTGTTAGCCGGGTTGTTCGCTGTATGAAAACTTCTTTATGTTTGATTATGGTTGAATATGGTGAGTAGGGTGTACTCATTAAAATTATATTTGTTTCACAATTCAATATATCCTTTTTGGTCATTTTATATTATGATAAATTAGTAATTCAATAAGTAGTTTGTTAGTAGGGTGTACTTAGTTAATTTTAGGGTTCATTTAGCAACACTCATATATTAATTGCATATAGATATATTCACAACTAGGCAGAGAAATTATAACTCAAATAGTTAAAAATAGTTAACTCTGCACGCGACATCATGTGTTCAAATTCTTTTTCATCTAAAAAATTATATTCCTATCTGCAGTAAATCAGATTGAAACCAAAATAACTTCCTTTGGCATATATTGATCCATCCATTACTTTTGAAGGTTGGCTATAAAAAATAAAAACAAAAACAACTCCATGTTTAATGACCCTATCCATGTCAACTACTAACAGCCAAGGGCAAAATTCATTTATATGATTCTTTGATGCATCATCAGCCTAACATGGACTAACACCTTCCCTTACTTCAGTAAGGTTGCCTTTGCTTATTCTTCTGGTAGCACTTCCTCTAAGTTGATGAGGGGTTGCCCTGGCTTCACCTTCTAGCAACTCACCAAAAAACACAAAAAGAAAAACATCAGTTTCAGCATTCATGGGGCAAAGCAGCAGTATCAAACTCAAAGGACCCTTTTGGGACACCCTTTCATCACCAGTCAGCTTGACAGAGGGAATTTGATTAGAAAATCTTTATAGCTCGTTAGGCGGCACTCGAAATGACACAACCCTGCACATCTCGGTTTGCTTAAACAGACTGACAAATCCTTTTGCTTTGCCTAAATAAGCAACTTCAATGCCAACATCTTGTTTAAAATCTTGCAGGACTTCCACATATTCAAATTTGTTAGGTACATGCTTTTCAGGCTCACAACTCCATCCAATATCCCAGTTGTGGTAGAGAGTCCAGGTTTCTCCCTTCCTAGGATATACCAGAAAAGAGTTTCTGCCCCTGCCTCTTCTGAAGTGCATCTGATGAGAAAACATAAGATGATTTGTAATTTCTTCACTGTGACCAAGTGTGTACTTACCACAAGCAACTGGCAACTCCTTGTTGCACCAAGCAATCTCACCTTGGTCATTTGGATTTGGCTCCAGCCAGGTGATCTTCAGCTTAGATCCAGAGGTGTACACTTTCTTGACAAGAGCATAGAATCTTGGCATGCCATCTTCTGGAGCAAAAAGAGCCCATGTCTGATTAGCTCTAAAAATGTTTTTTGCCATATCCTCGTCAAGCCCAAACTTGTTGAATTCAGGATCAGGAATGTTTGAATTTGGTCCAGAAGCAGCATCAGCTCTGGACTTAGTTTCATTGTTGCATGGCATTACTGCTTTCTTTACCTCCAACTCAAACTCACCAGTTTGCAATTTTTGCTGCGAAACCTTTTTTCTCGAGAGGCACTCGCTTTTTGTTTTGGTTCTTTCTTGTATCGATCCACGGCAGCTGCAGCAGCAGAACCAGTTGGCCTATCCCTTGTAAATACCCCATCAGTCACAGCAGCATTCTGCTGCTCCTTTTTAGTAGCACTGGACATATGACTGTCCCTCAACCTTTTGGGAGGACACACAGAATCACCTTCATGATATAGATTTTCATTCTAACAAATACTCTGCCTTTTTCTTGAAGACCTCCTAAGGCGATAGCCTCCATTGAGTTCAACCTGTCCAGAATCAGCTCTAGCTTTATTTCCAGTTTTGAAACTTTCTCTAGATTCTAGACTAGACTTGGACATTTGAAAACCAACCTTCCCTACTCCAACCTCATGCCGAATATCATTCTTTTCAGGGTTAGACTTAGACCCCCTGCTGCCATCAGCAGCAGTTCTCGCCTTTGACACCGGACTCAAGGCTGCATTTCCATTAAATCTTGTGACAGACGGGTTTTCAGTTCCATCATTACTTTGTGAGGCTACTTCTGATCTACCCTGGCTTGGAGAGTCTTTATGATCCGCAAATTTGTACCCGGAAGATTCTGGTTGTACACCTTCAATACACAAGTCATGAGCAACAAAGGTACTTTGGCATTTGTGACAAAGTAACAATTGATTTTCATAGACTTTGTAGATTGAGCATGATACCATACAAGAAGGGCAACATGACGTGAATGTGCGTGGTTCTTTTTCATCTTTCTTAAAGTTAGTGTTAGAACGACCCTGCATTTTGCTTGAAGACGTCCACGGGTGATGGCCTCCATTCAGTTGAGAAAGACCAACTTCAATCATTAAATAGAGAACTTCACACTTTGCAAGTAATCGAGGAATTTTCTTAAGAGCTTTACACCTTTCAACCAATTCAGGAATCTTCTCAAGATCGGGAAAGAGTCCATTAGCCTTTTGTGCCATCTTCAGTGCACCTGAAAATTCACCACCTTTTTTCTTTCGTTTCGAAAGTTGCATTGCTCTGAGTGCCTCCTCTATGTTGCATTCCATGGTTGATTTAGACTTAAAAATCACCTAAATTCTCTCATATACAAGATGCACACTAAGATAAATCCTGCACAAAAGAAGGAAATCCTGAAATCTTCACCCTCCTGCACAAATGCGAACCACACAATTTAAGTCACATAAGCCCAGCAGCTCTGTAGCCTAACTATCATCAAACAACAATTTCAAATACCATTCAGCAAAGTATCAAAATCATCTGAAGGAAAGATGTCTTGTAAAATCAATGAAAAAACAATCTGGGTCTTCCCAGCCAAAAGGCTCAGGACATCGCCATTGGCGTGAAAGTACTGTCCGAAACCACAGAAGCTGAAACCCGAGCGATCAATCTCTTGCAGCCCAGAATTCAAATCCATGTTTAAAGAATGAGAAACAATGAACATAGGCTACATGTATATGCATATTGCATATGCATTATGCACTTTTACATATATATACAAACAATGTAGATATCATAAATGGTCTGTGCATGAAACGAAAATTTCAGATCCATCTAATCCCAACCACAATAATGCCAAAGACCAAATTACTTCTCGATGTTAATATGAAATCAAAAGGATCCTCCTCTCTTTTCCTCAATTTCTTAATCCAACCATAAACTCATTATTTACTTTATCTCAAGTTGGTCCACTAAATACTCCCCAAGTCCTTAGCATTCCTACATTCCTTAATTATTTGACCATCTTAACAAATTCTAAAATAAAAGTCAAGTAAATGCAGGATTTCAAAGCAGCCAAACAACCCCAAAAAAAAAAGAAACAAAAGACGAACATGGAAGGAGTTGGAGTGAAGTAAATTACCAAGAAACCATACAGAAATTCCAAAACACTAGGAGGATTGCTGGCAAAAGAGAGTGAAAGAGAAGAAGAATAATAACTTACTGGTTGAGAGTTGTGATGACATTTGCAACTTTACATGCAGAAGCATTGAAGAGTGGGAGTGAGTGAGTACACTAATATGAAAGGGCACCGTATGCCATGCATTGATTCGGGCCATTTGCCCCAAAACCCCAATCCAGAGGTTACCCTCCTTTTGGATGATGGAAAATAACTCGGAATTTAAGTAAAAGTAGGGAATTTAAGAAGAGAATTTGACAATTCCCTTGTTTGGCAACTTAAGCACGGAATTTATTAAATGACGCACGAAAAAAATCGTGGAAATTGGGGCATCAAATTTCCTAGTTTAATTTCTACCAAAATAGGGGTCATTTCATAATTTCCGTAGTGTCATTTACCAAATTCGACATACATAAATCCAAACAATGAAATCTTCAATTGCTAGAAATTGGAATTATGGAAATCTAAATTCCGTCATTTTAGAATTCTATGTCATTTTCAATTCCTCCATCCAAACTGATTGTTCTTTCCATTTTCCTTACTAAATCAAATCCATCGTCATAAATAATGAGAGATAAATTTTGGACCAAAAAAATAATAATGAGAGATAAATAAAAATAACTTACGTATATGTCTCTCTCTTCAAGTGATATATGTGACATGTCACAAAGGGGAAATAACTTACCTATCTCGATTCACCGTGTCTCACTTTATGTCTCAAATGCCGGTTCATAGTGTTTCGCTCTATGTCTCATTTCCCAGTTCATTGTGTCTCGCTCTATGTCTCATGTTCCGTTTCATTGCCTCACTATATACATCTCTTCCTATCTCTCGTATATTGAACTGCTTCTCCTCATGTGACATCTCTATGTATCTTCTCACGTGACTTCCGTGTGGAGGATTATTAGAGGAGATATATATATATATATATATATCTGACACCACCTCCACCTGCAGCTGACACCACGGCGTGCTCGGGAACTACTGAAAAAGGAGAACACGGAAGAAGAAAAGCAGAGCAAGGTTTGATCACAAAACGCAGAGCGTATAGAGGAAAACGCTCTCGGCGAAAGGCCCAACTGGCAAATACTTTCACATAAGACAAACGATCTTGAGGCCAATACGGGAATTGTGTAAAATATCAAGGGTAGTTTTGTCTGTTTAAGATATATTTGTGCTCCAAACTTCAAAGATGCGTTTAAAACTTTGCGCCAAAAACAAACCTGGGTTGGACTAAAACGACACCGTGTTTCTTCTTCATGATGACAACGAAGAATGAACTGGTAAAAAGATTGAATCCTTTTTACCAAATCCCAAGCAATATTACATGCAAAAATCCTTTCATGATTCTGTCTACAGGCTAATATTTACGGTTTAGAGTAAATTCGAAAAATTTCGAAAATCATGTTCACATAACATTCCATATGGGATGAAATGGAAATTTATTGGTACAACAACATAAGTGGATAGCTACTTGCACAAAAACATGAGATATGAGACAAAGTTTCTGCTTATGTATTTCTTGCCAACACATCCCTGATCAGTTGCTTTGGTGCTGCATTTGGGGAACAAGGAAGGAGAAGAAAATGATAAGATAATGGTTGAAAGTGTGGTTTAAAATAGAAAACGATTTTACAGAGAAAATTACTAGAATTGTTAAAATCTTTCGTATCGAACTTACCAGGTACACCGGAAAAATTTTCAATCTGTACAAATGCTTGATTGAGGAGCATTTCTGTCCCAAAGACCACAGCTGCTCCAGACTCTTGTGCTTCTTGCAAGAGTCTTGTCCACTTAGGTGTATAAATGGCATCAAACACCAAAGAGTAGTGCTTCAAAGCTTTCTGTCACAAGAAAGAAGGAAAGATATACCTATTGAATTATGATATAATCCTAATCATGACAGAAGGAAATACAACACTAATTAATTGGAATTTATGGATAAAAGTTCCAGGAAAACATAATATTTTTATCAAATTGACAACTTCACGCGTAACGGGAGGCAAACCTTGGATACGGGTGTTTGATCAGTTCTTGGTTTCATTCCAACGGATGTGGTATTTGCAAGAACCATCCCATCCTCTGGATGGAAATTTTCCAATTCAGCAAGAGTAATAGCTTCTCCTCCAACTTTATTTGCAAGTGCCTTGGCTTTGTCTGGCAGTCAGAAGAAACAATGGATTTAAATACAACGATAGTTACTCCCAATTTCATCAAACCAATAGTTACTTTCCATTTCATTAAACAGAAAGCTCTCTTTTCACATTCTTAGTTTCTTCTCATTAGTTAACCTTATAACATGTTCTAAATTTTATCATTCTTTTAAGTTATGAGAATGTGAAATGAAACATTTCCTTTCTTTTCTATTTCCCAGCATTATAAGCTTGTAATTTAATAAGGATTAAGAGCAAGAAACTTGGCTGTCAGAGTAAAAGCACACGACTAAAGATTCTCACCATATGTGCGATTGGCAACTACAACTCTTGCTCCCTTTTCTTTTCCGCCATAAGCAAGTGCTTTTCCAGCACCACCAGCTCCCATCACCACAAATAACTTACCGGCTAACAGGGAACCAGATGTATTACTTGAACCATTTAATGCTGCAAGAAAATTATAGTGGTTATTCAACCTACCAAAATAGCTTGATCCATGAATTTTTTTTAAAGGTTAGTCCATAAATATTGAATAACATGTAAAATGCAAAGAAACCTTGAAGTCCTTCCTCAATTGCTGCAATTGCTCCAAGATAGTCCACATTATAGCCTATTAATTTTCCATCGGCTGTTCTCCTGATCATGCAATTAACTGCTCCTATTTCCTGCAAAACATATTTTGATTGAAAAATTATTTTAAAAAGCTATAACAGTTAGATGGCTCAATGATCTTCCTAGATAAATTGATGTCAAACTATTTATAGGTGACTGGATGGGCTGCAACCATAATATGTCAGATAAGATATGAAAGAAAGGATGTACCTTGGCCTTTGGATCGATTTCATCACAGCATTTTAATCCAGCCTCCTTGTGAGGAATTGTAAAACTGTTTTTCATATAAATAAAAGTTATTCCCGTTTTCAAAACAACACATCTTAATTCTACATCCAAAGCCACTGACATTAAAAAAGAAAAAACAGAGAACTCTTGAAGAGACCAAAAATTTGAGACCCTGTCCAGAACACAAATATTGGCAGTAGACCTAATATATATTGAAAAGTACATGTTATGCTGAAGCTTCTGATATCACATTTTACCTGTATCCAACAAAATCCGGGGAGTTATAGGTGTCGATAAAGTTCGCAACGCTATCAACCAACAGAGGCAAATAAATTCCATTGAAATTAATAGATTTGAATGCTGCATTGTAAAGATGAGGGCTTTTACTGTGACCAATAGGATTTCCTATCACACCATGTACTTTGGTATCCGGCCCTATAAGTCTGAAATTGTACAAGTCCAACAGATCTTTTACAGTAGGCTGGCCAGGTGCTGATACTACTCCCGCCTCTATTGTACCAAATGTGAGAAATGCACCATATTTTGCACTAAGTACACGTGAGATCAAACCCTTCTCGCCCATAACAAGCCCTATCATTGGGACCTGCAGATTCAGTTGAAATGCCATTCACACACTGTAGAAGATGACAAATTACCAGATAACTTAAACTCAGAAAACATTTTATTTCACATTTTTGAGTTTCCTCAAAGAAAAAGTTAAAACTGCAGGTTCAGCGAATTAATTTTATTTTGTTCTCAGGTTCAGCACAGATGCAAAATATATCAATAGTTTAAATGTCACATTAATAACGTGGGAAAAATTTATTCTTAAAAATGAAAGAATCCTTAATTGCATAAACCAGAGCAATGAATTGAGTCACGTACTTGAGAATGCACTAGTACTTGAAATACACGTGCAGAGTCGGTGATGTCTAAGGCAGTTGTTGCAATCTTCACTATGTCAGCTCCAGTGGCTTGTATCCTTGCAACAAGATCACCAATTTCCTCTGTGGATGGAGTCTTCTGATAGTTGTGTGAAGAAACAATGATTTTGACCTTTTCTGGCTTCTCCCCTTGAATGGAATTGTAGAAGTCATGGGCTACCTTCAAGAGAAAACAGTTGAAAGTCTTAGTGACTAATTGCAACTTGAGTTCTGATTGACTAATTGCAAAAGGAAAAAAAACGATGTTTTATTCTTTTATGTCTGTCTCTGCTTTAAGCTATTAAGTTTGTTGGTTATATATCACTAAAGGTTGCATATATCCATGTTGTAGACAGTACGACTGAAGAAAAAAAGGTAAAAACTTTCATCAGGAAACTAAACAACTGGTGAATTCCAAAGAGACATGAGATTCCTACCTGCAGTTCAACATCAATATAATCTGCTCCCAATTCCATGGCTAGACGCAGTGCATCTTGTCGCTTGTTGTCATCACCTTTATATTGACCACCCTCCCATGCTGGCCTATAAGGTAAATGATGCATAAGAAATATGGATGGACTGCCCTTAATAGAGACAATTCAATGCAAAATGAAGTCAAAAAAATAGGAAAAACAGCAACAAGTCCAATACATGATGTCTGCATGCTTTGAAGGAGGTAAATGGAAATCTAAGTGAGAGTAGCAATTGAAGATCTGGACAGCCGAAACAACATAAACGAACCAATCAAACTACTCGTATCACTTAATCTAGTGCGATTTCTCAGCAACTAGAAGAGCACAACTTGAGACTCAGCTGACATTATTTGATCCCCAAGTCATAAAAGGCTTGCATTTGTAGTCAATTTCTTAAACTCTGGAATTATGACTAGCTTTATATCTTGTGAAAAGATTTCATTAACTAAAGTGATAAAACAATGGGTTCAACAATTACCTGTAAGTGAAAAGAGTTGGCAAAGGAGAATGTTTAATCAATATTTCGAGATCTTGTCTTGGACTGAAGTTCTTCAAGAAGTCCAATCGAATTTCAACGAGGTCAGCACCAACTTCCCTTGCCTTCCCCATTTGGACCAGCATTTGATCAACTGATTCCGCCATTACTGGCGCACAGATGAGTGTTGAATTTCTTCGAGTTCCATTCGTAGTATGAAGATCCGAAACAGCCGACTAAAAGTTCACCCAATGAAATAAAGAAATATGAGCATACAGTTTACAGCAGGAAGCTATTCAAAAGTTTGAACAACTATTGAGGAAAAAAAAACAGAGAACTTAGCACTCTGGTTTTGTAAATCAGTGCAAAGGAAAATAGAATGAAGCTCAAACACCTAACATATTCTATTTCTTCCCCTGAGTTTTCTTAGAAAACTAGAAACAAAATACGTCAAGCTTCGAAAAAATACGAGGCAAAAATAAAATCTTCTGGTTAAAAGGGAAAGCAAAGAAACAATGAAAAAACAGAGAAACTTATTTCTTTCTTTCCCACCATTTTCTTAGTAGCCAAACAAAAGGGTGAGTTTCTTTACCATTTTGGGTCAGAAAAAACCAAGATTGCTATAACAATTCTCACTGCCCTCAAAACCCAGATTCTCAGAAACGGAAACGAAAACAGAAAATGAATCTTTACCGGTCCGCTAAGGAGAGTCATTGTGCGTCAATTGCTTGAGGTTTGAGCTTCAAAGATGGCGACTAATGTCAGCAAAGTCAAGTGATTTTGATGCGTGCGAGCGAGAGAGAGCGAGAGACAGAGGTTGGTGGGTGAGGGTTAGGTGCATGTGTTACACCTTAAGACATGTTTAGTTCATATTTTCTCAATTTTTATGATCACATACGTTGTCATGAGTCCCACATTATATGAATAAATATTTATTAAAAAAATAAGAAAATAATTTTAAATTAAAAAATAAATAAAACTCTCTCTCTCCCCTCTGCGCTCTCCCTCTTCCCCATTCGCATGCCCACCACCCGCAAGCTATAACCCCCAAACCCACCCCACAGCCACCCTCAATCTCTATTTTCCTTTTCTCTGGATGGTAAAAAAGAAAGGGTCTTTGGATATCAGAAAGGAGGAGGAGCTCATAAGCTTCAAAACCCACAAAGTTTACCACTTTGCAATTTGAATGCACCAACTTTTTACTTAAACCAGCTAGCTTTTGAACTTTGCTCATCGGCAGAGACAAAGCAACCAATGTTTTGTCCTTTCCCAAGTGCAAGTCTTATAAGATTTGGTGTGGCTGCTCAATTATATTTTCCAATTTTGTATTGTCGTTATCTATATATATTATGAATCTGATAATGGTTCATGCATATGTTTATTTACGGTGCCCAATCTTACCTGTGTTTGATGAGAGTCCATAGTTTTTTAGTTGGACCACTTGGGATTATGGATCTTTTGGATGGCAAGTAAATACACGTCTCTTCTCTGAAAGAAAAAGTTAGGTTTGGATGGTGGTGTTGATTTGAAACCTAAGTACAACTTGTTGCTTTGCTTTGATACCAGATTATTGGTAGGGTCAGCTCAATTCATGTAGCGTTAAACAAAAGGTTGTATATAGACAGGGCGATTCTTCACATCAGACTATTATTACTTGTGTTATATTATTAGAATAAATTCTTCGGTTCGATTGAAGAATTGAATTACGTAACTCATACGACCACGTAACTCATACGACCACAATAGGATCTTATGAAGTTTAGTTCAATCCGGCTCCAACGCTAGTCCCCCTTCAATCCCAGTGTTGTCGACACAAGGACTTCTCGACACCAAAATTGGTTGGTCTGTCCATTTTGTTGGTCCCTCTCCTAAGGGCATTTCCAGCGCTAAGGGTTGGTCCGGGCAGGTGGGGGCATGAGGCCCCAAGCACAGTTCTAGGGGGCTTCTACAACCCGAGCAAGTTCAAAGGCAAAACGAGCCCGATCTCATGCCCGAGGGGCGATGACGTCAGCGCTGAAGTCAGCCTGACATTAGCCTTGCTTTCCGCCAATGGCTACAAGCCACATGTAGCGTTCTGATGTCTTCGATCATAATTTTTCCTCCAATCCAACGACTGTTAATTTTTGTGTAAAAAAAATCGAAATATTTTTTTAACAAACACCAATAAAATTCTGATTGTTTTTTTCTATGAATACCTACCAATATTCTTCACTTTCCATACAAAATCTTCATACATTTTCTTATCCTTCCAATATTATTCACTTTCCACACCAAATTTTCTTCACTTTCCAAATTTCATTTGTGTAAAAATACAAATGACATCTTCCATCGAAACTAGAGGGTCATGGACAACCATGGAAGATATTTTGTTATGTGAATGTTGGGTCCAACTTGGTCATTGCTCGATTGGGTCCAAGTTGGTCATTGCCCGATCACAGGCAATGAGATGAAGTTCTCTCATATGTGGAGAAAAATTCATGCCGAATTTTGTGAAAGATCGGGTTTGGCTAGTACAGAAATTGCCTTGGCTAGTAGGTATAAAATTTTGAATAAAGAGTTAGGGAAATGGAGAGATGCGTCGGCAAAAACGAAGGACAAGTTCAAAGCAGCGAAAATCTTGGCAATGAGGTAAATTATTTGTAATTGTCGTTTTACTAAATTTAATGTCCTATTTTTTTAAAAATTTCTTGCATTTCCAATTTTTATTTATTTATTATAGATTATGCAAGCACAAATGTGGTTTGATGCCATTGACCAAGGCAAAAAAATCTTTTAACAATCACCAATGTTAGGAGGTGGTTAAAAATTGTTTGAGATTCAAAATTATTCCTACGGGTCCAACCATTGTGTTGAATGAGACGCCGCTTCACGATTCAATAACATTAGATTCGCCGTTGGATTCATCGATGAATCAAGACTCACCAATTCAAAGGAAGCCGAGACCTATTGGGAGAAATGCGGCAAATACCAAGAGATTGAGTAATTCCACCAATGAAACTGCAAAAAATTTGGAGCAAATTGCTCTTAACCTCACAATGAGAATTGAAAGAGACATGAAAAGATATGTGGATGAGAAGGCAAGAGAAAGGGAGTGTGTGGATGAAAATCTTATCTAAAATATGAGATTTGTATTTTATAATAAATATCAACACGTGGCAACAGAGAATCTGATCCGAAATTTGAAATATGAATTTTTTAATAAATATTGACACGTGGCAACTGAAAATCTTATCCAAATTAATCGTTTAAGTTTATTATAAAAAAAAAGTGAATAGTATTTGCCATGACAATGAGTGGAAACACAACAAGCCTTTTGAAAGAGTTGACACTATTCACATGAATAGTAACAGCTCTTACCTCCCTTTGCCATTTGCTATGACAAATGAGTGGAAGTGCTCTAAAAGCTTTCTTAAAAGCTTCAAATGTTGATTTGATAATTTGGAAGTCAACAAATAGGTGTCTCATAAGTTTGATAATCTGCTTTATTATCTAGGGTTTTTATCACAAATGGTCTCGAGGTTGGCGAAATTATCACCTTTGGTCATTTATGTTTTTTTGTTTTTGTTTTATGATATTATTGGTCCTTTATGTTACACTTCACACATCAATTTGGTCATGCCGTTTGGGTTTTGTCAAAATTTCTGTTAAATTGATGACGTGTCACATATGTGGTGCCCGCATATCCAATCAGATAATGACACGTGGATCTAAATAAAAAATTATTTTTTTAAAAATGGTTTAACATTTAAAATTAAAAAAAAACTTAAATAAAGAAAAGAAAAAAGAAAGCTACAACTCTGCAACTCTCCCCCTTCCCCTCATTCCCCTTTTGTCTCCCCCTTCTGTCTCACCCTCTCTTTTTCTATCTCCCTCGCACCATCCTCCTAGTCAAACCACCACCCAATTACCCAAACCATCCCCAAGCCTAGTGCCACCATACAACCACCCCTATCCTCACTCGAGATCCACCCCCACCCCTTGTCTAAATCCCAGCCCCACTCGAGAAGTGACGAAATTACCAAAATTTAAATATAAGTGAGGGAGAGAGTGTGGGTCTACGAAAGGGGGGGCATTGGCTGGGGGATGGTTGACATATATTTTTGGTTTAGTTTTAGTTTTAATATTTTTTATTTATAAAAAAGACTTAATTTTCTTTTTAAAAAGGATTTTAAATTTTAAATTTCTTAAAATATATCATATATCTTATTTATAGGACCAATAATGTCAGAAAAAAAACATAAAGGACCTAAGATGATAATTTTGCAAACCTCAAATACCATTTGTAATAAAAACTATATTATCTATTTTTAAAGGGACATGATTGTTTGTACCATAACTGACCCTACCACTCACTTCATAACACGTGGAAAGAGTACGGAGTTAGGAAACATTCTGGCTCACCGACAGACCGGTCAAAGGTATGAATCGGCATAGGTGACCGATTCATCACAAGACACTTTCCGATTCATCACAAGACACTCTCGTCACCCGTTGATCGGCTTACGCTCCCATAAGCTCCTAAGACGTAAAGATCGGCACTCCATTTCGATTGTACGAAAGGATCTCAAAAGCCCTCACTGATATTTTGCTAACTCGTGTCGACCACAGAGGACACTCTTACGAGTCCCACATCGAAACTAAGTACTAAGAGCATCTCAAATGCTCTCTATAAAAGGACCCCTTGCCCTAGACAAATGGTAAGATTTCTCTTAACTTCATGTATATTTTCAGAATATTATAGGCTTATCAATCATCTTCAAGCCATTTGCTAATACTCAACCAATTAACTCTGGAAGGCAGTACAAAACCAACAGAAAGATATCACCCTAGCACAATAGACACAAGAATAGCATCTAGGACACTCATAGTTACAAACCCTATAGCCAAAATTTGGTAAGTTGCAGAAAGAAATTAATAAACATACAAGGAAAATAAGAGCAATGGTAGTGGAACACAAACATCACATTATGAAAGTCCATTATTAAGAAACTTACCAGGGATCTTATCTGCAAAACCAAGTTCCTTGCATAATTCAAGAGCCTGTGCATGCTGACAAATCATCCCAAGAAGTTTTACAATCTCATCTCCGTTTAAGGTTGAGAGCAATCCATATGCAGCTACAAACTGCAAAAAACCCAAAATCTCCAACGAATTTTCGGCATCTGCTCTCATTTTTTCTTGCCACTGGACTGCTAGGCTTACTGCATCTTTTTTCACATCAAGTCCAACATGCGGTTTGACTCTAGTTAGATCATTCAAAATGGAAATGTTCTTCATGACAACTTTTGGAACCAACATGCCCAATTTTCCAGTGCTCAGTTAAAGATGCTTGCACCAGCTTCAAAACGAGTTTTGCTGGGTTTAATGACATTTGCAGAGCATCAAACATTTCGATATGCCTCGACTGTTTTCCACTTAAATGCTCATTTGGAGAGCCCTGCAAATTCCTTGCATCTGTGGTGGCATTTAGTTGAAGATTTGGAGAAGATGAAGTTGATGCGCATCTGACCGGTAAACATTCTGGTTCCTCAATTTTGACAGGTAAAGAAACGATGTTGCCCACTATGCAATTGCCAAAAGAAACAAAGAAAAGGCAGTATAGTGAGTGAAAAGTTTTGAATTGAACATATCAAAATATATTTATAGCATTATGTGCTACTTGTGCTTTGACTCAAGTGGTAAGCAGTGTCGTGTGTGGGTAGGCATAGCCATTAGGTTCAAAACTTACCAAGCGAAACCAAAGGTAAATAACAAAATGCTTACTTTGCATGTGTCAGAAATCCGATGGCATTATGTGCAATTGGAAATAGAGACTGCCTTAAAGATCAATTTAGAAGTTTATGCAAACCTTGCAATATCAAGATCAAGGATGAAATAATCAAAAGAAGAGTATATGCGGCACCAGATATGTCTACTAAAGAGAAGAAAACATGCAACAGATGCTAAAAGCCTTAAACAACACAGTTATGAAATAGGGACAAATAAACTGCTTAAGTTTTTCAGGACAGCAAAAAATAGAGTATTTACTTACTAGAATATACAGCCCAAAAATCGTTTGCAATATAAAATATCATTGTGGCAGAATATAACAACAAGGTCCACAAGGTAACAATTGCTTTGAAATATGTTTAAAAATCATCGCTTGCAAAAACTTCATAAAGTAAATGTCTGCTCTGCAACTCTAAAATGAAAAATATAAGTAACATTTAAAAAAAAAAGACCTTACCAGGTGCCTTATTTGTGATACCAAAGGCCTGACAAAATTCAGTGGCCTGATCTTGATTAACAACTATAGCAAGAAGAGATTGAAGCTTTTTTGCATCATAAGCAGTGGTGAATTCATATGTAGAAACAAGCCGCAAAAAGCCCAAAATCTCCAACCAATTTTCAGTTGCCACCTTCATCTTAGCCTTCCAATCAGCTGCCAACTCCATTGCTTCTTCTCTCACATGAGGATTAATTTGTGGTGAGAATCTCTTCAACTCCTGTAGCAAAAGAAGACAACTCCTCCTAATAACTCTCAAATCATAATCAAACTCCTGGTTATCCACATTCAAATTTGAAGGGTAAAACCCTTGCATTGCATCCAAAACCAATTTCGCTGGGTCAGATGACGCCTGAAGAACACCTGAGATTTCTCTACCCACTAAGTCAATTCTCTTCAAATTCTCATTCATGAGCAATTGCAAGCCTATACGATTCCTGTTTGCGCTTGACTGAATACTGGAGGAAGAAGGAACATTGGTCTCCATGGATTTTTGAGTCGAATCAAATTGTTTTTGTTTCAATTCAAGCTCTTTGGCCTGTTCTTGTAACAACTTGTCTTGTGAATCCAAATCCCTTTGGCGTTCTTGAATCATCAAATCAAATTGTTTTTGTTTCAATTCAAGCTCTTTGGCCTGTTCTTGTAACAACTTGTCTTGTAAATCCAAATCCCTTTGGTGTTCTTGAATCATCAAATCAAATTGTTTTTGTTTCGATTCAAGCTCTTTGGCCTGTTCTTGTAACAAATTTTCTTGTGAATCCAATTCCTTTTGGCGTTCTTGAATCATCAAATCAAATTGTTTTTGTTTCAACTCAAGCTCTTTGGCCTGTTTTTCAAGTTGCCCCTCTTTCATTTCAAGTCCATGGGAATGTTCTAGTGCTTCTGAATCCAAATGTTTTTGGCGTTCTTGCATCAATTTTCTGAGTGAATCAAAATGATTTACTTGCACCTCAACCTCATTGAGGTATTCACTGGCCCTGTTATGAATCAAATTGAGTTCCTCAAATTTTGACTCAAGTTGTTTGTTTCTTAATTCAAACTTCTCAACCCATCCTTCAAGTTCCCTCTCTTTCGATTCAAGTTTACAGGACCATTCCTCCATGGATTTCTTAAGCAAACCATAATCTTTCACCTTCAACTCCATTTCCCTGATTGTTTTCTCTCTAGATTGAAGTGAATTAGAGCACTGCACCATTACTTTCTGAATCAGACAAAGTCTCTCCTTTTTCAGTTTACTTTCTTTGTGATATTCTTCAAGAGATTTACCCGCTGCTTTAACCCCCTCTTGTTTCAAAACCAACACGTTCTTCTCCTTCTCAACAGACCCCCTAATCGCATTTAGTTGCCTCCGGTTCAACTCAATATCCTCACGAAAAGTGTTCAACACTCCTCGAGCCCCTGTCACTTCCTCCTCCTTAATCTCAAGCTCTTTGGACCTCTCTTCCAAACTTTTACGAACCCAACGCAATTACTCAGTGCCCTCTTCGATGCTTTTTTGGATCAAATCACACTTCGTCTCCTTCTCTTTAACCAATTTCTCAACTTCCATTAGTCGTTTCTGTGTAACATCAACCTCTTTTCTTTTCTCTTCTGTCAATCTCTCGATTCCATGTAATTCCTGGGCTTTGGATTCCATTTTCGAGTGAAAGTTGAAAACTTTCTCTTCCAATTCCTTCTCGCGGTCCTCAAGCTCCTGGTATCGGGCCTGTGGCAAGTACTGTTCCAAGTCAAACTGGTCTTGGACCTCTTGGAACCGGGTCTGGAGCGAGTTACGTTCCGAGTCAAACTGGTCCTGGAGCTTTTGGAATCGGGTGTCAATGTGACCCAAAAGGGCCTTCCACTGCAGGGCGAGATTGCTCTGCTTCAACTCTGGTCCTTTCAGACCTGAGGCTAAATTTTCCATTTTTCGCCTCCTTCGTCTTTAAAAGATCCTAAATGTTGTCAACGCCGTGTTAATGGAGAAAAAGACTCAAACTTAAAGAAAAATTCAAAAACCCTCGAGTGCCTATACGTCAGGTACGATTCATTTTCATTTTCTTAAAAAACCCTAAAATCAGATGCTGAAAGAGAGTGAAAGGCTATCAGCAAGGGCGGAACCACACTGAGGGCTACAGTGGGCTGTAGCCCAGTGTGGTTTTTATAAGAAAAAAATATAAAATTTATATATTTAACTTATTTTCAATATTAGCCTAGTCAGTGGTACTGTACATAAGGAAGTACTCCTCATTTGGATTCAAATAAAAATACTAGAAAATCAAATTCCCACCAAATCAAAATATGAAAAATCGGTTTTAGTGCCAAATACGATTTAGGCTAAAAATGATGGCTCATTAAGTCAATATATACTTCATACTAAAATTCCATAAAATCAAGTTTTCTTATTTGATGTGTGAGGAATAAAAGCCGCCAAAAATTATCTTGAGAAAATGATTATTTCGAAAACCCATTTTTCATACTTAGTCAATATTTTTACATAAAATAACTTTTCATCTATAATATGAATGCATGAAAGAACCTAAGGTCAATCTAGATAAAAAACCTTAGATGTTCAATCCACTATGGTGTTAAACCCTATTTGGTTTATGTTAAAACTTATTGAAAATTAGTCTATGGAGCTATAAACTAGCTTGGTTTATATGATTTAATGTTTACTTTTATTTATAGAAAGACTATAGAAATTGTAAGTACCCAAAAAAAAAAATCACTAAATTTTAAAGCTAATAACTTTAGCTAGCCTACCCGTTGAAAAATTCCTGGTTCCGCCTTTGGCTATCAGATGATGACATCACATACCTTGAGTTTGGCGTTTCAGCTTGAAGCTTGAAATAGACGACTGTGGAGGAAGGAGGCCAAGCTTAGCTTCTTCTTCAACATAACGTTCACAAGCTCAGAGCTCTGTTATGACTCATGGCTCATGCAGATCAGTCTCTACAACTACAAATTGCGCTCACAAATCCTTGCTTCTCATAAATTCCATATGAGCCGTTGGTTTAAAAGTTTGACAAACGGACAGATCAGAAATAAAATCTTACTTGCTCCTTACGCATGTGCCAATTGGTTTTTATTATTATTACTAGCCTTTCTGCATGCGTTTCCGCGCCTGCGTTATTTTTTTTTTTTTTTTTTTTTTTTTTTTTATTTTATTTTATATTTATTTTTTTTAAAAAAAAAAATGGGTAGTTGTGTTCCATAAAAATAGGATCCATTATCTGAATTTTCTTTTAATTTTAATTTTTTTTAATATGAAAAAGTGTGAATTTACCATATTATCCTCATTTAATTAATAATTTCAATTCTTAATGTTTGCATTAACTAAGGGCATTTTCTGGTATTTTAAATGTTTCACCATTCTATGTCTTTTGCTTTATATATATAGATTTTTTTTTAGTATTAAGAAAAGATAACATAGATAGTTATTATTTGATTTCGTTTTTAATTTTAATTTTTTAAAATATAAAAATGTGAATTTACCATATTATCTTCGTTTAATTAATAATTTCAATTCTTAATGTTTGAATTAACCAAGAGCATTTTCTGGTATTTTGAATATTTCACCATTCTCTGCCCTTTGCTTTATATATATAGATTTTCGTACGGTTATCTACCAACTGTTTGACTTGGGATTTTTAGCGCTTAATTAATCTCCTGTTTGACTTGGGTTTTTTTATTTTTTATTGGTTGATAAAGCATCTTTATCAAAAAAATAAAATAAAAAGGATGATATACAATTCAAATTTATTTATTTTGTTTATAAATAAGATGATGTCTAATAAGCCATAATCTTTTGTAGAAGTGAATTAGAGGAGTGGATCAAGACGTTGTATATTAGAGATCTTTGAGTAGTTTAGAATATCACTTTGTGAAAATAAATAAATAAAAAACCACCCCCATCTTTTTTATTTTGAGAAATAAATCATTTATAGTATTGAGTTAATAGCTACAAAAAGTTCATAGTATGGCAGCCTTCAACCTCGATCTCTTGGACCAGAGGGGTCTAAGAGATTGTGATCACTCACCGTTGGATATTAATCTAACGGTTCAAAAAAGTTTCTTAAAAGGAGTGCAGGAATTAGTGAACTGTTGAATTTACATCCAAAGGTGAGTGACCACAAATCTCTTGGACACCCATAATCCAAGGGATCGGTCGAGACTGTGGCAGCCTTTTGCACAATGTAAATAAAACCTATAATTTAGCATCAATTAGGAAAAGGCATTTCATTTGACGACCCAAAGGTATGAACTTTGTGCAACAAAACACTTCCCCTAATGGAAGTAATGCAAACCAGAAAACAAAACAGGCTGGATGCCTACCAAAAGTTGTGCCATAGATGCAATTGAAGGTCTCTAAAATCAGCACTATACAGTGGGACTGGATTTTCAGAATTCAATCCAATATAAACTGGTCCTTCAAAGTTTAAACGTGTGGAACGTTCCTACTATATTTGATTAGGGTCATAACTATGAGTGTTGGGCAACAAGTGATGGGAGTGAGGTAGCCCAGCATTCTGCATGGCACTAAAATTAGTGCCGATTTCATGGTCGTTGTTGGCAGCAGCCATACGAAACTGTGCAGGGTGTCCATAAGTTTCATACAGCAGAGATGATGAACTTAACCCCATGGCACCAAAATTAGCGCCAGTCTCATGTTCGTTGGCAGCGGCAGCCATACGAAACTGTGCAGGGTGTCTGTAATTTTCATACAGCCGAGCTGACGAACTTAACTCCACTGCACCAAAATTAGCACCAGTTTCTTGGTTGCTGACCACCATACCAAACTTATCTGCACCAGTTTCATGCAGCAGAGATGACGAACTTAACTGCATGGCACCATTAGCACCAATTTGATGGTCATTGGCATCCATACCAAACTGCCCAGGGTGTCCATAGTTTTCATACAGCTGAGACGAGTCACTGTTGAAAGTTAGCAATGCATAAGGTCTAGGAATAGCTGCCAGAGGTGTCGGATGACTTATATTTTGACGTTTCTCTGGTGGTTGAAACTTGGGGGCAGAAGTGCTAGTACTACGCTTCTTCCTTTCTTCATGTTCTCGTTGTCCCAACTTGGAGGTAAAAGATATCTGTAAAGGTCTCCAACTCTCCTTTAGTTTTCCCAGCTGAAGAATTTCTGACTCGATGTCCTTGGATGGGTATTCAGACTCAAGATTGTAATCTTTGATGCATTGAATCACAGCTCTAAGATCAGCTATTTGGTCTTTTACAACAATATCCTGTGAGGAAAAATAAGACTTGATAGATGCATATTTACACTGAGAATGATCCTAGATTTAACTATTTAAGAAGCGTTATTTGATGTCCAAAGTAAATGTACCTTTTCATTTTGTGAATTTTTTCCCATCCATTTTGTCCAGTACGACTTCCTTGCATCTTCCACATATTCTTTTAGGAGTCGTACTGGCGGGAACTTGTCAACTACCTCGAAGGTGCAAATAAATCTAACAGCCTCAATCAGTTGCTTCCTTTCAATAAGATTCTGAATAAAATCTGCAACATGTAAAACAAAATTGTAGGATTGATCAAACTGCTCCAGATAAGTTTCAAAAGGACAATTACACAGTATCACTAAGCAAACGTAAAGAGGTTAATGTTAGAGGTATAGCTCAGTTGGTTGAGCTCTTCCACCTCCACCCATGCGGGCAGAAGTTAGAAAACCCCAGGAACCTAATGAATATTTGTGTAAACCCCCCTCCCCCAATCGCTTGTACTAAAAAAAAAAAAAAAAAAAGAAAAAAGAGAGAAAAAATATAGGGTGGAAAAGAAGAAATCAGAACACAATATTAAATAGAGGACACAGAATGCCAGTGATGTAAGAGGACACTGGTCCTGTCAAACTAAATATCAAACCAATTACAAGATAATTTGCGGAGATTTACTGAGCTTCAGAACCACAGTTATAAAACATTCACTTAAAAATATATAATATATTCCAACAAGATCAGTCTGTAATAAAAAATATCTTACATAACCTCATTGTACATTTCCATAACTATATCGACTCATAAAGTTTATCATAGTTTTATCAATCACGTTCACACCATTTGCTAATATTCGGCCCATTAACTTCTTAAGGCAGTATACCAACCCCCAAGCTATTGCCCCAGCACTATGTACATAAGAATGGCATCTAGGACACTCTAATTACAAACACCAATAGCCAAAATATTGTGAACTGCAGATTAATGTAGTGGAACACAAACATCACACTATGAAAGCCAATTTTCAAGAAACTTACCAGGGATCTTATCAGAAAAACCAAGTGTTTGATTTAATTCTAGGGCCTGTTTATGCTGAGAAATCATGCCAAGAAGCTTTACAATTTCATCTCCATTCAAGAAAGAAAGCAATCCACATGTAGCTATAAACTGCAGAAAAGAAAAAATCTCCAATGAATTTTCAGAATCAGCCCTCAGTCTTTCTTTCCACTGAACTGCTAGCTCCATTGCATCTTCTTCCACATGATCTCTAACATGCGGTAAGACTTTCATCAGCTCGTTCAACAGGGGAATGTGGATCTTCATGAGAGTTGCTTCAAAACCAACATCTCCTTTTTGCCAATATTGATCAAGAGATGTTTTCATCAGGTTCAAAACAAGTTTTTCTGGGTTGAATGACATTCATAGAGCATCAAACATTTCGTTTTGTACTAAATTATCTCCACTTAAATGCTCTTTTATACACCCCTGCAAATTCCTTTCATCTGTGGTGGCGCTTGGTTGAAAATTTGGAGAAGGAGAAGTTGCTACATTTCTGACTTGTGAGGATTCTGGTTCCTCCGTTTTAACAGGGAATGAAAGGGTGCTACCTGCTATGCAATTGCAAAAAGAAACACAGAAAAGGAAATGCACTGGTTAGTAAGCGAATAATTTCGACTTTAATATATCAAAAGAAATTTACAGGATTATGTGCCACTTGTGCTACTATAGATGTCTAGTTATTAACTTAACAAGGGTAAGAAACATGATAAATAACCCATATGATTCTTCAAACATTGAGAATTTAATTAGATGATCATGTTTGGGACAGTGCACTCTAGAGAATTGTACTACAAGTGTGGGTGTGTATATATTCAGAAACAAGAGAGTATTATACCAATAAGAAACTCAGATATAACTATGAAAAATAAATATAAAAGCGCTTACCAGGTGCCTTATTTCTGATGCCAAGGGCCTGGGATAGGTCAGTTGCATCTTCCGGTTGAGTAACTACAGCAAGAAAACTTTGAAGCTCCCTCTCATCATAAGTAGAGGTCAACTCAAACGCAGTGAGAAGCCACAAAAAACCTAAAACCTCCAAGACATTCTCAGCCGCCACTGTCATCTTATCCTTCCAATCAGCTGCCAACTTAATTGCCTTTTCTCTCACCTGATGATTAATCTGCGGTGACAACCTCTTTAACTCCTGCAACAGAAGAATACAACTCCTTCTAATAACTGTCAGATCAAAATCAAACTTCATTTTGTCCACAGCCGAATTTGAAGGGTAAAACTCTTCCATTGCATCTAAAACCAATTCTGCTGGGTCTGATGATGCTTTAAGATGAGCAGACATTTCGCTAGACAATAAAGCAATTCTCTTCAAATGCTCATTCATGAGCAACAACAAGCATCTACCATCCCTATTGATGCTAGATTGATTACTTGCAGAAGAAGGAATAGTAGCAATGTTAGCATGGGTATATTCCAGAGTTTGGGTGTGTTCTTCGGTGGATTTTCGAATTGAATTGATTTGCTGTTGTTTCAATTCAAGTTCTCTGGCCCATTGCTCCAGTTTCCTCTCTTTCTTTTCAAGACCATTGGAGCATTCTTGTAATGACTTTTCTTGTGAATCCAAATGCTTCCCACATTCTTGTATCAACTTTTCAAGCGAATCTAAATGGTTTTCTTTCAACTGAACCTCATTGAGGCAATCAGTCACCCCCTTTTCAATCAGACTAAGTTCCTCAACTTTTGACTCAAATTGTTTCTCTTTCAATTCAAGTTTACAGAACAACTCTTCCATTGATTTCTTTTGCAAAGAAAAAAATTTCACTTTCAAATCCATTCCCCTAATTATTTTATGTTTCAATTCGATTGTCTTAGAGAATTCCACTATCGATTTCTGAATCAATCCAAGTTTCTCCTTTTTCAATTTCATCTCCTTGTCATATTCATCAACCAATCTTCGTGCTTCTTTAATTTTCTCTTCTTTCAAAGCAAATATTTTGTTCTGCTTCTCAATTGACCCCAAAATCTCATTTAATTGCCTCTCCTTCAACTGAATGTCCTCAGAGTACTTGTTTAAAAGTCTTTGAACCTCTCTTAATTCCTTTTCCTTAGACTCAACCAACTTTGACTTCTCTTCCACTGTTTTCTCATACCAATTCAATTTACTTGTTCCCCAATTAATACTTTTTTCAATAGAATCATACTCTTTCTCCTTCTCTCCAACCCACCTCTGAACATCCGAAAATCGCTTCTCCTTAACAGAAATCTCTTCATTATGCTCTTTAATCAATAACTGAAGAGAGCGCAAGTGCTCCATGCCCGATTCGACCTCTTTTAATTTCTCTTCAATCAACCTCTCAATTCCACGCAATTCGTTGGCTTTTGCTTGCACTTGGTTCTCTAAGACCCCCATTTGCTTCTCGTGATCCTGTACCTCTTGCAATCTGGTGAGGAGCCCATTCCGGAAGGAATCAAAATAGTCCAAAAGGTCCTTCAATGGCAGGGCGAGCTTCCTCTGCTTCCACTCTAATTCTTCCAAATTGAAAGCTTTCTTATCCATTGTTGGGCTGCTTCTCCTGTAAAAGGACGAAACTTGTTACAGACGACGTGGTGGTAGAAAATAAAGAGTAAGAAAAGTTGAAGCAAATTAGAAAGAATAGCCTAGTGCCTAGTTTCCAAAACCCTAAAACAGAGTAACAGGGGAGAGCAGAGAAAGCATTGTGGGTGGAATTACTGCCAGTTTCAAGTGGTAAAAAGCAGAAAAGCAGAAAACCCTAATGGCTAAGCCTAAGCACTGCAGAGACGATTCATTTTCTGAAAACCCTAGAACAGAGGAGACGAGATTGAAAGAGAGAATGAGGGTCTTATTCCCATACCTTGGGTTGGGTTTTTTCAGATTTTCTCTTGCAATGGAGTTATGGAGTTATGGAGCAAGTAGGCCAAGCTGCTTCTTCTTCTTCTTCTTCTTCAACCTCAAGCGTCTCCAAGGTTGTAATTTTCTTAACCTCACAAGGTTCTTCTCACTTGTTCTCAAGCTCAAAGCACTGCCGTTCAACTTCCTGTAGCATGCAATAAAGGCCATGTCTTTCGAATGACATTTGGACATTAACCAATGTACAATGGTCGTGTCTTCAAACGTCGCCACGTATCCATCTTTTTCGATCGCTTTTCTCTTTTCTTTTTACGGCGATTGTTTAATGTTGCATAGTGTTCAAATGACATTTCGAACATGTAAGGCTCATGGTTGTTTTATGGCAGTAAAATCCATATCGAAAAATAGAGTTCGTTTGGTGTTCTACTAAAAAAATGAATTTAAAAATATGATTCTTTTGTTTGACAAAAAAAAACATGATTTTTTAAATTAAAAAAAATATGAGTTTGCAAATATTAATTTTAAGATTTCAAGACTTATTTGATGTTAATTTTTTTTTAATTATAAAAATTTGAACTCAAAATCGAGTAAACTAGCCATGGAAATAACGTTTTTCACCTACCTCAAGATATAAAAAAACCCACTCAAAAAACGTTTCAAAAACCCATCACTTGGATTAGCTAGGGAGAGAGAGAGAGAGAGAGAAGAACTCATTGAGTTTTACCAACTGCGAATTATGGAATTTGAACTCACAAATTATTTTTTAGTTTAAAAAAATGAATCCAAGATGGGCTAATGGTAAGTCGGCATATTCCGCCCATGCCCAATAAAAAAGTGCCAAAAAAAAACAACACATTAATCATGGGAGTCATCGGTAATTTCATTCGACATGTCGCAGGAAAGGCTATCACTACTGGACTAATACAAAAAGATGGGCCAATTTCGACCCAAAAAAAAAAGGATGCGCCAATGTGAATTGAAAGTGAGGACACGCCGCCAAGTCCAGGGTCGAGGCGATTGAGCAAACCAGTCCAGTCCACTAACTCTACAAATTCTAAATTATGATACAAAACGAAACGACATCGTATGAAGAAGAAAAGCTTCTTATCCAAAAAGGCGCCTGATCTGGCAAATGATAAACCTTAACCCTCGGGCCCTCAGAGTGCCAAACGAGAGTGAGAGCAGATCTGAGAAAATGAGGGATGAGAAACACAGAGAAGGTCTGGAAACCCTAACAATGGCATTGGCTCTGTGATCGGAGCCTTCGTTGTAGATCAGAGAGTTGAGCGTGAAGAAAGAGAGAGACGACGGGGCATGAAGAAAAGCTCCTCAAATGCGATTCTTGTTTTGCGAGGTTTACGCCTCGATGTCCGCCATTGATCCACGATCGGATCCGTTCAAGAGCTCACCGTTGAAATCGCGTAGTAATTAACACCAAGACCAGAGATCTGATGGGGCTAGGTATGGGGGTTTCCAGGACCCGTCAAAGTTGATTTTGAAATTTAGGGTTTACTTAGGTTTATGGTTTACGGAGATCATTGTTTTTTATTTGATGGAGCGACATGCCTGCGGAATTAATTAGTAGGTCGGTCTTTAATTCAATGCATTAATGCGTTCGCTGTTTGCTTCCATTCCAGGTACATTCCCTGTCAGCTTGCTCAAGATGCGATAGAGTGCGATGTGGATTGATAGGCACTGACAGCGGGCCTTCACTTATCTTTAAGGTTTTACTCCTTTCTCATTCAAGCATGTGGATGTATGTTTTTTATTTTGTAAGATATCATTTTTTGTTTTTAAATGGAAACAAAATGAACAAAAATAACCAGAGACAAATAGCATAGTATTTTTGAAAAGTTGAACGATATATCTGACAAAAACAAAATTGGCACACATTATGGGAGCGCTTCGAAATAGCATATTTTTGTTGAATCATATATTCTGATATGAGGGAGTGGGGGACGGTATCTTACATATGGAATTGGGACACTGTGACATTACATCAGTGATACACGGTGGTGTAGTGAATTTAAAAGTAATCATTTGTAGAAATAACGGATGGTCTAATAACCATGCATAACTAGACTGTTCAACAACTTGATGTTCCGACAAAAAGAGAACATCAGATGATGGGGTTTCTCTAACTTTCAATGTAACATGAGGTGGAAGACATTAGACCGTGAAAAATCATAAATGGGTTAGTGCATTATTCAAATATTGTCGCACACAATGTTCTAGGCAATGTCAGTAATCTGAGTGTTTTAATTAGACTCTCCCCTTCTCAACTTTTCAAGTTAGGATGAGACTGGAAGGAGTCTCAGAAGTTCTCAGTATTTGCTTTTGCATCTATGCACCCAAGCAATGTTTATAGGTTATTACCATGGAAATAACATTTGAAGCAGTAAATTTCATAGAACTAAAATTTATCTGCCCACATTGTCAAATATATACTGAGAATAGATTGGCAGTTATAAATTTAGAAATCTATTCAGTCTCTCTCTCGGGTGTTCTGTTATTTTTCCTAGTTGTAGTTGGTACATATCAAGCTTAATTTGATATAATTTCTCACAGTAGCTGTTTATCATTCATTTTTTGTTATCTGTTGTTGACAATACCTTTGGATTGTGTAAAAGCTGGAAGATATATAACATATATAATTTCTGTTTTAATTGTATTTCCGTGTACTGGCAGGGATTCTTTTGGTAGTAAAATGTTGTTTAAAATGAAGTTATGAATATACAAATGTAGTAATAGAGTATTTAAAAATGTTTCTTCAGGATGTTGTGTCCTGGTTTGCGATCTTTAACATTCAGTGGTTATCACACACCAAATGTTCTTCCTATGAGTTGCAGTAGTTCTATGTTCTTTTTTGTTATTGACATAACAAACTGTTCTTCCCATCATTCCCACTTGTTGCATTTTAACACGAATTTTTTTTATTCTATGGTTTTTTTGATATCCTTTTATATTGCTAGCTTTCGAGTTTGTCCATATTTTAAAGACATTATTCGTTCCTGAAATGCCAGTGCTGGAGTCTATTACTGTTAGCCTTTTATTTTGTAGGTAACTTTTGAGGATTGATGTTTCATCTAGAGACGGGCAATGATGTTTTTTGTTAGTTCGTTCGTTAGTGTGACGCTTTCTTATGTTTGTTTGTTGTGTCGTACACTTGCACATTCAGTAGTTATGCTTTGGTTCAACTTATTATTTTGCACACTGACCATCTGGTTTATTTCCGTCTTATTCCAATTGTTATTATTTCTGATGGTTCTAAGTGTTTTATTAATTGTTTAACTGTTTTTTTCCCAGGATATCTAAAACTAGAGGCTACGAGGATTTCGCCTCAAATTTCCTTTTTGTTTTTTTAACTAATTTGATCTAATTTCAATCAAAACAAGTCTGTATAATATCAATTCTTTTATTTTTTTATATTTTGGTTAAATTCTTTTATTTGAGTGATGCGGATTGTAGTTTTTACTTTCATTGTATGCATGGTTTTCTTTTTCTTTTGTTAGCCATTAGAACATAGATTAGGCCCAAAGATTTGTCAGATCGATTCTTCAGACCCGCAATACTAAATTGGGCCAATAAATGGCCCATATTCGATCAATGAGGCCCACTAAGAAGCCCATAAAAGTTAATAGGCCCAATGAAGCGCTATCAAACGACAAGTAGACCCAATGTCAGGCAAATAAACCTCAAAGTAGGCCTAATGGAGGGACACTAAACTACAAATTAAGCCCAAAGCAGGGTCACAAAAAGACAAAAAAGCCTCTTTAAGGGTCAGTAAACGACAAAATAGGCCTAATAAAAGTGACTAAACGACAAAATAGGCCCATGAAGGTTCTTTAAACGATAAGATAGGCCTAATAAAGTGCCACTAAACGACAAACAAGGCCCAATGAGGAGACGCTAAACGACAAATTAGGCCCAACGAAGCACAACTAAACCTCAAAAGAGGCCCAAAAGGCCACACTAACTGACAAAATAGGCCCAATGAAACACACTAAACGACAAAATAGGCCCAAAAGGCCACACTAACTGACAAAATAGGCCCAATGAAACACACTAAACGACAAAATAGGCCCAAGTAAGGATCCATAAACGACAAAATAGGCCCAACTAAGGCCATGCCTATTTTGTCGTTTATGGATCCTTACTTGGGCCTAATTTGTCGTTTAGCGTCTTTTTCTTGGGCCTATTTTGTCGGTTAGTGTGGCCTTCTGGGCCTCTTTTGTCGTTTAGTTTTGCTTCATTGGGTCTAATTTGTCGTTTAGCGTATCTCCATTGGGCCTAGTTTGTCGTTTAGCGTTTTCTTATTGGTTATTGGGCATATTTTGTCGTTTAGTGTCGCCCTTTTGGGCCTCTTTTGTCGTTTAGTGTTTCTTCATTGGGCCAAATTTGTCGTTTAGCGTCTAGTCCATGGGCCTTGTTTGTCGGTTAGTGGCACTTTATTGGGCCTATTTTGTCGTTTAAAGGACTTCATTGGGCTTGTTTTGTCGTTTAGTGTGCTATTGGGCCTATTTTGTCGTTTACTAATCCTTTATGATTTCTTTTTTATCGTTTTGCGACCCTTCTTTGGGCTTAATTTGTATTTTTCGGCCCTCCAGTGGGCCTACTTTGAGGTTTATTGGCGCTTCATCGGCCATACTTGTCGTTTACTAGAGCTTCATTGGGCTTATTACCTTTATGGGCTTCCAAGTGGGCCGTTTTGATCGAATATGGGCCATTCATTAGCACAATTTAGTAATGCAGGTCTGAGGTATCGATCCAACAAATCTTTGGGCCTAATCTATGTTCTAATGGCTAACGAAAGAAATAGAAAACCATGCATACAATGCAAGTAAAAACTACAATCCGTATCACTCAAATAACAGAATTGATATTATACAGACTTGTTTTGATTGAAATTGGATCAAATTAGTCAAAAAAACAAAAAGGAAATTTGAGGCGAAATCCTCGTAGCCTCTGGTTTTAGATATCCTGGGAAAAAAACAGTTAAACAATTAATAAAACACTTAGAACCATCAGAAATAATAACAATTGGAATAAGACGGAAATAAACCAGATGGTCAGTGTACAAAATAATAAGTTGAACCAAAGCATAACTACTGAATGTGCAAGTGTACGACACAACAAACACACATAAGAAAGCGCCACACTAACAAACGAACTAACAAAAAAACATCATTGCCCGTCTCTAGATGAAACATCAATCCTAAAAAATTACCTACAAAATAAAAGGATAACAGTAACAGACTCCAGCGCTGGCATTTCAGGAACGAATAATGTCTTTAAAATGTGGACTAACTTGAAAGCTAGCAATATAAAAGGATATAAAAAAAACCATAGAATAAAAAAAATTCGCGTTAAAATGCAACAAGGGGGAATGATGGGAAGAACAGTTTGTTATGTCAATAACAAAAAAGAACATAGAACTACTGCAACTCATAGGACAAACATTTGGTGTGTGATAACCACTTAATGTTAAAGATCGCAAACCAGAACACAACATCCTGAAGAAACATTTTAAAATACTCTATTACTACATTTGTATATTCATAACTTCATTTTAAACAACATTTTACTACCAAAAAGAATACATGCCAATACACGGAAATACAATTATAACTGTCTATTTGACATCACGGTGCAGTTACTCTGCTCTACAACTAAGAAATAATCCTGTGCTACAAAAGACAGTCTTCTCATCATGCATGACTTATCAGAATCATGTTAGGAAATGAATAAAATATATTACTATAAATTCATATTATGCAATCAACTAAAGTTTGATATGCGTCACATATGAAACTGGATGTTTGAGCATTCACACAGACACACAAAAGAAGAGCACAGATATGGATCTCTGCAGATCACGAAAGCCAACATTGTCGATTTTGTACTACAGTCCTAAAGATGAGTGGTAAAATTCTATCATATAGAAGGTTTAAAGTAATTTGTAATAGGATAAAGGTCAAGGTCTTTAAAAGTAAATCAAACCCAAATTTCAGATTCCTTGCTATATTTTGGAGCCTGCAATGCAAAGAGACCAGCGTTTTTTTGTCATTTGTGTGAATTTTGGAAATTTCACTTCCATCAGATCATACTTGTCCCTGTGTTGTGGCACCACTTGTAAAGTAGGTAGGGATGGGCAACAGGTTACCCATTGGCCCAAATGGATACCAATTAGGTGGTGGTGGTTAGTACCCATGGGTGTCCATTGCCCATCCCTAGTCACGGTTAAAAATTTAAAAAGAATAAAAATCAAGTAAATAAGATAGGATCTATTTGAATAACTCAAACCCAAAGGTTCTTTCAGATACCCCTAACAAACTCTAGGAAGTTGAATGAAATGCTTAAGGGATGCAGGGTTAATATCCTATATAAATAATGGTTTGGTTTAATCTTAAATGATAAATTGAATATTTTTACAAAGTCTAAATATGAATTGAAATGTCACTGTCTGCGTGTGTGTGTGTGTGTGTGTGAGTGAGAGAAGAAAAATCTGAATGGAAGGATGAAGGTCCTTTTACTAAGGCTTCTCTTTTCCTTCCCACGGGCTTGTCACAAAATTCTACAGAAGTACCACATCTTGTTATGCTTTAAAGTTTAAGACATAAGAAACTATCATAAGGCTTAAAGGGTAGCTCACTTAAAGAGCAGACATAAGATCATTCTACACATTGTAAAGAAACAGGAACAAGTGGTGGTAGTATAAAATAATCGTGCCTGTACGAGAAATTTTTTGGAGCATCCTTTGCAGAAAGGGATTTAGAAAGTGACTTTCCTTGAAACCAAAGTCCAGATTCATATGTTTTTTCAAACACAAGCTACAAAAGAAAATAAAAAATCAAAACCTCTTTAAAAATATGTAGTTTGTGCAATGAGCTCAAAGAAACTTAAATTTGGATTCAGCAGAAAATTAACTATACTTGAGATGTAGATAATGTAATGGTTTTTCTCCTTTTTCCCATTTTTTTTTCACTCTGGATCGAGATAAAGTTGGAAATATAAACAGAAAAATTAAAAAGGAAATCTCATTAGTGCTCTCATTTTTCACCACCAATTTCTTGTCCTCAAAATAAGGGCGGATATGAAGTTGGTGATCAGAAGAACGCTCTCTGCTCTCTGTGATACCAAATATTTAAAAAATGCATCTGGTGCACCCCTACATTGAAGAACCCTAATTCGACTCCACTCCATAAACTTCATTTATTGTTTCAATGCTATTATTTCTACAACTATTAGATTTAAAGCCAATCAGGTATCACCGCGTGTAGTGAAACCCTATGCGTTCTTCTATCACGGAAAGGAACCCTAGAATTAATACAAGATAAGGTGTGAACATAAGAATAGGGCAAAGATGCTCACCCTTATTAACAGAAGTCTATTATCAGGCCGAGAATGAGGAACCCTCGGACGGCAACATCGAGATCTCGTACATTCTCGCCATCACCGTCGTTTCCCTAAGCAAAAACACATCCTCTTGCGATCTAAATACAAAACCCTAGAATTAATAGAGGAAAAATGTGCGAACAAAAAAATAGGGTAACGGTGCTCACCCCTATGGACGGCACCGTAGAGAGCTCGTGAGTGTATTGTCGCCAATGACGGTGGCCTGCGAAGCCGCTTCGTTCTCCTTTGCCATCCAAGAGCCCTAAACCCAAACGATGCTAGTAATTCTCAGAAAGCTAGCATCTGTCTTTCTCTAGAGGATCGGATCGCGCGAAAGTAGAAATGAATTCCTAGAAACAGACAGAAGCAAACGTTTCTCTAGCAAATCATAAACTCGGGCCTTGGTTTTCTATCGAAACCCTAGCCCCGGGCCATGATTTTCTAGAGAGATCCTAACCTTGGGCCTTTGATTGTCTGAAAGAAACCCCCCTCGGCCTTGATGGGAAACCCACAACAATAGATAGTAGAATGAGGCCTAGGAATTATAGTCCTTTTACCGAGGTAAAAAGACCTTCTTATCCTTGATGTTTTAGACTGCAATGAAGACGTGTCCATGTGTTTAGTGTTTTCTTTCTTTATTATCCAAATTAAAATACCCAAAACCCATTTTCTTTTGCTAATGACATTTGTTATTCGATTATAAAAAAAAATAACGTATAAACTCAATAAAAAATATATTTTTTTAAAATGTGCATTAGTTACGTATATTAATTAATGTTTTCAAATTGCTTTACGAACATTGATGATTTCAAAACATCCCAAGCACTCCATTTCTGTGAAAGTAAGTGCTTTCTCCTACCAAAGCTGGGCAGGGATGGTAAGATTATAATCAGAACTGTACACTGGGGATGGATTTTCAGAATGCCAATGTAAACTGGTCCTTTAAAGTTTTCATGCGTGGAAGGTTCCTATTCGATTCAATTAGGGTGATAACTATGAGGGCTGGGCAACAAGTGATGAGGGTGAAGTAACCCAGCATTCTGCGTGGCACTAAAATTAGTACCAATTTCATGGTCGCTAGCAGCCACACGAAGAAACCGTACAGGGTGTGCATCATTTTCAAGCAGCTGAGGTGACATTCTTAATGGCATCCAACCAAAATTAGCACCAATTTCGCGGACGTTGGCAGCCATACCAAACTGCTCAGGGTGTCCAGAATGCAGCCTAGATGACAGACTTAACTCCATGGCACCAAAGTTAGCACCAGCAGCTTCATGGTCGTTGGCCGCCATGTCAAACTGCACAGGATGTCCATACCGCAGCTGAGATGACGAATTTAACTGCGGATAGCCACGGGTGAAAGTCGACGATGCACAGGGTCTAGCAGCTGCTATGGCTTGACGTTTCTCTGGTGGTTGAAATCTGGGGTCAGAAGTGCTGCTACTACTTTCCTTCCTTTTTTCCAGCTCTCGTTCAAAGGCATAGGGTCTCCCAGAATGTCTCCAAGTACCCCTTAGCTTTTCAAGCTCAACAAGTTGTATTTCAATGTCCTTGGATGCGTATTCAGACTCGAGGTTGTAATCTTTGATGCATCGAATCACAGCTCTTAGATCAGCTATTTGCTTGTCTACAACCTTATTCTGTGTACAAAAATAAGCCTTGAAATATGTAAATATGCGCCGAGGATATGGTCCTAGATTTTACTATTTAAGGAGCGCTATTGGATGTGAAAATAAGAGTGAAGGTACCTTTTCATCACGTGATTCTTTTGCCAGCCAAATTGTCCAGAAAGACTGCCATGCATCCTCCATGTATTCTTTGAGGAGTAGTGCTGGCGGGAACTTGTCGATTAAGTTGAAGGTGCAGATAAATCTAATAGCCTCAATGAGTTGCTTCCTTTCAATAAGATTCTGAATAAAATCTGCTATGTGCAAAATAAAAATTATAAGATTCATCAAACTGCTCCAGAGAAGTTCCAAAAGGAAAGTTGCACAGTATCACCGCCCAAACTTAAAGAAGTTAACTATAGAAAATGCATTAACAATTTAAAATGTTTTCCCTGTAAGCTTTTGTACGAAAGCCAATTTTCAAGAAACTTATACCAGGGATCTTATCTGCAACACCAAGTGTCTGATGTAATTCTATAGCCTGTTTATGCTGAGAAATCATCCCAAGAAGCTTTACCGTCTCATCTACATCAAAGGTAGAAACCAATCCATATGTAGCTATAAATTGCAAAAAACACAAAATCTCCAATGAATTATCAGTATTGGCTCTCATTTTTGCTTTCCACTTGACCGCTAGCTCTTCTGCATCTTTTCTCACATGAGATCCAACATGCGGCAAGACTTGCACTAGCTCCTCCAACATGGAGATGTTCTTCATCATGACAGTTGCTTCGAGACCTCCTTTTCTCCAGTATTCAGAAAGAGATTTTTGCATCATCGTCAGAGCAAGTCTTCCTGGGTCAATTGACACTCGTAAATAATCAAACATTTTGCTCTGTACTGAATTATTCTCACTAAAATGCTCATCTAGACGCTGCTGCAAATTCCTTGCATATGTGATGGCATCTAGTTGAAGATTTGGAGAAGAAGAAGTTGCTACATTTCTGACGGGTGAGGATTCTGGTTCCTCAATTTTGACAGGGAAAGAAACTCTGTTTCCAGCTATACAATTGCAAAAATAAACAAAGAAAAGGCAGTACACAGGTTGGTAAGTGAATAATTTTGAATTTAACATATCAAAATATATTTACAGTATTATGTGCCATTTGTGCTTTGACTCAAATGGTAAGCAGTAGGGTGAGAGTGGGCATAGCTTTTATGTTCAAATCTAAACAAGAAAAACTAAACTTAATTAAAAAATTTATCGTGTTGCATATGTCAGGCATCAGATGGTATTATGTGCAAATCAGAAATAGAGATGCTAAAATATCTAGGATGAAATGGTATCAAAAGATGAGCATATGTGGAACCACTGCCACATATCTCCACTGAGATTCTCATCAGATAAATGAGAACATAACATGCAACATGAGATGCTAAAAGCCTTAAACCACAGATTTATTACAGAGGTTAAAATGAAACTGTTTACTTTTTCAGGCGAGAAAAAAATGACAAACTATTTACGTACTAAAAAGATAAAATGTAAAAATTGTCTTCAACAACTTGTTAAAGTAAATGACTACTCTGCAATTAAAGGCATGCCCGATGGGGAACATAACCAATGCTACCAAATATAAGAGCATTCAACTTTTCTTCTTATTTTTTCCCTTCCCATAGCATGTAAAGGGCATTGATGGTACTAATATAGAGGTTGATTTATTGACTTAACAAGGGTAAATAATATATGACAAATTAACCCACACGACCCTCCTCCAAACATTGAGAGTTTAATCAGAAAATCAAGTTTGGGATGGTGCACTTTAGAGAATTATTCTACGTGCGTGTGTGTATTAAAAAACAAAGAGAGTGATAAAATAAGAAACTCAGATATAAATATGGAAAATAAATACTAAAGAGCTTACCAGGTGCTTTTTCTGTGATGCCAAGGGCTTGGCATAGTTCAGTTGCATGTTCCGTTTGAGCAACTATAGCAAGAAGACTTTGAAGTTCCCTCGCATTATAAGTAGAGGTCAATTCATATGCCGTAAGCAGCCACAGAAACCCCGAAATCTCCAAACTATTCTCAGCTGCCACTGTCATCTTAGCCTTCCAATCAGCCGCCAACTTAATTGCTTCTTCTCTCACCTGATGATTAATCTGTGGTGACAACCTCTTTAACTCCTGTAACAGAAGAACACAACTCCTTCTAATAACTGTCAGATCAAAATCAAACTTCATTTTGTCCGCACCCAAATTTGGAGGGTAAAACCCTTCCATTGCATCTAAAACCAATTCTGCTGGGTCTGATGATGCTTTAAGATGAGCAGGCATTTCGCTAGCCAATAAGGCAATTCTCTTCAAATGCTCATTCATGAGCAACTGCAAGCCTCTACCATCCCTTTTCATGCTGGATTGATTACTTGAGGAAGAAGGGACTGCGATAATACTGGCGGGGGTGTACTCCAGATTTTGGGTGTGGTCTTCAGTGGACGCTCGAATTGAATCAATTTGTTGTTCTTTCAATTCAATTTCTTTGGCCCATTCCTCAAGTTGCCTCTCTTTCATTTCAAGTCCATTGGAATATTCTTGTAATGACTTTTCTTGCGAATCCAAATGCTTTTCGCTTTCCTGTATCGAATTTTCAACTGAATCAAAATGCTTTTCTTTCAACTGAACCTCATTGAGGCATTCGTTGATCCTGTTATTGAGATCGTCAACTTTTGACTCAAACTGTTTCTCTCTCAGTTCAAGTTTACAGGACCACTCCTCCATTGTCTTTTTATGCAAACAAAAATCTTTCATTTTCAAATCCATTGCCCTAATACTTTTCTCTCTCGATTTGAGTGTATTAGAGCAGTCCATTATCAATTTCTGAATCAAACTAAGTTTCTCCTCTTTTAATTTTATCTCTTTGTCACAGTTATCAACTGATCTTTGTGCCGCTTTAATTTGCTTTTCTTTAAAAGAAAATTCTTCCTGCTGCTCCTCAATTGACCCCAGAATCTCATTGAATTGCCTCTCTTTCAACTCAATCTTCTGGGAGCACTTGTCCAGCTGTGCACGAATGACTTTCAGTTCCTTCTTCCTAAACTCAACCAATTTCGACTTCTCTTCCACGGTTTTCTCAAGCCAATTCAACCGATTTTCTCGATTTTGAATTCGTTTCCCCATTACATCATACTGCCTCTCCATCTCTCCAACCGATCTCTCAAAATCCGAGAATCGATTCTCTAATAAAGAAAGCTCTTCTTCACATTCTTGGAATCTCTTTTTTCGATCTTGAATACGTATATCAATTAACTCACACTCCCTCTCCTTGTTTCCAACGCATCTCTGAACATCCGAGAATTGCTTCTCTTTCAGAGAAAGCTCTTCTTCATGTTCTTGGATCAGTAACTGAAGGGAGCACAAGTGCTGCTTACTCGATTCGACCTCCTTTACTTTCTCTTGTAGCAACTTGTCAATTCCATCCAATTCATTGGCTTTGGCTTCCAACTGGTTCTCAAGGATGCCAAATTGGGTTTCCTGATCCTTCTTGGTGAAGTCAATGTGCTCCAAAAGGTCCTTCCACATCAGGGTGAGCTTGAGCTTACTCTGCTTCATTTCCGATTCTTCCAAATCAGGTGTTGTCCGCTCCATTGTTACTTACTTCGCTGCTGTACCTCCTGAAAGAAAACACTAGTAACGGTTATGGCCAGTCGTGGCGGTGGAGAACGGCGGAGAGTGAAAAAAGTTGAAGAAAATGATAAAAGCTTAGAGCTTTGTTGTAGCTGTACGGACAGGGACGAGAGTGACAGAGAGCTTTCTCAAAACCCCAAAACAGAGCAACAGGGGAGAGCCGCATTAGAAAATAGAAAACCCCAGTTGTGGATGTGGTGGCTAGTACAAGTAAAAGACGGTTCCTTTTTCTGAAAACCCTAAAACAGAGGAGACGAGATTGACAGAGAGAATGAATGAGGGTCTCATGTGACATACCTTGGGTTGGGTTTTCCAGATTTTCTCTGGCAATGAACTTAGGGAACAAGTAGGACGAAGATTCTTCTTCTTCTTCTTCTTCAATCTCCAGCGGCCCTCAACCTCTGAAGCTCTGAAGCTCACAAGCTCACAAGCTCACAAGTTCACAAGTCACAAGCACTGTCGTTCCATGCAGGTGATTGTGATTCTATAAAATGGGCAATCTCCATGACTTTACAAATTTCATCTGGACGGCACCCAGTTGCCACGTGTCCATCCATCGTAAATGAAACAGAATGGGTCTTTCCAGCCGTTGATATCTTCTTGGTCTTTCTAGCCCTTTTTATCACAAATAGTAGTTTGCAAAATTATCACTTTTGATCATTTATATTTTTTTCTGACATTATCGGTCCTTTATATTACACATCATACATGAATTTGGTCAAGCCATTAGGTTCCGTCAAAATTTCTGTTAAATTGATGATATGGCATCCATGTATCCAATAAGATAATATCACGTAGATCTAAATAAAAAAATATATATTTAAATAGTTTCACATTTAAAAAATTAAAAATTAAAAAATAAAAAAAGGTTTTTTTCTAGTCCCTTTGTAACTTCTTCAACAGTAAAATATAAATATAAATATAAATATATTTAAATTTTGAATGTGAAATTGTTTTTAAAACATAATTTTTTATTTAGATCCATATGGTATTATTTTATTGGATATGTAGGTACCATATACATGTCACATCATTAATTTAATAGAAATTTTGATGGTACTTAATGGGAGGGACCAAATTGATGTGTGAAATATAATATGAGGACCAATAATGTCATAAAAACACATAAAAAAACCAAAAAATGATAATTTCGCAAATCTCAAACACCATTTGTGATTATAAAATAATAATTATATAAAATTAAATTAAAAAACCCTTCTTTTAATTGATTCGATTATGACATGCCCTTCTTATGAGCTCCTTTTCCTTTTGGTTGGTTGGCTGGATTGGTTGGGTTTTTGTCGTTACCTTCACACAGTAGAGCCATAGCAAGCGTTTCTCACTGTTGCAAATTTGCAATTGCAATTTGGGGAAAATAAAACCGTGGTCAAATCAGGCAAAACATGTGATTCGAAATCCCAAAATAAATAAATAAAGGAAAATAATGTAGGTAGGTGATGTTCGAAATTCAGTCTTTTAGGTTTTTTTTTAATTTGGCTGAAAAAAAAAGGGCCTCAGTTTTTTTAGTTTGCAGAAGATTGGCCTCTTTTAATTGTAACTTGTCAGCATGTATTTCATTATTATATCTATATGATATCTTTTGTGATCATAAAAAAATATAAAAACTACACATTCAATTATTTTAAATAAAGATCCAAACTTTATTATTTCTCAATTTTTTATATTTTTTGTTTGATTTCCAAATTTACATTTTTGTTTTCATATTCAAATGCGTTCTCAGTAAATTTATCTACTGAATAACAGGAAAAACAAAAAATATATATACACGAGAAGTATAAGTTTCCCCACAAGAAAACATATGGGTCTTTTGAATGAATTTGGATAAGTTAGTAAGATTGGGCTTACGCTGATCTGAAAAGAGCATTAAGATTTTTCGATATTAGAAGTCCTCCATCTCAGTCAAACATTTCTACAATAAAGTCGGTCAGTCAAAATACAAGAACTTGGCTTCTCCAAGATGAAAGCAATGCAACTCGGGAAAACCAACAACAAAAACAACAGTCTACCTTCAACCTACCAAAGTTGTGCCATCAACACGATCAGCACTGCACATTTGTCCTTCAAAGTTAGCAGCATGTATGGCAGGTTCATGCTTCGTACTAGATTTAATAATAGTCATATACAGGAGGGTTGGGCAAGAACAGATACTAGTGCTGCATTCCAGCATTCGGCACGGAAGCTATACCAAAATTGATAGACCGTAGGGTTGTGATTCCCCAATACCTACAGTTATGCTTCCTAGGTTATGGACCTGATAGTCCGGACTCATGTTTCCTGGACTCTATTTCCTTGTATTAGGGACTTTTTGTCTCCTTTTGTTTGCACAACTCAATGAATGAGTGAGTGTGGCTTTGCTCATAATCTTTCAAAAATGTCATGGTGTCCATAATTTCCATTCGGCAATAAGGACGAACTTGGCTGCAGATAGCCACGAGGGAAAGTTGGCAATGCATAGGGTGTAGCAGATGTCCGAGGGCGTTTATATTTACTCTGTTGTCTCTGTTCAAACTTGGAGGAGGCACAAGTACTGGTGCTGCGTTTCTTCTCTTTTTTCTCCTCTTGTTCGACCTTGGAGGCACAAGTGCTGGTGCTGCATTTCTTCTCTTTTTCCTCCTCTTGATCGGCCTTGGAGACAGAAGTTCTGGTGCTACGTTTCTTCTTCTGGGAGGAAAGAGATTTATCCTCTTGTTCAACCTTGGAGGCAGAAATTATAGAACTACATTTCTTCTGCTGGGAAGCAAGAGATTTATCCTCTTGTTCAACCTTGGAGACAGAATTGCTGGTACTAGGTTTCTTCTCCTGGGAGGCAAGAGATTTATCCTCTTGTTCAACCTTGGAGACAGAAGTGCTGGTACTAGGTTTCTTCTCCTTAGAGGCAAGAGGTTTGTCCTCTTGTTCAACCTGGGTGGCGGCAAGAGATCTCTCCCCTTGATCATCCTTGGAGCCAAGAGATTTCTCCTCTTGTTCAGCCATAGAGCCAAGAGATTTCTCCTCTTGTTCAGCCTTAGAGCCAAGAGATATCGCCATTTTTCTCCAATTCTCCTTCATTTTCTCCAACTGAACTATTTGTATTTTGATGTCCTTGGATGGGTATTCAGAATCGAGGCGGTAATCTTTGATGCATTGAATCACAGCTCTTAGATCAGCTATTTGGTGGTCTACAACCTCATTCTGTGAGCGAAAATAAGCATTGATAGATGTAGATTTACAATGGGATGGCCCTAGATTCAACAAATTAAGAAGCAGCTATCGGATATGTCCAAAGAAGAGTGAGTGTACCTTTTCATCAAGTGATTTCTTTTTCCTCCATGTTGTCCTGCAAGACTTCCTTGCACCCTCCACATATTCTTTTAAGAGTGGTACCGAGGAGAACTTGTCATTTACCTTGAAGGTGCAAATAAACCTAAAAGCCTCAAACAGTTGCTTCCTTTCAATAAGATTCTGAATAAAATCTGTTGCATGTAAAACCAAATTGCATGATTCATCATACTGTTCCAGAGAAATTTCAAAAGGAGAATTGCATGGTATCACGACCCAAACTTAAAGAAGTTACTATAAGTAAATGCATTAACAAAAGAAATCATATTTAAGATACAAAAGAAGAAACTCAAACACCAATCATAAGTATGCTGGAAAACATGATACCAGGGAGAAAAAGACATGAGTAACGAAACTATCATCCTAGGAAGGTACACAATTCCAACAAACTAAATGCCAAGCCAACAAAGGGACACATTTCTCCAGTCTGAACAACAATTATAACACGTGAGCTTACAATATATAATAAATAACCATAAAAGCAGTCAAAATCAGTCTGTAAAAAATCTTTGACTTATTTCACTTCATTGTGAATTTTTCTATACCTTATCTTGTCTCATGAAGTTTATCTTAGTTTTCTTAATCATCTTCAAGCCATTTGCTAATATTCAACCCATTAGCTCTCCTGACAGGAGTATAAAACCAACCGAAAAATAACTATCCTTTGAAACCCAAAGATAACTGTATCACCCGTGCACAAGGGGCACACAAATGGAATCTACGACACTGTAATTACAAACAACTTTAGCCAAAATACTATAAATTGCACAAAATTAAATCACATACCAAGAAATAAATGTGTAATAGTAAATGGAGCACAAACAGCACACTATGAAAGCCAATTTTCAAGAAACTTACCAGGGATCTTATCTGCAAAACCAAGCGTAAGACATAATTCTAGAGCCTGTTTATGCTGATAAATCATCCCAAGAAGCTTATTAATCTCATCTCCATTCAAAGTAGGGAGCAACCCATATGTAGCTACAAACTGCAAGAATCCCAAACTCTCCAATGAATTTTGAGTGTCAGCTCTCATTTTTGCTTTCCACTGCTCTGCTAGCTTTATTGCATCTTCTTTCAAATGAGGTCCGACATGCCGTGAGACCCTCATTAGCTCCTCCAATAGGGCAATGTTACTAAACATGAAAGTTTCATTGAAACCAACATCTCCTTTTCTCCAGTATTGAGCAAAAGATGTTTGAATCTCATCCAACACAAGTTTTGCTGGGTCTGATGACGTTTGAAGGGCAGCCAACATTTCTTTTTGTATTGAATGATTTCCATTTAAATGCTCATTTAAAAACCCCTGCAAGTTCCTTGCATCTGTGGCGGCACCTGGTTGAATATTCAGAGAAGAACAAGTTGCTCCATTTTTGGCCAGTGAAGATATGGGTTCACCTATTTTGACTGGGGAACTAATTATGCTGCTCTCTATGCAATTACAATAAGGAACATAAAAAAATGTAATAGACTGTTACTGAGTGTAATTCTGAATTTAAGATAGTAAGGAAAGATGTTTATAGCATTACGTGCCACGTAAGCTTTGAGCGAAAGTGGTGGTCAGCATTGCAATTAGGTTGAAATATCACCTAGCAAAACTAAAAATAAATAAGAAAACACTTATTTTGCTATATGCCAAAACATCAGAAGGTATTATGCGCAGATTGGAGATAGATACTGCCTAAAAGAACTCATCAGAAGTATATGCACAATATGCAAGAACAAGATTTAGGATAAAATGACAACAAATGAAGAACATGTGTGCCTGGCCCCAACACTGAAATTCTTATGAGATAAATCAGAAAGAAACATGGAACAAGATATGCTATTAGCCTAAAACAACATAATTATAAAATGGGGGCAATGAAACTACTTTGATTTTCAGACCAGGACAAAAGAGAGTATTTATTGATTAAAAAATAAAATGAAAACACTTATTTCCAGAGTATAACAAGGCCTAAAAGGACAACTATTTGGAAATATGCTTAAATATCATTGCTTGCAACAGCTTCTTAGGGAAATTACCACTCTACAGTGGTGCTTCAAAATGCAAAATTCTGAGGCATGTGCAATAGGGAATTTAACCAATCTACAATGCAAAAACTATAAGCATTCAATTTCCTTTTTTTTCCTCTAAAAGAAGCACCCATAAGGCACAATATCTACATTTCAGAACTTTTCCATGTACATGTATGGGCCATCAGTGCTATAAAATGAGAAAGATTTACAAGCATATCCCATCGCATCACATGTGAAGGGTATCATAGCATAGATTTTTATTTGTTGACCTAACAATTATCCAATGTGGTTCCTGAACGCAGAGTATTTAATCAGAAACAATTTATTACATATTCCAAATAGGGAAAGAGTATTATAGAAATTAGAAACTGAGATATAAACATCAACAAATATAAAAAGGGAAAGAAACAAAAAAAGAAAATCTTACCATTTGCCTTATCTGATATACCAAGGGCCTGGATTAATTCAGTAGCCAGTGAATGCTGAGAAACTACAACAAGAAGACTTTGAAGCTCATTCTCATCATAAGTCGAGGTCAAGTCATATGTAGTAAGAAGCAATAAAAATCCCAAAACCTCTAACCAATTTTCTACCACCGCAATCATCTTATCCTTCCAATCGCCTGCCAACTTCTTTGCTTCTCCTCTCACCTGAGGATTAATTTGTGGTGAGACTCTCTTTAACTCTTGTAACAGAAGAATACAACTCCTTCTAATAACGCTCAAATCAAAGTCACACTCCCAGTTTTCCACAACCGAATTTGAAGGGTAAAACCCTTGCATTGCATCCAAAACTAATTTGGCTGGGTCCGATGACGCTTGAAGAATCGCTGCAATTTCGGTACCCAATAAATCATGTCTCTTCAAATGCCCATTCAGGAACAACTGCAAGTCTCTACCATTCCTGTAGATGCGGGACTGGATACTTTTGGACAAAGGAACAGTGGCATTGTTACCAGGAGTATGTTCCAATTGCTCAATCTTCGCTTGAGAATCAAGGATATTAGTCTTCTTCTTCAATCTCCTTCTTTTTGTATTAGTTTCAGTGGATTTTCGTATCGAATCAACTTCTTTCTGCTTCAATTCAAGCTCTTTGGCCTGTTGTTCAAGTTGCCTCTCTTTCAATTTAAGTCCATAGGAGAGTGAATCCAAATTCTTTTCACGTTCCTGTATCGATTTTTGGAGTGAATCTAAATGTTTCTCTTGCAACTGAACCTCATTGAGGCATTCATTGACCCTCTTATCCATCAAATGGAGTTCCTCGAGTTGTGGCTCAAATTGTTTCTCTTTCAGTTCAAGCTTCTCAAACCATCCTTCAAGTTCCTTCTCTTTAAATTCAAGTTCACTGGACCACTCCTCCATTGATTTCTTAAGCAAATAAAAATCTCTCACTTTCAACTCCATTTCCCTAATTATGTTCTCTTTGGATTCCAAAGTATTAGAGCATTCCTCCAATGATCTCTGAACCAAACCAAGTTCCTCCTTTTTCAATTTCATCCTATCGTCACATTCTTCAATAGATATTTGAGCTGCGTTAATTTGCTCTTCTCTCAAATTATATACTTTCTTGCTCTCCTCAATCATTCCCATCATCCAATTTAATTGCCTCTCTTGCAACTCAATATCCTCTCTGCACTTGTTTAATACCCCCTGAACCACTTCCACTTCCTCCTTCTTAGACTCAACCTCCTTGGACCTCTCTTCTACACATTTCATAACCCAATTCAATTTCTTTGTGCGCTCTTTAACACGTTTATCAATTAAATCACACTCCCTCTCTTTCTCTCCAACCAATCTCTGAAGTTCTGAGAATCGCTTCTCTTTAACATCAAGCTCTTCATTATGCTCTTCAATCAGTAACTTAAGCGATTGCAAGTTGAAGTGGTGTTTACCTGATTCAACCTCTTCGATCGATTTCTCAACTCCACGCAATTTCTCGGCTTTGGACGCCATCTCCGAGTCAAAATTCAACTCTAAGGCTCCCAAACGCTTCTCTCGGTCGTCAATTTTCTTCTCGCGGTTCTCGAGTTCTCGGAGTCGGGTCTGGAGCGAGTTCCGGGTCGACTCAAAGTGGTCCTCAAGCTCCTTCCACTGCACACCAAAGTGGAGGATGGATGAAGCTTGGGCATGCAAGGCTTCGTAGGCCTGGCCGAGACAGCTCTGCTTCGTCTCAGACATTTTCAAATCCGAGGCTATCTTCTCCATAACCGTACGGTACAGACGCCGTGGTGGTGGTGGTGGTGGAGAATGAAGATTGAAAGTTGGAAGAAGACGAGAAAACCCTAGCGCCTAGTCGGAGCTTTCCCGCCTGTGACGATTTCGCTTTCTGAAACCCTAAACCAGAGAGAGTGTATCAGAGAGTGAGAACAGAAGAAGAAGAAGAGAGAGCGTTGTGTTGTGAGGGACAGAGTCGTACAACTTTCACGTTCACGTATCCTTCTCAAGTCTCTCTAAAATTTCTCTCTCCCTATGAGGAGGGACCACCCAAGCATGCAAGGTGCCACGTGTCCAAATCCAGTCCTACTCGTCATTGACCTGTTTTAATTTTGGATTTAGCGCGTAATCTCTTCTTTTCTTTCGTTTAAAGTAATTTAATTATTAGTGAAAAAAATAAAATTTAATCTATCTATATATAAAGCAAAAGATAAAAAATGGTGAAACATTCAAAATACCAAAAATTGACCTTAGTTAATATAAACATAAAAATTGAAATTATTAATTAAATATATTTTTTTATTAAAAACAAAATCAGATAATGGGCCCTATTTATATGAAACATAATTTTTTTTAAAATTTAAAAAATATATAAATAAACAAAACAGAAAACCAATTGCTAAACACGCGAGCGTGTGTTATTAGTAAAAAAACTCATTTAATTATTATGTCAATGGCTTTTCTTTTTTCTTTTAAATTATAATGTCGAGGTCTTATAATTATGCCTTTCATTGTTTTAACATTTAGTTGGTTTATTATTTATTTATGGTAAATTTTTTTAAAAAGAAAATTAGAAAGTTCACTGCTCCATTAATTGCATCCCATGGAATTAGAAGTTTCCAGAACTGCGAATCCTTCCCTGCAAGACTTGCCCACTTGCTAACATTAGTGGGATTTCCAACCTCTTAGAATAAAAATAATATTTTCCAAATCTGATTTTGTAATAACAAACTCTGCGGCAAAAGAAAATAGTCCGATGTTTGAATCAGTGGATGATAGAAATTACATCACGTGTGAAAGAGCTTTAGGTTCGGTATCAAAGCAAATCATGGGGGTGAACCAAATATACATCAGTGGATGCTGCCTTAAAATCATCAACATAAACATCTAACCTAGAACAGGAAAAAAAAACCAAAAACATTGCATGAACAGTAAAAACATGTTCTCAAATATTTCAAAAGCTCCATCTAATTGAGTCAGTCCAAAATGGAAGTAATGCAACTCACAAAAGCAAGCAGGTCGGCAACCTACCAAAGTTGGGCCACTCATTTAACTTACTGCTAATTTGTAAATATACGAGGATGGTAAACCAAGATCCGAGAAATCCTCCCAAGAAGCGATACCATATCATATCTAGTAAAGGTAGAAAACAAACCATACTTAGCAAGATCCGAGAAATGTTCCAATGAATTTTGAGTATCAGCTCCCATTTTTGCTTTCCACTGGATTGCTAGCTTTCTTGCATCGTCCTTCACATGAGGTCGGTGAGACACAAATTAGCTGCTCCAATAGGTTGATGTAACTCAACATGACAGTTTCTTTAGAACGAACATCCACATTTCCCCAGTAGAGCAGCCAAAGTTTCACTTCGTATTGAATGATTCCCTCTCGCAAGCTCATGTACAAACCCCTGCAAATTCCTTGCATCTGTAGTAGCAATTAGTTGAAGATTCGGAGAAGAAACACCTGCTGCATTTTTTGTCAGGGAAGATTCTGGTTTCTCAGTTTTGACAGGGGAACAAATGATGCTGGCTGTGCAAAAATAAAAATATAAAAAATTGCAGTAGACAGGTTAGTGAGTGAATAATTCTGAACTTAACATATGAAAACAGATTTATAGCGTTATGTGCAAATTGTGCTTTGAGTGTTGTGTGGAGTGGGGATGGGGATAGCTATTAGGTTCAAGTCTTACCAAGCAAAACCCCAAAACGAATAATGAGAGCATCAGACGGTATTATGGGCAAGTTGGAGATATAGACTGCCCAAATGGCTAATTTAGAAGTACAAGCAAAATTTTCAATAACAAAAGCTATGATGAAATGGTATCAAGACCCAGGGCCGGCCCTGACTTTTGGATGGCCCGGGGTCAAAAATTAAAATGAGGCCCCTTTATGTTTCATCCTCTTGAATATAGTAACTAAGAGTAACAAGTACTCTTCTACACTGCTCTAAAAACAAGAGTAAAACGCATGTCCAGTGGGAAATTGTAACCAATGCTTCTCAACAATAAGAATTATAATCATTAAAACTTTTTCCCTCTGAACAGAAGCTCCATAAGGCAAGAAATCACACGCATGCATATTTCGAAAGTTAGGTATTCCTAATATATGCCTACTTGGACCCCCAACATAGAGCGTATATCATACATGCAATCCGTCTGTGGTATTCAGATCGAATCTAAACATACATGACTCATTAATTTCTGTGAAACCTTTTGAAAAACCATGCAACCCTTAAGACGTGGTATTCATCCTAAGTGAACTTGCACATATTAATCACAAGAAGCCTTCGTCAATTTCAGGGACCGACCTCCGACCAAAATTGCATCAAATTACTTTTCTAAACATCCTAATGGTGATCAAGCATCAAGACACTTAGATAGTTTAACCCAGTGATGAATAATTCGAAACCCTGCATGCATATAATCATAAGCAAATTGGACAGAAACTACATATTCTTGCTAAGGCTCGTGGCCTCACCCTAGCAAAAGAGAGTTAGTTACGCATGTTCACAATTGAAATCCAAGAAAATATCATTAAGAAGAATAAGAATGAAAACACTTGAAAGTCGCGAAAATCCAAAACCCTAGCAATTGCTCCAAAAGCCAAAAAGAAGTAAAAAAGGGAGTCCTAAATTTATTTGAAAAAGGAGTTTAAATATCTCCTCAAACCTAGCTGCCCAATCCCCACAAGGAAGTTAAAATAAAATAATACTAGGAAATAAAGTCCAAATGGGATTAGGAGAATCTGCCAATAATCTGGTCAGCCACGTTTTGGCCTCAAATCTCCTCCAAATCTGGCCCAAGATAGCTCTTTTTAAAGATAAAAATATTCCGAACACTTCTCCAGAAGGCCATGAACCCATCCGAGGTCATCTTGGGCTCCAAAAACGCAATACAAGCCCAAAATGTCATTATTCCAGCACTGCACATCGCTCCTTCATTTATTCGCCAGGAAATCATCGCTTGGTGGAAGAGTATGATATTTTGATACGATCAAGCTAAGTGGCTCACGAACGTCCTCCAACTGGAATTACTCCAAAATTCGTCCATTTGATTATGTTTTGCTCCAGAGGAAGTCGAAAGTCCTATATTGGAAATATAATTCAAAGTATCAAAATTCTTTCAAAATATTAACCAAAATATACTAAGAATGAGGTTAAATATATAATATAAAATCGACTCATCAAGTCCCTAAAGGAAACCTACATTGCTCAGATAGAGAACTGGACCTTGAATGATGTAACGCCCCGACTCTATTTAAAAGGTTAAAATTTAATTAACTGTGAAATTACGAAACTACCCTTGGGGTAGGGTATTTTGGTCATTTCTTGTCCGGAAGGATTTTGGGACCACAAGTGGTTTAGTTGTGTAAGTGGTTCTGAGATGAATTCGTAGACAGGCGGTAGGCTTGAATCGGAGTTATAACGAAGTGTTGGCGATGAAATTTATTTCGGTGGCAAAATTGTAAATAATTCGAAAAGGGTATTTGTAAAAAAATCAGATTTTCAATTTCGTTTCACTTTTCTCTCTTTCTCTCCCGTGCGTTCTCTCTCTCTCTCCCGCGAACTCTCTCTCTCTCTCGTCACTGTTCACCCGAACAGAATTCTCCACGCCGCCATCACTTCCGGCCACCCCAGCCCTCGAGACCGGTTCCGTTCGACTCGTAGTGAAGTCCCGGACCTGACCCACCCAAAATCCCAACCGTAAAGCTTGAGAACCGCCGGCAGTTTCGACTGGTTCGAGCCGGACTTTTTCGGTCGTTGCGCCGCCGCCTCCGCCGTTCATTTCAGGTAAAATTGGTGGGGTTTCTCCTTCGTTTTATTTGTTCTAGCTGCATGTTGCTTAGGATTGAACCGATTTTGAGGTTTTGGAAGTTATTTTCGAATTAGGGTTTTGGCTGGTTTTCAATTCGAAATTCCGGCCAGTTCCCGGTGGTTTTGGGCTTGGCCGTAGTTGAATGAAGTGCTCCCCTAGTTGAGTAGGACCTGTAGCCGGGAGGGTGATTTGTGATTTGGAGATTTTCCGTCGCCGGAATTTCTCTGCACACCCGCTTGCTGCCGGCGCGTGTGGCGGCGCGTGGGCAAGTGTGGTGGAGCTGCAAACTGTTCCAATGTGATCTTTAAGTTGTCACGAGCGCATAGGATTTCGCGGATCTCGATTCCGAGGTCGTTTGACTATCGAACGAATTATCGCATATTGTGCGTTATTCGGGTTCGATATGTTCTGACCGTTGGATCGTTTTCAAATTGAAGTATGTTCCTCTGGATAACCGTAAGATCGTGTAGGATTCGACGGATCGTAAAACGGAGTCCCGGATACTCCGGAAATGCCAACCCTAGGGTGAGGGTTTCAGTAACCGTCCAATTGTGCGATCGTGAGCGGTCTAACCGTCCGTTTCGGACCAAACTTACAGGACGTGTATCCTAGACCTCGTAAAACCTATAGGAACTCCCGGGAAGCTAGGGTTTTATTTCAAAGTTCTGTTTTGAAGTGCTTGATATTCATCGCATTTTCGTATTCTGAATCAGGTACTCCGACCCAGCATACGCAGCAGGCGGGACCCTCTAAGGGTCAAGCTGTGTGGGACTACTTGTGAGTGGACTTTTCTTTTGAAACTCAGTATGATTTTATTCATAGAAATATGGCATATTGTTTTATTATGTCTAGTAATTATTTATATATGCTCGAATGGGAATTCGAGGTTTTCATAAAACTTACATTGATATTTGAATTTTGAGAAGCTATATTTACATGCGGCTATGCATGGGGTACTTGGTGGTTAATATGAACTATGGAAAGGTAATGTTGGATCTATTATTTGGAGTGCGTTAAGCACTAATTTATGTACCTCCCCTGATCTGAATTTGGTTACGATGAGAACTCAGGGCATCCTTGAGGGGATGTTGTTGTGGACCCTGGATTTGGGGTAGTCTGCGCGCGTAGGACTGGTATTTCAGGCGTACAAGCTTTAACTGTGTCGGCTGTATGTGCTGGCTGAGAGTTAGTCCCCCGGTTGGACGGCTCGTTCCCTAGACACATGGTGAATTGAGGAATGGCTCTGCCATGTGGCCTAGTCAAACAGTCCCCTGGTTGGATTGTTTCCCCGGTACAATTAAATATTGGTTATCTTTATATACTATTATTATTATTATTATTATGATTATGTTATCTCATATTATTATTATTATGTATGTATATTATATATATTTATTTATATGAATGTTCCTTCGTTCTATTTTTCGGTAAGGATACTTCCTCGCCGATCGTACTTTTGAGTACGTTTACGAGAGTCTAATCTCTCGGGACTCTTAAGTTGAGTGGTGGGTTTCGTGAAGCATTATTCACGGATTACGGATTTGAGATCTGGTATATATGTGTTCGTGTATGTTTATATATATTTTTTTCTGTTGGTTCTGTTATGCTTATGGTTTCATTGTATGTTTTTGATAAAGGTGGGGGTTATACTACTTTGATTTCTTTTGAATTGAACTTGATTTTTGTCCACTCACAACTTTCTATTTTGCGCCCCCAGCCAGTAGCGACTGAGCTTTGCAGTTGAGCCGGACCGGGTGCATCTTGGAACTCGAGTCTTCGTAAAGACTCTTGGTGCTTTGTTTTTCCTTTCAGTTAAACGGTACTTCGGTTGTATTTTGAATTCCTTAGTTATGCTCTGTATCGCCCGCTGAGGGTTTAATTTTGTGAGGCCGGAGGCCTTTGTTGTAAAATGTTTTGTTGCTTGTAAAGCATGCTGCCAATTGGTTGTAATTAACTGTAAATTTTGAACAGGTTGAAGTTTGGGAATGTTCAATTTATAGGGGAGACTCTGCCAAATTTTCGGTAGAAAGTCTCAGTCTTTACTAAGTGGGCCCGGCATTAGGTTGATGTCGGTAATTAGGCGGGGTCTGTCCCGGATTCCGAGGAAATTATTATTTTAAGTTTGAAATCCTAGTTGGGATGCATACGCCAGAGTTTCTTCGATACTGCGTGCTCGTTAGTGGAGGCGCACCAGATTGTCTTAATTTTGATGTTTGGTAAAGTATTGGCTTTTCACTCGATAACTTACCGGTAAGTTGTAGTCTTTTCACTGCATCATTTACATGTCGATTAAATATCGGCTTTTCACGCAATAACTTACCGGTAAGTTATAGGCTTTTCGCTCAATCATTTACCTGACGATTAAATATTGGCTTTTCACGCCATAACTTACGGTAAGTTATAGGCTTTTCACTCCATCACTTACATGATGGTTAAATATTGGCTTTTCACGCTATAACTTACCGGTAAGTTATTGGCTTTTTGCTCTATCACTTACATATTGAGCGTAAAATTATCACACATGCATGCGCACTGATTTGATTGAAGTTGCCATTGTTTTTCGATCAATTTTAACATGCAAATACTAGTCATAACTCTAGGGGTTATTTTTTGTTATTTCAATCCCTAGTATGGACATGAATATATTAAATTAACAAAGACATAACTATTTTCGGTAGAAAGGTTAAAGAGCGTGCTGTTGAAATTGCCAAGGCCATAGATGACGAAGATGGGTTGATAGGAGCATTGAATGCCTTTCATAGGCACTTTCCTCACAGTAAATCTGAGGATAAACCCGAGTCATTGCCTGCTAGAAGTGGCTTATTTTCCATCAGTAGGTGTTTTGGCTATTCCCATTTCAGTACACATCCCACGGCCTCTCCTCCACATTTGTAAGTTGGAGCAGTTTCTCTCTGTAATGAGGCTGACTTGAGTACCCTATAACAGTAAGAAAAGAAAAGAATACCCACAGATTCTCTTGTAATGACTGCAAAAAGATTCAGTCTCTAAGCCCCAAGTTGTTAGTGTGTTAACTAGCTGAAAATGCAGTTTTGTTTTAGTACACAAAATTGTATTTACAGGTTCCTTTTGCTCTACCATCCCCAACCAACAAACCACCAGTGATAGTGACATGTACATTTATCTTCAAGTTCTCAATCTTGTTGTTGCCATAACAATAATTGTAATAGACGAAGAATTTGCTAAACAGTTCTGTCTTAGTTTGCTAGACCACAGTTTGTCATAAAACTGTGCACAAAAAAAAAAAAAAAAAAAAAGACAAATATAATAAAAGAACAACTAAGGCAGCTTTGACGGGAAAAAAAAAAACAAAGACTAAGGGCGTTTGACTAAAACAACCAAAGTCATTCGAAGGTTGGAAAAAACTAAAAGGAGACAAGTCATATTTTTCCTTGCGTAGAGCTCATCGATATGAGTTTATAGACACGTAGTGGGCCCAAATCGCAGTTTTAACGAAGAAGTTACGGTCAGCGGAAGCACAGTGGCACAATTGTAAATATTTCAAGGTCAGAATTTTAAAACCCAGGTCAGCTTCTTTTTCTCTCTCTTTCTCCTACCACGACTCTCTCTCTCTCTCTCTCTCTCTCTCTCTCTCTCTCTCCTCGTCGCACAACAACATTTTCCAACGCTGAATCCGGCTTCGTCCGGCCACCGTTTTTGACGAAACGACTTGCAAACTTTTCCTCTCCTCCTCTACTTGACCCACCCAATTTAAAAAACCCGGGTCTCACCCAGGTGCAACCGCGAGATAAAATATATTTTTGGACTCTAATTTGGTCATTTGGATCGAATCCTATTTATTAGATTTGTTAAGTTCGGTTTTGAATTTGTCGGTAGCCTGAAGGGATGTGGTTATAATGTGTTTGTGATTGTGTCGGGGCTGAAACCTATTTTAGATTGATGAATGATTGTGGATTGAGTCCTTACAACTACTTATGACTATGCCTGGAGGGTAGACTGTGCATGCTGAAGTGTAGAAATTTTAAACTGTGTTTTTGACAGGTTGAAAAATTTGGTTAAGTCCGTTTTTCAAGGGAGACTCTGCCGAAATTTCGGTACAAGTCTCGGCCCTCTTTTCCTTTGTTTTAGGGGAAGAGGACATTTGAAATTAGTAAGTGGGCCCGGTATCGGTTGGATGTCGAAAATACCACAGGATCCGTCACGGATTCCGAGGAATTCAGGGCGAGTCCTGTCATTTTATTTGTATTGTTATAGATTGGTTTTTTCAAGCTTTATCTTTTAATTATTATTTTAAGTTTGAAATCCTAGTTGGGATGCATACGCCAGAGTTTCTTCGATACTGCGTGCTCGTTAGTGGAGGCGCACCAGATTGTCTTAATTTTGATGTTTGGTAAAGTATTGGCTTTTCACTCGATAACTTACCGGTAAGTTGTAGTCTTTTCACTGCATCATTTACATGTCGATTAAATATCGGCTTTTCACGCAATAACTTACCGGTAAGTTATAGGCTTTTTGCTCAATCATTTACCTGACGATTAAATATTGGCTTTTCACGCCATAACTTACCGGTAAGTTATAGGCTTTTCACTCCATCACTTACATGATGGTTAAATATTGGCTTTTCACGCTATAACTTACCGGTAAGTTATTGGTTTTTTGCTCTATCACTTACATATTGAGCGTAAAATTATCACACATGCATGCGCACTGATTTGATTGAAGTTGCCATTGTTTTTCGATCAATTTTAACATGCAAATAGTAGTCATAACTCTAGGGGTTATTTCATGTTATTTCAATCCCTAGTATGGACATGCATATATTAAATTAATAAAGATATAACTTACATGATGTTTAGCTCCTCAAAAACTTTGATGGAGTCATGCATGGACTCAAGCTTAGCATACATGGTGATCAAGCTGTTGCAAACATTATGCTTTGATAAAAAGCCAGTCTTTATGCAAAACCCATGAATCATTTCGCCTTCCTCCACCAACTTCCTAATTGATATAGCATGGATTAGTCCAACAAATGTAACATCATTTGGATATACTCCATCCAATCTCATCTCATTAAATAGAGAGATGCATCTTCTTCGTCTATTGAAATCATAGTTGTCCAAGACACTACGTTGCGATCATTCATGCACTGAAAGACTAATTTTGCATCTTCAGTAACCTCACACTTTGAATATGTCGAGATCAATACATTACAAACTGAAACATGACTTCCATATCCAGATTTAATTGCCAAGCCATGTATCTGTTTCCCAAGTTCTAAATTCATTTCATGTCCGCAAGCTGAAACTGCACTAGTAAATGAGACATGATCTAACCCCATCCCTTCTGCCACCATCTCAATAAAGACAAAAATCGCCACAAGGCCATGATTTCCCTCTTGAGAGTAACCTGATAGTATTGCATTCCATGAAATCAGATCCTCATTTGCCATTTCATCAAACACACTCCTAGCTTCTATTAACCACCTCAACCTCGAATACATACTTATAAGTGCATTTCCAACAAAAATGTCACCATCTAAACCAGACTTAAATATAAGAGAATGCAGTTGTAATCCAAATAGAAAATCTTCATGATCCGCACAAAAAGCAAGAATCGTAGTATAGGTCACTAGATAATAAACAACTCCATTAAAATTCATCCTATGAGCAAAATTCAATGCACCTTCACTTGTTCGAAACCCCGAAAGAATAGTATTCCAAGAAACTAAATCAGTATAGCACATAGTCTCAAAGATAAGTAAGGGACCATCAAACTGTCCAGCTTTGGTGTACATACTCATCAAAGAATTTGAAATCATAGTATACGAAGCAAACCCAGAAGAAACTACAAACCCGTGAATTTGGCCTCCGGTTTGGGGTCCCCTTGACAGCAAGGGTAACGGTAACTTCATCGATGTTATGAGACAAAAGGGAGTTGAAGTTGCTTACGGAACATGCCAAGGGCTCTAAGGGTAACGGTAACTTCATCGGGTTCGTTTCTCTGTCTCTTCATTTCACTAGCGCACCACATTCCTTTGCGAGTGCAAGCTTCATCTGTCTTCATTTGGAACAAAAAGTAGGCGGCCAGACCCGCCCAGGCTGCCTAGGCGCCGCCTAGACCCACCCTCGCAGCCTAGAACCGCTCAGGCCGCCTAGGCGCCGCCTTGAACCGCCCAGGCCTCCTAGGCGCCGCCTAGAACAGCCCTGGCCGCGTTGGCGCCTCCTAGAACCGCCCAGGCCGCCTAACTCCCTTATAGCATCAGAGTTGTTATCTTAGTGGAGATTTCAATAGCTGAATGACATTTGATGGTTTTCGTAGAGAGAGTCCAATCCAATCCAATCAACGCAGCAGCTGAAACGAAAGAAAAAAAATCGAAGCTTGAGTTGAGAGAGAGAGAGGCTCAAGACCGAGCCTTTGTTGCTTGGAAGCGCTTATAGAGAAGCATCCGTGGCTGTGAGTGCTAGCTTCGCGTTCGTTTTGGAATATAATTAAGGAGTATAGCCGCGTTAAAATATTCGAATGTGTTCAAAGCGTATAGCCGTACGGCTATACCTTGAAAATAATATATTTAAATAGTATAGCCGCGAATCTATACCTCTAAAATATTCGAATATATTCAAAGTGTATAGCCACCGTTAAAATAATATATTTAAATAGTATAGCCGGTGGCGATACTATTTAAATATACAATTTTGTCATGTTATTTTAAAATACAACTTTAGCTAATTAGGATAGAGTTATTTCCTCAATTTTTTTTTTAATACCAGTGATAGTGGGGAATGAGAATTTAAATTCTTTCCGATACCTCCCATTCTAATACTATCTCAATCATCATCAACCATAATGAGTAGTCTGAATTATCATTTGATATGGTTATGGAGAAATTCTGGACGCAGAAAACTTACTTATAGATACTGACAATCCATGCGTGCTTAGAAACTCAGGTAAATGTGATAGCATGATTCTGCATTAGTTTTTCTTTTGTTTTCGTTGTCAAAAATGCTAATTGCATGCTATATGGATGATGCCAGTGCAAGTTGCCATTGCAATGTTCCTGCTGTATGACAGCCTTGGTGCAGCAGTGATCACATCTGTAGTAGGAATCATGTGTGTTCTTGTGTTTGTTGTGCTGGGCACGAGACGGAACAAGAGGTTCCAATCTAATGTGATGAAGTGTCGGGATTCAAGAATGAAGGCAACAAATGACATGCTTAACTACATGCATGTGATCAAATTCCAGGCTTGGGAGGAGCACTTTAATAAGAGAATCCAGGCTTTCCGCTAGTAGGAGTTTAGCTGGCTGACCAAGTTCATGTACTCAATCTCTGCCAGTGTTGTGGTTATGTTGTGCACCCCAGTACTTATATCAACTCTCACATTTGGCACTGCACTCTTATTGGGTGTCCGGATTGATGCCGGCCCGGGACATTGTTCAGAACCACAAGCATCTTCAACATTTTGTGGGATCCCATCAGGACCTTCCCACAATCTATGATTTCAATTTCTCAAGCTATGATATCTCTTGGGAGGTTGGACCGTTATATGATGAGTAGGGAATTGGTGGAGGATGCGGCGAAGAGAGACGAGGGCTGTGATAGTAGAACTGCTGTGGAGGTTAAAAATGGCCCATTTAGCTGCGCTGATGAAAGCAAAGAAGAGGATTTGAAACACGTAAATTTGAATGTCAATAAAGGGGAGCTAATTTACGTATGGATTTCCACAACAATGGGTCCAATGAGTGGTTTGGTTTCCGTATGGAGATGCTTGGGAGTTTAGTTTTCTGCATTTCCACTGTATTCATGTTCTTGTTGCCAAGCAGTATAATAAAGCCAGGTGCATCCTTCTTCTTCTTTCAGTGCGACACTTAACAATCATGGACAATTATGATATGGGATGCCTGAGTATATAATACTTAGCGTATCTGATATAAATTAGCTGCAGTACTAGTAAATGAGTGTCTATTTCAGAGATTTGGCTAAATCAGTTATTCCTTCATGGTGCAGAGAATGTTGGTTTAACTCTCTCCTACGGATTGCCCCTGAATGGTGTGCTGTTCTGGGCCATTTATATGAGCTGCTTTGTTGAAAATAAGATGGTATCAGTTGAGAGGATAAAACAATTTACAAACATCCCATCAGAAGCAGCATGGGAGATAAAAGACCTGTGTTCCTCCTTCAAATTGGCCTTCCCGTGGCAATGTCGAGCTCAAAGACTTGCAGGTAGTTTACCTTCAGTTCTGTTTATATCTTCTGAACAAATAAAGTCAAATCTTATTACATTCCATGAGCTGCTAAACTCTAGCCATTTGTCGTCCCAAATGGTATATTTGTAGTACATCTTCCATGGCTAGTGTAGTGGACGGACAAATGAAGTGGTCTGCATGCAAGTTGTCATTACTTGGCCATCTCCGTTACTTTGTCTCAAGCTAAATAAGCCCTGTTCCTTTGATATCGTCCAAATACACCTTTGGTTCTCAAAGGCAAGCATTCACTGGGGTGAAAAGATTGGTGTTGTGGATCGAACAGGGAGCGGGAAATCAATTTTGATCCAAGTGTTCTTTAGGCTGGTGGAACCTTCAGGAGGCAAAATTATCATCGATGGGATTGATATAACCACAATAGGGCTTCACAATATCAGGTCTCGCTTCGGGATCATTCCTCAAGAACCTGTCCTTTTTGAAGGAACTGTGGAAGAAACATTGATCCAGTAGGAATGTATTCAGATGAAGAAATTTGGAAGGTAAAAAACACAATGCTATCTGGGTTTCCGGATTACATAAGAGAGTAACCCATAGCCTCAAAAAACAATAAGATTGAATTATACGATTTGTTTGTATATGTTTGTCATCATTCACTCACTTAGATGAAACAATGCTGTATGTTTATTCACATGAAATCTTAATTTTCTTGTAGAGCCTTGAACGCTGCCAACTTAAAGATGAGGTAGCTGCAAAACCTGATAAACTCAATTATTTAGGTATGTGACTCTCCCCATTATATACTCTCTCTGGAACTGAACTGCTAGCTAGCATAAGGATTAGGTACTGACTGTTTCCATCAAATTAAGTGGCTGATGATGGCGACAACTGGAGCATGGGGCAAACACAGCTTCTCTGTTTGGGGCGAGTTATGTTGGCAGCAAAACACTCACATCGATCCATTGACTGAAATAGGCATGAAATGCCGACAAGCAGTTGTGACAGGTTCGTATAGTAATTTCAAGCATAGTGTGCAATCAAAGTCATCACTGCAGTTGTGACAGGTTCATATAGTAATTTCAAGCATAGTGTGCAAAAATCTATGAATATTCAACAAAAACAACAAAACACATGGATCACATGGACTGTAGAAAAGTACCAAGTAGGCATACAAAACTTGCCAGATAACATTTTCAACATAGTTATTTTGCAGCAAATGCACTTCTACGTTTAAATATTTTTACGAATGTCATATGTGAAAAATACGAACTGCTAACCAACTTACCATAAGTCTATACCAAGGTTCAAAAATGGGTAGCGGAAACTTCTGAAATGGGAGGACACCATCCATTACAAAGAGTGGCATCAAACCAACACCAAAGTTTTTCATTGTATCATTCTCCAACTTCCTTTCGGCAAATTCCTCTGTGAATTTCTTTTGTATAATGTCATTAAGTGTCACAATGGGAAAAACAAAAAGAAGATATTGAAGGTGTCAGAACTGAAGCAAACAATCTTGGTAAACTCTGAAAGCTATAACACTAATTAAGCACAAAAAATTAGAAAGCACATATCATCCTAATTTCATATTACTTGGAATTTTTTTTCTTTCCAAAATCTAGAAACCACAAATCCACTAATTGTTATACTCTGTAGAAGTGAGAATGCCAGACTCAATCTATAATAGGTGGAACTCCTGGGGGATGCGCAACCACGTCCATTACAAACAGCATAGGTATAGAAAACCATAAAGCAACAATTCTGATGTCAAATAATACAAGCATCTCATTCAATTATTATATGCACATGTTCTAGGAGTAATGAAAAGAACTGTTGGGCACAAAGGACATTTGTTACCTAGGAAAATTAACACAAGTCAAGGACTAAAAAGGGATTAGAAGATATAGACTAACTCAATTAAATAGAATTAGTAACAGCAAAACACTCACATCGATCCATTGACTGAAATAGGCATGAAATGCCCACAAGCAGTTGTGACAGGTTCATACAGTAATTTCAAGCATAGTGTGCAATCAAAGTCATCACTGCGTTCTGCTTTTCTATGGCTTCTCCTCCCTGTGAAATTAGCTTGTATTCTCTCTATATTATGAAAACATTCCCGAAGAGGATTGCTACAGAATACCACACAAAAGATCAAATAATATAACATTTTAGAATTTCACAAAACCAAATACAATAGCCAGCCAGCTGGTATTAAACAATATATACTTAATATCTATGTTTTGTTAAATAAACATAATTCCAGTAAACAAATTACTCAATTTCTTCCTGGTTTCCCGACATTTTCTCAGCAACCAAACAAGAGAAACCACAGCACAAACGCACACTCACCAAAATGTAGTCGTCCGCGTCACCAGAGGTCCATCTTTGTCATTCAGACCGGCATGGTGTAATCCAATGCCAAACTGCAATGTGTGCCCCAGGTTAAAGAACCATCTGCTGGGCTTCTTCTGGCATACTAAGAAACTGCCTTGGATGTTCATCTGACGTTGCCAACTTCAATAACAGAAAAGCACAAACAAAAATTGAATCAACACAGCAGCCGAAACCGAAGAAAAAAAATCCAAGCTTGAGTTGAGAGAGAGGCTCAAGACCGAGTACTTGAATTTTGAAGATTGGACTGCGAGTGCAAGCTTCGTGTTCGTTTCTCTGTCTCTTCATTTCACTCGCGCACAACAAAACTCTGCGAGTGCAAGCTTCATCTGTCTTCACTTGAAAAAAAAAAGGACACCCAGACCCGCCCAGGCCGCCTAGGTGCCGCCTAGAACCGCCCAGGCCGCCTAGGCGCCGCCTAGAACCGCCCAGGCCGCCTAGGCGCCGCCTAGAACCGCCCAGGCCGCCTAGGCGCCGCCTAGAACCGCCCAGGCCGCCTAGAACTGGCCAGGCCACCTAACTTCTTATAGCATCAGAGTTGTTATCTTAGTGGAGATTTCAATAGTTGAATGACATTTGATGGTTTTCGTAGAGAGACTCCAATCCAATCCAATCAACGCAGCAGCCGAAACGAAAGAAATTTTTTTTTTTGAAGCTTGAGTTGAGAGAGAGAGAGAGAGAGAGAGAGAGAGAGAGAGAGAGGAATCTTTGAAGCTTGGAAGCGCTTATAGAGAAGCGAAACAGCTGCGACTACGAGTGCAAGTGCAAGCGCAGTGTTAATATATTTGAAGCGTATAGCCGTCCGGCTATACCTTTAAAATATTCGAATATATTCCAAGAGTACAGCCGCACGGCTATACCGTTAAAATAATATATTTAAATAGTACAGCGGCTCGGATTGATTAAATTTTATTGGTTTCAAATCAACCAATACCCTTAATCCCGATGCCTCAAAATTATAAAGATCCCTCAAAACAACCACCAAAACAAGTATTTTTTTGCTTTTGTAATCATAACAAGCACTATGCATGGAATGGAATCAAAACCCTCACACAAGGAATTTAGATTATGTTCATGATTACGGACATTCTTCACTCGCAAGTCCAGAAATTGCTCCATATAATCATACCCATCATCAAATAGTTAATACATTTTTAGTTTGTCTTACATCACATATACACACTAGTTTGGTGGTGCATAAGTCGCTTGTTTCTTAAGTTTATATACCAATCCATGAGTAATATTATATATTATTTTAAAAAATAATGTCGAAATGATTCGAGGATACTCAGAATCAGCTTTCAATGTTGTATTCTGGTAGGTGGCGGATTGCAATCCCAGCATAATAAATCTAAGCTTCAGATATTCTACTTTAGGCTTCAATATTACTGTAGAAGTAATCACGGAGACGGTGGATTTGAGCACTTCTATAAATGTTGCTATACATGAAATGCTCGGTTCAGAGTTTTATGTTTTGGTTGCAGAGAAGGAGTCTGTAAGGCGAAGCATGACAAAAAAAAAGTGATGACTGTGTGTCCACTTGTGAATTCTGTTATAAGAGAGTTGTTCGTCCTTAATCCTTTTCTTTTATCTTCATATTTTACACAATCAAACGCATTTTTGGAGAACCAGTGAACAGAAGAGTTATGTTGATGTCTAAAACGTTTGACTTGGCATTTTGCAAATCGCAAAACCTCTGAGAATTGTATTAGTGCTTGTAAAACCAAACAAAAATTTAAAATTGTATTACTGCTTGTAAAAACGGTTTGGGCTTAGAAATGTACATTGAATAACCTGTGAGAATAATTGCTACAATTAGAAATCCAGTAATTTATCACGTTCTCCACTGCTCAAGCAAAAACAAGCTCTGATATTGTGACCAAAAGTACCAATTCAGCATATGCATCTGAAAACTTAAGTCTACAACCTTGTCCATTCTCTCAAAAGATAATGAGACTAGATACTCTACAATGCAATGTTTCTCAGATATCATAGCTTGTCCTTCGGCGGAGGTTCGACTTCAAGGCACTCTTCATCCCAGTAGTAGGAACTTTAATTTTGCTGCAGTGTGAGGCATGAACCAGTCCTCATATATGAACCTGAAAGCAAGGAAAGAACTTAGAAGCATCATTCAAGCAAAATGAAAAAGTAAAAAATAAAACATAGAAAGTGTAATAAAATTGAACCATCCTTGGCAATCCAAAAATGAAGAAATAAAGATGAAAGAAGATAGATTGCATACACTTTAATTGGGGGGACGCCTTTTCACTTGTATGCAGGCTTCAACATTGTCTTGCTTTATGTATATCAGCTACATCTGGAGTTTCCAGATATGTTACAATGGATAGCTGATTTCATTGGTCTATTCAAGATAACGTTTCATTCGGATTGGACTGAAGTTTGTTCGAGCTTCTCTCTTTTACTTTTCTAGATCATGGTACGTCTATCTTTTATGACACCTACAAACAACACAGTTTATGTAGCAGGATACTTGAAAACCAGTGGCTTCAGCATCTCTACAGTGTAGGTTCTGCAAGTTGATCATGCAGATTTGGATTATGTGCAACAGAGAATCTTATGTTAATTATTAAATGTGTGTGTCATCCTTTTGTTTTTCTTTTGTTTTGCTTAGTAACTCAGGTAAATGTGATAGCATGATTCTGCATTAGTTTTTCTTTTGTTTTCGTTGTCAAAAATGCTAAGTGCATGCTATATGGATGATGCCAGTGCAACTTGCCATTGCAATGTTCATTCTGTATGACAGCCTTGGTGCAGCAGTGATCACATCTGTAGTAGGAATCGAGTGTGTTCTTGTGTTTGTTGTGCTGGGCACGAGACGGAACAACAGGTTCCAATCTAATGTGATGAAGTGTCGGGATTCAAGAATGAAGGCAACAAATGACACTAACTACATGCGTATGATCAAATTCCAGGCTTGGGAGGAGCACTTTAATAAGAGAATCCAGGCTTTCCGCAAGTCGGAGTTTAGCTGGCTGACCAAGTTCATGTACTCAATCTCTGCCAATGTTGTGGTTATGTTGTGTACCCCAGTACTTATATCAACTCTCACATTTGGCACTGCACTCTTATTGGGTGTCCGGCTTGATGCCGGCCCAGGACATTGTTCAGAACCACAAGCATCTTCAACATTTTGTGGGATCCCATCAGGACCTTCCCACAATTTATGATTTCAATTTCTCAAGCTATGATATCTCTTGGGAGGTTGGACCGTTATATGATGAGTAGGGAATTGGTGGAGGATGCGGCGAAGAGAGACGAGGGTTGTGATAGTAGAACTGCTGTGGAGGTTAAAAATGGCCCATTTAGCTGCGATGATGAAAGCAAAGAAGAGGATTTGAAACACATAAATTTGAATGTCAATAAAGGGGAGCTAACGGCTATTGTAGGGATAGTGGGATCTGGAAAGTCTTCCCTTCTAGCCTTAATTCTTGGTGAGATGTACAAGTTATCCTTAAAGGTACGATTTGATACCATTAAACCCTTTTCTAGATGTCTCTTATGACATACAATCCCTCCACTGAACCATAAGTTTATAAACAGGTGATAACTCACTCAAAAAGCTTCAGTTTAATCAAGTACTTGTTGAATTAATAAACTTTTTGAATAACAGGTACGAGTTTGTGGAATCACTGCCTATGTTGCTCAAGCATCATGGATTCAAAATGGGACTACTGAAGAAAATACATTACTTGGTTTGCCAATGGACAGAGATAGATACCAGGAAGTTGTCAGGGTTTCTGCTTGGAGAAGGACTTGGAAATGATGGAGTTTGGAGATCAAACTGAGATAGGAGAGCGTGGCATCAACCTAAGTGGTGGCCAGAAACAGAGGATACAACTTGCTAGGGTTGTATATCAAAATTGTGACATATATCTTCTCGATGACGTTTTCAGTGCATAATGTTGATCTTATTTGGTAAGATTATAATTGCAGTTTCTACATGTATCCTTCCTACTTATATATTTATTTAAACTTATTACCTCCAAATAATATCAGGTCATGAGAGATGGGATAACTTACCGGTAAGTTGTAGTCTTTTCACTGCATCGTTTACATGTCGATTAAATATCGGCTTTTCACGCAATAACTTACCGGTAAGTTATAGGCTTTTCGCTCAATCATTTACCTGACGATTAAATATTGGCTTTTCACGCCATAACTTACCGGTAAGTTATAGGCTTTTCACTCCATCACTTACATGATGGTTAAATATTGGCTTTTCACGCTATAACTTACCGGTAAGTTATTGGCTTTTTGCTCTATCACTTACATATTGAGCGTAAAATTATCACACATGCATGCGCACTGATTTGATTGAAGTTGCCATTGTTTTTCGATCAATTTTAACATGCAAATACTAGTCATAACTCTAGGGGTTATTTTTGTTATTTCAATCCCTAGTATGGACATGAATATATTAAATTAACAAAGACATAACTATTTTCGGTAGAAAGGTTAAAGAGCGTGCTGTTGAAATTGCCAAGGCCATAGATGACGAAGATGGGTTGATAGGAGCATTGAATGCCTTTCATAGGCACTTTCCTCACAGTAAATCTGAGGATAAACCCGAGTCATTGCCTGCTAGAAGTGGCTTATTTTCCATCAGTAGGTGTTTTGGCTATTCCCATTTCAGTACACATCCCACGGCCTCTCCTCCACATTTGTAAGTTGGAGCAGTTTCTCTCTGTAATGAGGCTGACTTGAGTACCCTATAACAGTAAGAAAAGAAAAGAATACCCACAGATTCTCTTGTAATGACTGCAAAAAGATTCAGTCTCTAAGCCCCAAGTTGTTAGTGTGTCAACTAGCTGAAAATGCAGTTTTGTTTTAGTACACAAAATTGTATTTACAGGCTCCTTTTGCTCTACCATCCCCAACCAACAAACCACCAGTGATAGTGACATGTACATTTATCTTCAAGTTCTCAATCTTGTTGTTGCTATAACAATAATTGTAATAGACGAAGAATTTGCTAAACAGTTCTGTCTTAGTTTGCTAGACCACAGTTTGTCATAAAACTGTGCCAAAAAAAAAAAAAAAAAAAAAGACAAATATAATAAAAGAACAACTAAGGCAGCTTTGACGGGGAAAAAAAAACAAAGACTAAGGGCGTTTGACTAAAACAACCAAAGTCATTCGAAGGTTGGAAAAAACTAAAAGGAGACAAGTCATATTTTTCCTTGCGTAGAGCTCATCGATATGAGTTTATAGACACGTAGTGGGCCCAAATCGCAGTTTTAACGAAGAAGTTACGGTCAGCGGAAGCACAGTGGCACAATTGTAAATATTTCAAGGTCAGAATTTTAAAACCCAGGTCAGCTTCTTTTTCTCTCTCTTTCTCCTACCACGACTCTCTCTCTCTCTCTCTCTCTCTCTCTCTCTCTCTCCTCGTCGCACAACAACATTTTCCGACGCTGAATCCGGCTTCGTCCGGCCACCGTTTTGACGAAACGACTTGCAAACTTTTCCTCTCCTCCTCTACTTGACCCACCCAATTTAAAAAACCCGGGTCTCACCCAGGTGCAACCGCGAGATAAAATATATTTTTGGACTCTAATTTGGTCATTTGGATCGAATCCTATTTATTAGATTTGTTAAGTTCGGTTTTGAATTTGTCGGTAGCCTGAAGGGATGTGGTTATAATGTGTTTGTGATTGTGTCGGGGCTGAAACCTATTTTAGATTGATGAATGATTGTGGATTGAGTCCTTACAACTACTTATGACTATGCCTGGAGGGTAGACTGTGCATGCTGAAGTGTAGAAATTTTAAACTGTGTTTTTGACAGGTTGAAAAATTTGGTTAAGTCCGTTTTTCAAGGGAGACTCTGCCGAAATTTCGGTACAAGTCTCGGCCCTCTTTTCCTTTGTTTTAGGGGAAGAGGACATTTGAAATCAGTAAGTGGGCCCGGTATCGGTTGGATGTCGAAAATACCACAGGATCCGTCACGGATTCCGAGGAATTCAGGGCGAGTCCTGTCATTTTATTTGTATTGTTATAGATTGGTTTTTTCAAGCTTTATCTTTTAATTATTATTTTAAGTTTGAAATCCTAGTTGGGATGCATACGCCAGAGTTTCTTCGATACTGCGTGCTCGTTAGTGGAGGCGCACCAGATTGTCTTAATTTTGATGTTTGGTAAAGTATTGGCTTTTCACTCGATAACTTACCGGTAAGTTGTAGTCTTTTCACTGCATCATTTACATGTCGATTAAATATCGGCTTTTCACGCAATAACTTACCGGTAAGTTATAGGCTTTTGCTCAATCATTTACCTGACGATTAAATATTGGCTTTTCACGCCATAACTTACCGGTAAGTTATAGGCTTTTCACTCCATCACTTACATGATGGTTAAATATTGGCTTTTCACGCTATAACTTACCGGTAAGTTATTGGCTTTTTGCTCTATCACTTACATATTGAGCGTAAAATTATCACACATGCATGCGCACTCATTTGATTGAAGTTGCCATTGTTTTTCGATCAATTTTAACATGCAAATAGTAGTCATAACTCTAGGGGTTATTTCATGTTATTTCAATCCCTAGTATGGACATGCATATATTAAATTAATAAAGATATAACTTACATGATGTTTAGCTCCTCAAAAACTTTGATGGAGTCATGCATGGACTCAAGCTTAGCATACATGGTGATCAAGCTGTTGCAAACATTATGCTTTGATAAAAAGCCAGTCTTTATGCAAAACCCATGAATCATTTCGCCTTCCTCCACCAACTTCCTAATTGATATAGCATGGATTAGTCCAACAAATGTAACATCATTTGGATATACTCCATCCAATCTCATCTCATTAAATAGAGAGATGCATCTTCTTCGTCTATTGAAATCATAGTTGTCCAAGACACTACGTTGCGATCATTCATGCACTGAAAGACTAATTTTGCATCTTCAGTAACCTCACACTTTGAATATGTCGAGATCAATACATTACAAACTGAAACATGACTTCCATATCCAGATTTAATTGCCAAGCCATGTATCTGTTTCCCAAGTTCTAAATTCATTTCATGTCCGCAAGCTGAAACTGCACTAGTAAATGAGACATGATCTAACCCCATCCCTTCTGCCACCATCTCAATAAAGACAAAAATCGCCACAAGGCCATGATTTCCCTCTTGAGAGTAACCTGATAGTATTGCATTCCATGAAATCAGATCCTCATTTGCCATTTCATCAAACACACTCCTAGCTTCTATTAACCACCTCAACCTCGAATACATACTTATAAGTGCATTTCCAACAAAAATGTCACCATCTAAACCAGACTTAAATATAAGAGAATGCAGTTGTAATCCAAATAGAAAATCTTCATGATCCGCACAAAAAGCAAGAATCGTAGTATAGGTCACTAGATAATAAACAACTCCATTAAAATTCATCCTATGAGCAAAATTCAATGCACCTTCACTTGTTCGAAACCCCGAAAGAATAGTATTCCAAGAAACTAAATCAGTATAGCACATAGTCTCAAAGATAAGTAAGGGACCATCAAACTGTCCAGCTTTGGTGTACATACTCATCAAAGAATTTGAAATCATAGTATACGAAGCAAACCCAGAAGAAACTACAAACCCGTGAATTTGGCCTCCGGGTTTGGGGTCCCCTTGACAGCAAGGGTAACGGTAACTTCATCGATGTTATGAGACAAAAGGGAGTTGAAGTTGCTTACGGAACATGCCAAGGGCTCTAAGGGTAACGGTAACTTCATCGGGTTCGTTTCTCTGTCTCTTCATTTCACTAGCGCACCACATTCCTTTGCGAGTGCAAGCTTCATCTGTCTTCATTTGGAACAAAAAGTAGGCGGCCAGACCCGCCCAGGCTGCCTAGGCGCCGCCTAGACCCACCCTCGCAGCCTAGAACCGCTCAGGCCGCCTAGGCGCCGCCTTGAACCGCCCAGGCCTCCTAGGCGCCGCCTAGAACAGCCCTGGCCGCGTTGGCGCCTCCTAGAACCGCCCAGGCCGCCTAACTCCCTTATAGCATCAGAGTTGTTATCTTAGTGGAGATTTCAATAGCTGAATGACATTTGATGGTTTTCGTAGAGAGAGTCCAATCCAATCCAATCAACGCAGCAGCTGAAACGAAAGAAAAAAAATCGAAGCTTGAGTTGAGAGAGAGAGAGGCTCAAGACCGAGCCTTTGTTGCTTGGAAGCGCTTATAGAGAAGCATCCGTGGCTGTGAGTGCTAGCTTCGCGTTCGTTTTGGAATATAATTAAGGAGTATAGCCGCGTTAAAATATTCGAATGTGTTCAAAGCGTATAGCCGTACGGCTATACCTTGAAAATAATATATTTAAATAGTATAGCCGCGAATCTATACCTCTAAAATATTCGAATATATTCAAAGTGTATAGCCGACGGCTATACCGTTAAAATAATATATTTAAATAGTATAGCCGGTGGCGATACTATTTAAATATACAATTTTGTCATGTTATTTTAAAATACAACTTTAGCTAATTAGGATAGAGTTATTTCCTCAATTTTTTTTTTTAATACCAGTGATAGTGGGGAATGAGAATTTAAATTCTTTCCGATACCTCCCATTCTAATACTATCTCAATCATCATCAACCATAATGAGTAGTCTGAATTATCATTTGATATGGTTATGGAGAAATTCTGGACGCAGAAAACTTACTTATAGATACTGACAATCCATGCGTGCTTAGAAACTCAGGTAAATGTGATAGCATGATTCTGCATTAGTTTTTCTTTTGTTTTCGTTGTCAAAAATGCTAATTGCATGCTATATGGATGATGCCAGTGCAAGTTGCCATTGCAATGTTCCTGCTGTATGACAGCCTTGGTGCAGCAGTGATCACATCTGTAGTAGGAATCATGTGTGTTCTTGTGTTTGTTGTGCTGGGCACGAGACGGAACAAGAGGTTCCAATCTAATGTGATGAAGTGTCGGGATTCAAGAATGAAGGCAACAAATGACATGCTTAACTACATGCATGTGATCAAATTCCAGGCTTGGGAGGAGCACTTTAATAAGAGAATCCAGGCTTTCCGCTAGTAGGAGTTTAGCTGGCTGACCAAGTTCATGTACTCAATCTCTGCCAGTGTTGTGGTTATGTTGTGCACCCCAGTACTTATATCAACTCTCACATTTGGCACTGCACTCTTATTGGGTGTCCGGATTGATGCCGGCCCGGGACATTGTTCAGAACCACAAGCATCTTCAACATTTTGTGGGATCCCATCAGGACCTTCCCACAATCTATGATTTCAATTTCTCAAGCTATGATATCTCTTGGGAGGTTGGACCGTTATATGATGAGTAGGGAATTGGTGGAGGATGCGGCGAAGAGAGACGAGGGCTGTGATAGTAGAACTGCTGTGGAGGTTAAAAATGGCCCATTTAGCTGCGCTGATGAAAGCAAAGAAGAGGATTTGAAACACGTAAATTTGAATGTCAATAAAGGGGAGCTAATTTACGTATGGATTTCCACAACAATGGGTCCAATGAGTGGTTTGGTTTCCGTATGGAGATGCTTGGGAGTTTAGTTTTCTGCATTTCCACTGTATTCATGTTCTTGTTGCCAAGCAGTATAATAAAGCCAGGTGCATCCTTCTTCTTCTTTCAGTGCGACACTTAACAATCATGGACAATTATGATATGGGATGCCTGAGTATATAATACTTAGCGTATCTGATATAAATTAGCTGCAGTACTAGTAAATGAGTGTCTATTTCAGAGATTTGGCTAAATCAGTTATTCCTTCATGGTGCAGAGAATGTTGGTTTAACTCTCTCCTACGGATTGCCCCTGAATGGTGTGCTGTTCTGGGCCATTTATATGAGCTGCTTTGTTGAAAATAAGATGGTATCAGTTGAGAGGATAAAACAATTTACAAACATCCCATCAGAAGCAGCATGGGAGATAAAAGACCTGTGTTCCTCCTTCAAATTGGCCTTCCCGTGGCAATGTCGAGCTCAAAGACTTGCAGGTAGTTTACCTTCAGTTCTGTTTATATCTTCTGAACAAATAAAGTCAAATCTTATTACATTCCATGAGCTGCTAAACTCTAGCCATTTGTCGTCCCAAATGGTATATTTGTAGTACATCTTCCATGGCTAGTGTAGTGGACGGACAAATGAAGTGGTCTGCATGCAAGTTGTCATTACTTGGCCATCTCCGTTACTTTGTCTCAAGCTAAATAAGCCCTGTTCCTTTGATATCGTCCAAATACACCTTTGGTTCTCAAAGGCAAGCATTCACTGGGGTGAAAAGATTGGTGTTGTGGATCGAACAGGGAGCGGGAAATCAATTTTGATCCAAGTGTTCTTTAGGCTGGTGGAACCTTCAGGAGGCAAAATTATCATCGATGGGATTGATATAACCACAATAGGGCTTCACAATATCAGGTCTCGCTTCGGGATCATTCCTCAAGAACCTGTCCTTTTTGAAGGAACTGTGGAAGAAACATTGATCCAGTAGGAATGTATTCAGATGAAGAAATTTGGAAGGTAAAAAACACAATGCTATCTGGTTTCCGGATTACATAAGAGAGTAACCCATAGCCTCAAAAAACAATAAGATTGAATTATACGATTTGTTTGTATATGTTTGTCATCATTCACTCACTTAGATGAAACAATGCTGTATGTTTATTCACATGAAATCTTAATTTTCTTGTAGAGCCTTGAACGCTGCCAACTTAAAGATGAGGTAGCTGCAAAACCTGATAAACTCAATTATTTAGGTATGTGACTCTCCCCATTATATACTCTCTCTGGAACTGAACTGCTAGCTAGCATAAGGATTAGGTACTGACTGTTTCCATCAAATTAAGTGGCTGATGATGGCGACAACTGGAGCATGGGGCAAACACAGCTTCTCTGTTTGGGGCGAGTTATGTTGGCAGCAAAACACTCACATCGATCCATTGACTGAAATAGGCATGAAATGCCGACAAGCAGTTGTGACAGGTTCGTATAGTAATTTCAAGCATAGTGTGCAATCAAAGTCATCACTGCAGTTGTGACAGGTTCATATAGTAATTTCAAGCATAGTGTGCAAAAATCTATGAATATTCAACAAAAACAACAAAACACATGGATCACATGGACTGTAGAAAAGTACCAAGTAGGCATACAAAACTTGCCAGATAACATTTTCAACATAGTTATTTTGCAGCAAATGCACTTCTACGTTTAAATATTTTTACGAATGTCATATGTGAAAAATACGAACTGCTAACCAACTTACCATAAGTCTATACCAAGGTTCAAAAATGGGTAGCGGAAACTTCTGAAATGGGAGGACACCATCCATTACAAAGAGTGGCATCAAACCAACACCAAAGTTTTTCATTGTATCATTCTTCAACTTCCTTTCGGCAAATTCCTCTGTGAATTTCTTTTGTATAATGTCATTAAGTGTCACAATGGGAAAAACAAAAAGAAGATATTGAAGGTGTCAGAACTGAAGCAAACAATCTTGGTAAACTCTGAAAGCTATAACACTAATTAAGCACAAAAAATTAGAAAGCACATATCATCCTAATTTCATATTACTTGGAATTTTTTTTTCTTTCCAAAATCTAGAAACCACAAATCCACTAATTGTTATACTCTGTAGAAGTGAGAATGCCAGACTCAATCTATAATAGGTGGAACTCCTGGGGGATGCGCAACCACGTCCATTACAAACAGCATAGGTATAGAAAACCATAAAGCAACAATTCTGATGTCAAATAATACAAGCATCTCATTCAATTATTATATGCACATGTTCTAGGAGTAATGAAAAGAACTGTTGGGCACAAAGGACATTTGTTACCTAGGAAAATTAACACAAGTCAAGGACTAAAAAGGGATTAGAAGATATAGACTAACTCAATTAAATAGAATTAGTAACAGCAAAACACTCACATCGATCCATTGACTGAAATAGGCATGAAATGCCCACAAGCAGTTGTGACAGGTTCATACAGTAATTTCAAGCATAGTGTGCAATCAAAGTCATCACTGCGTTCTGCTTTTCTATGGCTTCTCCTCCCTGTGAAATTAGCTTGTATTCTCTCTATATTATGAAAACATTCCCGAAGAGGATTGCTACAGAATACCACACAAAAGATCAAATAATATAACATTTTAGAATTTCACAAAACCAAATACAATAGCCAGCCAGCTGGTATTAAACAATATATACTTAATATCTATGTTTTGTTAAATAAACATAATTCCAGTAAACAAATTACTCAATTTCTTCCTGGTTTCCCGACATTTTCTCAGCAACCAAACAAGAGAAACCACAGCACAAACGCACACTCACCAAAATGTAGTCGTCCGCGTCACCAGAGGTCCATCTTTGTCATTCAGACCGGCATGGTGTAATCCAATGCCAAACTGCAATGTGTGCCCCAGGTTAAAGAACCATCTGCTGGGCTTCTTCTGGCATACTAAGAAACTGCCTTGGATGTTCATCTGACGTTGCCAACTTCAATAACAGAAAAGCACAAACAAAAATTGAATCAACACAGCAGCCGAAACCGAAGAAAAAAAATCCAAGCTTGAGTTGAGAGAGAGGCTCAAGACCGAGTACTTGAATTTTGAAGATTGGACTGCGAGTGCAAGCTTCGTGTTCGTTTCTCTGTCTCTTCATTTCACTCGCGCACAACAAAACTCTGCGAGTGCAAGCTTCATCTGTCTTCACTTGAAAAAAAAAAGGACACCCAGACCCGCCCAGGCCGCCTAGGTGCCGCCTAGAACCGCCCAGGCCGCCTAGGCGCCGCCTAGAACCGCCCAGGCCGCCTAGGCGCCGCCTAGAACCGCCCAGGCCGCCTAGGCGCCGCCTAGAACCGCCCAGGCCATCTAACTTTCTTATAGCATCAGAGTTATTATCTTAGTGGAGATTTCAATAGTTGAATGACATTTGATGGTTTTCATAGAGAGACTCCAATCCAATCCAATCAACGCAGCAGCCGAAACGAAAGAAATTTTTTTTTTTTTGAAGCTTGAGTTGAGAGAGAGAGAGAGAGAGAGAGAGAGGAATCTTTGAAGCTTGGAAGCGCTTATAGAGAAGCGAAACAGCTGCGACTACGAGTGCAAGTGCAAGCGCAGTGTTAATATATTTGAAGCGTATAGCCGTTCGGCTATACCTTTAAAATATTCGAATATATTCCAAGAGTACAGCCGCACGGCTATACCGTTAAAATAATATATTTAAATAGTACAGCGGCTCGGATTGATTAAATTTTATTGGTTTCAAATCAACGAATACCCTTAATCCCGATGCCTCAAAATTATAAAGATCCCTCAAAACAACCACCAAAACAAGTATTTTTTTGCTTTTGTAATCATATGAATGTAATCATAACAAGCACTATGCATGGAATGGAATCAAAACCCTCACACAAGGAATTTAGATTATGTTCATGATTACGGACATTCTTCACTCGCAAGTCCAGAAATTGCTCCATATAATCATACCCATCATCAAATAGTTAATACATTTTTAGTTTGTCTTACATCACATATACACACTAGTTTGGTGGTGCATAAGTCGCTTGTTTCTTAAGTTTATATACCAATCCATGAGTAATATTATATATTATTTTAAAAAATAATGTCGAAATGATTCGAGGATACTCAGAATCAGCTTTCAATGTTGTATTCTGGTAGGTGGCGGATTGCAATCCCAGCATAATAAATCTAAGCTTCAGATATTCTACTTTAGGCTTCAATATTACTGTAGAAGTAATCACGGAGACGGTGGATTTGAGCACTTCTATAAATGTTGCTATACATGAAATGCGATGAATATCAAGCACTTCAAAACAAAACTTTGAAATAAAACCCTAGCTTCCCGGGAGTTCCTATAGGTTTTACGAGGTCTAGGATACACGTCCTGTAAGTTTGGTCCGAAACGGACGGTTTGACTACTCACGATCGCACAATTGGACGGTTACTGAAACTCTCACCCTAGGGTTGGCATTTCCGGAGTATCCAGGACTCCGTTTTACGATCCGTCGAATCCTACACGATCTTACGGTTATCCAGAGGAACATACTTAAATTTGAAAACGATCCAACGGTCAGAACATATCGAACCTGAATAACGCACAATATGCGATAATTCGTTTGATAGTCAAACGACCTCGGAATCGAGATCCGCGAAATCCTATGCGCTCGTGACAACTTAAAGATCACATTGGAACAGTTTGCAGCTCCACCACACTTGCCCACGCACCGCCACACGCGCTGGCAGCAAGCGGGTGTGCAGAGAAATTCCGGCGACAGAAAATCTCCAAATCACAAGTCACCCTCTCGGCTACAGGTCCTACTCAACTAGGGGAGCACTTCATTCAACTACGGCCAAGCCCAAAACCACCGGGAACTGGCCGGAATTTCGAATTGAAAACCAGCCAAAAACCTAATTCGAAAATAACTTCCAAAACCTCAAAATCGTTTCAATCCTAAGCAACAGGCAGCTAGAACAGATAAAACGAAGGAGAAACCCCACCAATTTTACCTGAAATGGACGGCGGGGGCGGCGGCGCAACAACCGGAAAAGTCCGGCTCGAACCAGTCGAAACTGCCGGTTGTTTTCGAGTTTTCCGACGATGAAAGCTATTGGGTCTTGACCAGGACGTCGAGACGAAGCTTTTGGGACCAGTCTCGAGAGCTGCGGTGGCTGGAAGTGCTGGCGGCGTGGATTTTTCCGTTCGGATGAACAGTGACGAGAGAGAGAGAGAGTTCGCGGGAGAGAGAAAGAGAGAGAGAGAGAGAGAGAGAGAGAGAGAGAGAGAGAGAGAGAGAGAGAGAGAGAGGAAAGTGAACTGAAATGGAAAAATCTGATTTTTTTACAAATACCTTTTCGAATTATTTACGATTTTGCCACTGAAAGAAATTTCATCGCCAACATTTCGTTATAACTCTGATTCAAGCCTACCGCCTGTCTACGAATTCATCTCAGAACCACTTACACAACTAAACCACTTGTGGTCCCAAAATCCTTCCGGACAAGAAAATGACCAAAATACCCTACCCCAAGGGTAGTTTCGTAATTTCACAGTTAATTTAATTTTAACCTTTTAAATAGAGTCGGGGTGTTACAACCTACCCCCCTTATAAAAATTTCGTCCCCGAAATTTACATACCTGTCAATTGAAGAGATAAGGGTACTGGGTCCGCATTTGCGCCTCGGGTTCCCAAGTAGCCTCTTCAACAATTTGACTTCTCCATAGTACCTTCACTACAGGAATGGATCTAGAGCGCAACCTTTGCTCCTTCCTATCCAAGATCTGCACAGGTTGCTCCTCGTACGTCAAATCTTCACTCAACTCCATAGGTTGGTGCTCTAAAACATGAGAAGGATCAGGCATGTACTTCCTTAACATGGATACATGAAACACATCATGGATCCGAGATAGTTCTGTAGGTAAGGCAAGTCTATATGCAACTGGTCCAATGCGTTCAGTGATCTCATAAGGTCCAATATAACGAGGGCTTAACTTCCCGCGTTTACCGAACCTCATCACACCCTTCCATGGAGATAACTTCAAAAACACCCAATCCCCCACTGCAAACTCAAGATCCTTGGACCTGTTGTCCGCATAACTCTTCTGTCAGTCTTGTGCGGTTTTCAACTTCTCTCTAATCATTTTCACCTTCTCAGTTGTGGCTCGGATACTATCTACCTTTTCCAACTTTCTTTCACCCACTTCATTCCAACAAACAGGAGTTCTACACATTCTTCCATACAGAGCCTTATACGGAGCCATCTCAATGCTCGAATGGTAACTGTTGTTATAAGCGAATTCCACCAATGCAAGGTGAGTATCCCAACTGTCTTTCAGTTGTAAAACACAAGACCTTAACATGTCTTCCAAGGTCTGAATGGTTCTTTCTGACTGCCCATCAGTCTGTGGGTGAAAAGCAGTACTAAAATGTAACTTAGTACCCATAGCCTCATTTAAACACTTCCAGAAATGAGATGTGAACCTTGCATCCCTGTCCGATACAATAGACACAGGAGCTCCATGCAACCTCACGATCTCATCCACAAAAAGTTTTGCCAACCTTGACAAGGAATAGGTTTCCTTTATAGGTAGAAAATGGGCGGACTTGGTGAGTCGGTCAACTATCACCCAAATTCCATCATGCCCCTTTGAAGTACGTGGGAGTTTGAAAACGAAGTCCATTGTGATAAGCTCCCATTTCCATTCAGGGATCGGAAGTGGTTGCATGAGTCCGGACGGTTTCTGCCGTTCCGCTTTCAGTTGTTGACAAATCAGACACTTGCTCACATACTTAGCAATATCTCCCTTCATATGCGGCCACGAGTAGTACTCACGTAAAGTCCGATACATCTTAGTACTACCCGGATGCATAGAGTAAGTAGAACAGTGAGCTTCTTCCATGATTTCCCTTCTCAAGTCGTCATTGTTCTTGGGTACACAAAGACGAGTTCCAGTCACCAAAGCTCCATCCTTCCTTATTGCATAATCCGTCCGTGTACCATTTTCTACTTCCGATCTTATCACACAAAGATTAGGATCTCCCAATTGTGCTGCAATCACTCGCTCAACCAGAATAGGCCTCACATGCACACTAGCAAGTATTCCTCCCCGAGGAGTCATCTCCAAATCCACACCATCCTTCCGCAGTTCTACCAACAACGGAAGATAGGCCATTCTGAGATGAGCTAGACTTCCACCAACATTCCTACTTAGTGCATCGGCTACCACATTAGCTCGACCGGGATGATACTCAATCGTACAGTCATAGTCTTTAATCAATTCCAACCAACGCCGCTGTCTCATATTCAACTCCCTCTGAGTGAAAAAGTACTTGAGGCTCTTGTGATCGGTGAAAATCTGACACGTCTCACCATACAGATAATGCCGCCAGATTTTGAGAGCGAACACCACTGCGGCAAGTTCCAAGTCATGGACAGGATAATTCTGCTCATGCTTCTTGAGTTGCCTTGAGGCATAAGCAATTACCCGATCATGTTGCATCAGAACACATCCCAAGCCTTGTAAAGATGCGTCACTATAGATCACAAAGTTCCCCGAGTTATCCGGAAGAGCCAAAACAGGTGCGGTGGTTAACCACTTTTTCAGCTCCTGAAAACTCTGCTCGCACTCCTCCGTCCACTCAAACTTAACATCCTTCCTCGTCAACCGAGTAAGAGGTGCTGCTATCGAATAGAACCCTTCTACAAACCGACGATAGTAGCCCGCTAACCCTAGGAAACTCCGTATCTCTGTTACACTTGTGGGTTGCACCCAATTCACGACTGCTTCTACCTTACGAGGGTCCACATAAATTCCTTCTGCTGATATCACATGTCCAAGGAAGTCCACTCTATCCAACCAAAATTGACATTTACTGAACTTGGCATAAAGCTGCTTCCTTCTCAAAGTTTTTAATATCAGCCTCAGATGTTTTTTATGACCCTCCAAAGTTCGGGAATAAACTAGGATGTCGTCTATGAACACAATCACAAAGTGATCCAAATAAGGTCGGAACACTCTGTTCATGAGATCCATAAACGCTGCTGGAGCATTTGTCAATCCGAAAGGCATCACCAAGAACTCGTAATGGCTGTAACGAGTTCTGAATGCTGTCTTGGGAATATCATCTTCCCGTACTCTGAGTTGATGATATCCCGATCTCAGATCAATCTTGGAAAAGTACTTGGCACCCTTCAACTGATCAAACAAGTCGTCAATTCGAGGCAAAGGATATCGATTACGCAATGTCACCTTGTTCAACTGCCTGTAATCAATACAAAGCCTCATGCTTCCATCCTTCTTCTTCACAAATAATACCGGTGCACCCCAAGGGGAAACACTAGGTCGAATGACTATTTCTGTTCTGCAAGAGCACAATATCATAAGAGAAAGGGGAGCCAAATGGTCAACATGGTTCAAACTAAGCAGAAAAAGGAAAATAAGTATAGGACTGCAACTGGAAAAGAGAAAGAAAGTATCAAGAAAAGGATTTGAAACCAACAAAAGGAATGGCTTGTTTCTTTTGCAAGAAAGCAGGACATATGAAAAGGGACTGCAGGAAGTATAAGAAATGGTTGGAAAAGAAGAAGGGAAAAGGTAACAGCAATATGATCCTAGTTTGTTTCGAATCCAATTTGGTTAATTTTTCATTTGATTCATAGTGGTTAGACAGTGGTGCTTCTATTCATGTAGCTAATTATTGCAGGAGTTTACAAGTAAGAGGCTGCCAAGCAGGGATGAAGTCAAAGTATTCGTGGGAAATGGAGAAAAAGTTCAAGTAGACTACATAGGGACAATTAAAATAGAGCTAGATTTTGGTTTTGTTTTGGAATTAGATGAGGTAGTTTATGTTCCTTCTATGAAGAAGAGTTTATGTCAATTACTAGACTTGCAAAATCAAAATTCAATTTGAATTTTGATGGAACTGGTTGTTCTATTTTCAGAAATAAAGATTTAGTTGGCAAAGCAAGTCTTATTGATGGAATGTTTCGACTCAATTGCAAAAGAATTAAAATGGAAGTAAACACAGTGCAAACCAAAATCAATGAAGTCTCATATAGATTATGGCATCAAAGGCTTGGACATGTTTCAAAAGAAAGGATAACTCATCTATGCAAAGAATTAATCATACCACCACTGAATCATGAAAACAAATATGAAGTATGCATTGAATGTGTCAACGGCAAATTAACAAATTTGAGGAAAAAAGGAGCAATACGAAGCAAAGGTGTTCTAGAACTCATCCACACAGACATTTATGGATCTTTCCCAAAAACTCATGAAGGATTCACCTACTTCATAACCTTTACAGACGATTTTTCAAGGCATGGACATGTTTTTCTCATTAAAGAAAAATCAAGTGCCTTAGACATGTTCAAAATTTACAAAGCTGAAGTAGAAAATCAACTGAATCTCAAAATTAAAGTGGTTCGATCAGATATAGGTGGAGAATACTATGGAAGGTTTGATGAGACTTGGAGAAATCCTGGATCTTTTGCAAAATTCCTTCAACAAGAAGGAATCATGGCTCAATATACAAATCCAGACACTCCTCAACAGAATGGAATCTCATAAAGAAGAAACAGAACCTTAAAGGATATAATAAGAAGTATGATGAGTTGTACCAACTTACCAATTTTTCTATTGGGAGAAGCCCTTAAAACTGCCAACTATATCCTTAATAGAATTCCAATTAAAAGGAAAAATCAGATTCCCTATGAAGTATGGAATGAAAGGAAACCAAGCATCAAACATTTTAGGGTATGGGGTTGTAAAGCAGAAGCAAAGCCTTATAATCCTGATCCGAGAACTTTAAGTTGCTATTTTGTTGGTTACCCAGAGAGAACAAAGGGATATAGATCCTACTGTCCTCATCACACTACAAGATTCATAGAGACATCTAGAGCAGTTTTTATAGAGATTGACAAAGAAAGAACTAAAGAAGAGAGTTTCAATTTTGAGGAAATAACAATGGACCATGTTACAGTTCAAGATTCCGAAGAAGGAATTTTTAGATTGCCATAAATTGATACAAACAACACTCAATCAGATCACACTGAAGAAACAGCTGCAGATTAAGTTAGAACTGCAGAACCAATGCTTATAAATGACAATCAAGCACAACTAGTAGAAAATCAAAATATGATTCAGACACAAGAAACAAATAACTCACAATCAGATATGGAATTAAGGAGGTCACAGAGGCAATGAAGACCTACTTTGGGAGATGATTACTTTGTGTAAATAGCACATGAGATCCTACAACTTTCAAACAAGCCATGATGAGTGAAAAGAGTGAAAACTGGTGGGCAGCAATGAAATCAAAATTGAATTCAATGGAGAAGAATGGAGTTTGGAAGCTTGTAACTCTACCTTAAGACAAAGAAAAACTCAAAAGGGCAGATAGATAGATATAAGGCAAGATAGGTTGCCAAAGGTTTTACACATAAGGAAGGAATCGTTTACAATGAGACTTTCTCACCAGTCTAAACTAAAGATTCATTAAGGATAATTATGGCACTTATAGCACATTTTAATCTACACTTGCATCAGATGGATGTTAAAACTGCATTCCTTAATGAAGATCTTGAAGAAGTGATTTACAGGATGGAACCAGAAGGCTTCATTCAAGAAAAGAAGCATAATTTAGTTTGCAAGTTGTGCGAATCAATTTATGGACTAAAGCAAGCCTCAAGAAAATGGCATTTGAAATTCAACAAGGTTGTGAAGGCATATGGATTCACAAAAAATGCATTGGATGAGTGCATTTATATGAAGATGAGTAGGAGACATTTCATTATCTTGGTTCTCTATGTGGATGCCATTTTATTGGCTTGTACAAATCTCACTATGTTACATGATTGTAAAAGTTTTATGTTCAAACATTTTGACATGACTGATCTGGTAGAAGCAACCTATGTATTGGGCATAGACATAAGTAGAAATCGAGAGAATGGTTTACTTGGACTATCACAGAGATCTTATATAGAGAAGGTGCTTAAAAGATTCAACATGCAGGATTGTGCAGGAAATGATGTTCCCATTGCAAAAGGAGATAAGTTAAGCATTGAGCAGGCACCTAAAACTGAACCAGAGAAGCTTGAAATGGCTGACAAACCCTATGCTTCACTAGTGAGGAGTTTAATGTATGCACAAGTGTGTACAAGACTTGATTTGGATTTTGCAGTTAGCATGTTAGGAGATTTCAATCAAACCATGGACAAGCACATTGGGTTGCAATGAAGAAGGTTATGAGATACTTGCAAAGAATAAAAGACAACAAATTGTTATTCAAGATAAGTGAGCAACTGGAATTACAAGGATTTACAAATGCTAACTTTGGGTTTAGGATGCCAAGATTAAAATCTACAACTGGTTTTGTGTTTATGTTTGGAGGAGTTGCAGTATGGAGAAACATTAAACAACCTCTCACGGCTGGATCTACAATGCTTGTTGAATTTCTAGCATGTTATGAAGCCACTTCTCAAGCTATGTGGTTAAGAAATTTCATTCTTAGTTTGAATGTGGTAGAATCTATTCACAGACCTATTCAACTTTGGAATGACAATAGTGCAACAGTGTTATTTGCAAAAGGCAATAAAAGAACAAGAGGTTCTAGGCTACTAAACGTTAAGTACATAATAGTGAAGGAGAAAATGGCTCAAGGTTACACTACTTTAAGTCACATTAGCACTAAACAGATGATAGCAAATCCTCTCACCAAAGGGGTGCCAAATGTTGTTTTTCATAAGCATGTCTTAAGCATGGGACTGATAGCTGATATGAATGCCTAAATCAGTGAGAGCTTATTTGTTTAAGTAGTTTTACTAAGTTTATTATTTTATTGACAATTGGTTGGTTTCGATGGATGTTAATATGGTTTGAGGTTCCAAATAAAGAAAAAAATTCATGCAACAGATTAAAGTAATTTACCTGTTGTATATGTTATCACAAGTACTTGACTAGAATTAAGCAGAAATCTAGCTTAAGGTATCTGTGTGCAGTATTTTATTCATGATAGTGAAATCATTTAACATAAAATGATGAGACCTTGGTAGTCGAATTAAGGGACATTGAATGAACATGTTCATAAAGTTTTACAGTAAAACATGTTTATTTTTTCTATTCAATCTTGATGGAGGCTTATGTGATTTTAAAAAATATTAAATGTAACTATAAAGACCCCGGAGTATTAGATATCCAGTATAATCTTGATGGTTCTCTCTCATTGTTTGAAATTGACAATTGCTTGATCGGAATCAGTTTGAGTTATATTTCACAATGGTCTTAAGTGATCAATACAAAAACACTCAGGGATTAGTCGATCAAGTGAGAGAATGTAAGCCAATTTATTGTCTTAGTCCTAGAAATGTGATCTACTAATCCTAAGAGGACTCAAGTGTTTTAATTGATTATGGAATAAATCTCAAGCTTCTTGGATAACTACTTGTATAGAGCTTATTAAAGTAAAACACAAGTGTTAACAGAATTCCTAATACAATATGGATTGAAACAAACCTAGTCTAATGCAAATAGAACACCTAAATACTTCTTGATGGGCAAGGCATTCGAGTAATGCATATATAAATATGGGTCCCTTCCCTTGCAACAAACTAACTCAATACAGACTCTCACCCTATCTAAGAGAAAAAGATTATAAGGTGTTGCATAGGTGAAGAAGATTCTCTACAATTACCATGGCTGAACAAGGTTAGTGTTATGGTATAAAAGCCTAGTATAGATTTACAGATTTCGCTTTCTGAAACCCTAAACCAGAGAGTGTATCAGAGAGAGAGAGAGAGAGAGCAAAAGAAGAAGAGATAGCATTGTGTTGTGAGGAAGAGAGTCATACAACTCACGTTCACGTATCCTTCTCAAGTCTCTATAATTTCTCTCTCCCTAAAAGGAGGGACCACCCAAGCATGCAAGGTACCACGTGGCCAAATCCGTATTTGGATTATGAGGAATTGAATTGAGGAGAATTAGATTTCGGATTCCTATTGAAGTTGTTTACTAAACCATATGGATTGAGGGAGTTATATTCCAGATTCATATTGAAGTTGTTTACTGAACCATATGGCATTGAGGTAGGAGTGGTACTAATTACTAAAATGTCATCGGTTAAAGTATATGGCAAATTGAAATTTCCAAAATTGTGTAAGGATATAATGGGTAAAAAAGATGAATTTCCAATAGGTTAGTTATCCTGGAATTAGAATACCACATCCTACTCAAGAATTGAATGAATTCCTAATTTTGTTTGGGCTCCATAGGTGGAATTCAATTCCTGATTAGTAAACATACCAATAAAGTAATTTAATTACTATTTCAACCTTTTATTTATTCTTTTAAATTATAACCATACAAATCAAACTTAAAAGTGAATCATAGGGATGGTAACGGACCAATTAGGGGTTGGGTATGACAAACATCATAAGAAGGTTAGTAAAAACACTTGAATGTGGATGCTGAATTTTATTTTTAATTATTTGTATGAGTCAATGCCTTTCATTGTTTTAACATTTAGTTGGGTTAATATTTTTTTGGGAGCTTTAGTAGTATACCCAAAATATAGGTTGAAATTATATAAAAAAAAACCTCATATAGAATGCACTTTAGAAACATACCCAAAAATCATTTACTACATAGGAAATGAGTGTTGAAGTTCCTATAAATTACATGACTGCCATTGATTAACTTAAAACAAGCCCAACATAAAAAACTCAAAAAACACCCAAAACAAGCCCAACAACCCCGAAGTACATTGTTAATACCATATTATAGAGTACATTGTTAATACAATATCATATAAGTACATTGTTAATACCATTTCATACAAAAAACTAAAAACTAAAAACCAAAAAAGCTCAGCAAGACATCCGATGTCCTTTGCAGAAACCACATCTAATTGTCCACAATTTCACTAGAAACAATCGCAAAGGCAAAAGGAAATACCTCTGCAAGAAAAAAAAATAGTACACTGTTAATACTATGTCATAGAACTATCTTCCTAGTAAAAATCACATTATGCATATAATAAACTTCAAGTGCATAGCTATATATAGAGTAAAGTATAGAACATGCATTGTTACTGAAAATCTGTTAATACTATGTCATAGAAGTATACTGTTAATACTATGTTATAGAAGTATACTATTAACTATTAATACTATGTCCTATAAGTATACTGTTAATACTATGTCATATAAATCAACTCAATTGCAGAGTATGAACAGTATAACAATTGTTCATACCACTTATTGGAAGTTAACAACTACATCATTTCATTTGCATAATAGATAATATAAATAATCCAAACAGTACCAAACATCAAAACCAAGTCAACACTAAACAATGTTTTGCGCATTAAAATTACAAAGAACCTAGATCACTGAGAATCTGAATCCAAGAATAGTAATTATCAAATTTCTTTTCTTTTGTTCAATTTGTATTAGAAAGGAAAATGAAGATCTAGTGGCAAGATGCCACACGAACAATACAGATATATAGTTTAAGTTCTTGTATGCAAAATCATTGTTAGCTAACTCATAGTGGAAAATTGGAAGGAAAAAATCTTACACTTTTTGCCTTTCTCCTTAATAACATTACAAACTCATGAGAATCTTTCGGACACTAACCAATTCACATCATCATCAATTTGGAGAAATTCAACAGAAGTAATTCCTTTTGCTAATCCTTCAACTTTACAAGTAAATGTATATCCAATTTATAATTCCAGTTTGATACAACTATTTCCCAACTCTAATCCCACTTTTTCCAATGAAAAGACAACATAATGAGAGTAAGTTTTTAATATTGTACTACTATGTTCTATCTAGTTTGTTTCCTTTTCTATTGACACATCAATTTCTTATTTATGTTGTGAAGAAAAAAAAATGAAATATATATATGACATAGAAGGGCTACAATGAGATGAAATGAATCCTATGGCTTGTACAAACAAGTGGTCTAGCATGCTGCCAATAGCTAGAGCATAATTAGAGAAGAAATTGCAACTGTTACCCAGCTCAGGTACACCAATGCAACTGCCATCTGGTATTTTTGGCATTCCTCTCCAAAATTGCAGTGGCTCAAGTCACTAAAGTACAACACAATTATGCCAAATGAGGCAGAAGATACTGCAAGAGACAATGTTGCTGTAAACTATTAGAAAAGGAAAAGAGTAAGCTAGTAAATGGCAAGCACTATATGGACACACAAGATTTTCATCTAAGGAAGTCAAGGATTTGTAGAGGCTAACCAATAAAGGGTTGTGGAGGACCTTCTTTTTCACCAAGGAATATGCATCTAGCAATGCCAACACTAAACTCCAAATGACTTGCAGACCCATTGATGCAATCAGGTTGCTGCAAAATGAGCATTGCCTTAAACAAATATCACAATTTTTTTTTCAGGACAAGAAATGGCATGTGATGCATCATGAGATGCTGAAATCTGCCTCATAAGCCTACAGATTCAAGTTACACAAAACTGAACTTAGATGGCAATTTGCTCACAAACATTAGATAGCATACACAGATAGAGCCAAACAAGTCAACAACAGTGAGAAAAACAAGCATAATGAATTCTAAATCACTAATTCCAATTATTATATAATTCTAAAATAGAATAGGCAATACATCAATGACTCATATTGACTAATTAGTATTTTATGCCAAGAACTCATCCTAAAATTGAATCACCATATCACCATCACCAAAACCTCAATTCAATCATACAATAAGCAAACACATAAATTAACAACAACAAAAATAAAATAAATTAAAATTTTCACAATAACCTTCAAGAGCTTTTGCGCATACGAAACTATGAGTAGTTCTTCAAAGTTTTTTTTTTTTTTTTTTTTTTTTTTTTTTTGCACAACACTCTGTTAAATTCAGAGAGACGGGTCATCGGTTCATACTCTAGCAACACCAATATTGTCCCCAACTTAACCACCTACAAAGCCCAGTAGGTGTGTGATTTTATCACAAAGGCCTCAATGTTATTAGTAGTAGAACCATTCATTATATTTTGTCTTTTATTTAGTCAAGTTTCCAATGTGGGACTTATATCTTCAACATATGCAGCAAAAGAAAATAGTCCAATGCTTGAAACTTTGGAAAATATAATATGAACGAAATTACATCACAAAGCCAGAGTCCAAAGTTAAAGGACAACCACAACTAGAAAAACAAAGCATACAAATATAAATACTAGAGGTAGAAGACGACCCAACCAACTGGTGGTGGCATCGTCAAATTCCTCACTAGTCCCAAACTAATGATGGGGTGGACAATCTAACCCATCCTTATTAAGAATGCATATCAGTGAGGATGGGGATCTATTAACCCAAAATGATAGGCTCATCCTCGACATTGCTATCCTGGCCAAGTAGTATGCTGCCAGGTTTGCAGTTCTGGGAACCCAAGACCAACTACACTCCCTGAATTCTGCTTGAATCTCTTTTATCAATGTGAGTACAGGAAACATATGCCACCTGCCTCTTGAAATGGACCCTTGAAGAGCATTGATAATCTCCCTGGAGTCTGATTCAATACAATGTGAGCACAATCCTGCTGCTTGGCTAATTTGCACCTCTCCAACACAGCCAAAGCTTTAGAGAGTAAGGAGGAATAAGCTATAATTGAAAAAGCCCCACCTGCCACAAAATCCTCCAAAGCACTGCAAAGTACTATTCCCACACCTACTTGTTGAATAGTAGATCGCCATGAAACGTCTACATTAACTTTGATGATATTACTTGGGGGAGGAGACCATCACTGAGGTGGTTTATATACTTGAGATGTACCATTCCGACATTGATTGAGGGAACGCTGAACCTCCAAAAAAATTGCCACAAGAGGTTTGGATTGCCCTTATAACTGAGAGGGGATGCGGGGCCTTATGCTCCATAACAGCTTTGCAACAGGCTTTCCAAATGTGCCAGCATTTGTGGGCAATAATAGTACTCATCCATTCTCGATCGGTCACACTTAGAACCCCCTCATTTGTGATTGACAACAACCATCTATCCATACTTGTGATCGCTCCCTTGTCTAACTTGATATTCAATTGGCCACCAAACCACACAGGTTCAACCCAAGGACAGAGTAAGAGCATGTGTTCAACATATTCAGCAAATTCACCGCAAATAGAGCAAATAGGGGAGGTGCCCATTTTTCGCAGAAATAATCCTTCGTGGCAATTCCATTCCAAAAAGCTCTCCAAATAAAATTACAAATTTTTGGGGGAGCTTTTGTTTGCCAAACAAACTTCTACCAAACCACATCAACATCGCGAGAAGAGAAGGGTCTATTTTGTTGCCGAGTAATTGAGGAGCTATGCAGCCAATGATACCAAGATTTTACAAAGTAGAATCCATTTTTTTTGAAAGGCCACACCAGTCTATCTTTATTCCTTGGGCTTGCAAATTTAATCTTGGAAATGGCTTCAACAGCTCTATCATCAATCAGGTGTCGAATTAGATTGAGGTTCCAATTACGGGTATCAAAATTAATAATGGAATTGACTCTTTGCTCTAAATCCACCATACCATTAGCCACAGGTTGCAGCCTTCCACCCTCAAAACCTATAATCCAATTATCAACTCATAGCCTAACTTGAGAGCCATCAAGAACTTGCTAGTGAGCGCCTTGCAACAGAATATCCATCCCCTATAGTAAACTAGCCCACACCAAGAAGCCTGACTACCCTTTCTGGCTTGAAGAAAAATTTCATTTGGGAAATAAACACCCTTCAAAGATTTTGCCCAAAGAGAGTCAGGTTCGGTGATGAGTCTCCAACATTGCTTAGTTATCAACACCAAATTAAATTCATGAAGGTCACAGAAGCCCATACCACCAGACTGTTTTGAGAGACCTAAAGAATTTCAACTGATCCAATGTATCCTTTTCTCATTTCCACTCTACCCCCACCAGAAATTTGACATTAACGAATCAATTTCCTTACAAATTTTGGAAGGGAACACAAAGATGTGCATTGGATAAGTTGGAACCACTTGAACCACTGCTTTCAACAGAACCTCACGACCTGCCTGCGAAAGAAATTGTTGTTTTCAACCTTGGATTTTAGACATAATCCTCTCCTTAATGTATAGCAGTGCCTCACGCTTTGAGCGGCCCCAAATAGTAGGGAGACCAAGATACCTCTCAGGATCATCAACGTGTGATATCCCAAGAATATGGCAGAGACGCTTGCCTAAATTTGATGGAGTATTGGGGCTGAAGAAGATAATTGATTTGGCCAGACTAATTTGTTGTCCAGACGCTTTACAAGTCTGTACAATTATGCTCTGAGGCCCTTATGAAGTATATATTGACTTAATGAGCCATCATTTTTAGCCTAAATCGTATTTTGCACTAAAACTGATTTTTCATATTTTGATTTGGTGAGAATTTGATTTTCTAGTATTTTTATTTGAATCCAAATGGGGGGTACTTCCTTGTTTATATTGTAAACTTAAGTCAATGCCTTTGTCCTTGCGCCTTAATAGGTCCGTCACTGTAATCAACTCCACCCATCTTTCAGTGAACCCCATTCTAATCATCACAGCCTCCAAGAAATCCCACTCCTCGCGGTCGTACACTTTATTCATATCAAGTTTGACTCCCATTTCAAACATCTTCTTCGATTTCCTTGCTTCAAGTAATGGAATATGTCATGAGCCAGGATAATATTATCTTGAATCTGGCACCCATGGACAAGGGCATTTTGGATGTGATGAATGAGGTTGGGCATGTGAGGTTTGAGCCTATTTGCCATAATTTTTTAGCGAATTTTATACGAATAATTACACAACCCAATTGGATGAAATTGGGAAACTGTCTCAAGACAGGGGATTTTCGGAATCAGCACTAAACCTCCAAGATTGGGCTAGTCAACGCTGCATTCATCTTGTCACTAACAGTATGAGAAACACAATCAAGTACATCCCCCCAATCTCTGTGACCACCAGTTGTAAACAAATTTTTGAAATGTTCCTCCAGTCTGTCTAATTTCCTCTGGGTTTTCAATCCAAACACCATCATCATTCTTGATCTTAGATATGTTGTTGTGGCGTCTACGTTGCAATGTTGTTGTTTGGCATTTTGCCCTGGTATTGTTATTCCAGTGTGAACAAAAAAAAAAACGAAATTACATCACGTGTGAAAGAGGTTTATGCAAATCAGGGTGGTGAACCAAATATATTAAAGAAAGAAACTAGAGTGCAGCAATCAAGTACTGCCTTAACATTATCACTAAGCTGTAATAAATCAACATAAACATCTAGCCTAGAACAAAAAAGATCAAAAAACATTGTATGAACAGTAAACATGTTCTCAAAATATTTCAAATGCTCCATCTATGTTGTCAAGGGTCCCCTACAGTTGCTTCTCCAAAATGGAAGTAGTGCAACTCACAAAAGCAAGCAGGCCGGCAACCTACCAAAGATGGGCCACTCATTATATTCCTATACGAGGATGGTAAACCAAGATCAGCAGCACTGCAGACTGGGGAGCGGCCGCCTTTCGGGAATTACTATGTACACATCTGAGGCAGTTCATACTAGGGTTGATAAGTGCCAAGTGGAGGAGGGCTGGGGGTGAAGTGATGCGGCCGATGTATTCCAGAATTCGGCATTGCACCAGTTTCGTAGTCGTTGGCATACATACCAAACTGCCCAGGGTGTCCACAATTAGCGCCAATTCCATATTCGTTGGCCGCGGCCATACCAAACCGCCCAGGGTGTCTATAATTCTCATGCTGCCAAGATGGCACACTTCTATGCTGATAGTCAGGACAGGAAGTTGGCATTCGATATAGTCTAGCAGCCGATCCCCCCGTTCGTTGGAATTTATTTGGATGCTGTTGTTGTTGATGTGGTTGAGCCCCTCGGCGTTTATTCCAATTTGTCTGCTTTTGTTGTTCAAACTTATTAGCCTCTTGTTGTTCAGTCTTGATGGCAATAAATTTACTCTGTTCATGTTGTTCAACTTCGCAGACAAGAGATTTGTTCTCCTCTTGTTGCCCAACTTTGCAGGCAAGAGATATCGCTGAACGTCTTTGACCCTCCTTTATTTTCTCAACCATAGCTATTTGTAATTCAATCTTCCCAGATGGGTATACAGACTCGAGATTGCAATCTTTGATGCACTGAATCACATCTCTTAAATCAGCAATTTCATTATCTAAAACCTTAACCTGTGAGCACAAAAACATAGCACGTAAGCTTTACAGCCATACATTTTTCCTATATTTAAATATTCAGGAACCAAATATTGGACAACCAAATAAGAGCTAAGGTACCTTTTCATCTAGTGATTTCTTTTTCTTGCAAATTCTCCTGTTCCAGTTCTTTGTATTCTCCACAAACTTTTCTAAGAGTGGAACAGGGGGGAAAGTGTCAATTAACTTGAATGTGCAAATCAACCTAACAGCCTCAATCAGTTGCCTTCTTTCAATAAGATTCAGAATAAAATGGGCTGCATATAAAAAAAAATTGCAGGATTAACCAAAGTACTCCACGGAAGTTTCAAAAGGAGAATACAATAGCCCAAACTTAAAAGAGGGTAATGTTGGCAAATGCATTAACAAAAGAAGAAAAAATATTTAGGATGGAAAAAGAAGAACAGAGAACACAATCATGTTTATGCAAGGAAAACACAGAATACCAGTGGAGCAAGAACATGAATTCACCAACTCTAGTAGTAGGAGAGGATAATCATTCACAACAAACTGGATATAAAACGAATCAATAGCTACAAATATGCATAAATATACTGAGGTTCTGAACCACAGAGTGATAAACCATTCACTTAGAATATATTATAAAACCCAATGTAAGGGATTATTTACATATTGATTTTGTTGGGTTTTATAAAATATTCTAAGTGAATCTTAACTTCATCGTACATTTTCCTAATTCCTAACCTCATATCATGAATTTTATCTTCGAAATTAAAAATCTTCAAGCCATTTGCTAATATTCGACCCATTAGCGGTCAATACCGACCCAAAGATAATTATCACTTTAGCACAAGTGACAAGAATGGGATATAGGACACTCAAGAGTTACAAACACCTATAGCCAAAACACTGTAAATTGCAAAAGGAAATTAAAGAGCCTACCAAGGAATAAACAAGATTGATGGTAAGCTAAACACAAACAGCACAATGAACACAACATGAAAATTCATATTCAAGAAACTTACCAGGGATCTTATCTGCAAAACTGAGTTTCTGACATAATTCTCGAGTCTGTTTATCCTGAGAAATCCTCCCAAGAAGCGATACCATATCATATCTAGGAAAGGTAGAAAACAACCCATATGTAGCAATAAACTGCAAAAAACCCAAATGTTCCAATGAATTTTGAGTATCAGCTCCCATTTTTGCTTTCCACTGGATTGCTAGATTTCTTGCATCATCCTTCACATGCGGTCCAACATGCGGTGAGATACAAATTAGCTGCTCCAATAGGTTGATGAAACTCAACATGACAGTTTCTCTAGAACGAACATCCCCATTTCCCCAGTATTGAGCAAAAGAATTTTGCATCACATCCAACACAAATTTTGCTGGGTCCAACGACGTCTGAAGAGCAGCCAAAGTTTCACTTTGTATTAAATGATTCCCTCTCGCAAGCTCATGTACAAACCCCTGCAAATTCCTTGCATCTGTAGTAGCAGTTAGTTGAAGATTCGGAGAAGAAACACCTGCTGCATTTTGGTCAGGGAAGATTCTGGTTTCTCAGTTTTGACGGGGGAACAAATGATGCTGGCTGTGCAAAAAAAAAATTTGCAGTAGACAGGTTAGTGAGTGAATAATTCTGAACTTAACATATTAAAACATATTTATAGCATTATGTGCAAATTGTGCTTTGAGTGTTGTGTGGAGTGGGGATGGGGATAGCTATTAGGTTCAAGTCTTACCAAGCAAAACCCCGAAATGAATAAGAAAAGTCTTGTTTTGAATATATGAGAGCATCAGACGGTATTATGGCAAGTTGGAGATAGAGACTGCCCAAATGGCTAATTTAGAAGTACAAGCAAAATTTTCAATAACAAGAGCTAGGACGAAATGGTATCAAGATGCTATAAGACTTGAACAACATATTCATAAAGTAGGGGCAATTTAAACCATTAATGATTTTCAGGACAGCACAAAGGACAAAGCATTTCTTATAAAAAAATAAAGAGGGAAAAACAATTTGCAAGTAACATATCATCTTTCTATAATAAAAGAACAAGGCCTAAAAAGGACAATGGTTTTGAAACATGTTTAAAAATAATTGATTGTAGAAACTTCTTAGAGTAACAAGTACTCTTCAACACTGCTCTAAAAACAAGAGTAAAACGCATGTCCAATGGGAAATTGTAACCAATGCTACTCTACAATAAGAATTATAATCATTAAAAAAATTTCCCTCTAAAGAGAAGCTCCCATAAGGCAAGAAATCAGAATTTCAGAACTGTTCTTTGTGACATTTATGGGCCATCACTGTTATAAATTGACAATGACTCACAGGCCTATCCCATCCCACAACATGCAGAGGGCATTTTGCTGCTGGTATAGACTTCTATTTGTTGGGTTGACAAGGGTCAGAAATATAACATATAACCTAATTAACTATACAAATTATAAACTCAGATCTAAATGTGAAAAAAAACAGTAAATAAATTAAAAGAACTTACCAGATCCCTTTTCTGTGCTACCAAGGGCCTGGGATAATTCAGTTGCCTGTTCATACTCGGCAATTGTAGCAACAAGACTTTGAAGATCCTTCCCTTCATACTCAGAGGTGATTTCATACGTAGTAACAAGCCTCAAAAAACCCAAAATCTCCAACCAATTCTCGGTTGCCCCCGTCATTTTAGCCTTCCAGTCACCCGCCAACTTAATTGCTTCTTCTCTCACCGGAGGATTAATTTGTGGTGAGACTTTCTTTAAAGCCTCTAACAAAAGAATACAACTCCTCCTAATAACTCTCAAATCAAAATTACACTCCCTGTTGTCTACAGTCGAGTTTGAGGGGTAAAACCCTTGCATTGCATCCAAAACCAATTTTGCTGGGTCCAATGAGGCCTCAAGAACAGCTGAGATTTCGCTACCCACTAAATCAATTCTCTTCAAATGCTCATTCATGAACAACTGCAAGCCTCTACCATCCCTATAGATGCTGGATTGATTAATTGCAGAAGAAGGAACAAAGGCCTGGTTGGAAGGGATATATTCCAGTTGCTCAATCTTCACTTGAGAATGAAGGGCATTAGTTTTCTCTTTCGCTTTCAGGTTTCGGGTATGTTCTTCGGTGGATTTTTTAATCGAATCAAATTCTTTCTGCTTCAATTCAATCCCTTTGGCCTGATCTTCAATTTGCCTTTTTTTCGATTTCATGTTTTGGATGTGTTCTTCACAGGATTTTCTGATCGAATCAAATTCTTTCTGCTCAAGTTGCCTTTCTTTCATGTTTTGGATGAGTTCTTCAGTGGATTTTCTGATTGAATCAAATTCTTTCTGCTTCAATTCAAGCTCTTTGGCCTGGACTTCAAGTTGCCTCTCTTTCGCTTTCAGGTTTCGGGTGTGTTCTTCTGTGGATTTTTTAATCGAATCAAATTCTTTCTGCTTCAATTCAAGCTCTTTGGCCTGGTCCTCAAGTTGCATTTCTTTCGATTTCAGGTTTCGGGTGTGTTCTTCAGTGGATTTTTTAATGGAATCAAATTCTTTCTGCTTCAATTCAAGCTCTTTGCCCTGGTCTTCAAGTTGCCTTTCTTTTGATTTCAGGTTTCGGATGAGTTCTTCACTGGATTTTCTGATCGAATCAAAATCTTTCTGCTTCAATTCAAGCTCTTTGGCCTGGTCTTCAAGTTGCCTTTCTTTTGATTTCAGGTTTCGGATGAGTTCTTCACTGGATTTTCTGATCGAATCAAAATCTTTCTGCTTCAATTCAAGCTCTTTGGCCTGGTCTTCAAGTTGCCTCTCTTTTGCTTTCAGGATTCCGTTGTGTTCTTCAGTGGAATTTTTTATCAAAATAAATTCTTTCTGCTTCAGTGCAAGCTCTTTGGCCTGGTCTTCAAGTTGCCTCTCTTTCAATTTCAAAGTTAAGGTGTGTTCTTCAGTGGATTTTTGTATCGAAAATAATTCTTTCTGCTTCAATTCAAGCTCTTTGGCCTGGTCTTCAAGTTGTGCCTCTTTTGATTCCAGGTTTTGGGTGTGTTCTTCATTGGATTTTTTGATCGAATCAACTTCTTTCTGCCTCAATGCAAGCTCTTTGACCTGGTCTTCAAGTTGACTCTCTTTCATTTGAAGTCCCTTAGACATTTTATCCAAATGCTTCTCGCCATCTCTGATCGATTTTTGGAGTTCATCCAAATTCTTTTCTTTCAACTTAACCTCGTTGAGGCGTTCACTTACCCTCTTGTCCATCAATTCAAGTTCCCTCGCTCTGAAATCAAGTTTACACGACCACTCCTCCATTGAATTCTTAAGCATACCAAAATCTCTCTCTTTCAAATCTATTTCCTTAATATTTTTCTCTCTCGATTCGAGTGTATTAGAGCACTCCACTAACGATTTTTTAATCAACTTAAGTTTCTCCTCTTTCAATATCAACTTCCTGTCGCATTCCTCAATCGATCTTTTCGTTGCTTCAACTAGCTCTTCTTTCAAATCAACCTCTTTCTTGTGCTTCTCAATTGACCCAAGAATCTCATTCAATTGCCTCTTCTTCAACTCTATGTCCTCAACGTACTTGTTCAACGCTTCTTGAAAGCGTTTCACTTCCTCCTCCTTAGACTCGGCCAATTTCGACTTCTCTTCCAGAATTTTCTCGACCCAATTCAAATTTTCGGTCCCCTCTTTAACACGCCGGTCAATCGAATCAAACTCCATCTCCTTCTCTTCCACAATTTTCTCAACCCAATTCAATTTTTTCGTCCTCTCTTTAACACGCCGGTCAACAGAATCAAACTCCATCTCCTTCTCTCTAACAAACTTCTCAACTTCCATCAACCGATTCTCCTGAACAATGACCTCATCGCTGTGTTCTTGAATCAATGACAAAAGTGAATGCAAGTGGTTTTTACAGTCAGTTACCTCTTTCAATTTCTGATCGATCAATCTATCAAGGCCGCGCAACTCGCAGGCTTTTGCTTCCTTCTCCGAGCGAAATTTCCACTCGTTGGCTTCCAACTTCGTCTCCCGGACTCCGATATCCTCCTCGCGGGCCTCGAGTTCACGGAACCGGGTCTCTAGCGAGTTCCGAGTCGACTCAAAGTGATCGTCTAGGTCCTTCCACTGCACAGTAAAAATAAGGAACGAATTAGCTTGCGCATGTATAATATCGTACGCCTTGGCCAGGCTCCTCTGCTTGAACTCAGACTCTTTCAAATCCGCCTCTATCTTCTCCATTGTCTCCGTCGTGGTGGAGATTCGGGAGAGTGAAAGCGAAGAAAACAAGAAAAACAGCAGCGACGAAACCCTAGAAACAGTGGAGGAGAAGAAAGAAGAGAGTGTGGTATGTGGTTTGTAGCTTCTCTGGATTTTAAAGCGCACGCAAAGAAACCTGTAGTTGTTTTGTTTCTCACGGAAGTAGGGGAGTTGTAAACCAAAAACAAAGAGGAGAGGGGAGAGTGGTGTGTGTAGTGGGGACCACGCAAACCATACAGCTTGGACACGTGTGCAAATCTTTCCACCCCCCTCCCATGGGTCTGTTCCTATTTGAGTATAAATTTTTTGACCTTTTGCAGACGACAATTAGAGCGCGCCACACCGACGGTTGAGGTGGAATCCATTATCTTCCTAAATTTACTCCCACTAGGACTAGTACGGTAGTACTACTCGAATCAATTTCTAATAAGATTTTAACTGCTCTCATTATTTGGAAAATATAACGGAATATATCATTACACCCATAATTACCAACGCTTGGTGAGATTTTTTACTAGAAACTTCCTTAAATAAAATCTAGGAAACACCTACAATTTTTTAATAAATAACTAGCCTTTTGACAATGCCAAACAATATTTTTTAAATATATTATCCATTTTTTAAATTGATTTCTTTTTTACATTTCCATTAAATAAGGGTTTTTTGAATTATAAGTTCGTTATCTCAAACGAATACACACACTTATCCTTACTCTGTCAATTTTAAATAACATTTGTGTCTCAGCCGTCCAATTTCATTTAGAGACAAGTTTAAAATCATCCAACGGTTCTGCATTTGGTTGAGCTGGATGAGAATTACAAGGAGAATGGACAGTAGGCCCATCATATCACATATCAAATTCCTAATTCCTATAAAATTTTGAGGATTTCACTAAATAAAACATAATTAAATAATCATTCTAATTATAAAATACAATCATGTAGTCTCAGTTCAGGCAAACTTTCTGATGGGAGGAGGACACCGTCTCATATAAGGATAAAAACAATTTTTGCTTCTCAACATTCTCCTATAGCATTGCAAGTTGCAACAGAGATTTTTCCCAAATACTCGTGTTAGTTTGAAGATTACAAGGAACTTCTGAAATCAAGTAAAAACTCTTGTAAAGGAGAGAGAAGAGAAGATTACAAATCTTGATAAGTCGATGTATTAAACCCCAATTGTTTTGACAGTTCCTTGGAGAAGCATTCATCAGGGCTTTATACGAACCACAAATGAACCTGTTCAATAATTTCAAACAACCACTATTACAACAGGGAGTGCCAGTAAACCAAGAAGATAACTATAATGAATGGAATATTTGTCAATAAGGTCCTAAAATCGTGTCAGATTCAGTGCACGAAATAATGATGAGAAAAACAAGTACAAAAGAGGATAGATATTTATTGATTCAAACTGAAATCAAGGTGCAAGAACAACAAAGGAAAATTCCCAAAGGATAAAACTCACCCGTCCTTTCTAATTTAGAAAAATTTAGAATGAAAAAAGGGTTAACTCTGAATTAAGACTAAAGTAGAGGAGAAGAGTCAAGGCTTTTGATGCTAGTATTAGGGCAGAACAAATTTTGCAGGACGAGCTACTGGATCTACTGACATCATTGATATCCCAAGCAATAGTCAAGGCGAAACCTATGATACACCTAAGAAGTGTCGATTCTATAGGAAACAGATACTTGAGCCCAGAAGCAGATCATACAGGGTTCAAAGGTGCTGCTATCCAGACGGATTATGGCTGAGTTCGTCACTTTTTATCCAGGCAACTTGGAATTCTAAGCATGGTTGCAACTTGCACAGCAAAATTCCCCAAGAGTTCTCCACTTTTTAATGTTTACCAAGTAATCCACTGTTCTCTAATTAAAGATGAGCCACCTAGAATAAGTTGAAGACCATTAAACCAACTAGCATAGGTGACCAATCATCTCGTGACAATTCCATAACTGGACCATTGAATTTCATGACTAGTGCGAAACAATTGGACATTTATATTCAGTAGCTCAAAATACCATAACTTAAATAAGTTTTGGTAAGAGTACTGAAATGGTATACTCATAAGCAATTAACACTGCAATAAGTGATGCTTAACATATAAGTGGATTGTGGAGGGCAATGAATTATTGCAGGTAAGTCAAGTTATCCGACTTCACATGTCAAGGAGATTATATTTGTGGAAAACCAATTCAACATAAAGCATTGTTAGCTTGATGAATAGACAATCTGCAACATAATATTAATAACCCCAAGACAATTCATGATCGAGGGTTGTAAAGGTAATTTAATGTGCACAGAAAATGTATTTATAATTCAAAACCGCTAAATAGAGAGCTACTTACAAGCAGGAAGCTGGGATGTGTCAGCAGAAACAGCACAAGCAATCCCCAAGTTATGAAGAGCCCCCTTTATGACTCCACATGAGAAATGGAGATGCATGTTTGGTTCTTGTGCTGCCTTGCTTTCATCCGCAGCCTCAGAATTCTCTTGAGATAAGTCTCCATTTTCAGAAGACGGATCAAGGGACATGCGTGAAACCCAACGAAATCGATTATCTTGCAATACAAAAGTACCCTACAATATAAACAAAGACCATCTTACTCTGATCAGATTCACACAATGAAAAAGAAACCCAATTCAGAATTGATTCTAAAATTTACCCTATGATTGGTCTTTAAGTTGTCTATCTGCTTCTTGAAGAGCTCGGACCAGAAGTCCTTGCAGATGAACTTAATTGCATCTAGATGATCAGTAAACCGTGGCCTCTCCATTGTATACCTAACAAGTAAAATTTAATCATCACTGGCTGCACCCTAAAAAATGCCTTCCATTTTTATTATAAGTAAACAGATACATATACTCTCACTCACTGCTCCTATTCCTATAATTTGATTGGGATCAAGAAATAAAAAGGCAAGGGCCGCATATGCATACAGGTGGTCTGTTTTCCTACAATTTCTCAACAACCAAACACCCTACCAAACTCTTATAAACGAAAAAGAGAAAAAAGTCTGAAATCAAACTTAAAATTAAACACTTGAAAATACGCATTTCAGATCTAAAAGCCCAATTGCTATGAAATCAAACAGAGGCTATTCGAATACAATGAAATTGAAGAGCAATCATGGAGGGCAGGGCGTAGAAAGGGGTTTGAGATAGAGTGCGGGAAGGTGTACCGCTCGGAGAGCTGGTGGCCGACCTGGTAGCCAATAGCGTCGATCCTGCTGGCGGCGAGCTCAGGCTTATTGGCGTATAGTCGATTGCAGTACATAGAGACCATCTCTGTTAGTAGACTGTCCACGCAGCTCTCTGAGACCTCTCTACCCATCTCTCTCTCTCCGTGTTTATCGCTCTCGCGCTCTCTCTGTGTATTTTGCTCTGCTCTTCGTTTCTCCGGGACCAACCAAAAAAAAATTGAAATGGTCTGAGACTAACAAAAAAAATCGAAATTGTTTTTTCTTTTCGAAAATACAAAATGTAATATAGGCCATGATATGTGATTGGGCTTCTTTGTTAACTTTTTATCATTTCAAAAGAAAAGGTCATTGGGCTTATAGAGTATTTACCTTCAGATGATCCCAACCATCTATCTTTTAGGCATTTATTGAAAAAGTATATCTGCAAAAGTAATTTAAATTCAAAACCATTTGATCAATTAATGGTTATCATTCATTCGAGTTTTTTTTTTTGAAACACCGTCCGTTTATTTTGTTTGAGCAATTTGTCTTCTTCTTTTTTTAATAATTTTGAATTTATCATTCATCCTAGCCTTAATAATTTTCAATTTGTCTCCCTTTTTTTTATTTTTTATAAATAATTTATGAATGAAAACTTGAAAAATAAACAATTCATAAAATTGAAATAGAATTCGTAGTGACCCCATTCGAATTACATTAGGAGTCTTCCGCTTTTGACAGATCTAGAGAGATACTACAAGTCCTCCCTCCACCGCGGCTCTGGTTCACCACAAGGGTGTATATTTTGCGGTCAAATAGTGACTATGAGTCTGTCAATGTTGAGGTGTTTTATAATCAGATGAAATTCAATTAAATGCAAAATCTGCTTACCATTTTAGTTTAGGAAATGGGTAATTTTGTCACAGATCTTATGTCGTCTAGCTGGCAATTGGGCTTGGGACATAGGTCAAAATTTCTAATCCCCAGTTGGACCCATTACATAAACATGTAGGCCCAATTCCTCTTGGGTTGGGTTGGGTTGGGTTGGGTTGGGTTGGCATATGACTGTAACTGAAAATGTCGAATCAGGCAGGACCCCAAAATCTCTTTATTAGATATATATATATATATATATATATGTGTGTGTGTGTATTTTTCTTTTTCTTTTTGTAAAGTAAAGCGACACATAACATTAATCTTTACCTTTGTAAAAGGATCTTAATTTCAACGTGCTCCAAATCTGGCCCATACACCAGCCTTGTAATTTTCAGCGGGGTAAAGGCAACGACCCCTGATATAAATGTGCTCTCGCCCGAAACCACCCTTTTAAAAGCTAAAAAATCTAATTGATTGCAGTTCTCTTATACTAATGGCTGAAAAACACAAACATAAACCCATAACATAACACAGAACAGAAATACCAACAGCTGAGTATAAATTACCAGGAATGCCAGGATTGTGCTAAAGGTGATAAATAGATGGCGGGCACTGAGACAGGGTGCCATATCCACTACTGGAAGACACTGACCGGTCATTGAAATTAGGCATCCTCACTGGATCCCTAGAGACATAAGCGATAGAACTATTTGGGCTCCCATTTGTAATGCGAACGGGTGGAGGGCTTCCTGCTGATCCAAACTGCCCACTCCTACCATTTGCAGCTATGCTTGTCCCATATCGTGTGGCTAACGGACTCATATGTGAGGACGCATGACTACTGCCCTCCAGTCCATAGGACACAATTGCTGAGTTCAACCCATAGTCTCGAGCTGTCAAGTGCTGGGTATGGGTAACAGGAGAGGAACCCACCAAACCATAGGATCGAGCGGATAAGTTATTATGAGTATCAGGAGCGTAGTGTGCCGAATCATAGTATCCAGCAGAGTATTCCGCACCTTGCCCTAAGAATGAGCCTCCTTGCTGATGATGAGATGCTCGCAGTGAGTTAAAGGTGGAAGTGGTTCCATATGAAGTATTGGGAGGAGTGGTTGCTTGTCCAGGCATTCCAGCTGATGTTAAAAAGTATTCTGTACCTCGACTCTCAAACAAGCCTACTTGCCGAAGATAGGATGGCTGTACAGAATGTACTGTGGCTGGTTCTCTAAAAGAAGCATTTCGAGCAGCTGAAGCTGGAGCTGTCCGCTGATGCTTATTTCTGTTCTGCTTATTTGGTTGAGTCTTCGAATCAGGGGCAGTACGTTTCTTTCCACTCAGGTGTTGCACCTGAGCCTCGCGGCCAGGAGCTGTTAGAGTTGCTTTCCTCTCTTTTCTCTGCCTTCTCAGCTGTGTGATGCGTTTTCTGAGGGTTTCAGGAGAATATTGTGGTTCAACGCGAAGCTTGTAGTCATCAATGCATCGTATTATGCCTCTTAGGGCGACTATTTCTTTCTCTCTGGCCTCATCCTGCATGGGGTTTAATTTAATAAGATACAGTATATAAAATACGGCTGTTTCATCTGAGTCTAAGGAGCGTTGAAGAGGCAAAAGAAACAAAACCTATACCTGTGCACTAAGACGATCTTGCCCCCTCTTGCAACTCACATCCTTTTTGGCGAACTTCAAATGTTCTTTAAGCAGGGGTACAGGGGAGAACTTGTCAAGCTGTTCAAATGCATAAATGAATCTAATAGCATCAAGTCGCTTGTTCTCTGATACAAGCTTTTGGATAAAATCTGCAGGACAAAATAAATTTGTAGGTTTAACAGAGGTAGCAAAAAAAAACAATAAAGATTTTCTTAGTTCAAGACGACCGTCATAAAATAAAAACAGCCAAATTGTCCAAAATGACGAAGAATCACAAACATTAATGAAATGAAAAATGACAATAGGAGAAATTCTAGCAGCAAATAACAGAAGACATCCACAATAACGAGAGCATAGGTGCCACAAACTTTCTTTCCCTGTAGCCATGTACTTGATACTCCTCAAAGACTAGTGGAAACTCCAAATATGCATAGTATTTGTCACATATTAAAAGCTTCTAAAACATGTTTCCAAATAATAACAAGGCTCCATTTGTTTCGATCTAAAAATGTTCACAAAATTGTTGCTTCAGCCACAGATATACATCAGAACATTTCCATTGACAAACTATATATATCTCTACGAATACCCAATTTTTACGCTACAATTGGGGCTGTAACTCTTTTGGAGGACAGATTATCTTCACATTTAGAATGAAACTGTAAAGTATGAAAAATCTTCTTAAATTTTCTTTACATCTCATATTTGGTGTGAATAATTTCTCATTACATTATTGATAACATGTTCATTAAGGGACGAGAGTTACTAAAACACCATAATCATGAACAAAGGTAAAGACGCCATTTTGGTAACAAAAACTGCCATTGCAAGTTGCAACAACTCTAAAGCACCAAATGATACACCAAGTATGTCTCATGGCCAGGCCATGCTGGATTGTGGGGTGATCAAATAAGGAAACTCGTCCTCCTTTCTTTAAAAAGTAACTAACTTTTTTTTTTTTTTTTTTTTTTTTTTTTTTTTTTTTTTTTTTTTGGGGACAGACAATAATAAAGAAACTTTATCACACATCAAAGCTTAGAACGTGACATCTATATAATTTTGTTTAGAAAGGTGCACTCAAATTAACCAGACTTAAATTAAATATATACTTTTGTTTACATAAATGCCTCACCATAACCAACGGATAATCCAATTTCTAAGAGTAAAACTACAAATAATCAAGGCCACCAAAACCAATTTATAAAGTAACTATCTAATAAAGATGGAAAAAAACAACAATAAGAAAGGCTCTCCAAAAACTCACCAGAGGCTCTATTGGCGAAACCAAGAGACCTAAATAACTCCGGTGCCCATTTACGCTCTGCTATGCAACCAACAAGCTTCAGAGTCTCATCACTGTCAAACTCACCAACCAACCCAAAAGCACCCAAAAGCTGCAAATAACCCCAAACCTCCAGAGAGTTCGTCGTTTGACCTCTCACCTTTGCCTTCCAAACCAATGCAAGCTTCATTGCCTCTTGACTAATTTCAGGTTTTATCACAGGTCTCACTTTCATCAGCTCTTCTAACAAAAGCACACAACTTTTCCTAACAACAGTGAGTTCAAGGTCCCCATCTCCCTTAGTTGACTCCGATGGATAAAACCATCTTACTGCCTCGAGCACGAGCTTCCCAGCGTCCACCGAAACCTTAAGCGCATTTGCGATGAGATCACGCACCGAATCCCTTTCTTTCAAATGCTCATTCAAATACAACAGCAATGCCTTGCCATCATGTATTGGGACACCATTGCAACTCGAACTTTCTGGTAAAGACTCTCCGGTTTTGACTTGGGTTTCGACGAAATTGAATTGGGTTTTCAAGGATTGGAGGGTTGCAGTGAGTTGGGTATCTTTAGAATCGGCTCGGGAACTCGGTTGGGGGTCAGTTGGATTGAATTCGGTTTCTTTAGAATTGTCGTGGAAATCCAATTCGGTTTCTTTGACACTGAGTTGTGATTGCAGAGTGGGAGTGAGATGGGTCTCTTTGGAGTGTTGTTTTTGGAGTTGGTTGAGTTTGGATTGGATGGAATTGTCGATAGAGAGGAAGTGTTCCTCGAGGTCCTGCCATTGGAGGGTAAAATTGGCAACTTTGGACGCATGGGTCTTCAGGAGGTTGAAGGATTTGCGGAGCTCTGGCCTCATATGAAGCTCCCCTGAGATTTTCTCCAAGGTGCTGGACATCGATCAGTTAAAGGCCGCACAAGAATTGTATAACGAAGTCGATTGCAATTTGGCTTTAGTAATCAAGCCCTAGAAACTTTGGATTTTGATTTTTGGGGTGAAGGAGTGTCGACCAGAACCAGTTAGGCGCCTTTTTCGCTCTCTCTCTCTCTCTCTCTCTCTCTCCTCCTAGCGAGCGTGCTTTACTGTTAAATATAAGAGCATCCATGGTGGATTAGGTGTATGTTAAATATACATCTTTTATGATTGGAATCACTCATAATGAAGATGTGTAAATAAGTGTAAATTTGCATCTCATGTTATATGCACATATACATCTTTTTTTACATCTTTTGCATGTGGACTTACATGAGAAAATGTGAGAAAAAGTGAACAAAAGTGGGACCTATAGCAAAAAAAGTGAAAGAAATCAATTATACATCTTTATATTTACATCTTCCCCACTATAGCAAAAATAACATTTACAACCCTCGGAGGTATAAAGAAAAAGTAAAAGTTGCTTTACACTCCCAAAAATACACTCTCCCATTGTGGATGCTCTTACGTCATTTACTGGATTTTCTCTTTAAGCAAATCTTGACCCAATCTGTATAACACTGATCGCTCGGCCCAATTCTATTTAACTCTAATTGGAACTAAAATTTAATTCATAAAATTTGTACTTGAAAAGCCATGGGCCTTTTAGGTTTGCTTTGTTAACAATTTTTAATTTATTTTATACAAGTGATATTTGGGTAGATGAATTCAAACACCAAACACATAACTTCAAGTATAACGATAATTATTCTTAACCACATAAGTTACAAGCGCTTTACATTTTATTTCACTAATTGCTCACCTTGCATTTTATTTTGCATATTAAGTTACAATGTCACTTTTTTTATCTAGAGACATGAGAGAATTTTCGCTTTTTTTTTGCTCTTAAACACTTAAATTACAAGTACCTTCAGTTACAATGATAATTATTCTTAATCACTTAAGTTACAAGCATTTTATATTTTATTTCACTAATTGCTCACCTTGCGTTTTATTTCGCTTATTAAGTTACAGTGTCACTTTTTTAATCCAAAGATATGAGAGAATTTTTGCTCTTAAACACTTAAATTACAAGTACCTAGCGTTTTATTAATTTTGCTTAATTATTAAAGAATTTGCACTTGGGTTTGGGGATGTTGTATCGACACCCAACCCAATGTATATCATTTCAGGATAATAATAAATAATAATTACGATCATCTTCTCTAGCTATTGGTCAATCTAGTATCATCTCGTTTATTCAATAACCACCATGGCAATCATTACCTTCGTCATTATCATTTTCATCATCGCTCAGTCATCATCCTTCTTGTTACAATACTGATAATCATCCGAGTCGTAAGATAAACAATCTCTTTATCATTGAAGTTTGAATTTGAACCAGCGACATTGAAGAGAGATAAAGAAACAAACATGCACACACTCATAAGCACTCTATAAATAGCACCAAACAAAACAATGTCAGCCAAATATGACAGATGTATCTTATTATTCAAAGGAGTTTTGTGTTCAGTTCCCTCTCAAAGCTTATAGAAACTAGTACATTCAACTCAAACTGCATGTCTTGTCTTGAGCTTAGTGATCAAGTTCAGTTTTGGAGACCAATAATACCTGCACAAAAATAGAACAGAGCATAAAATTATAAGCACGTCGACTTTCACAAAACAATATAAAACTACGCAGCAACAGAGAGACCTCTACAACCAACCTCTACAATGCAATATAAATTATAAAAGCTAGATAACAGAGGGCTATACAATACAACACAAAAACTGTGAAACATAGACCTCTATAAAAAATTTGCAACCTAGATAGACCTCTACAGATGAATGCAAAAGACAATATATATAAACCACATAGAATCAACTTAATTCAAGTTCGCCTTCTCATTTCTATTGGAAACTAAGCAAACCAAGATTTTGCAAGTAAACCAATGTAATTTCATGGATAACCGTCCATTTCCAGAGATGTCAAAAGCACCTTAATATGATCATACAACAAGAATAGTCCAAAGTATATGACGACAACTGTAAGATCAGCATTTTGTTTAATGAGATTAATCCAATCAGCTTACCACAAGCAACCCTGCCACCAGCATTTCCAGTGCTTTTGCTAAGCTCATGTCCACCTGTGTACAACATGAGTATTGGATTAGAAGGGGTATGGATGCCAGATCAAAGTGGAGAAATAACAGAACTGTCAGGTTTTTCAGCTCACACCTAGATGATAATTAAAATTGACATGGAAATAGAAAATAACTCATAGGAACTAGAAATTGACAGTTAACCAATAGTCTTCAGCATCTTCAGCTCATCTAAAAGGGTGAGAGGCACAAGAAAAAACAATGATAAAAACAAACAAAATATACCAAGTCCCAAATGATTTGCACGTATTCAGCAGCTATTGTATGCCAATTGGAATGAGAAGCAGCCTAAAATTACTTGAAACTACAAGAGCGCTTACTACAGACACAGGTGGAGTGGGGAAAACCCACTGAAAGGTGTTAAGGTGGGACCCATCTCACTGACTACCTCATTCTGCTAATTGCTATAAGATGGAAACACTTGAGAGGGAGAGAGAGCACTAAAACTTACCCTTGCCCAGGTCATCAGGGTCTGCATGAACAACAACCGCCCTACCAATGATTGATTGTGGCCCAGTGAGAGGAATCTGCAAACAATAATGTAACCTTTATACAAGAGGAAATGAACTTCAAAGAGAGGTGGAGTACAAAACTTTTACAAATAGCATAAACTAAAAGTAAACACGGAGGCCAATTATACCTGCTTGTCAATAATTGTGAAGTTTGCAGTTCCTAAAGCAAAAAAATAAAACACATTAAACTCAGAAAGTATCAAATTGTCGCAATAGACATAGATTGAAGTATTCAATTCCCGTTTGAGCCTTCCTATCAATGTAACTAACAAGAAAACCATGCCTCCCACGCAATAATAAAAACAGAGAAATTTAGGAGTGTTAAACAAACCGCAATGACAAAGGAATAAGTGAATTTGATGACCACAAAGTTGTCAATAAACAACAAAATGGGTGTGCAGGCGATTCAGAAACAGAAAGAAAGAGCAAAACAATATCTACCATCGTCCCCAACAGTGATATTTCCAAGATCACCGGAATGGCGAATCTCATCTTCAGGGGAACCATGGTGCTTGCCATCAGGATTGAAATGCGGTCCTACAAGATAGTTGACCATTAGATACAAGAATATAAATTATGGAAACAGAGTGGAGATCTACTCTTTGGTTCTTTGATCTTGCCCCAACTCCACCAGAACTTAAAGGAAAACAAGTATTGGTCAATGGTCCTTACCAGTTGACAAGCAACCGTTGGTTGTGTCTCCAAATTCATGGACATGGAAACCATGAAGCCCAGGCTTGAGGCCAGTAATACTTCCAGTCACTGTAGTTGGGCCTGGAATAAACAAAAGCAATCAATTTGAACAGTACAGTAGCAATATACATCCCATGAATAATCAATTAGCATTTGACATACCATCTCCCTCCTGGGTGAAGTTGATGGTTCCTTTAACACCCTCACTGGAGCCAAGAACAGCAACGGCTTTCACCATGGTTCAACGTGATCTAAGCAAAATAACTATTAGATAAACAACAAGAAAGACCTGATTGAAAAATTAATGGAGCAGAACATGCGCACACACACAAACACACATATTATATAGCCCTGAACCGTTTCACTTTCAACTAGACTTAAATTGAAAGATAGCATTAACAATTTAAGATGAGTCATGGATTGCTCTACCAGCTCCATTTTTTGTTGCATAAACACTCCAAACAGTAAGACCTCAGAATCGCAGTCCATATTTTCCACAAAGCTTTCAGCTTTCAAGAAAAATTTATTATAAACATATAATCACGCGGAAAATTTGTAAAAACAAATCAGAGCAACCAGTGTCCTGCTCACCCAGAGCGAGAACTGATGAGATCTATGAACAGTCATGGAACTCACAAACACACAGACAAACAATAAAAACACTAAATCCAAGTAGATAATCAAGAATTCAAGCTCAGTCACAGTCGTCCAATTCTCAATAAGAAATAAAAAAAATGACAGGAAATTGGGGGAAAAAAAAACACACTTGGCATATTATGAAGAATAAAAGGCAGATCTTTAAGATCATCAAGAAAGTCGAACTAGAATTACAATAATAAATAGTTAAAATCCAAACGGAGCTATTGTGTACAACGTTCAGATAAAAGAATCAAACCCATATCACAAAAATGTAATTTTGTTCAGGAAGAAAAAGAAAAAGCTGAAAATTTGAAGTTACCAGATAGGAAAGAATCAAGGTTTACCTCAGAACACCCCTTAGATAGAAACAAAGAAAGAGAGACGGTGGTGATATAGAACCAATCTAAACTGAATCGGATGTTATGCCGATGTGGTTGACCCTTTTTAAGCAACTGGTGTGCGATTAAGAGCCAGTCTATAGTAACGCATTGGGAGCCAGTAGTGAGATGATTCTAGAGTACCGTCACCTACCCACGTTGGGGCAAAATGGGAAATTCACAGTAATTGGGTAGGCTGGGCTTAGTTTGACGTGGGCTGAAGCTCATGCAGGCTTGAAGTTGAAGCCTATCTCAGCTACACGACAATAAAAGCTATTTAATTAAAAAGAAAACGACATGAAAATGGCGGTGGCATTAAGTGATATGGTGGTGAAAAAGCTACAATCATCTCACGTGGGAAAGAGAGGTGAATAAGGCCCAGTTTGGGATTGCTGTCACTTTTAAAAGAAGTTGCTTCTGTTGTGCTTTGAAAATAATTAGCTGTAAAGTAAAGCAGCTCCATGTTTGGTAAACAATATTTTTAAAGTGCTGTTAGTACAAAAAGCAGTGTCAAAACCGTTTGGTAAATTTTAATATAAAATTGTTGTAACTGTGAATAATGACTAAAATAAATATGTTGTTAAAAGTGTTATGTACTAATCATGTGGTGGTAGTGGTAGTGATGGAGTGGAGGTAGTGGTGGTGATGAAGGTGGAGTTGGTGGTTGTGGTAGTGGTGGTGGTGGTGGTGGTGGTGGTAGTGGCAGCATGGTGGTGGTTGTGGTGTTGATTGTGGAGGTGGTAGTGGATGTGGAGGTTTTGGAGGAGGAGGTGGTTGTGGTGGTAGTGGTGGTGGCGGTGGTGGTGGTGGTGGTGGTGATGATGATGATGGAGGTGGAGGTGGTGGAGGTGGTGGAGGTGGTGGTTGTGGTGGTGGTGGCGGAAGATGAGGAGGAGAAGGATGTGGTGGTGGTGAAGGTGAAGGTAGTGAATGTGGTGGTGCAAGTGGTGGAGTTGGATGTGGAAGTGGAGGTGGTGTCATTTTTTAAAATGAATGATGGTATTTTGGGAATTAAAAAAATTCATTAAAAGTTCATCTCTGCTTCTTTTGAAAGTAGCTTTGAAAAGCAACCTAGAGTCTGCTTTTAAAAGTTGCTGTCAAAAGGCCACTGCTTTTAAAATAATCGGGATATTTTATTTTTACCAAACACCTTAAACTGCTTAACTTTAAAGTGAAGCAGGTATTTGGCCAAAAAAAGCAATCCCAAACGGGGCCTAAGTATGTAATGTATGAGTTTTCAAGTGTTCATGTGTCGTTTTATATATGTATCTTATCCACAGACAAAAAGGACACATTTCAAGGTTGAATACAAAAATTTGTTATCCGGAAAAGTATGAATTCAAGTTACATATCATTGTTGGTAAGCAAAAGTTGTAAATGATTAATATGGTCATTACCTCTAGAAAATAAAACATTATAAAAATCATATTTCTGATTGTGAAATTACCCTAAAACATCTTCTACTAATGTATGCATGTAGGCAAACAATGCATGTATTATGTATATGGGATGCGCCTCAACTTTGGGGTAATCACACAAAAAATTCACGCATTCTGGATCATAGGGGTAAGAAGGATCTACGACTACGATGTTTCTTGCTTCAGCACATAGCTCCAAACCTGCCAATAATTATTTATTTATTTACTTATATAATGAGTAGAATATTGTGACATTAGTTGATATTAAATCTTGGGAGTTATCCAATTTAATTTAATTTTAGACACCAAGTATGGCGGAACGAGAATGATAGATTTTACCATATGCAATGACCATGAGCACAATTAAAAGAGCCAATTTTGATGAAGACTTGTCCATGTCGTTTTGAATTAGCAATTAGATAACAGAAATGTATAAGATACGTATATAGTATATAGGAAATTTAATGATGCACTCAAGTACTTGAAGTTCCCGTAGTAATATGCTATTTATATATGTGAAGCGATTAGCTAAAAAGTTAAATTTAAGTCCTTGGAATTAGCTAAAGTGGTGAGGGTAGGTGGGGAAATGGGTTAGAATTTGATTAGGTCAAGAACTGGACTCCCTCCTGTAATAATAACAAGACAAAACAAAGTAAGAAATTTATAATACATAGAAAAACGTATCTTATTTATTTTGATAAGTAAGCGAAAAAATACATCTTAGTGGTTTATGATTTAGGGATTGCTAAAAGAATTAGCTAAAAATGGTAAAAGATCTTAGCCCTCGAGGTTAACCCAAGAAGTGGAGGGGGAAGGTAGGTGGAGAAAATGTTGGTTGCTCCTTGCCCATGATGGGTAAGGTGTGCCCTGTTGGAACATAGCTACAGAGAGAGTACATGATCCATTAAGATATTATATAAAGATAGTCTTCACTTTAATCTGTTTTTTGCCACACCATATGATTAAATACTATATGGTGTTTCCTTTTAGCTAGGTTTTCTCCACACCAGAAAACTTGTACAAAAATGAATCTATTCCAAGGAAGGAGAAGAGATTATATCAATGAAGAAGGCCTGTCTCCAACTTTTTTATCAGAAATCAGACAGACTTCGGGTTCTATGCATCGAATCATGCTCAAGCCACTTGCGAGATTCTCTCCACAACTGGGTTTCAATGCCCAACTTCTTCAGCTCCAGAAGGCCACGCTCAACTGCATATCAAATTTAAGGTCTTAAGCTCATACCCTATTTGTCATGTAAGAGAGAGAGAGAGAGAGAGAGAGAGAGAGAGAACAAAATATCAACAATGGCAAGTTCCAATCTTTATAACCAAAGCATTTCATAAGACAAAGAATATGATTAGAGAGAGCTTAGAAAGAAAGAGCATGCACCGTCAACTGCGTCATGTGAAGTGGTGGGTGATTTGGAGTTGTGGTTGATCCAGAATTGCAAACGCTCATCTGCTATATCTGCTTCCACCCCATGGTTTTTGGCTCTTCTCCAGAAATATGCAAGCCATGCCTACAAACAACTCAAACCAGCAAAAGAAATGGCATTTTTCACACAAATATTTACACTTCATCGAAAATAAGGAGGCAAAAGGTGTCATAAATTACCTGCTTGAAAAGCACATCTTCAGACTCCTCTTTGCTTAGTTCTGAAATCAAACGCATTTATCAACAACTCATGGCATGGCTTATGTCAGAAGATTAAGTTATTATAAATCATGTTTTTGGGATAAAATCTTACCAAATGCTTCAAACTGTCCATCAATTGGTAGCTTCAACTCTACATGCATGGAGGAAAAAAGTCATCAGCCAACTATCATGATGTTTCAGTTAATTTACTATTCCAATTAGCCCCATATGGAGTGGACAGTTTTGGTTCTATTGGTTTATTTGATCCTTTTGGTTTACTGATGCACACAGCTAATGTCACTTGAAATAATCGTTTATACACAATGCAAATACACATGGTCTGATATTGATTAAAATGAATCACTCAATTGTAATCAAGAACCCCTTCACCTGATAGACCAGTTTTCATTGAACTGGGTCGTCGATGTTGAGCCATCGCCAGCGCCACTGCATCCTCTACCTTTGAGATAATTACACTAAAACTGGTCATTGCTATGCAAATCTACAGATCAATTCAAAGACAAGTTTTGTTTTCTGTTTTATTAACTTATTTGCTAATAAGAAAAGACTCAACATGCAGGTCTACAAGTATAGCAGTGAACATAACCCTTTTTCAGCATCCAGACTAACAGGGTTGCAGAAAAGAATGCAGAAGAGAACCTTCAATGAAGCTATTTCGCGCAGACCTTTCTCCACTAAAAGCATGCTCTCAATGTTTCTCTCTCCCGAGAGTTCATTCAAATTGCGTGGACTATCTTCTCTTTCATCTATATCTAGATCATTGTGTTCTGAAAAGAATTGAATTAAAGAAAAAATCCAATATCATCCTTCAAATAGAGAAGGCAAAGACAAACATACAAAAGAAACAATAAAGATTGAGGCACTCAACTTACCTATCTCCTCCTTAGCTTTCTCTCCAGCTGCTAAAACAGCTTCAACAGGAAGAGGAGCAAGAGCTGACCAGAATTCATATCTTGATGTGGCAATCTCAGCATGAATACCTGCCAAAATACTCTACTTCCCATTAGATGCAAAATATGTTTAGTAAAGAAATGCAAATTATATGTTTCACCTCCTGAGGAATTTTTCAAGAACACAAATGCATCTTGGAATTTATTACTTAACGACTTACCGTGTTCAACACATAAACTCCAGTACCGAGCAAGCCAAGATCTCTTCAAGACCACCTCTTCCTAAGATAAAAACACTGAAAATCATGTAAAAAATAGGGGGCGGGGGAGGAACAAGAACTGATAAACATGAGCTAAAAAATTGAGAACAAACCATCTCTTCGCGAGTAAGTATCATTCTTTGAGTCATAATCCGAAGCGATTTCAGTTCATACTCTGCTTCATCATTTCTACCACTACCGCCACCACTGCCACCATGAGTTTGTGCAGCCAATCTCAAAGCAGCCTGTGAGGAACATGTTCTAAGTCATGGTGAGGTTATATTTCAATCAACTTGAATTAGACCAGATAGAGAATCATACTGTCTAAAAACCAAAGCATTTCAAAGACAATGTGCACAAATTAATGTTAATAAAGTTAGTGACATGTGCTATGTATGCATACACATACATAGTACATGTGCTGTGTAACGGTGTAGGTATATGAATGATATGTTGAAACACACACCTCCCTTTGCTGCAGTGCTGCCTCCTTTCTGAAGACAGACAAATGAGAATTAGCATTCTCTAAATAATCAATCTGGAAATACAAATACATGAGAACTTTGAAGCTTGCCTGCTTAGAAGACGGGCTTCTAATGTTACACCTTCTCCAAGAGTAGCAACCTAAAGAACATACAAACAATTAGATACGACTACAGTAAGAGAAAAAAGTATATGAACCAATAAAAGTGAGAGTTCATAAGTATAAAACATTACCTGTTGCTCGAGCTGTCGAGCTCTTGCCTCTGTTTCCTCATACCTCTCTTCTGCAAGTCGAAGCTGGGGAAGCACATATCAAAATGGAGTGCCAAAAACAAATATGATAACAGTATCAAATTATCAAAAATGTATTTACACCAGTGGATCTCTATCATATTTCCAAAAATGCAAATCTTGTGCTTAGTTAATGGTGCTGCAATAGCAATGTCCAAGTGAGAGCACTATATTAAATTGGATCAACTGAAGATGTCTATTGCAGCACTTTCTGATGGTTAACTAGGTCTGGAAAAGCTTATTTTCCAAATTCAAACAATTTGACATTATTTATAGAGAAAAAAATGCATTGGCATCACCTTTTCAAGTAAACTTTCATTTTCTTCCTGTAGCATATCAAGCTGCAATGAAATTTACACTTCATCAGTTGAGTCTCAATTTGATAACTTTTCTTTTTCAATTTTCTAGTTTTCACCTATGAACTTAAAATTTAAAGTCAATTAACTTCAAATATAACTAACAGTGTTCTAAACAGGAAACAAACGGAGACGAAAGATGTCACAGCAGTGTCCATAAGTTGTAATAAAACACAGGTAACTACATACCTCATCTTGTAAAGCAGAAGAACGCTGAGTCCTAGTTTCTCTCATGTTTAAACTGCCTAAATCCATAGACAACCTGCTCATTGACCAGAGCTAGAAAGGATTAGATATAAGACATACTTGTTAAACGGAATTGAAACAAACCACATTAAAGAACTACTTTATATCAAAGCAACAACAAAATCGAAAAATAAGCTACTATGTTGAGTCTCTCTCACATAATCATGTATGAGTAAACATGAGATTTCTGCTGTAATTGTTCCAAGATCAAACAATCGTCCCATAGAGTTCAAGTCTATCTAGAAACGAAATAGAAAAACTTTGCTTTCTGAGTTATCTAAAGCATGTTTGTCTTCAAAGGCCATATTAAATGGAAAAGCGATATAACATAATCTGGACTTGCAAAAAGAAAAATGACATTGCAAGGTTACAACATTCACCCTGCAACCCCTCCCCAAGAAAAGAAAAAAGGAACAACAGAATACCAAAAGAAATAAATAAAGAATTGAGATGATGATTCACAAAGGAGTACACATTTGAAAGCTTGATACCTTTTATCTCTCCGATTGTCAACTGCAGCAGCTTCTGATAGAATGGCAGTAGAGGGTGGCCTAAGTGATACAGGTACTGGCTCTCTCCGATTATCAACTGGACCATCTGCAGAAGAGGGTGGCCTAAGTGATATAGGTACACTAGCTGGTACCATGTGGACTGGCTTGGTTCCTAATTGTGGACGAGCAGCGGCTAAGGAACGAGCAGAGGTAGGTTGTTCCACAGAGTTAGTAGGCTGATATGATCGAGTAGCGATGCCAGAACGGATAGAATATGGTTGTTCTACAGAGTTCATGGCTGACATAGACCGAGCAGAGGTAGGTGGTTCGACAGAGTTGGTAGGCTGAGATGATCGAGTTGCAGCCATGCCAGAACGAATAGAATGTGGTTGTTCTACAGAGTTCATGGCTGACATAGAACGAGCAGAGGTAGGTTGTTCGTTGGAACTAGACTGCTGCAATGGTCTAGTAGCTATTGAAGAACGAAGAGAATGTGGTTGTTCGGCAGCAGAGTTTATGGATTTAGTGTTGATGGATTGAAAGGGTCGGCTTGCTGGCGTTGAATGAGCAGATGATGGCTGTTCTGCTTGGTTTAAGGATTGATATGATCGGCTAGCTGGTGTTGAATGAGTTGAAGATGGCTGTTCCACAGGATTGACAGATTGAGATGATCGGCCACCCGGTGTTGTGCGTGTAGATGTAGGTTGATCTTGAACAGTACGAACTGACTAATAGTAGCACAACGACATTTAGGTTTCAATTCAAGTAAGTATGATGTTCATAAAAATATAACAACACATTTAAAACATGTGTTCGTAAACGTTCTCTTGTCAGACTGTGAATCTGAACGGTTAAATTCATTAATGTCAAAGTCTGGCAAGAGAACATTACCCACAAGCCCATTACCATTGGGGAGCGAGGGCGCATTGATCTTCCACCGGCAAGTCCGATGCTCCCTGTGCTGCTTGACAAGCTGCTAAGATCATAAGAAAGGTCGTCGTCCTCCTCATCGTCGTCCTCAGTTGGTTTATTGGCCATCACATGTGCAAGTCTTTGAGCCGCAGCTTTCGTGTGCTGCGCTTTCTTGGCACCCCCCATTCCAACCGACCCCGACCTCCCATGGTGGTGCATTGGCGACTTCATTGGCGAGGTTGGTGGTCCGGGGGTGCTGCCACCGCTCTTCTGCCTGACATACACCGGCCTCATTCGATCCATGGCTACTGCCGCCCCACTGCCATTGAAATTTGATGAACACCAAGAAAAATTAACAAAGCAAATACATACAGAAACAGCAAGAGACAAACAAAAGTTGAATTCTTTATCTTTAGCAGAAAGAAACCTGCTCTGGTGGATTTGTTCAAGGCAAATGCAGTTCTAGTGCCTCCTTGCCTTAAAGGGATGCCATTGCTTGTAACACAAGAAAACTCAATAATATCACATTATCCCAGAATTAATTCAAAGGAGATTTCATAAGACTTTTTCAAACCCAGTAAAATTGTACAGCATTTTAATCCAAAGTTAGCTTTCTTCAATGAAATCCTACTGAATCAAAAATCCAACCTTGTAGGAATTCTGGAGTTTTCAAAGGAAATGATCCGAAAAATAAGGCACGGAGGGAGAAAAATTAGAGCTTTTGGCGTTCATTACAACACGTTTGGTTTGAATCAGTAACGGTTAATTTTTTTTAGAAAACTTTCCCTCAAGATTATGAAATATCATACACGCCCCTGATCTTTGGTGCTAAGTAACAATTCGAATTTGGTGCTAAGTATCATCGTTTGGTGCTAAATATTTGACAATTTACTAATATACCACGTTATTAAAAAAAATTCCATGTCAAATTATCTAACACAAAATCTTTGCAAATGATTAGTGGTTTGGAGCAATTGCTCTTCCGAGGGAAGATCCTGACTTTAGTATCCGTGTAGTGTGTGTGTGAATTTAATATATTATCACCCCCTTTCAATAAGAAAGATTCTTTAAAAAAACCAAAAATTCTTTATTATAATCCGAAATTTCTTCAAGTGTTGGTAGCTTTCTTTGTCCCACTCTCTCTTTTAATTTAATGGTATTTTTCTTCTTGGCAAAGAAAATAAAAAAGAAGATATTTTGCTTTAATAATAATAGAAATCTCAAAGTCGGGTAGCAAAATCCGAATAAAGTGTATCGGGTTGTGCTGCTTGTTCCTAAACCCGCCAAGCTTTACGTCCCACACCTCCAGTCATCGCTTCTGACCAATCGTAAAGAAGCAGGTGAAGAAGTGGACTCTGCTATTTCCTTGTACACCCAAGTGCATAAAGGAGCCCCCTTTTCCACCGCACCCATTATCTAGGGTTAGGGTTTTCGAGTTGAACCCCCAAATCGCTCTTAGGGTCACTGAAATTAGGGTTGTTTTGTCCCAGAATTAAAAAATGCGAGCTCTCCAAGAGGCTCCTTCACAACCTGGACTTCCAATTTCACTTTCCCTGGGCTCAAATTCAACTCTAGGCGAAGGGGCTTCGGGTTCCCGATTCTACAGCTGGCTTGGTGAGTGCCATGGGGCTTTTCACAATATCGCTCTAATTGTACCCTCGCTTCTTTTCGTCCTGTACTTGGCCTATCAAGCAAGGAAAAGCTTCTCGAAGCTCTCTCATGGCCGGTCGTATATTATGATCGCGTACTATGGGTGCCTTTGGCTTGTTAGCTTGCTCAATCTTGCTTGGTGCTGTTTACAGGTTCGTGGCTCTTTTCCCCTTTTGAAGTATGTAGCTTTGCCTTGATCCTTCATTTTACCTTGAACCTTTAAGTTGAATAGTAGAATGGTTGTAGCTAAAATTTAAGGTTCTAGGTTATTAATTTTAGACCGTTCCTGTGATAATTGTTTTGGATTTTCTTAACGATCCTTTGGTTATAATTGCTGCAATAAAGTGTGATGGATATTTGGTTATGGAAATTTCGTGTGCTTTTCAAAGGTAAATTGTTATAACATAAATTACTCTGAATAGTATGAAAATGATTGCTGTTTGGGTATTTTGAATTGTTTTGGTAGCTGTATATGAGGTGGGGAATAATGGTTATTCAAGTTTTGTGTATTAGAATTCGTAGTTTATGTCTAAACTTCTCCTTGTGAGGCATTTCTTGACAATTTTGCTAAGATCCGGTTGAATTGTCACTTCTTTGGCGCAGGCATGGGAGTGCACTCCTGGAAAAGAACTAGCCTGGAATTTCTTATCTTTGTTCACAACCTCCGGGATGCTATTTTTGGAAGTAAGCTTGCTGGCATTTTTGATCCAAGGGAATTATGCAAGTGGACTGGAAGCTTTGACACGGACTTTCGTTGTCTCAGGGGTCCTTGTTGTTTTGGATATACTTCTCAAGGTATCAGTCTTGTTTTTCTCAAAATGGATTTTCACCATTCTGAGCTAGCTATGCTTGCCAGTTACTTCTAGAATATGAATATGAGACTGTGGAGGTAGCATGGACTTTTATTCTCGCTCCTTTTCTGCTAGTGGCATATGCCAGAACTCTTAGCTCCCAACTTGTAGTTGTAGGGTGGTTGACCCAATGCAATTTGCTAATTCCTTTGACCTGCTTATTTTGTTCTCACATGAAGCATTATCATGGTACATAATGGACTTATAATTTCATATTGTGTCTCTTCCAGGCAATCTATCTATTTGGATTTGGAATTCCATTATTCGTTGACAACAAAGATCGTACAGATCGGATGAAGTGGGACTTGTGGGTTGTCCACAGGCTAGTGATTACTGCAATTTATGGCTTCATATTGTTCATGTACCATTCCAAGTGGAGAGAAAGGTTACCAGGTAAGTTCATATGATGTTTACATCAATTTCATAGCTGTCTAATAGAACAAACTTTTGATGTCTTTGTTCTTGTTCTACAGCAAGACCTGCATTCTACAAGTATACCGCTGTCATGTTTATGTTGAACATACTAGCCCTGTTTGCTTGCGGGCTTACTGGAAATGGTGCTGGATTTGGGTTCTGGTATGTATGTAGATTGGTCTTTGATCTGAAGTTTCCATTTGACCATTATTTTATTCAAATATTAAAGAACTGCTTTAAATATTTCCCAAATTTTTATTTGCAGGCTCTATGGTGCCACTGTTGTCTGTTATCATGCCCTTTATCTTCCTCTTTTGTATGTAACATTTCTGGCAGACTTCTTCCAGGTATTTGTGACTTTGTGTTTTTCTTTTTAAGATAGTGGTAGTGTTATTTTGTTTTATTTTTCCACTTGGTAATTGTACTTTGGATGAAAACAGGAGGAAGATCTACATTTGGAGAATGTGTATTATTCAGAGATGAAAGATGCTGGTTTCTTTGATGCTGATTGGGAGTGATGCAGTAACACTTGATCACAAGATTATTTGGTCACCGCACTCGCTGTATATAGAAGTCAATACTGTATCTTGAATGAATCTTTTCTCATACTGTATCTTGAATGAATCTTTTGCCATATTGCATCTTGGGTTGCTTTTGCAGTAAAAAATAATGAAAATTGTATTTCTAAGACTTATGCCATCACTGCCTTGAGTATGCAGGTTTATATATGTTGAGGCATCGACATTTTGAATGTATGCATGCCTGTAAAGAAACGAACTTAACTGGTCTTTTTTATTTTCAAAATAAATTAGTTGGTCAGATGTATTCTAAGTTCTGTATTTTACAATGAGAACTAATAATTGTAATCAACTTACGACAGCATATAATCATCTAAATTGTTTTATCATCTTCATATTTCGGCAAAAATTTACGATGAGACTGTAATACTGGGATTACAGTAATTAGCTATTGCATTTTTTTCTTTCCAAGACTAGTTCATGGAAACAACATTAAATTTGCTGGAGGAAACAAAACCTTTTAAAATAGGCGTCTAGAAAAATACAATTGAAAAGGAAAAAAAAACAAACGCAACTTGGTAAATTCATAATTTCATATTTAGCAACTCAACTAGTCTAAAGCAGGCTAAGAAGTGAATACGCCGACTCTTGCTTTGATTACTATCTCTAAGCCTTGTTTTTCTCAATGAGCTTCTCAATAAGATCGGCAGCATCCTGCACTGTTGCAATGCTCTGAGCACTATCCTCTTCCACGCTAATACCAAATTCCTCCTCAAGTCCCATCACAATCTCAACCTGCATGCCGTTTTACATCAACATGACAACAAAATCAGAAGTTATTAAACTTAATAACAACTACACCAAAATGAATTCTAGCCACTAACATTGTTGAAACTTGAAAGCAAGAGAATTACAAAAGCTGGTAGCCTGGTACCAACAAACATCCCAACAGTTCCTATTTCTTCACTCTTTATGGATCAAATCAAACAACAAACATTATATCTTCACTTTTCAATCCGTTTCCGTATCAGTTTTTCTATTTTATAAAATATATCTCCTGCTAACAAGAAATCCAAGGGAAGACAAATGAACCAATATAATGTACCAATCAATGCCCCATCTCTAGCAAACAAAGGCCGCATGCTTACAGGAAGACAAACAATGCAGGATAAAGAAAATGGCAAGTAGCATCTTAACAAATATTGAATTTACCGTATCAAGAGAATCAGCTCCAAGAGCTGCAAATTTTGACTCGCCGGTAACTGCAGAGTCATCTGGTAATGCAAGCTGCTTTCTTACTATCGTACACACCTTTTCCACTGTTTCTGGCTTGGCCTGCACAAGGACATTTAACATTAACGATGGTTATCCATATTTTATTAGGCATTTAGTTTTTACAAGATTTGAGACCTGTGAATAAATGAAACAAAGAAAGGCTCTCAGCTTATGATATAAAAATACATACAGCGCAGGAAACAGAAAGGCGTACTGAACGTTGCTGCAACCCGAAAGAAAGGGAATTTCTTTCGTGATCAGAAAGTGAAATTGACCTCAAACCATTAGTCCTGGACAATGCCTGTTCAACCACGAATGCTTCAGTTCATATTCAAATCTAAGAGAGCATACCAATAGAGTTCAATAAGTTGTTTGTTTCAAACACAACCCCCCCTACCCCTAAAGAAAACCCTACAAGACCTAAATCCCAGTGAAATTAGTAACGCAATAGATGAATAGATGGGTACAACAAGAAAAAATAAATTATCCAAATTCTTGTAAAATCTCAAAAGTAGCATTAGGTAACATCACTGAATTTTATCAGCAACCAACCAGTAAAAAGTAAGGCAAATGACAATAAAACATAAAAATAAATGGCACCAAATTCAATAATTCTATCTAAAATTAAAAATCACTGGCAATTAAATTATATAAAAATATTCAAAAGGAAAAAATGAAGCAGAGAAATGGTAAATGATGACAATAGACTGGGATTACGAGATTTTGATGAGAGCGAGGCGGAGAAGAGCGGAGGAAGATCGAAGAAGCTCCTGAGATGGCGGCCATTGATGGGATCCTGGAGAGATCAAATTGCAGGAAGAAAGGGAGAGTGAGAGACGGCGAAATCGAGGAGGATGAGAGTGACAGAGAGGTCGTTGGCTGGTGGGTATTTATACCTGTTTTAGTTTTCTAATAAGACTTCCCTGCTTGACACGTGTACCATGAAAGAGAGAGAGTGAGAGAGAGTGAACTGAAGAACCGAGCAAATAGAAAGTGGAAGACAGTGAGTGACTCTTCATAAACGTTTTTGGGCTATAAACGCTTTTGACTTAATGGGCCTTATGGGCCAACGCATGTTGGATAGGCTTTCTTTAAATTACACCTTTTATTTATTTGAATTGGTTTTTGGCTGTATAATGATTTTCAGATTTGGGGAGACTTGAAAGATAACCTAACAACTTTTAAACATATCATTAGAATGCAACCATGTGGGAAGAGGGTCGAAAATCCTAAGCACCCAATAAATATTTGTGTAAACCCCCCTCTCATAATCGTTTATATCAAACATATCATTAGAATTTTAATTGTTTATGTTAATGAAGTTTACGTCTAATTTGGTTCCTTAATATAATTTTGCTATTGCATTCCTAGTTCCTTAGGTTTTCTTCAATTTCTCTTATATTTTAGAAATCTATATACATAAAGTATATACAGAGAATGGTGAAACATTCAAAATACCAACAAAAAAAAACCCCTTAGTTAGTAATAATATTAAGAAGTTAAAATATTAAATGAATGAGGATTATATAGTCAATTTATACTTTTTTGTATTAACAAAATTTAACATAAAAAAACAAATCAGAACATTGGTCTTATTTTTATGTAACAACCCATTTTATCTTTCTTAATTATGTAATTAAAAAAAACTAATAAGCACAAGCGTGCCAAGGAGTTAATTATAACTAAACATCCGATTTTGATATCCAATTACACTTTTATACACGCACCCATAAATTGTATAAATCCCCTATATTTATTTGTTTTTATTCAAATCAATCCTCTCTATTTATGGCCCTTCATAAGTTTATTTTTATTTGATTCAACAATACAGCAAATTATCCTTCGAGAAATTTAAATACATAATATTTTGCAACAAAATGAAGAATAAATCATATTTGGGCTTCGGCCCGTATTTAAACCCGCCCGAGTGAGGCAGGGGCAAATATCAAGAAAGAGGGACCCGTAATCCATAAAACCCGACCATTGGAGAAAGGCGGGTGGTCCAAACTCCTAACGGCGGGTACAACTAACGCCACCAGCAGCAGATTTGGTCAGTTGCCTTTCACTTTCTCCCGTCAATATATTAGCGCTGTAACGTTTCAGACCACCAAACGCATACTCTCTCTCTAGAATCTAGGGCTTGACTTTATCGATTCTATCAAACTTTCCCTCTCTATTCTATTATATGCATACAAACGCGGCATTTCCACGCCATTTCAATTCCTCTCCGGTTCTCTCTCTCCAAACAGGTAAAAGTTTTCTCTTCCCTCTGATCCAAACGTCGTCGTCTCTGAAGTTCATCCCACTCAGTATTCTGAGCACAATTATCTTCAGAAGAAGACGCAATAAACGGCGTCGTCCCTTTTACAGCTCGTTTTCGTCTGCTTGTTTTTTGTGTTTTGGAGAACGACTCAGAATTGAGTTGAGTTCGTCTAGACTGAACCTGAAACACTGTTGAGCTGGTTCTTTGGTTTTGAGAAAAAGAAAATTAATCACGTCGTCGTTCCGGTGACGCGTTTTGACGGTACGAGTTGAGAAACAAGTCAAAACCCTCGACCCGGTGTTAGTGTTTTGATCTTTGGTCTGTGTTGTGTTTGGTTGCTGAGAAAAGCGGTAATGGAAATTGATTGATTCTGATTTTCCGACAACTTTATCATGACTTTCTTCTTTTGGTTTTCGGATCTAGTGCATGAAACTTTTTACTACTTTTGGTTTTCTTTTTCCTCATCTCTGTCTCTCTTATTTTCGTTAATTAGTATTACTGGGTCCCAAGGATTCAATAATTTGAGTCATATACTCAATTACTATATTTTCATTTCTAAGATTTTCTCAGCAACCAAACGGTGTGTCAATCACCAACATATTATGAGCATTGTGTACGGATTTTTAAGTTCTAAATATATTTTGAACATTTCATTGCTACGCAGTGAAAAAGGAGATTTGGATATCAGTATCTAGCGTTGGATTGTTGTGAAGTTGAGACAACAATGAGTACGCAAATTTTGGAGATTCAGCCCAAAGAATTGAAATTCTTATGTAAGTTCGTTATTGGTAGATGGTCAATGCTAACCATTTTCTTTATGATCTGGTATCTTTGCCTTCTATTATGAGTTTAGCTCTTCTCTAGTTTTTCCATACCGAATGGAGCATTGGTTTTGAAACTATGAATATTGAGCAGATTAGTGCAGATTCTTGTTAATCTGTACCTGCAAACGGTTACTGTTACATAGCTAGATGTAAACATTGTATTGCTGGGTCGTGGTAATATTCGAATTGAAATAGGATATGTTTTAGTTTACCAATTACTTGGGAATTGTAAACTGACTGTGTAATTGTTTTCGTAGTTGAATTGAAGAAGCAAAGCTCATGCTCAGTTGCGCTAACTAACATGACCAACCGCCATGTTGCTTTTAAGGTGCGTACTGCATTTATTTGTTTTCCAAATTATTGAATTGAATTGTGTGTGTGTGTGTGTGTGTGTGTGTGTGTGTCCAAATTATTGAATTGAATTGTGTGTGTGTGTGTGTGTGACCAAATGTAACTTAGCAATGACATTGGCAGGTTAAAACTACATCCCCTAAGAAATACTGTGTGCGACCAAATGTTGGTGTTATCTTACCAAAATCTACTTCTGAATTTTCAGGTATGCCTTTTCATTTATATCACCTAGTACATTGTAAGCGTGTACTGATGTTTGATTTTGCATGTAAGCATTTCTTCATCAACGTGTACAGAAGGATGAAATTTCAAGCTTAAGTTTCACTACTGGATTTTTGGCTTAAATAGAAGAAAAAATTTGTTTTATGAATCATGATATGCTATACTGGGGTTGCACTTTGACATTTTTACTCATGCTCTATCCTCATGGACAGAGTAAAGTACCATTGCAATTATCTGCTTTAGATAGATTTGTAATGGAATCATTTGTTTGGTGTTACTCTGCATTCTATTTTCTGATTGTTTTCTCCTTTAATCAGTCTTGTTTAACAATTTTGACTCTGACTATCAACGTAGTTACAATGCAAGCTCCAAGGGCAGCTCCACCTGATATGGAATGCAGAGATAAGTTCTTAATCCAAAGCACAATTGTTTCTTCTGGGACAACTGATGAGGATATTACAGCTAGCATGGTAAGTCTTGGTAATTGTTGTTGGCCTTAAGATTTATACTTGTTTCTCATTTTCTAGTCTTCGTAATTGTTGTTGGGCTTAAGATTTTGTATTCGTTTCTCATTTTCTAGTCTTGATAATTGTTGTTGGCCTTAACAATTTGTATTTGTTTCTCATTTTCTAGTATTGGTAATTGTTGTTTTAAGATTTTGTATTCGTTTCTCATTTTTTTCATTTACAGTTTGCTAAAGATGATGGCAAGTACATTGAAGAGAAAAAGCTAAGAGTAACTCTTATTAGCCCACCCAACTCACCAATGCTGTCACCAATCAAGGTAGACTTGAAGCAGGGGCTGGGGCATGAAGCTTTGAATGATCAAGTATTTGGTGGGGTTGCAATACTCCCTCAACAGAACATGGTTAGGGAAACTCTTCTTACGGCACAATGTTACAAACTTTAATTGGTCTTGTTATTAAATTTTGCATTCTGTGTTTATTCTATCATTCTCATTTTCTCCAGGAGCATTGCATTATCACTTAGGGAAAGGTATATGTTAATTATGACAACACAGTTGAGTAAATTTTTTTCGGAAGCATGGCTTTGCACCTTCAGGAACAGTTTCTTGATATATTGTTATGTGGTTCAATTCCATCATGCAATTATGCTGAATTCACTTATGTAATGTTGTTTTGTGGTTCTTAAATGAAGCAGGTTACAAAGGATGCAAAGTTCACATCTGTTAATAGCAAGGAGTCCAAGCCAATAACGGATGCTGAGTTGAAACCAGCAAAGGATGTGGAGTTGAAACCAGCAAAGGGTGTGGAGTTGAAACCAGCAAAGGTTGTGGAGTTGAAACCAGCAAGGGATGTTGAGTTGAAACCAGCAAAGGTTGTGGAGTTGAAACCAGCAAGGGATGTTGAGTTGAAACCAGCAAAAGATGTGGAGTTGAGACCAGCAAGGGATGTTGAGTTGAAACCAGCAAAAGATGTGGAGTTGAGACCAGAAAAAGATGTGGAGTTGAGACCAGCAAAAGATGTGGAGTTGAAAACAACACAGGATGTGGAGTTGAAACCATCAAAGGCTGTGGAGTTGAAACTAGCAAGAGATGTGGAGTTGAATGCAGAAAAGATTGTGGAAGACTTGAAGTTGGTTAAAGATATTCAGGAGATAAAATCGAAGCTAAATGAACTTGAATTAAAGCTGAGCCAGGTTTTGGTCTTTGCATAACTTTCTTTCCAAATTTATGATACAATTGTTGTGGTTCTTATTCGTTGTCTGTAATTTGCATGTAGAAACTGGACTCTAGCAGTATACCTCTTAATTATGCTAAAATTTTGCTGATTGGTTATTTGTCTGATACACTACTTGGATGGTTGTCAAAATATAATATTAACCAAGCTCCTTTTCTTTTTCTTTTTCTTTTTTACTTCTTTTTCCAGGCTGAAGTTACTATTTTAAAGCTGACAGAGGAGAGGAGTTCAAGCATTCAGGAGAGGAAAAAATTACAGGAGCAATTAGTAATTTCTTGCACCCCATCCTTTTCTTTTCTGGTAGTTTTGTTGTTTGTCTAGGGATGAGTTTCTGCCAAAGTCTGAATTGTTTGGTTGTTGTGGTTATTGGCTGTCTAAGGCTTGGATAATCCAATGTTACAATGGTTTGAGCATTCAAGTGCATTGAAGTTCTATTTCTGGTTTGTTACTGTGTTCATCCAACTGCTCTCTGGGTTTTTGTTGTTGAACATCTACTGTAAAGTGCCTACTTGGGGTTTATATTGAGGATGAAATGGTTTATCTTTTAAATTTCCTGTAATTTGCATGCAGAAATATGTTCCTTTTAAAAATGAGGCAGTGCTTTAATTTGTGTGCTCTACTCTTTGGTTATGCTAACCTCTCTCTCACTGCGCACTTGTATCTTATTGAAACTCTTATTCATGACATTCGTATGTACTTTTATTGCAGGCACAACTGAACCAAAGGGGGGTGAGTGTGAAAAGAGTCCAAGTTGGGTTTCCTCTACTATATGTTTGTATGGTGGGGCTTATCAGTGTTGCTCTTGGATACTGTCTTCATCCTTGAAACAATGTGTATGAAGCTACTACAGTCAGTCAGTAGTTAGATAAATACGTATAAAATCATTTTCCTCTCACTATAAATGTATAGATGAGGTATAGAGGGGACAGTCTAGCCAATATACTCACAGATAAGTGAAGTGCATGCATACGCGTTGTTCTCATCCCCGTAAAAGGGGAAAAAAAAACCATGTGAAAGCTTTGGCTGACTGCCAAGAAGCCATCTTTTTGTTACATGTTATTGTGAATTTGTGATACTAGGGTTGAAAGTTTGGAACAAAAATTAGAATGAGAATTAGAGGCATGATGTTTTTAAGGATTAGTGTCTGTTCTAATTGATTGGTCTTATTAGTTTGTATAATCTACTTTTGTTTTTATTGTGGATCATTCTGTAGTTCATATATCCACCATGGGATTCAAAAGTTAATGTAGTAAAGATGATCACAGTAAAAGAAATCAAGTCAGATCAAAGCTAGATATCAAAAAAAAGTCAGATCAAAGATGTTCAAATTGGTCTGCACGTTTTCCAAAACTGAAGAAAATTACTATCCAACGCTGGCAACAAAGCATAAATATACCAACAAATAGATTTTTTTTTATTTTATTAAAGGGGTAAAAGTATAATTTCATATCCATCTGTAATTAGTTTTAAATTTTAAAAATAAAAATAGACAAATGACAGATTTTGAGTGGGAGTAAAATTGTGATACGGTACTACTAAGGCCCCGTTTGGGATTGCTTTTTTTGGCCAAAAACCTGCTTAACTTTAAAGTTAAGCAGTTTAAGGTGTTTGGTAAAATTAAAATATCCCGATTATTTTAAAAGCAGTGGCCTTTTGACAGCAGCTTTGAAAAGCTGACTCTAGGTTACTTTTCAAAGCTGCTTTCAAAAGAAGCATAGATGAACATTTAATGAATTTTTTTAATTATCAAAATATCATCATTCATTTTAAAAAATGACACCACCTCCATTTCCACATCCAACTCCACCACTTGCACCACCACATTTACTACATCCACAACCACCACCACCACAACCACCACATCCTCCTCCTCCTCATCCTTTGCCACCACCTCCTCCTCATTCACCAGCACTGCCACCACCACCACCACCACCACCTCCACCTCCACCTCCACCACCACCACCTCCACAACTGCCATCCCCACCACCACAACCACCAACTCCGCCTTCATCTCCACCACCAACTCCACTCCATCACTACCACTACCACCACATAATTAGTGCATAACACTTTTAATATAATGTCTATTTTAGTCATTATTCACAGTAACAATAATTTTATATTAAAATTTACCAAACGGTTTTAACACTGCTTTTTGTACTAACAACACTTTAAAAATAGTGTTTACCAAACATGGAGCTGTTTTACTTTACAGCTAATTATTTTTAAAGCACAGCAGAAACAACTTTTTTTAAAAGTGACAGCAATCCCAAACTAGGCCTAAGAATGAGTAAAATCATTTTTTTAAAATGTATTCAAAAGTGGCTGGGTTCGTTGCACCATATGATATCCCAAATCCATCCTAAAGTTTCCCCTTAAAAATTAAAGACTGCCATTAATACATGAAAATCCGTTGTTTAAATTTGGAAGATACACCTAATCCAGCATTCAAATCAACTATATAAACCATGCTTTGCTAGTCAGATTTCCCTCATCCCAGAAACTTGAGTTGTTAAATCAACAATCACAGCAAGAGATGTCTTCTCTCAAAAAATGCTTCCCTTTTATCTCACTGCTTATTCTTTTTGTCACCGCTGCAAGTGCAACAGAGCCTCCAGTAGTGCATCGTCCCTGGGTGCTTTTGGACCCCAACGATCCAAATGTGATAAATGCCGCCAAGTTTGCAGTCTTGGAATACAACAAGAACGTCACCAGCAGCAGCAACAAGCTACTTTTCCATAAAGTGAATTGGTGTGAATACGCTTATCTACTCGGCGATTTTTATGGGCTTGATATTGCAGCAAAAAATGAGTCGTTACCTTCTCCGCCGCAGAATTATATTGTCGGGGTTTTGGCCAGCATTAACAGGCCCATGAAATTGAGAGGTTTTCGTAAAGCTACAAAAGGCGAATAATGTTTTATGTCGCTTGTAACAAAATAAATTGAGAATGTTTTATTTGGGCTCTGGCCTTGTTGCATTGATGCTGAGATCAGTTTGTCGAGTCAATTTTATGATGTGTTACTCTACCTTGGTGGTTTCTAATAAACTTCAATTCCCAAAAAACATATAAAAATAACTTGAGAATGCAATAAAAGTTTTTTGTTTGTTTGTTGGTAAAGATGTTTTATCAGAACACCATAAGAGTATACAGTAGATAGGATGAAAACATCCAAAAACCAACGTGAAAGTCTGGAATAAGAGCTTAAAACAAGTCATAACTTGAACTAATCACGAGGAAACAAAGAAAAGATAAAAGAAGACTACAGCCCAAAACAATATATTAGTGGAGTCCAGTGATTGAGCAATAGTATCCTCGTTGAAATCTAGCCATAAAAAAACCCCAAATGAAGAAAAATCCGGTAAAAAAAAAAAGATCACACTGTAAAATCCCCAAATGCAATAAAAGTTTAGAAATTCCCTATTGGTGCAAAATAATTTTTAGTTTAGTTCAACAGGTTGGGTTCAAAAAAGTAAATTAAATTTTTTAATCATTTGAACTAAAGGTTTTTTTAATTTTAAATAAAGTACAAGCGATAGTCTAAATTAGAGAGAAGAGAGATTTCTTAAATACATACATAAATGATGTCATGGGGGTTCGAACCTGAGACCTCTTGTCTGCAAGTTAAGGCTCTTTTCCACTAGATTAGACCTCGTTGACTAAATGGTCTTACTTATGCCGCAAAATGTTTGTTAAATAGTCTATGCTTATTTTGAGTATGATAGTGCAACTACCTATGTTGCACCGACACTCCATTAACCCCAAGTGTCGGACACTTATGTCCATTATCAAAACACTCCATATACACGGTCAGAACACTCTCCAAATACGAGTCAACTCATACTGCGCACTTGTATTTGCACCTTGTTGAAACTCTTATTCATGACATTCGTATGTACTTTTATTGCAGGCACAACTGAACCAAAGGGGGGTGAGTGTGAAAAGAGTCCAAGTTGGGTTTCCTCTACTATATGTTCGTATGGTGGCGCTTATCAGTGTTGCTCTTGGATACTGTCTTCACCCTTGAAACAATGTGTATGAAGCTACTACCGTCAGTCAGTAGTTAGATAAATACGTATAAATCGTTTTCCTCTCATTATAAATGTATAGATGAGGTATAGAGGGGACAGTCTAGCCATTATGCTCACAGATAAGTGAAGTGCATGTATACGCGTTGTTCTCATCCCTATAAAAGGGGGGAAAAACCATGTGAAAGCTTTGGTTGATAGCCAAGAAACCATCTTTTTGTTTGTGCAGACATTTTATTGTGAATTTGTGAAACTAGGGTTGAAAGTTTGGAACAAAAATTAGAATGAGAATTAGAGGCATTATGTTTTTAAGGATTAGTGTCTGTGCTAATTGATTGGTCTTATTAGTTTGTATAATCTACGTTTGTTTTTATTGTGGATCATTCTGCAGTTCATATATCCACCATGGGATTCAAAAGTTAATGTAGTAAAGATGATCACAATAAAAGAAATCAAGTCAGATCAAAGCTAGATATCAAAGAAGGTCAGATCAAGATGTTCAAATTGTGTCTGCACGTTTTCCAAAACTAAAGACAATTACTATCCAACGTTGGCAACAATTAAATTATAGCATAAATATGCCAACAATTAGATTTTTTATTTTATTAAAGGGTAAAAGTATAATTTCATATCCATATGTAATTAGTTTTAAATTTAAAAATAAAAATAGATAAATGGCAGATTTTGAGTGGGAGTATTTTTTAGATAGTGATACGGTACCACTCTATAAGGTTTCCTTTATAAAGATAGTATACATATTAAGAATGAGTAAAATTATTATTTTTAAATGTATTCGAAAGTGGTTGGGTTCGTTGCACCATATGATATCCCAAATCCATATGATATTATTGGGAGCTTTCATTTTAAGACACTATATCATTTACTAATTTGGAATATATGAATACAATTTCACCTAATTAGCATAAGGCCAAAGACCAAAAAGTAGTACCTAAATTTACAATAATGTAATTAAAAAACATCAAAATTACACACAATGCCACTCCTTTAAAGGCAAGCACACTATGCCACATGTCCACCTAGGCAATCTCCCTTATGGTCAGTTGCCACCACCACCGGCCAGCTACCATTGCCGTCGCCAGCCAACCACCACCACCTGCCATCGCCTCTAGCAAGACGCTGCCACTTACAGTCACCGTCAGTCAACCAACGAATTTAGGTCATGCTTTTAAACAAAAAAGGTATAATTGTCTTTTTAGTAATTAATGTAAGGTGGGTCAACGAATTTGGACCTCTTCTTTGACCAAATCCAAAACAAAATTCAATTCCTAGGTATTAAAACCAAAACCAAAATATTGTTTGTCTCAAATACTAATTAGTAAGGATAATTATGTCTAATACCTAATTTTTCTTTTTGGGTACCCCAAATCCATCCTAAAGTTTCCTCCTACATGCATAAAAAAAACAGTAAAATTTTCATACGCTGAAAATTTCCTATGGACCAAAAAGAAGAAGAAAAGTTTCCTTTTAAAAATTAAAGACTGCCATTAATACATCAAAATCCGTCGTTCGTAATCCAGCATTCAAATCAACTATATAAACCATGCTTTGCTAGTCAGATTTCCCTCATCCCAGAAACTTGAGTTGTTAAATCAACAATCACAGCAAGAGATGTCTTCTCTCAAAAAATGCTTCCCTCTTACCTCACTGCTTATTCTTTTTGTCACCGCTGCAAGTGCAACAGAGCCTCCAGTAGTGCATCGTCCCTGGGTGCTTTTGGACCCCAACGATCCAAATGTGATAAATGCCGCCAAGTTTGCGGTCTTGGAATACAACAAGAACGTCACCAGCAGCAGCAACAAGCTACTTTTCCAAAAAGTGAATTGGTGTGAATACGCTTATCTAGCCGGCGATTTTTATGGGCTTGATATTGCCGCAAAAAATGAGTCGTTACCTTCTCCGCCACAGAATTACATTGTCGGGGTTTGGGCCAGATTTTTCAGGCCCATGAAATTGAAAGGTTTTCGTAAAGCTACAAAAGGAGAATAATGTTTTATGTCGCTTGTAACAAAATAAATTGAATGTTTTATTTGGGCCCTGGCCTTGTTGCATTGATGCTGAGATCAGTTTGTTGAGTCTGAATTTTATGATGTTTTACTCTACCTTGGTGGGTTTTTAATAAACTTTAGTTCCGAAAAAACATATAAAAATAACTTGAGAATGCAATAAAAGTTTTGTTTTTTTTGTTTGTTGGCAAAGATGCTTTATTTGAACACCATAAGAGTATACTATGAAAACATCCAAAAAGGAACCTGAAAGTCAGGAATAAGAGCTTAAAAAAAGTCACAACCTGCACTAATCAAGAGGAAACAAAGAAAAAGATAAAAGAAAATAAGTGCCCAAAACGATACATTAGTATAGTCCAGTGATTGAGCAATAGTAGCCTCGTTGAAATCTAGCCTTAAAAAAATACCAAATTAAGAAAAATCCAATAATAAAAAAAAGATTACACTGTAAAATCCCCAAATGAATGCAATAAAAGTTTAGAAATTCTCTATTGGTGCAAAATAATTTTTAGTTTAGTTCAACGGGTTGGGTACAAAAAAGTAAATTAAATTATTTTTTTTTTCATATAATTTTAAATAAAGTACAAGCGATAGTCTAAATTAGAGGGAAATGAGATTTCTCACACACACACACATGATGCTATGGGGGTTCGAACTTAAGACCTCTTGTCTGCAAGTTAAGGCTCTTTTCCATTTGATTAGACCCCGTTGGCTAAAGGGTCTTACTTATGCCGCAAAATGTTTGTTAAATAATCTATGCTTATTTTTAGTATGATTGTGCAATTGCCTATGTTACACTGAAACTCCACTAAGCCCAAGTGTCGAACACTCCTCGGAGATTTGTGTCCAATATCAAAACACTCCCCATACACGGTGAAGACACTCTCCGAATACGGGTCAACTCATACTTATGGTCAACTAATGTGTTAATTCAATTATAATTCATATAAAATTAGCTACATTTGAAAGGCTTGGAAAGCTTGAATTTCACTATATATGATATTGTGAAATTGGAG